TTTACAAACAGAGTAAATAAGAACAACAAGAAGCCATCGTAGTATAGTGGTTAGTACAGATCGTTGTGGCCGATCAGACCCAGGTTCGATTCCAGGCGATGGCACGCTTCTTTTTTTGCTATTTTTGCGGATTTTTGATAGTAAATGATAATTTTTTTTTAGATGGATGAATAGAGATGATTTTAACGTAATGTTTCTCTGCTTTTAAATGTCTTTTGGAGGTATTGGTTGTTGTATTATTGTGGTTTTCATGTTATCTCTTTTTAAGCTTGACCGATACTTTAAAATTTCCCTGGATTTTATAAACACCGAAAACTTATCGAAAATTAATTTGATGTCAAAAGATTCTACTTCTTAAGCGTTGCTAAACATAATGTTTAAATCAAATCAATAACATTTTTTTGAAAGAAGAAACTATAAAAGTATTTAGTAAAACAAAATGTCCAAGAATTTTTGAACATGAAGAAGGGAAATAATAAAATATGATACATATAAACTGAAGGGAAATAATGTCTATAAACAAGTCTAATTTGAACTAGATCTATCAATCATCTAGGTATTTTCAATATCTCAATTATGAACAGTTAATCATGAATCTAATTAACGGTAACGGTTTGGAAAACAGTTTCAGTGGTTGTAACTTTATTACCTTGATGACCAGCATGTTCATGACGTTTTTTATTTGATGATGAACCACCACCACCAGTTTTGAAAACTTCAATACTAGCTTTTGCACCATTTTTAGCAGTAACAACACAAAAATCAGCACCACCAGCACCTGAAGTTGAACGTTTAGATTTACCATTATTAACACCATTAACACCATCTTTACTTGGATCAATTTCACATGGACCACCTGAACATGATGAATCATCATCACATTTAATTCTAATACCAAATTCTGGTTTTTCATTTCTAAATGGAGTATCTTGTTCTAAATAAATTGGATTCCAACCAATTTTAACAAATGTATCTTTATTATCATTTTGATTTGCACCTGCAACATATGGAGCCCAATTACCTTGAGGTTTATCTTTTGAACCCCATTTACATCCATCATCAACAGAAACACCTGGTGGATTAATATAAAAATGTGCAGCAGTACCAGCCCAATAATCAGAACCTGGAACAGCCAAAGTTCTTTTACTATTACCATCAACATTTGTTGGAATCAACATCTCTTCATTACCTGGTAAAACAGTTTGACAAAATGCAACATTTTCACCAACTTTATTATTTGCACTAACAGTACCTGCACCACTAACACAATATGAACCTTGTCTTTTTTCTTCAATTTCACCATCATCATTACACCAAATACCACCATTTTGAGAACCTGGATATGAATAAGTTTTAACATCTGGATCCCATTGACCCATTAATTGACCTGGTGGACAAGCATATGGACACCAAGAACCAGAAGTACATTCTTGATCATTATGCATGGCCCAACCACCATTTTTACCATTTTTTTGAACAGCAACTAAACCTTTATCAGTTGGGAATTTACATGATGAACCTCTTTTAAATAATGATGAAACATTTTTACCTTCAATTTGTTTACCATGTTGATGTTGTTGATGTTTTGGTGAAGCTTCAACAATTGATGATAAAAGAGTGATATAAAGAGCAATTGTTTTAAATAACATTGTGAATCTATTCGTATTAAATTAAAAGGAATGAATAATTTGAATATAATCAATGATTTACTTCAAGATATACAGTTTTGTAGTGCAGATGATTGAAATTGTGGAATAATCAACTTATTTATATATTTGGTAATTGATTTGATCCGGTTAGAAATTTTCCATACTCCATACTTTGAATATGTATGAATCCATAAATTGCTTTAACGGTTTTCACTCATCTGGTGATCAAATTCATATAAAATGTTTCAATATGTATGATTATTCCTTTTGTGATATGTTTCCATATGTGAAATTATAAAGTTTGGTTGTATAGTATTTTCAATTCTAGAATTCAAATTCAAGTCGATCGTCTATCAAAAATCTATGATTTTCCTTTAATTACCATTAGTTTACGATTATATGCAAGTCATGTATCGAATTTAATATGATTTACCCCATATAGAAAAAATTGTGTATGATACTTATACCTAATATTTTGTTTTAACCATGGATACATATCTTGATACTAAAAGATAGCTACTCAAGATTCAAATAAGCTTTAAACCTTAAGCGTCATACTGTATTTAGTGTTTAGTATTACTTTTTGGAAAAACTTTAAACACAATCTAGTTATGACACATGACTAAATCAAGTGAAAAATTTGACTAGAATTGGTATACCAACTACCAAATCAAAATTACTAACAATTCTTCCGGGTTCTAATACTTTTAATTCGTCTAAAGTTTAATCTTTCATTTACTGATCTCATGAATTGGTCTATACACAAACTCTATCGAGCAAGTTATGAACCAAGTATGTGTATAATTTGAGGGGCTATGAGTTAAATTTTTAGTTAAATCTGGAATATTCATGAAAATAGTGAACATAAAACTTTAAAAGATGAATATTATCAAATCAAAATGTCCATACTATGATTATCAATTTATATCAACTTGATTTTGATTTACATGAAGTTCATCAATGTCATAATTCGGTGATTAAAATTAATGTAGGTAATTAAAAAAATTAACTCCGATATTTGATTTTGAAAATCAAAATTTGAGAAGAACATACAAAATGAGTTATCAAGTATAATATGTAGTACAAACTATATCTTATATCTAACAGCTTTTTTTTAAATTTGAACCTGACATTAAATCATCTTTAAAGTTTCAACGTATATTCCAATTAATTCTTAATTAGAATAATACTCAGTGATTACGTAGTTGTTGAAAAATTTTTCTTTTGAATGTTTGCTACTGCGTTGTTGTCCTTCACGAAAAAAAAAATCCAAAAAAATGGCTGTGATTCTAGAACCTTTGGCCAATGGCTTTTGAATTTATTGACGAAATTATGATAATTTTGTATATGATAGTTGTCAAATTTTCAAAATTTATGATCCATTAAATGCAACTCTAGAGAAATGAAGTGAATAATGATATAATAGGGGTTCTGATTAAAGTGCGTTCATGCTGATAATGTTATATTGTTATGTTACAAGTTGTAATATTCAAATCCCGTATAAATATTATCTTGATTGATTAAACATAAGAAGGTTGAAGAATTTCTGAAAGTATGATTATTCGGGTTAAAGATATTAAATAGATCATATAAGTTTCATGGTACGTATATATTGTTTAGAGTTAGAGTTAACTAGTCTTGATTAGTTCTCAAAATGTGAGTGTGTGAAACTTCCTGAATTGATTTTGAGAATACTTTGTATATTGAGGCCATCAAAGATTCAAATTGAGAATATATTCAGTACTAGAAAGATCAACTTACCAAACTTTTGTGTTTTCGACTTTATTGGTTATATTGAATTTGATCATATGGATGGTCCTATGATTAACACCAACAATCTCCAGAAGTTATGAATGAGTTTTCAGTTATATATAGAACTGAATTTCAGATGTGAAGTTAGAATCATAAAGTCTTAATAAGTTAAACCAAGGCATAACAGGGTACTCTAGTAATCAATAGGTATATACGCTTAATGATCTAGAATTAATGTTTTTGGAAGTATATGATCTTTAGTCTAGTGAGAATATTAATTCATAGTAACTTTAGAGTATTACATTCACTTGTCAAAGACCTTTGACAGAAGCACTGACTTCTGTGAGCTATACAGCTTAATTTCTTTAAGCATTTATATATACTTCTCAAAAGTAAAGAGTCAAGATCCTTCAGACTGCTCTAGTATATATCATATAGTGATGTTTGGAATTATGATACCATGGTAACTATGCAAAATGCAAGAAGTTCGAATTCATACATACTTTGATATCACCGATTCTATTGTTTAGATTGAATATCAATATGATAAGTGGAGGTATAAAGAACCTATCACTTGTACTAATACCCTTTCGATATCAACTTTATAACCATTTCAATAACAAAAGATAATTTAGTACACGAGAATTATATTTGTACTGGTATATAATCTTGGTCAGAAACGCGTTCATGGTATTACAATTGTAACCTAGCAACGGAGATATTTTTCTTGACCAAAATCAAAACCAAGAGATCATGAGAAAAACTTTTTCAAAGAAATGTCTTAAACAAAACAAAACGCGTTATGAATTTATATTTGAAAAGAGAATGATTTAAATGGGAATTTCATTGATCTATAAATATATGTTGATCAATAGATACGTATGTTGATATTTGTTGTAGAATCGATAATGTGGTATATCGTAGTGGCTTGAATACTCGGGCTTTATGAGTGATAACGCAGGAACCCCAAAACAACAGTCCCAGGGTCTTTGTTACCAGGTAAGCTCACTTCAAAGTTCAATAGTATGGCTCAACAAGCTCTGTCTATTCTCTTGAGCCTAACTAATTAAGTCTCTGCCTACACTCCCTGTCAAGTGTCCACTGTTAAACTAAAATTACTTCTCACTGGGGTTATTCCGCACCTGCCTAGCTTTTCCTCTCTGAGTGTACCTATGGCTATGCGTGTATTTCTTGGTTATATTCTCATCAAGAAAAGTACAAATATTTGGGAGAACCCACTTCAACACTTTTTAGAATTCAACAACGTCCATCATTGTGAACATCTAGATTGCAAAACAACTATACTACACATTCGTTAAGAGGAACTATATCATTACAAAGACTTAACCACAGCCTTTGAATCCTCTCTCAATTCATTTCTCAACTAAAAGATCTTCATCAGCTTATATACTCTGCTGCGGTTATCAATTATCCCTTAACAAGAGTTGTTATTTTTATTTTCTTATACAAAATAAAAAAAAAAGTGGATTTTTTGTCTTTCTAAAACATTTTAAACCAAAAGAATATTAGTGCTATCAACAGCGGGTCTTCAAAAAGGTTTTCAGCAGGAGTTTCAACAGGTTTGATATTATCTTCTCAATCGCTACACCATTAAGTAAGGGTTCACCGTTCTACACGTTAAAGCGCTGTATTTCAATCATCTCTGGGGTGCGCGGTTAATCAATAACAATAACAACAACAACAACAATAACAAGTTCATTCGCTACATTACAATACATCTACAGATTATATAAATCATGTCAAATCCAATAAGAAATCTGACGGATCGTACGCCTTTGGCTGATCATGATGATTCTTCAGATTCCGCTTCAAGAAATGATCCATTTGCTGATGATAATTTAATAAATAATTCAAATGGTAGTGATGATTCAACAACTGATTTAATTCAAAATTCAAATTCTGCATTAGATTTACGTTATTATACTCATCAACCAGGTTTTGCAGGCTCTTCAAACTATTTAAATCCAAATCAATTCAATTCATCTAGCCCAATTCCTCCTCATTCAAAAGCTGCTGCTCATATTTCTGTTAATAGTAATATTCAATCTCCAGGTGAATTTGATCGTTATCCAAGTGTTGCAAATTCTTCAACTAATTTACCTGATCAAAAACAAAATTATCATAAATCAACAGCTTCTTATAATTCTGATTCTTCTTCTTCAAATCCTTTTATTTCTGAAGGTGATTCAAATCCTTTTGGTGGTTATCCAGTTAGTGCTTTCCCATTACATATTGATGAAAAAGAAGCTGATGATTATATTCATAATCCTGATCCAATAAGTGATGCTTATGATGATAAACATGCCTTTTTAAATGACCTGAAAGCTATGGATAAAAGATCCGCTGGTGGGTTATTTGGTTTACTGTTTTTATTCTTGGGTGCCATTGCATTATTCGTTATCTTACCAGCATTAACTTATTCAGGTGTTGTTGATCATGGTGATGATCATACTGTTTATGAAATATTGACATTTTATCAATATCCTCAATTATCTGCAATTAGAACAAGTTTAGTTGATCCTGATACACCTGATGATGTTAAAACTAAAAAATCAAGAGGTGGTCAAGATTGGACTCTAGTATTTTCTGATGAATTTGCTGCTGAAGGTAGAACTTTTTATGATGGTGATGATCAATTTTGGATGGGTCCTGATATTCATTATGATGCTACAAAAGATTTAGAATGGTATGATCCAGATGCTGCAACTACATCTGAAGGTGCTTTAAGATTAAGAATGGATGCTTTTGAGAATCATGGTTTATTTTATAGATCAGGTATGTTACAAAGTTGGAATAAAATGTGTTTTACTCAAGGTCATATAGAAGTTTCTTCAATGTTACCAAATTATGGTAATGTTAGTGGATTATGGCCAGGTATTTGGACTTTAGGTAATTTAGCAAGACCAGGATATTTGGCAAGTGCTGAAGCTGTTTGGCCTTATAGTTATAATTCTTGTGATGCAGGTATTACACCAAATCAATCATCTCATGATGGTATTAGTTATTTAAAAGGTCAAAAATTAAATGCTTGTACTTGTGATGGTGAAGATCATCCAAATCCAGGAACTGGTAGAGGTGCTCCTGAATTAGATATTTTAGAAGGTTCAACTGATACTACATTGAAAACTGGTGTTGCTTCTCAATCTTTACAAGTTGCTCCTTATGATATTTGGTATATTCCAGATTATGATTTTGTTGAAATTCATAATACTTCAACTACATGTATGAATACTTATACTGGTGGTCCATTTCAACAAGCTGTTTCAGGTATTACAACTTTAAGTCCAAAATGGAATGAATTTGGTAATGAAGAAACAGGTCCTTCATATCAAACTTATGCGTATGAATATTTAAATGATCGTGATGATGGTTATGTTACATGGTTTGTTGGTGATGGTGCAGCTTATACATTACATTCACATGCATTACATCCAAATGGTAATATTGATTGGAGACCTTTACCACAAGAACCAATGTCAATTATTTTAAATTTAGGTATTTCAAATAATTGGGCTTATATTGATTGGGCTTCAATTATGTTTCCAGTTACTCATTCAATTGATTATGTTCGTATTTATCAACCATCAGATCAAGTTTCTTTAACTTGTGATCCAAAAGATTATCCAACTTATGATTATATTCAAAATCATTTAAATGCTTATATGAATGTTAATTTAACAAATTGGGAAGATGCAGGTTATTCAATGCCAAAAAATATTTTAACAGGTAATTGTAAATCATCAAATTTTAAACAATCATCATCAAGTTCTTAAATTTGATTATTAATTAATTAAAGTTATATTATGATATATACTGGTTTAAAATTATTTATTTCAAAACATTTCAATATTTATATGATGAATCTATTGAATTGAATGTTTATTATGACATGATGAATTGGACTCTAAACTTATTAAAAATAAAAAAAATTAAACTAAAGCTTTCAAAAGCTTTATATTTCTTGCTAATATATCAGCTTTTCTTTCATGAGTTGTATGATATGTGATGGTGTTCAGGCAAGAGTTTTCATTTCTTTGATATTAATTATATTCATGTACTTTGTATTTGTTATATAATTATTTTAGTTTGACTTTTTAAAATTTGTTATAATTGTATTAATAAAAGATTAATTTGGTTTATGAAGATGTTGTATTGATACATGTAGTAGAAGCTGGAACTTGTGATCAATTATATGTATGATTGATATGTATTAAAGTATAATCTATTTAATCTAGTTGTAGTTATCTATATTCAACTCATTTATATATGACCTTATAAAACATTGATATACTGATTCTCATAGTTAAGAGTTACAAATTAAGTCATTTGATAGCCAAAAACACTGTAATTCTATGATCATCAAACTAAAAACTTATCAGATTAAGTTCCAAAAAAGAAAAACAAAAAGATTACTTTAGAGTTACAAAATCAACAAGCAATATATTAAAGCTATATAGTAGTAATGAAATATACAGCGTTTAAGATATAAACAACATTATAGCACAGCGGTTAGTGTAAGGATCATAATGAGTATAATATCTACTAGTAAATTACTATAGCATATAATAGCGCTGTATTTATGAGTGTGCCCTTAGATTATGAAATGTTTTGTACTCCACATCCAGATTCCACATCCACAAAATCCCATTGTTTATATATTTAAAAGATATCCAAAAATTTAACAAGTATTTATGTTTTGATTAAGTCGTATCGTATAATTGGTGACACAAAGATCAATATTGAATCATATATTTAAAATTACAAGTTGTAACAGCTGGAGACTTCATCAACCTATATCAAAACATTTGAATTAATAAGGCCACAATGAATATAAATGATTTTTTTGATATCTCAGAAGGAAATTTGACAATCTACAACTTTCATGAATTCTGTTATGGTAACAACATTATAGATACTTCACAATTAGATTTTGATTCGTTTGAGAATTTTTTGAAACAAACAAACTCCCGATTCAAAGGATGCAACCTTACATTAGACGATGGTATTACAAAGAAAGATATTAAAGAAAATTTGAGAAAAAGAAATCTTTTCTTTAGGAATAATAAAGTATCTAAAAGAAGGATTAGAATTAGTGCTGGAATCTTATATGTACAACATGAAAATATAGAATCAAATACATCTACACCTGAAGAACCTCAAACTCAAGAAACGTTCATCATCAATCCTAATATTATTCCTCAACAAATACTCAAACAAGCCTCTGAAGAAGTTGCATTATGTCAAAAAAGAAAGGAGTTCTTTAGCAATAAAGCTCTTACACCTGCTGTTAAAAAACAATTCTTTGAAAAAGTACATTCAAAACTTAAAGATCAAGGTATCTTAAGACGATACGAAACAATTACAAATTTCAATTCTAAAGCAGTGTTGAAATATTTACTGGAAACATTTCAGTGTAAAGTTGCAAAACCAATAAACGTTGATAGTAGAGGTGATGGAGATCAAGAAATTGTTGGTAAAGAAGAATCAAATAAAGTTGAATCAATTGATTATGAGAATAGAGGTGAAGAATTAAATAAAGCTGAATCAATTGATTATGAGAATAGAGCTGAAAAAAATATTGAAAGTGAAGATATTGATATTGCTAAAGGTGAAGAGGACCCTAAAGGTGAAGCTATTGATGTTGTTAAAGGTAAAAAGAGACCAGATTTTCTTTTGGTTGGTATTTTTGGTTTGATTTTGATCACAATACTTATTTTACTTTATATGAAAGGTGTTATTAGCAAAAATTTATTCAATTACAATTCTATTACTTATTATATCGGATGATATTATAAATAACTATACAAATATGCAATTACAATTCATACTCATCACTTTATATCACAGCTATTATAACAACTATATAAGGAACACAATTACCTAGGTTTTGTTATGTAGTACCCTTTGGTGTATCAATGTATAAGCACAATTAGACCAAGTTATACAAAGTGAATATAACCTGATGGTTTCTTTGGATAGTTGATTTATAAAAATTGGCTAAATACCCAAGAGCTTCTAAATCACGTATAAATTCTTATCAAAATATGTAGCTCTTGAAAAAACATCAAGAAGAACAAACTTTTTCTTCAATGATAAGTAGTGATGTGATACAACTTTCCACTAGAGGTTTTGTCCAAGTGTAGATAACATCATCTAGCAATGTAACTTTAGTTGAAATTAAAAGTTTCTAGAAGTTTAGCAAAAAGTTTCAAGAATGAACTTTGACGTTCATCCAAACCTTTTTCATGAACTTTAATTTCCATTTTGAACTTGATGATTCACCTTCATTTAATAATGTATCTTCAAAACATTCATTTATCATTGCAAAAAACAAAACTTTAATCATAATTTAATAAAAGTTCAAGATATGGGTAATTAATAAGTATCTTGTCACCATTTCATGAGAAAATTCAATAAGATATCCATCAAGTGAAACATAGTATAAAGTCAATTTGACATCTATTTCATCACCAGCACCAATGAAGTTTTCAGTTGGATATTGTCTTTCTGTTAGAATATATATCAAACAACCAAAAATTATAACAGAATCTTTATGATATCATACTATGAATATCTTGAAACAATCTAGAAAATTGTGTAATGCATTCACCTAAAAGTTTATTCCAAATATGAAATAGCTATCTCTTAATCCGTTTGATTAAAGTAAATTTATAATATGATAAATATCCAGACTTTTACTATCTAAAGGACAAATCATACTGTTCTTAGTTTTCCTTATCTTCCTTGGTGTTATAACAAGAAATTATGACTTTTGAAACTAAAAGTAAAAGCATTTCAACTAATCCACTTAGTATGAATGATTCTAAAAAATTGGAATAAATCTGACTGATCATTAAAATTGAAAATTGCATATTATAAATCTTCGTAATTTTTAATGCCAGTGTTAATGATTAGAATCCTTCATACATGATTATAAAAGATCATTAATTTGATGTTCATATTGATCTTCACTAATATCAGATGTTAAAAATCTTGTTGCATTTGTCTTGGGAAGATCAATCAATGCCTTGATACAAGCTGTTTTATATCTTTATTTGATTTTGGTAATCCAACCGCTTCTTGATCATCATTACCAATATACAAACTTTTGGTTTTATCCTTGGATTCTATCCAATTTGATATAGAACCAATTCAAATAATTCATATTCCCCCACAAGGAAAATTTTACCTTTGAAATGTTATAAGATCTGGTGAATAAGTTCCAAGGTAATATGATTGAAAAGTTGGAATTCTTGTTATTAATGATTTATGTTTATGAATATGTTTTGGAATAATTGATTCACCAAGCCATCAAAAACTCATTATTTCTTCATCATAAACCTAAATTGTTTTAATTTCACAATTAATCACTTCATTATTTTCTCTTGCTTCAATCACAGTGAGTACATTTGACCAGAAATATACTAATTTAGCATGGGTTTTGAATCTATTTTCTCTTTTGAATGATGTAAACTAACCCAATTTACATCCAGTTTTCCCTAATGATCCATTTAAAACTTTTGGTTCCCCAGTTTTGAATTGAGTATTGAATTGAATTTGATGTTGTATTGTAAGTAATGCATTATCAGATAATATTGTAAAAAAAAATCAACAGATGAACCTAATGACAATGCACCACATCCAAATAGAGTGACACTTTCCTGTATCATTAATCCAGGATAATTACCCAGAATCTTTTTGGTTGAAACTTATCACTGTAGTTCCTAAAATTCTTTGATTTCATTAAAAACATGGCCATCACCATTAAGATGGGTTTCATTGAAATGTGCAAAAGTTTTATCAGATAAACTAATTAAATAAAAAAATATCATCAGATAATTTCAAATCTATTGAAATCGATTGATATACCAGTTGATTCTATTTCACCACACGTTAAAGCGCTTTCACATTGGTCTGTAATTTTTTTCAATTATAATCAAAAATCAAATAGTGTAACCTTTTGAAGTACATTTTGACAAGAAGAATACATCACTGAACACTGATTGATTTGGTTGTACAATTGATGCTATTGAAGTTTTTCAAGTTAGCCCATTCAATTGATCAAATCCTATTGTCATAACAACCTGCATTATCATTATTTGGCGAGTATCTTGACTTTTTACTGATCAAAACAGTTATCAAATAACATTCATCCCTATAATTTTCAAAGTGATTTTTTTCAAACCCGATTTGGCGGATCAAAAAATTAATATCATTAAAGTTTGATTTTCCCCCTCCAACTATTATCAAGAATTACAATATCAACAAACAATATATTAAAGCTATAGAGGAATTATGGGAAATACAGCGCTTAAGTCATAAACAACATTATAGCACAGCGGTTAGCATAAGGATCATAATGAGTATAATATCTACTAGTAAATTACTAAACACAATGTCAAACACCATAGATTACATTCATCAAGTACTGAATTAAATTGAATCAAACCCTAATCACATGGCATTTTTTAACTTAACTTGTGGAGAATTTTTGTGACACCATTTTTGCTTATGTGATAAAATACACAATTTCGCTTATCTCTATTGTTTAGATCTCTAGTATATACCATTAAATGGGGGCAAAAAAGTACAAGTTTCAACAATTTTTCAACATCAACCATTATCATCAAATTCTATCACAATCAAAATGTCAACAGCAACTGCTAGTGAAGAGATTGACCTGGGAGAAGATTATTATAACATTTTCGATATTACAGAGTCTCAAATTATCATCTTTGAATTCTTCAAGTATTGTCACATCAAACACAAAATCTTCAATGTATCAGAAATTGACTTCACTTTGTTTGAGAAATTCTTGTATGACACCTCTAGAACATCCTTTAAAAGTGATGTTGATAATGGCCTTCCTGAAAAAGAAAGAAAGTTGAAAATTAGAAATAGAAGAAAAGATTTCATTAAAAACCAAAAATTAATGTTCAAAAGTGTAAACATCCAATTGGGGACTATTATCAAGTTCAGTTCAGAGAATGAATCAATTAATGAGAATGAATCAATTGATGAACGTACTGATCAACAAAAGGTATACTTAGTTGACACTGAAAAATTAAAATCATTTACCAATTTGAACTTCAAACAAGTCTTTTTGAATTTTTTAAAGTCAAGATCCAAAATTTCAAATTATTATTTTACTAATGGATCAAAACAATACAGATTGAAGATAGAATTAGTTAGCTACTTACAGAATATACTTAGATCAAGAGAAGGGAACAATTATCTAAAGAATTCGGAAATTATTGTTAATTTTTCTTTTGACAAGATAATTCACCTATTGAACTTATTATACGTCAATGAAATCAAAGAAAATGAAAACAACAATGAAATTGAACATGAACAGTCATCAAATACAAATCAATTAGAGTCTGGTGATGTTGAAATGTCTATAGAGAAAATTATCCATAATGAAGAAGTTACTGATCTGCAAAATAAAGATTTAGCTGAATTAAAAAATAAAGAATTAGAATTAATTGTTTCACAACATGTTCAAGAAGCTAATGTAATTCTTGGTTCAACAACTAATACACCAAGTTCAGTAGATAATGTTAATGCTACCAATTCCATAACAAAGAAGAATCATCATAATGAAGAATTAGTTACTGATACAGAATCACAAAATAATGGTGTTATTGCAGCAGATTTAGCTGAATTAAAAAATAAAGAATTAGAAATTATTCCACAACATGTTAAAGAAGCTAATGTAATTATTGGTTCAGCAACTAGTAATACACCAAAATCAGTAAATAATGAAAAGTTCAGAGCTGAAACTGATGAATTAACCGAAGTTAAAACAGGTACCTCAAATAAAAGAAGCTTAAAAGATCAGGTAGATTATAAGAAAAAGCTTCAAAAAACGGTACCAGTACCTAAACCATTACCTTCATTTGTGACTGCAACAACCAAAGCGTCAAGACAAAGGGATTTGGAAAATGCTCGTCGTCGTAATAAATAAATAGATTTGTTTATTATACAAATCGGTGTCAATAATTCTGATACAGCTACTTAATTATCTAATATAAATATATGACAGCTTCTATTATCGATAATGTGAAATGTAAATACCTCTTATAAATAGTTTGAACGCAACTTTGATGGGAATTCAACAATAACATACGTGGTGTACCGAAAACCTCAATATTAATGTAATTCAATAGTAGTATTGGACCAGTTTCAATGTGACACATCATACAGCTAGAGCTATTGTTCCAGATAATACCTTTATGTATTTATATATATATATAACTTGATTCCTTATTCTCATACTCAGTATAGCAATTATACCTTTAATTCTTACCAAGTCTTTGACTTCCGAATCTAGTAGATTTAACATGATTCTCTTTTTCTCAAAATTCAAGTTCGTAATTGTTTAATTGATCTCTTATCATATTCCCTTCGTGTTCCTTTTGAGTCATTCAAATTAAATAAATCATTCATAATAATTTGAGGAAACTTTTCAAGGATATATGCTATATCTAATCATTGATACCATATCACTGATATTCATCTTTCATTAGTTCCAACACTCCAATAGATATATATTATTCTTCCTTTATATCATGATCTGTATATTTTTCCTTAGTTTCTTAAGATATAGTAAGTTTACCATATAACAGAATTAATCACCTCTTTATGTTTCATTTTCTTTCATTTCCTTTTAATTCCTGTGACATTAAATCTCATATTAGAGTTTTCACACTATTATTCTTTAATTTTCAAGCCTAATTTTCGTTTTTCAAGTAATCCTTCAGAAGATATCATCCTATAGTTTTGAGCTATACGGTTTCATGATATTTGATAAGAACAACAATTTATATCTATTAACAATAGATCAAACAAATAAGTTTTCAATAACAACATAATGATTGTAATAAATAAGCAAATATTCTTTGAACATAGCTTGACAAGATCTAATTAAATCAACATCTTTTTAAATCAGTCATGCTTATGCATATTCAATCTCTTTCACGAAAACTTGACCAAAATTGATAAGAACCAACAAACAGAAGGTAGAATGTCCACTGCCAATAATAATCTAGCTAATATTTAATTCCTCAGGATAATCATCTACATGATATCCTTCTTCATCTTCATGATAATCATCTTCATCTTCATCTTTATAATAATCTTCTTCATGATAATTTGGAAAATTACGTGCAAAATAACGTTCTTCACCACACGAGTAACGACGGAAATGTTTTCCACCATTATGATTTAATTTAATGTCTTTATTATCATCTTTTCCTGTTATCATCATTTTCCTATATTTCGGAACCTCCAGATCTATTTTCTGACCTATAAAAGCCTATACCTTTAGATCCTTGATCTCTCTTAAGTCCCCTAAACCCTCCTCTTATGCCACGTTGGTACCTCTATGGTTTATGGCGAGTACATATTGATCATTATTATGACTAAATGAAGCATTTGTACTAATCCAATATTTAACAGATTGATCTATGAGAGTTGTGTATGAAACAACTGATTTGAAATACCTTTAAAATTGTGTGATTTTAAAGTTAACAAATTAGAATTTTGGCTTCCCTGTAGATTAAGTTGAGCAAAAATTAACTATAAATTAAATACTGATGATAAATTTGGGCTGATTTTCTTCAGGTGTGTTGATGTAAGTTAGTCAACATAATGTGCTCTTAATCACAAATTAAACACTCTCCACTTGCCAATTCATTGAGTTTCGAAAATACCATATCAATAATACCTTGATAAGTTATATCATAACTTGAGTTTGGTAATTCATTTTCATACTTATTTTAATGTAGATCACAACTTCCAAGAATATATCATAGTATAAATGAGGAATTTTATCAGTATATATCACCAGCTGAATCAATTGATTATTTAGCAAAGGCTTGATCATTTTGTAAAGAATCAACCTTTTCCTTCAATATGCTTGATAATATGATATTCTTATCTATTTCAATATCATAAGTGGGCCTCATATTATTTCTTGTTGGTAATGCATTTTTTATTTAAACGTCCATTCCTTAAAAATACAGATTCCTAATTCTTGAACCATTAAGGTATAAAAGTTTTTGGTCGTTTGAGTTTAAAAATTAAAGAATAAATACTTTATTAACTCCTTTAGCTTTTTGTTTGCATTACCTGAATTGACTTCATAGTTATGAAAGCCACTTTGGTTGTTACTAACCATTGGAATTTTACCAGCAAAAAAAATTTAGTATTTAATTTCACCCCTGACAGCTAGTCAAACAAAACGTGTTCAAATCATTACTTTCTGGTCTTACACCAAACCTTGGATATAATCCATTACCTCCAACACTGTAACCACCTAATTGGTGATCAATTGTTCAAGTTCCTGACCCAAGAAACTGTTGAATTTCACCTCTTCCAACTTCAACGTCATCTTGATTTTTGATAATCTTGCCTATCAATCCTGCGATCTCTGTGACCATGTGTCTCTGGCCATTTGTTGTTGATGGAGGCGTTGAAAGGTTACAAAGTGCATTTGAAAACCTGATCTGGAGTTTTTCCTTAAAATCTGATTACGTCATCCCATACTTAATGTAATTCGCGATCACAATACGTAGCTAGTTACAGAGAGCCAGAATAGGTAGGGTTGGAACTCCACCTAGGTAGGGTTTGAACTCCACCTAGGTAGGGTTGTAACTCCACCTAGGTAGGGTTGGAACCCCACCGTCATAGAATAGGTAGGGTTGTAACTCCACCGTCTGCAGCACGCTTATCGGGGGATTCGCGAACAGTTCAAAGTTGATTTTGTGTCATGAGTTTTGAATATGAGTTTCGAATATGAGTTTCGAATAAGTGCATCAGTTTCGAATAACTGTCATGAGATTCGAATATGAGATTCGAATAGTTGTATTACTTTAAGTAGTTAAGCTGGAAAGCCCACGAAGAATTCAGAGTACACAGAAACTACACCTAACACCATTTCCATCATATCTACGCAAATGTATAATATCAAGTCCCGAGAGAAGAACTTAGTAACGTAGTGTTGTGTATTCGAGATTTGAGTTGAAAAACCACCGAGTGGCTTCCTATACTTTTGTAAAGCTGTTCTGTAAGATTATGAGCCTTCTTCTCTACTGCCACTTGCTTGAAGTATCAAACGAACTTTGGCGATCTTTGACTTCCAATATATCCAGCATCCATTTCAAAGCAATTGTCAGAAGACAGCATGTTACTTCATTTCTCATTTGAATCTTCCTATTTAGCAGCAGTATAAGTAATATCAGTGGCCAATAAAAAACCACAAATTTTTAGTTTTCAATTAAAATCAGTATTGAAAGGTATGACATATTCTGGAAATTGAATTTTCAAATCAAACAACATTTAACCCTTAAAATTCTTCTCATTCTGCTTCACGTGAAGATTTCAAATCACTGGAGAAAACAAAAACAATAACATATACCATATACCTTCAAAGAATCAGAACATAAGGTGATTTTTGATTAAAACAAGCTTTTCCGTGATCATGTAAAGTCATATGAAGAATAAGAATGGATTGAATACATCAATGTGCCACTAAATATCAGCTATGGAAGGATTGGATGTTGAAAGATTTTTAAACCATAACCCTTAAGTACCAGCATTTGGGAAGAATTCAGAAAATGGGAAGACTTTTCTTTAAAGTATGCACAGGATTTGGGAAGAATTCAGGAAATGGGAAGCATCATATAAGAACCAGAAGTTCGGAAGATCTCAGGAAATGGGAAGAGTTTGCTTAAGTATATTGTTCAGGGACCAGGAGTTGGGAAGATTTCAGGAAATTGAAAGAACAGGAAAACCCGCGAATTACCAATACACAAAACAATGTATAGTACACAAACACAAGCACTAAACACCATCTTCACGACAAACACACCAGTTCGTGATTTCAAGTTCCCATATTGAAAATTAGTATTGTAATGCTGGGTCTGCAAATCGAACGGTGCTACTCACTAACGCTATACACTTATGTGTTCAACATTACGCTCGTTTTTGCGGAAATTCCGTAATGGCTCCATCAGTAAACTCGCTACAACATCCCTGAGAGTCAGTACGCCTGCTCAAGCTTGTTCTCCTTCGAATGAGACTATACGTTCCTCACCATCTCCCATGGTTGCTGAGCTATTTCAAAAACGCTAAAATACAGGTTTTGAAATGCATTTGAAAAGCTGATCTTAGGTTTTCTGATAAAATCCGCGAACTGTCCATAGTACACAGAAACTACACCAAACACCATTTTCAACATAGCTACGCCAGATTCGAATATCAACTCTCGAGAGAAAAAATTTGTATTGTAATGTTGGGCCTGGCAATCGAATGGTACCATTCACTAGCTCCATATCATTAATGCCCCGATTTGGCGTCAAAAGTCGCGGGAAATCCTCAATAGTTCCACCAGTAAACTCGCTACAGCCATGCTGAGAATCAGTATACCTGTACAAAATTGTTCTCCTTAATATGACCCCATATTCTCTTCAACCGCTTGTCTCGTTGTTGAGCTATTCCAAAAAAACCCAAAACACAGATTTCAAAATGCATTTGAAAACCTGATCTGGAGTTTTTCCTTAAAATCTGATTACGTAAGATTCGCGAAACCTCGGAATTTAGATTGTCACGTGCTTACGACTAAATGTGGTTATTTATTCAGTCTATTACTTTAGAAATTACATCTCTCGTTGGGTACTGTTGATTGCTCCTTTGAAGGTTGTCTCTTTGATTTTTAGGACTGCTAATGCAGTCGTACTGTTTGACAAAAGCTTTTATCTGGTTGGTTTTAGGTTGATTGATTAAGCGAATTCCGACTTTTCAAGAATAATTTTCCCTGTCGCGATCTAGGATGATGAAAATGCCTTATAAATTGGTATCGTTACTTGTATTCGACTTAATGGATCAACCATATGTTGTGCTTTGGAACATTCATAGGTTATAAGCATAATATTTTATCAAGGGATATATTGAATGTCGGCTTGGATTTCATTTATTAAAGGGAAATTGCTGTCATTATTGTACCTCATGAAATTATGAATTCTTGCTCATATCAATGGAAATTCATCAATTTTAGTATCCAATACAGTCATTGCAAAACCTAATTGAAATTCAATTTATATATGCAAGAAGATAATTAATCTGATTACCATAGACCATATGTGCTGTTCATGCTGGTAAATTAGTTCAGGCCCTGATCCACCATTAATTGATACATTTGTTAAATTGGTTATTGATCAAGTCATGCGTTGCTTGGGGTACATTTGTGATTTATATTTTTTTACCATCAGGTTTCAATGGGTATATGCTGAAGGGTATGTTGATCCAGTATTAGGGTTGCATTTGGTTGGTGCTTTTTGTTATGGTATTTAACAAAAACTCCCGACTAAATTACATCAGGTGCTCTTGCTATTCATTATTGTATTAGTGGGAATGCTGTGAACCAGGGGAATTTGGAATACAATTATTACAATTTTGATATTATTAGTTCTATACAAGTGGAATTTTACATCGTTTACCAAGTTGATTTATTTGTTCTATTGCTTTAGGTCGATCACCAGAGCCAACCACCACCTACACCTCAATGTATCTGGACTACCGAAGACATTGATATTAACAGTACTTCAGATTTTCTTTCTTCAGTTACCAGAGAAGTCTCGCTATCACCATCATCATCATCATCAGGTGACTCAAATGCTTATGAACAAATTAATATAATATTTTATCCTGAAATAGTCGTAGTACCAGTCGAGTAATTCATTGGAGATTATATGAATATTATCTTGCAGCTAAAATTAACCGGCCATATATTGATTTAAATAAACTAGACGTAAAATATTAAAGGTACGATCTGTAAACTTTTAAATATATTTTATATTACGTTTTATTGTAAATTAATTATATAGAAATTATATATTATTTTCACTTCCATGTATTTATATATATATATATTAATGTTTTGATTGAAAAATGACAACAAATTAAATAATATTACAAGCTCCAGATCCATCATTAACCTAACAGGTACAAAAATTTACTGTAATAATATTCTTAAAGCTTCTTGATTGTTCTTATCATATTCTGAAACAACTTTCAATGTACCATTCCTAGAACCTGGTATTAAAACGTTATAATATGAGATTGCATGAATTGATATGCCCCAGTATATGGTAGTACTTCGAGTACATTGTAGATCTCTTTTTGAGCATCACTTTAATACTGTATGTGTAATTGTTACTTTTTTTAGCCAATAACCACAATGATATATTACCATTATCAAACTCTGTAACAAAAATTGAATCATTAATAATAGAAACACAATCCATAGTACTTTTCTAATGAAAAAATTTCATCATATGTATCCATAAAATCACTTAAATCATCTTTATTCGTCTTAATCTTCTTCTTTTTACCATTTCACAACCTCTAGATGTTGATTTGATTTAATCATCTGAATTTTTCCAAAGCATTGTAAGTTCTGACTTTTAAATCAATATATGAAGCATATAATTGTTCAAGTTCTAACCCAAAACATCCACCACGACGATCAGGGGTATCTAAAGCTCTTAATGGAGCTAATGATTATATTTAGTCCAAATCCATTAATCTTTCAGATTTACCACCTATAACGACATACTTCCCATTGTTCTTTGGTTCATTTGAATTTTGTTTAATTCTTCGTGGTACTTTCCTTTTAAAATCTTTGATATATCCAATTTGATTAGCTTCATATCTTTAAAAACTGTGTATTCATTTGGGAATCGTATTGAAATACCAGTTAGATTGCTCTATTGATCCTCATTTTGTTATTGTTGGCTTGATATCAGATAGTAACAACTTATCAGTGATGAATCTGCAGATATGGTGGCCTTTTGTTTCATCAACATCTTTATTATCATCTCCTGTAAATTCTTAAGCATCATTTTATGGAAAGTCACACTAAAAGTCTGATCATAATACACAGGATTGATATGAATCTATTGACGATTCATCGTGTAATCACATTTCTTATTTTTAAGTTTGATGGAGCTACGTAGAATAAAAATTGTCAGCGGCTAATTAATTTGTGTATAAAAAGACCAAGATTTCCCACTAAATTTTTTTGCCACTTTTTTTTTGTTTCTGTTTCTGATAAATTTGAGATCGAAATTTTATTAAGGTTCCTGCTTCTATATTTATGGCCTTTCGTATTGAATCTTATATTGTTTCTGAAGAATTCTTTTCTTTTTGCTGATCAGTACAGCGGAGGTTTTATTTGAGGCTCGTTGATAAAAATTTCTTGTATTTGGGTAAAGAAAACTTGGAACCATAGTTGAAATGCTAGTTATAAACAAGGCTTCACATGGGATTCATAGATTCAATAAACACAAACATCACAATGAATTTGAAACTGAATTTGATTCTAATTCAATTCAATTGTTGATTTCAATTGATTTGATTTATATTTATAATTTTGTAGTACTGATAAAACTTCACACCAAGTAAATTATTTGCCACGTACTGCTATCATGGTTGTTATGCTCAAATTAAGAAACATTATTACACGCATTAATGAAAGATGCACCTTATGCACCAATGAATTATGGAAAGGATTAAACGATTGAGCTTGAATTTTATATTCACCTTTCAGTCTCAAAGATCTCACCACTTCAACTGAATTGACTAATTATCAAGATTATGAGACGTATGTCAAGCTGGATTGAAGTTTTAATCAAAGGTAGAAGCTTAATAGGAAATGGAGCTTCATATTGAGAAGCAGTTACATCTACAATTAATTCAAAATAAAGGTTGCAGAAAGTAAATATAGTTTAAGAAGTTGGTATGTTCAAATTAGCTTACAATGAATCAAACAGATCAAGTAAGTTTGAAGGGATTGAAGTAAGGGATCTAGAATGGATATTAAACAAGATGTAGTCATCATCCTACGATTTTACATATAGAGTATTTAGTCTACTGTATTTACATATTATATCGTCGATTGTCAAATTTCAAACCCAGAGGAAAAAAAATAGAATCATGATATAATTTTGTTGGTCAGATTTCTTTTTACACTTCTAGTACCACTGGATCCAGTTCTTCCTCTTATTATTAGTTGCTTAAGACTTTTATTTTGGATCTGATGATTGAATTATCTAATGCTGTTCAGTCTTCTGTAAAGGTATTGGGATATACTGATGCACATATATTTTGACATGATCCTTTACCCCACATCATGCTTTTAAACCTGATTCCTGAATTAATCAGTATCCCAAAAAATACCTTCAATATACGTATTAATGATCTCCTTTGTTTAGCTCCTGTTTATTGAAATTATTTATATAAAATTAATATATGAAGCTATATAGAAATTAGTAAGCTGTATTATATTAACATGGAATATGTTATATATATAGTGATTGATATTCAAATTCAAATTTAATTAATACAGATCACATTTTGATTGTTCTTTAGCTAATATAATTATCATGATATTTAACTGTACTTTGATGTTTTGACTTAAATTGATATTGTAATTGTGAAGAGAATAGATTAATATTGTAATGTAATATGAGATGAGCCCAAATTGAAGTTCTGTTACTTTGATTATCTTAGTACGTCACAGCTATGTGGTTGATTAAGTGGATATTTATCGACTTATTAATTGAAAATTTGTAGTTTCTTGTTTCAATTAAAGTTAATTTAAATTTCAATGCGGGTTATCCACAGCGGCTATTAATTTCATGTATAAAAAGACCAAGATTTCCCACTTTAATAAATACGTCGTTTAATTTGAATTTCTAATTTGGGTTGAATTTCATATTAAAAATACTCCATACATATTCATGAGCTTGTATGGATCTTAATTATATTTGATGATTGAGTATCCTGCATATATCTCGGTTTTTGCTTTTCATGGTCCAGCTTATATAGATGTTACTGAACATCTATGATATAATTCGTTGGTCCAAATTACTATTTGGGTAAAAAGAACTTGGAACCATAGTTGAACTGTCTACAATTACAAACTTCACATGGTATTCATACATTCAATAAACACAAACATCACAATCAGTTGATATTGATCTGAATGATCGATTCAATAAATATATGTTGATGTAAATCTAGTGATTTTGTTTATTCATCATTTAAGTTTTGTAGAGTAAAACTTCGCAACGTCGACATTAATTAAAATTAGATTTGCCACTGCTATCAGGGTTGTGAGGCCATTATTAAAGAAACTTCATTATACATGCTTAAGGTGTACTGTCAACAAGGAGCTATGGAATGGATTAGGCTTTCGGGGAATTTTATATTCATCTTTCAGTCTTAAAGATCTTACTACTGATTTGATATAACGTCTAATTATCAAGATTATGAGAAGTATGTGAATCTGGATTGAAGTTTTAATCAAATTTGGTATAAACTTAAAAAGAAATAGCTCCTTATATAGAGAAGGTAATCATTATTTTAAGATGTTACATAGAGTATTTAGTTTACTGTCTATACATTTTATATCAATTGTAAAATTTCAACACCAAAGGAAAACAACTAGAATCATGATATAATTAACTGTTGGTCAGCTAACCTATCAACTCCAGCTTCATTGGTGCTAAATACACTTGATCTTTTTCTTCAACTAGAACTTCCTATTACACTTTTAGTTTCACTCGATCCTCTAGTTCTTCTTGTTAACATAGTTGTTTGAGACTTCCACTTGTAATGCAATAATTGAAATCTAATCCAATGCTGTTCAGTCTTCTGTATATAAAGGTATTGACACATGTTGACACATTGAAATATCCTTTACCCCACATATTGTTCTCCTTATATACTTGAACCTCAGTATCGGCCAAAGATTTGAAATTGATCTTGATACTGGTAGTATTACAATTTGTGTAATGATAATTAGAGAATGAGTTAATATTGTAATACATGAGATGAATTACCCATTGAAGTTCTGATACTTTCACTATCTTAGTACGTCACAGGCAGTTGAATTGATATTTATATATATCTTATTATAAGTTGAAATTAATTCGTTAATAATTTCTTGTTTTGAAATATCGTATATTTGACTTTTCAAATATATATACGCGGGTTATCGACAGCGGCTAAAATTATTTTGCGTATATATATAAAAAGACCAAGATTTCCGGCCACTTTTAAAATATAATTTGAATTTTCGCTTTTCTTTAATGATTAAGTGATTTTAAAATTTTTTGCTGCTTCTTTAAGGTTATTAAAGCAGCTTTTACATATTTCTTTATATTAATACTGGTTGGTTTAATTATGTAGCTTTGGGTTTGATTATTTATATCAGTTGAGTTAAGAGAACTTGGAACCATAGTTGACTGTTTACAATTAACAAACTTCACATGGATTTCATATAGATTCAATAAATTACACAAACATCACAATGATTTTGAATCTGATTTTGATTCTAATTTAATTCAATTGTTGATATTATATTTTTAATTAGATATTCATTTTGTAGTTGACAAAACTCCTTAAATTGATCCCCTCCCCTGTAAAAAGAAGATACTAGTAGTATACTAGTGCTCTTCAACATAATTAACTTCAACGCAAAACAATCTTGATAGAATATACAGAGTACTAATAACAATTGCAAGATATAGAAATGTGGATGATAGATTATCAACAACTCTTAAAATCCATAAGTACTGATCAACAAAATTGATAACTATTAACTAATTTAGACGTATGAATTATTTGGTACTGAACAACTGAACAGCTAATACAAAACTGGTGCACGCCACACATTTATGTTGAGGTGCACCTACCATCTCAAAATTCAAAAAGCTCTGATTTCTACAAATTACTTGAAAGAAGATTGAAGTGTATTAAGAAGTGGTGGTTGGATTGATGAAGTGGGAACATACTCAGCTTCTATATGGAAGGAGATTGGTTAGCTATATTATGTATGTGGTTTTACAAGATTATTTGGAATCAAGTTTCCATCATACCTCGTTAATTCTTGCATCTTGAATCTGGAAATATTCCCAAATTGGGTTTTGTACAATAATGCTCTCATTGAATCTTTCAAATGGGAAATGTCATATTATACTTTAAGTTACAATCAAAATTTCAATAATGAATAATGTACTCATGAATCAAGTGCAGAAAATATTCAATTTGAATAAAAAATTCTTATAAATTCAAGTTTGAATCCATTTAATTTGTTTACTCTTACCATTCACTTTTAAATCAACATCATCAAGCTATCGTTAAATTATACTACAATTAGAATTATAACTACAATGATTGAAACAAGAAGTAAAACTAAAGCTGCTAGAGCTGCTAAAGCTATCAACACCAAAAACAAATCAACTGAACAAGTCCATAAGAATACTACAATCAAAGTTCTTAAAGCACGTGAAAAGATCTTTTTAAAACTTAAGAAGAATGATACAAATTCATCAGGATTAGAATATCTTGGATCAGTTCAAAGACAAAGAATCCTTTTAAGGTTTAAAAATCCAAATTATCATCAAATTGCTGCTAATGGTGATTGTTTATCAAATGCTACTGCTGGAAAATTGAAAACTTTATGAATACATATATGCTATTCCATTAAACAAAATCATTTAAATACAAGACCTTAAATACTTAGATTTGATGATTTATAAAGATATTAGATACAATCCAGTGCTACATGGCTGTTCAACTACTGATGCTGATTTGAAGAACCTTACAAGAATCAAAAATATCTCAGCTTTTTGAGGCTGATGAGTATAACAATTGTTCTCCACAAATACCGCACATGGTCAAACACGCTGATTATCAACACCTTTTTACTATATAGACTTGGACATTAAGAGATTAACTAGAATAAACCTTATGAATTATTGTTACTTCTTTGTAGATATCTGTAGGTCTTGACTCTTCATATTACTGCCCTAATAAGGAAATTATCAAGATTAGAAGCCCTACGCGATGATAACATTTTCTGCTGTAATCACAAAAACATCCACAATAGTAAGAAGACAGCCGCCAGGAACAACGAAAAACAGTAAATTAAGCTGGGATACTTCATCCTAGGGGAAACCAGTCTTGAAAATCATGATGAAGTACTCAGTTAATTATAAAACTTACTCATTAATAGCTTTTCAAAGAGGTTCAATTACTCACACTTGACTTTTTGTGATTATTATGTGATTTGTGCCACAATTCTAGTATAGGTGTACATGAAAAAATTTTAACCTTCAACTCAAACAAACACAATTGGAGCCTAACTGGTTGGTGCCTTGGACCCTCAGCAACCAACATAAACAGATTGCCACACTGAAGATCAAATCGACGTTGAGATATGTGTCGGTATTAGTACTTAAGCTTGAACGTTTGCACAATATGTTTATTTATTGTTTATTGTTTATCCAGAGTTTACTTTCAAATATAATCGGACTCCAAATATCAAAATGTCCACTGATGTTGAATCAAATAAAGAGAAGAATGATTTATTAATCCAAAAAGTTGAATCATTAAATTCAAATCAAGCTCATGTTGATGAAAAAGATGCTGATGCTACTTTAAAATTCTTGGAACAATATGGTGATAAAGTAACTGAAGATATTACACCAACAATAGAGAAAAAAATTAGAAGAAAATTATACATTTGGTTAGTACCATTATTGATGACTATAAATACAATGTTATTCTTGGATAAATCTGTCTTATCTTATGGTATTTTATTAGGACTTTTCGAATCAACAGGTATAAGTCATAAACAATATAATGATTTAAATTCAATTTTTTATGCTGGTTATTTTTTTGGTCAAATTCCATTACATTTTTTTTTACAAAAATTTAATTTTGCTAAATTTGTTTCATTAATTTTATTTTCTTGGGCTATATTAATTTTTCTTACTGCTACTGCAAATAATTATGGTGGATTAATTGTATTAAGATTTCTTTTGGGGTTTTTTGAAAGTATTGTTATACCAGCTATTGAAATTACATTATTACAGTTTTTTACTCCAAAGGAACGTGCAAGTATAAATCCATTATTTTGGATTAGTTCTCAAGGTCCAACTGAAATTCTTGGTGGGTTTATTTCATATGGTTTATTACATTTGAAAAATCCAGTCACACCACCATGGAAATTATTTATGGTTATTGTTGGTGGTTTAACATTATTAAATGCAACTTGGTCTTTTTTCATATATCCAAGTAATCCATCAGATGCTAAATTTTTAACTATTGAAGAAAGAGTTCATTTAATTAGAAAAATTCAACATGCTACACATTCATCAATTGAACAGAAGACAATAAAGAAACATCAAATTATTGAAACTATTAAAGATCCATTAACTTGGTTATTTACTTCTTTTGGTCTTTTAAGTATGATTCATAATAATATTATGTTTCAAGCAAATATCTTATATGAAGCTATTGGTGTGGAAAGATTAGGTATAACTCTTATAGGTGTTGTTGGTGGTTGTTTCGGTTCTGTTTATTTATTATCTGGTGTTTTCTTAATTCGTTTCTTAAAAGAAGGTCAATTAATTGCAATTTTATATGCTGGTATTCCAGCTCTTGCAGCTTCTTTAGGGATGGTTTTGATACCATGGGATAAATCAATTCCATTGATTGCAATGTTATTATTAACTCGTACTTTCGCTTTGGCATTTATTGTTGTTGTTGGATGGTCAACTTCATCAGCTTCAGGTTATACTAAGAAATTTTATAGAAATATCTTTTTCATGTTTGGTTATTGTGTTGCAAATGTTATTTCACCACAAATTTGGACAGAAGGTAAAGGAAATGAATCACCAAGATATTATACTGCATGGAGTATTCAAATTGTTATTTCATTCTTCATACCACTTGTTATTGCAGTTATAATTCATGTTATTTTGAAAAAACGTAATAATGAAAGATTGAAATATATTGAAGAAAATCCTGATGCTCAATATGGTCAGGTTGTTGTTACTGATCCTAATACAGGTGAACAAGTTATTGAAAAAGTTGAAATTGCTAATTTGGATTTAACAGATTTAGAAAATAAGACTTTTATATATCCATTATAGATCATAGTGTATATTATTTATTGATAAATTACTAGCATTATTTAGTATATAAATTTGTAATATATAACGGAATTCAACGGACCTGATAAGCTACACCGGCTAAATCAGGATTATGAATCTTGCCACAACTGACGTAGGCGGGATAATCGAGATAAGTATACATATTACATACATACTACCATGAAAGTTGAGCCGATAATCCTATCCGATAATGAAATACGACATGTATGTAATATGTAATATGTCAATCCACAGTTATCATGCCTCACTTTATTGGGTTAATGAAGCTTTCAAGATAAACATAACCAACCACAGTTTAAGATCGAATATGATACATTCAAAAGATGTGTATTAATTGACTGTTGATTTTCGTATAAATAAGCTTCAATCTCTTGGTATTTTGGACCGTGGTACTTATTATCAAAACTAAATCTCAACTTGATCTCAAATTAGGAACCTAGTTAATCAATCTCATTTGTACAAAATGTCAGATCTTGAATCTAATAAAGAAAAACTCCATATTACATTGGAAAAAATTGATACTTTAAATTCCAATAAAGCTCATGTTAACGGTTCGGAAGCTGATACAACTTTGAAATTCATTAACCAACATGCACATCTTGTAACCACTCCATTAACACCAGAAAGTGAACAACGTATAAGATGGAAGTTATTCATTTGGTTAGTTCCTTTATTAATGTTGATTAATACTATATTATTCTTGGATAAGAGTGCCCTATCATATGGTGTATTATTAGGTTTATTCCAAGATGTTAATATCACAACTGATCAATATAATAATTTGAATTCAATTTTTTATACAGGTTATCTTTTGGGACAAATTCCAATGCATTTTATATTACAACGTTTAAATTTTGGGAAATTTATATCAATAACTTTATTTATTTGGTGTATTTTAACATTTTTAACTGTATTAGCTTCAAATTATGGTGGGCTAATTGTTTTGAGGTTTTTATTAGGTTTTTTTGAAAGTATTGTTTTACCAGCTTTGGAGATCACTTTATTACAATTTTTCAATGCTAAGGAACGTGCCATGATTAATCCAATTTTTTGGACAACTTGTGTTGGACCATCAGTTTGGATTGGTGGGTTTATATCATATGGTTTATTACATTTGGAAAGTTCAATTTCAAATTGGAAAATTTTCTTAATAATCATTGGTGGATTAACTTTATTAACTTCAATATTATCATGGTTTATTTATCCAAGTAATCCAGCTGAAGCAAAGTTTTTAACAATTGAAGAACGTGTTCTTTTGATTAATAAAATTCAAAACCAATCAAATTCATCTATAGAACAGAAAAAAGTTAAACCTTATCAAATTAAAGAATGTTTTAAAGATCCTATAAGTTGGTTATTTTTGGCATTTGCATTAACATCAATGATTATGAATAATATAATGTTTCAAGCAAATATTTTATATGAATCATTAGGTGTTTCAAATTTAGGTTCAACTTTAGTTAATGTAGCAGGTGGTGGATTTGCCACGTTATACCTCATTGGTGGTGTTATATTCATTTATAAAGTTAAAAATTCCACAGCTTGGATTATCTTAATTGGTGCAATTCCTGGTTTAGCAGGTTCAATTGGTATGGTTACAATTCCTTATGATAAAAAATTAGCTCTTGTTGCATGTTTGGTTCTTGCAGGTAATACATTTGCATTATCATTTATAGCAGCAGTTGGATGGTCAACTTCAACAGCTTCAGGGTATACCAAGAAATTTTATAGAAATATAATGTTTATGTTTGGATATTGTATTGCAAATATTATATCACCACAAATTTGGAAAGGAAATCAAGCACCAAGATATTATCCTGCATGGGGGATTCAAATTGTTATAAGTTTTTTCATACCTGTTGTTATTGGATTTATTATTCATATTATTTTGCAAAAAAGAAATCAAGAAAGATTGAAGTTTATTAAAGAAAATCCTGATTCAAAATTTGGTCAAGTTATTATTAATGATTTAGAAACTGGTGAAGAGATTATTGAAAAAGTTGAGATTGCAAATTTGGATTTAACTGATTTGGAAAATAAAACATTTATCTATCCATTATGAATATATAATATTGAGTGTTTTCACTTGGATTTTAATACATTTGTGTGTAATATCTGTAGTTCCTTAAATCGTATTTGTATAAGACTATTTTATCAAAAAACCATTGACCTTGAAAACATGGTTAGGAGTTTGTACAATTTTGAGCCCAGTTGACTGAGTATTTCATCGAATGAAATGAGCTTAATTAGTCACACGGCTAATTTTAATCAGATAGTATCATCACAAAGAACTAACTCTAAGATAATAACGGTTAGAATTATCCCCAATAAGTCATAACCAAACAACCAACCGCTTTCCATAAAAAAGATCTAAATTCAAAAGAAACTTAACCATAAAAAAAACAGCTCATAAACCATTATTTCAAAAAGGGCGTAAATTGAATCAGCAAGTCATGGTTCAAAAGGTATTCGCATTGTACTAGACGATCTAGTGACTATTCACTGTTCAGTATCCGTACGGACTTTTATCTTGCTCATGTAATAAAAAGAAATCATGGTTGCAACATTCAAGTACTTCAAAGTTCAAACGGAAACTGCAATTTCCAACGTAGAAGTTGTAGAAACTTGAAAGAAGCGCAGAACTTATAGATCCCCTTATAAAAAACCTTCTTTAAATTGTAGCGGGAATTTCCTTTTGTAAAAACAATTGAAAAGAGAACTAGTCTTGCAAATGAAACAATTAATCATGTTTAAGTCTTCCCTGACAAGATATAATGAGCATATAGTCCATAAAATCCAGAATTAAAGACTAATATGACAATATATGGCAATATTGTGAACAAAAAAGAATCATTTTTAAGAAGAAATGTCGAATATAAGTGAGTTTTAACGTCATCTTTTCTTTAATTGTTGATCATAAGTCATAAAAGTTAGAGCACAGCAGCACAGCAGCACAGTATAGGGAATCAAATGAGTCTCATGGGTCAATTTCAATCCATAAAACAACCTTTGTGGTACTTGTATATGATGAGATCAACCATATTCCTTCGTAAACAAAGCTGTCAATGAATACGATCAACATGGATCACAGAATCACAAATCATATATCCTATATTACCCCTGTAATAATCAAAGAGCTAATATGAGCTAAAGCCTAAAACCAACTCTTTAAGCCCTAATTTAGTTGTAATTACCATTATATCAACATGATAGATTAAGCGGCCAGTCAAATTATGTACCCTTAGGGTTACCAATTAAATCCATTCCAGAGTCATGAGACCATTCAACACAACAACGAGTTCAGCCCTTTGATCCACCATCAATGTCACCATCATCACCATCACCGTCACTATCACCACCAACTGATCTTCCCCTTCATCTAGTCAATGAAAATAATCACTAAGAAATAACTGAAAAGTAAATACTCTTGTCTTTATTTACCCAATAAATTACTTACTGTGCTTAGTCATCGCAAAATGTCCTAGTCTCCATGGTCTTATGGGTCTTAATTATATGGATATACGCGGTTAAAACTCCAATTTAGTATAATAAGACCGTTACTGGCGGTCTCGTAGTCCCATTTCGTTTCATTAGCTGGACTGCAAGAGACTTCCAGACTCCTGTCAAATTTAAAATGGTCTTGCTAGAGCTAATTAGCTAGTAAAATTTAGTTCCGCAGTTTTAGAATGAAAAGAATTCTTACTAAATGAATTGTTGCCTTTTGACCAATTAAAAGACGGCAATAAAAACACCTACAAGAGTTTTAAACCCTTTTTAAACCTGCTGCATTTTGTTCAATCTCGTTTATATATTTAATCAGTTTCGTATATTCTTTATTATACTATTTAAAGTCTCAGGATTCCCAGCTTATTCACATAACCACCAAGGTGTCAAAAATCAAAATTACCACCTAAATTAAAACATCCAGACGCTAGTCCCAAAATTATCTGAATCTTTGAGACTGGGTTGATTAAATAATCAAATTATTAGGACTAGGATTAGAAAGAAAAGTTTGGTACAATTGTTTACAAAACAACCAATACAACCAAAAGAACTATTTTTTTCAAGTTTATACTCATCTTTTAAATTTATCAATTTGAAGTACGTTAAAGACCATCTAGTCACAATATTCAAGTACTAGTCATAGGTCCAACTAACTTCAAATAAACAATCAATTAAAACACTATGGTTACTGCTAAAGAAGTCCGTATCATTGCCCTTTTGGTAATTGATACTATTTTTTTCCTTTTAGAAGTCATCATTGGTTATGCTGTTCATTCTTTAGCTTTAATTGCTGATTCTTTCCATATGTTGAATGATATTTTTTCATTAATTGTTGCATTATGGGCTGTTAGAGTTAGTACACAAAAATCTGCTGATGCTAAATATACTTATGGTTGGAAAAGAGCTGAAATTCTTGGTGCTTTAATTAATGCAGTTTTCCTTTTAGCTCTTTGTTTTTCAATCTTAATTGAAGCTATTCAAAGATTAATTAGTCCTTCTGTTATTACAAATCCAAAATTAATCTTATATGTTGGTACTGCTGGGTTAATTTCAAATATTGTTGGTTTATTCCTTTTCCATGAACATGGTCATTCTCATGGTGGTGGTTCAAGTGGTTCTGATCATGGTCATTCTCATGGTAATTCAAATGATGAAGAAAATTCAGTTGGTGCTGTTCTTCCAGAAAATATTGTTAATAATTATGATAATGAACGTACTACATTATTGAAAAAGAAAAATTCAACTTATTTAAATGAACCTTTCCAACAAAATGATTATCATTCAACTCCAAATGAACATCATTCTCATGATCATTCCCATGGTGATTCTCATGGTGATGAAGAACATTCACATTCAAAAGCTCCTAAAAAGGGTAAATCTTTAAACATGCATGGTGTTTTCTTACACGTTCTTGGTGATGCTTTAGGTAATGTTGGTGTTATCTTGACTGCTTTATTTATCTGGAAAACTGATTATTCATGGAAATATTATACAGATCCTTTAATTTCATTAGTTATTACTGCAATCATTTTCTCAAGTGCCTTACCATTATGTCGCAGAGCTTCAAGAATTTTATTACAAGCTACTCCATCAACAATCTCTGCAGATTCTGTTCAAGATGATGTTTTAAAAGTTGAAGGTGTTGTCTCTGTTCATGATTTCCATATTTGGAATTTAACTGAAGATATATTTATTGCCTCTCTACATGTTGAAGTTGATGCTTCTCCAGAAACTTTCCTGGTAATTGCATCCTCCATTAGAGCCGCTTTACATAATTATGGTATCCATTCTGCCACTGTTCAACCTGAATTTATTGGTGAAAATAATTTATCATCTGAAGCTTATCAACAATTTACCAAAATTGCTGGTGGAAAATATTCAAGAAATAATAGTTCTGATGCTATAAATAAAGTTCCAAATCCTTCAGCTTATGGTGCAAACTCAAGTGATCAATGTATTATTGATACTGCTGTTAATTGTAATACAAATGAATGTTTGGAACCAACAAAATAGAGTTTCCAAATATTAAAGATCCATATATTGAATGATAGAAGTTTAATTTTCCAACTACACAAAATGAATCATACCTACACCCACACTCCCTTTTAATATTAATACATTATATATTTGTAATTTTATGATTATTCTAATGATATAAGAAAAAGAAAACTAATCTGATTTCTTCAAGACCCTGTAATTAACCATGTACTAAATAAAAATGCCACAATAAGGAAAGCTATATCAACTTTATCAATAAATTGTGAGTTTGAATCATTTGCATCTTTTAGTATAATTGAACTATTGGTATTGATTGTTTCACTAACTGTAACTCCACTATCACCATCTTTTTTATTATTATTAGCTTCACGATCAATATATGATGCAACTTCCGTAATTAAATTTGTATCAAATGTATTAACATCACCATATCCAAACCCCTGGGAGGCATCCCAAAACATGACACCACCAAATTTTGTCTTTAATTCTTCATCTGACCAAACTTCTTGCATTTTGGTTAATATAGTTTCTTTATTAGCAAATCCCATTTGTGCAGATTTAGAATTTGCAGGTAATCCAATGAAAATATCTGTATGTTTATAATTTAATGATTCAATATGTTTTGACCAAATATCAAAATTAAAATCTTTATTTAAATTACATTCATTATTATAAAATTGAACAAATAAATGATCTAATTCAACTTGTTCAATCAATTCATTCATACTAACATCTGGGAATGTACATTGTGGAGCTGCAGTGAATAAATATTCTTTTGAATCATCTTGTGATGCATATTTCTTCAATTCTTTAGCTAATGTAACTAATCCTGTTTGATCTTCATTTTCTAAATCAAAATCAAATCCATCTATAGTTGCATTACCAAATGGTCTATCACTCAAGGGAAAATTTGGATCATTTCTTGAAGCAAATGAATTCCACAATATTTTCGCAAAATCATAAGCTTCTCTTTCTGAATTAAATCCATAATCACCTTGTTCACCACCAAGTGATAATAAAACAGTCTTATTTAAACTTTGACAATATTTGATATCAACTCCAACTGTGGTACAATTGGGTACTGTTTTGGATTGATCATTTGCTTCATGGTAATTACATTCATTTGCTAAATTCAATTCATAACCATATTTACTCTTTTTAGAATTTGGGAAATCATTTAAAAATGAAACAAGAAATATATCAACTGAATCTGAATCACAATAATAACGTAATGGATTTTGTTGTTTAGCAGATGCTTGACCCCAATAAACAGCGGTTTTACCTTGATATTTTGTGGTTAGATTTGATGATGATGAAACATCTTCATTTTTGGAAATTTGATAGCTAAATACCAAGCTGGGAAGCAACAGATAGACGATATATTTTAGCATTTTCTGATTATACTTGTATAAATAATAGTGTACTTTTTAGTGAGAAGTATCATTGTATCTTTATGAGTGACAAATAGATCTCCTTAAATATAAAAACCCATCATTGAGAGAATTCTTGATGTTCTCATTAATATATTCTCATAATTATCAGGACCAAACATTAAAACAAGAAGAGCCACTAAGCAGCCAAAAAAAGTTCTCAATTATCCACATCATCTCCTTCAAAATCCCATCCACTAGCTAATGAACCAGCAAAATCCATTGTTCATCGGCTTTTGTACCATTAACATCTTGTGACTTGTTTGTTGTTGTTTTGATCTTTTGATTTGAGAGACGCGAACTTTTTTGTCTCAGAGGCACAGCTCTGAAAATTCGGCTGCGCATCAACACTAAAAATTTATCAAATTTAGTGATACTATCAACCAAAATAGAAGATATTTTTGAGATTTGGTGGTCCTTGTTGATATTTGGAAAAATATTCAGTGGTTTCTGAGGTTTATTTTCCAGTTTTTTGCAGTTCATAATGGTGAGGTGGGACAAGAGAAGAACGCGTATTGTGCTCATCAGTATCTTATCAAGTATAATCATCTTCAGTTCAATCATTGCTGTGAGGAATAACCATCATAAGGCTGCTATCGAGTATTTAGATAAGATCACAAGGTTGAAAGTGCTACAGACATTGTATCCAGATCAGTATTTCAATAAGGATAATTACACGGATTTCCAGTTTTTAGATCCAAGTACTTTTAATATCATAAGACCTAAATTAGATGAAGAACAAAAAGAGAATGGAAATGACAATGAAGCACAATCACCAGAATATGAACGTGAGAATGCAAGTTTCTTCTCTCTGGTGAGAAATGAAGAATTGCATTTAATGTTACAATCAATCAATTATGTAGAGGAAAGATTCAACAAGAAGTATAATTATCCATGGATTTTTGCAAATAATGTTCCATTTAGTGATACTTTTAAAAAGGAAGTTTCAAATCTTGTGAGTGGTAAAACTACATTTGTCACTATACCAAAAGAATATTGGTCATATCCTGAATCAATTGATCAACTTCGAGCTGCAGAGACTCGTGAACGAATGATTAAAGAAAATGTTAAATATGGTGGTTCAGAATCTTATAGACATATGTGTCGTTTTAACTCAGGGTTTTTCTATAAGTTGAAAGAATTACAAAATTTGAAATATTATTGGAGAGTTGAACCGGATATAAAATTTACTTGTGATATAAATTATGATCCATTTAAATTCATGAGAGAGCATAAAAAGAAATATGGTTTTACAATGGCTTTACATGAATTACATAGAACTGTTTATGGGTTATTAGAGGCAACAAAGGAATTTTTCCATGAAAAACATCCAGATTATATTGCAAAGGATAATACAATCGGTTTCATAACTATGGATAATGAAGAAACTTTTAATATGTGTCATTTTTGGTCAAATTTTGAAATTGGTGATTTAGACTTCTTAAGATCAAAACAATATGAAGAATATTTCCAACATTTAGATTCAAAAGGTGGGTTTTTCTATGAAAGATGGGGTGATGCACCAATTCATACTTTTGCAGTTGCTTATATGTTGAATAAAGAAGAGTTACATTATTTTGATAATACTGGTTATTATCATGTTCCTCATACTCAATGTCCGAAAACTACTGAGAAAAGAGAAGAATTACGTTGTATTTGCTCTCCAGGGAAAGATTATAATTGGGGTAATAGAGATAGTTGTTTACCTCATTATTATGATTCAATTGGTGAGCCAAGACCTGCTTTTGCTCCAAGAAAAAATTATATTACTGAAAAGGAACATCCTTTCAAAAAGAGAGAACTTGAGCAAGATGATACAATAGAGGAAAGAGATTTTGACGATGAAGAAGATAACGATGATTATGAAGACTTCACAGAGTGATTAGCTTATAGACATTATATAAAAAAAAGTACATTTGAATAATTATATATAATACAAGATATATTAGTTTATGCGTTTTGCATATTCATTATAGAGTTTTTGTTTTCTGGCATAATGTTCATTTCATCATAAATCAATGGTATAATTTGTACATGGGTGTTCAATAGTTCACCATTCAAGTTGTTCGGCCCAGCGTACACTTCTTTTCGTGTTAAGTTCTTTGGCTTTTGTTTTCTTTGTTGGTGATGTTGAATTACTTTGTGGTTTCATAATTTTGACAGGTGAATGTTTGGGATTGAAATATTTCTTGTAATCAGCTTCTGAATAAAAACCTAATCTTCTATTGGAACTGGTGTTTCCCTTTATGCCATTTGATGATAATTTCAGTAAATAACCACGAACTATTGCAGTTTTAGGTGTTTTAGTTCTTTTGGGTCCATTAACTGGTACTGTCACTTGTTCATTTATTGTTTGGGGTATTGGAACTCCTTCACCATTCGATGCATTTATTTCAGTTGCATATTGTGTTGCATCATGTAATTTACCCGTAGAAGCATCAACAATGAAATTAAGTGAATTTTCAGATTTGATTCGTAAAATTGGTATTGGATTTGATTTTGAATTTAATGATTTTGGAGTACATACATTTCTATCATTTATATGAACTGGTATTTGATTTTCCAATCGTTTAGATCTTCTCACTTCGTTAACTAATGATGCTGGCAGTGGTATTTTACTTTTACTTCTCTTAATACTATTAGTTGATGATTTCTTGGTTGGTGTTGAATTTGATTCAATTTTATCATTGACTTTTGAAGATCTAATGATTTCTGGTGTTTGTAGCACCTCTTCATGATCTATTATATCAGCTGTTTGATGTTTGAAATCATAAATAGGAAATTCTTCCAAGGAAAATTCAGCATTCTTGTCTTTCGGAACGGTTGGAATGTTCATAGTAACATCTTGAAAAATTGGAAATTTCATTAATGGTGAATCTTGTATTCCCAATGTATCTAGCTTCATATCAGTGCTATCATTTGATATATTGTGTGCTTGTTCCTCTTCTTCCTCTTCTGTGCTGTCTTCATCAGCTTCTTCAATATCTTCTTTACCGATTTTTTGAGCTATAGATTCAAATTCTTCAAATCTTGGGAACTCGATGAGTTCTAAATTTAAGGCATCTAATGTATTTGACTTTTTGATGGTGGAAGGTATTGGTGATTCTATTATCCCTTGTTCCTTATTCACTTGATTCCTAACTTTCAAAGAGAACGGGGTAAGATTATCATTAAATATAAATTGGTGTTCATTCTTTAGCTTTGATAATTCAATCTCCACAATCTTATTGGCTGTAGGCGTCTCCATATTCCAGCTTTGTGAACCACTAAAATACCAGCTGATATTACCTTCTTTATTACAAACAAGTCACCTAGACAACACGTCTTTCTTAAAAATCCACTTTAACTTCGTGTCTCGTGCTTTATCTTTTCGCATAAAAATGGGTATAAAAGATCTTGTATTCGCTTTTTTTTGTTTGTTTACAAACTTCCAAATATGATTACATCATCACCAGAACAACAACCAATTCGCGAATTTTAAGTTCTTGACTTTTTTTGGTTTTGTGTCACTTTTTATTTCAATTCAATTTATTTCAAATTCAAATTGTCACAAAAACACAATAAAATTTGGAAAAATCAAGAAATAATATATAATGATGAGTTTTCCCGGATTATTCTGATACTTTCTTGAACTTTTTTTGCTCTGGTCCCCACGACTATACACTGATTATTTGCTATATATATACACTGAACAATGTCATTATTCAAATCAAAGAAAGACACTACTACTGCTACTGCTCCTACTGTTGAAGAATCAACTCAAATTGAAGATGCTGCTGATGCTCCAGTTGAAAATGCTCCAGTTGAAGAAGAACCTCAAGCTGCTGATGATGATGAACCTGCCATCTGTCAAACTTCAGAACATTTAAAATCTTACCCATTGATTAAAGAAGCTGTTGATATGGAAATTGTTAAAGCTATTAGAGGTACTTCAAATCCAATTCTCAAACCAGTTGGTGAATGGTTACACTCTCAATCGTTTTTAAAACCAATTATCAGAAATACTGATGGTGTTGTTGTCTCTACATTAGATAAAGTTGAACAAACTGTTCCATCAATCAAAACTGTTACTTGGAAAGATGTTGGTGATTCAATTGCTTATCCTTTCAAACAATCTTCTGTTGCAATTGAAACTGCAAAACATTCTAGTGGTGATTTTATTGGTGATAAGATTTTATTACCAACAAGAGAATATGCAAGAAAGGGACGTGCTTATTATAATGAACATCTTTATGATACACAAGGTAAACCATTACTTAGAAGTTCATTAGATCCTGTTTGCAGACCAATTAATTATCAAATTGAAGACTTTACCCTGAAAAACTTCCCAAAAGGTGAACCAGTTTCAAATGATTATTCAAGTGAAGTTGAAAGAGGTTTATGGTTAACTTATGATTTAATGGAACGTGCAATTCCAGTTGCTGAACAAGAAGTTTTTGATGGTATTATGGCACCATGTAATTATACTTCACATGCATTTGAAGTTTATAATGAACATTTAGCAAAACAAGAAGGTAATATTTTCAATTCATCAATTCAAGCAACTTACAATACCTCAGTTGATTTGACAAATGAAGTTATTAGTGAAACTACAAGTGCTTGGAATAAGATCTGGAAGAAATCAGATGAACCATCATCAACACCAGAAGGTCAAGAACAATCACAAGAACACACCCAAAGTTCAGCTGTTCCGGCTATGGCATAGACATCTGCTGTAATGTCAAGATTCTCTGCTAACGCATCCCGTGCTTTATAGTCCCTTATATTTATTTATTTATTTATTTGTTTACTTGAATTTGTTTGGTTTTGATTAAATTATGTTATATGATCCATTATGTTATAGGAATTGATTATTGTTATAGAGAATACATTGTGTGTGATGAAGTATTATAGAATGAGAGTATATTTATTTATATATTGTGAAATCACTTTTATAAGAATGAATGAAAAAGATTAAATACTCTGAAGATGATGTAGTAACTTGTAACGTTATGGCTTAGGCTTATGATTACGCTTGCCCTATTTCCATCACATGACTTCAAAACTCCTAGCCCTAACACTACAGCAGTTGTGACTGACATTTCTCGCACACGCACACTGTTTCCTCCCAGCGTCACTTCAAAGGTGTTTGGGTGTCACTCACAAATCTCGCTGAGTGTGTCCCTTTCCGGAAACCGCTGCCATACAAAACACGAATTCGCGGCTACTCTTCCGTTACGTAATCTTGATTTTTTTTTACCGCGAGCGGTGTGTTGGATTCTCAGCTTGCAAACATTTTTCAAAGTGTGAAAAACTACTTGATAATTGATACCTTTTATTGAAGACATCATCAGTTTAAGATCAAAACATATCAAAAAGTGAGTGGACAAAAGAGGTGTATGGAGTCATTGGGAAAGAGTATTCACCTAGAGAAAGTATTATTGAATGGAAAGAACTGTATTTGAAGTGTTATTATTCATTAAAGTGTATCACTATATTTTGAAAAATTATTATGATGAGTAGTACAATATCAAGAGACAGTAATGAAAAGTAATATAACAAAAGGAGAATAATATCAAATGAATAAAGTAATCATCATATCAATCAGAGTATCAAGCTGTCAATTATTGAAAAGAATTAATCGTAATATCAATTTTTTATTAAATTTCATATATTAAAGAAAATTTTATCATACCAATATCAATACTTGATAACTATGAGGGAAAACTCTTGAACAATAAAAAACTCCATCAACTATATTTTGAAATATGGAATACTAACAATATGATTTTTCTAGTGGCTCGTCTTAACGAATATCAAGTTATTGGTCGTCGTTTACCTACTGAATCGGTCCCAGAACCAAAATTATACCGTATGAGAATCTTTGCTTCAAACGAAGTTATTGCTAAATCTCGTTTCTGGTATTTCTTACAAAAACTTCACAAAGTTAAAAGAGCTTCAGGTGAAATTGTTTCAGTTAACGCTGTTACTGAATCACACCCAACTAAAGTTAAAAACTTTGGTATCTGGATTCGTTATGAATCAAGATCAGGTATCCATAACTTGTACAAAGAATTCAGAGATGTTACAAGAGTTGGTGCTGTTGAAACTTTATACCAAGATTTAGCTGCTCGTCACAGAGCTAGATTTAGATCAATTCACATTTTAAAAGTTGTTGAATTAGAAAAAACTGATGATGTTAAACGTCAATACGTTAAACAATTCTTATCAAAAGATTTGAAATTCCCATTACCTCACCGTATTCCAAAATCTGCTAATGTTTTCGCTCCAAAACGTCCATCAACTTACTATTAGATTGTTTGTTTAATTTAGTGTTATATTTAAAGAAATAAAAATTTAAATTTTTGGATTTATGGTTTATTTTAATAGTATAAAAATATGAATTCGATACTTTATTTTTTCGAATGGTTTGGTAAATTGTATATTTTAATGGAGTAAAATAAGAATAAATTATTTGTTGTAGTGTGCCAACTTTCCTTATGTAACACCATTTTGTAACTATCATTTCTACACGCCTATATCATCAATATTACATGGTTTATAATTAATCTATACACGTTTATATATACTATATGCTCATTAAAAAATGCAATTGAAAGAGAGTCCAAACCCTTATTTATGGAAAATTGTAATAACAATATAAAAAAATATACTTGATAATGCAGGAATTGTAAAATTATCATCCCAATTAAATAAATCAATACCTTCACTTAAAGCTGCAACAAATCCTGATAATAAACTCATTGTATGTAAATTTAAATAGCTTGATTCTGGGGTCCAAAATATTTCACCAATTTGATTTAAATGTGGGAATTCAGGTATAAAATAACCATAAACTAAATAACTTGATATTATACCAATTGTAAATGCAGCAATTGAACCTGCAAGAGATTTCCCACGAGCAATTTTTGGTGTATATTTACCATAAGCTCTACCAAAAGTTGAAGCTGCAGTATCTGACCAACTTAATAATAATACACTTAAAAGACAAATATCTTTAGGGAAAAAACTGAAAACAACATCTAACCCTAAAATATACCATAAAACACCATTATAACTATTGATTTCCTTTTCTCTCATTAAGAATCCAACAACTTGACAATATAAATAGTTGAAATATTTCCATCTTAATCTAATTAGATCTAATGTGAAAATCACTGTAAATGAAATATGGAATGGTATAGGGAAAACTTCTTTATGAACACCTTTAGTATACAAATATAACGTTATAAATCCAATAGAACTATGAAATACTTTTCTCGGAACTTCATGTTTCCTAATATAATCACCAAATATATGATGTGCAGTTAAAAAATCATTACCCAAAGCAGGTGATGTTGTGGATGTTCTTAAATTTCCAACAAAATCATTTGAAGGAGGTGCTAAAGTGTCCTTTTGAACTTGTAATTTATCTGTATCATCTTTATCAATTGTTGATGTGTTATCTTCCGTGGTGATTGTTATATTTTCTTGATTTTTACGGGATTTTGGAGCTTTCAAATTGGTGACATGGTCTTTACTCGGTATTCCTGTGGAAATGGCCATTATTTGATTGTATTTACTTTGAATTATAGCTTAAAAATTGGTTAAAACTATGATTTAATTGTTGTTTATTTGATCAAAATCGCGTTAAAATTGACATTTTTGCCTTTAAAATTGAAATCAAAAATCGAAAAAATTGAAAATGTGGATTTTCGCGAATAGATTTTATTGCCATTATTACTTAAACAGGTAAGTGGTTTCACCTTTATTGCTATTTCAGGTAATGGTGATGAGCTAGTCTAACGAAATCACATGGAATTGCCGCATAAAGTAATTTTGGCAACCTACTTTTGCGCGATTTACGAGCCAAACCAGGTAATTACCCAATTTGTTCATTTTCGCACTTTTTCTTAATTTTCTGCAAAAAAAATTTTAAACCATCAAAAAAAATTTCAATATTGAAAAGAAAATTAAAAGGTAATAAACAAAAATTAGTTGAATATCAGCTTAATTTAATCCATTTAAAGCCAACTTTTGTTTCATCTTTTTTGGTCAATACCTAGAAGGACACTCACCAGACTCTCATAGAAACAAAGTTTAATAAAGGAACAAAATGGCTTTCGTCTTGACTGAAACCGCTGCTGGTTATGCTTTATTAAAAGCTTCAGATAAAAAAATTTATAAATCATCAAGTTTAATAACTGATTTAAATTCAAGTGAAAAAGTTTTAAATCAATTTAAAATCTCTGCATTTTCAAAATTCAACTCAGCTGCTAATGCTTTAGAAGAAATTAACTCTGTTGTTGAAGGTAAAGTTTCATCTCAATTACAAAAATTATTAGATGATGCTAAAACTGATAAAAAATCAACTTTAGTTGTTTCTGATACTAAATTAGCTAATTCAATTAACAAATTAGGCTTAAACTTCAATGTTGTTTCAGATGCTGTTACTTTAGATTTATATAGAGCTGTTAGAGAACATTTACCAGATTTATTACCAGGTTTAAATGATTCTGATTTATCCAAAATGTCTTTAGGTTTAGCACATTCAATTGGTCGTCATAAATTAAAATTTTCAGCTGATAAAGTTGATACTATGATTATTCAAGCTATTGCTCTTTTAGATGATTTAGATAAAGAATTAAATACTTATGCCATGAGATGTAAAGAATGGTATGGATGGCATTTCCCTGAATTAGCAAAAATCATTACTGATTCAGTTGCTTTTGCTAGAATTATTTTAACAATGGGTGTTAGATCAAATGCTTCAGAAACTGATTTAAGTGAAATTTTACCAGAAGAAGCTGAAGAAAGAGTTAAATCTGCTGCTGAAGTTTCAATGGGTACTGAAATTACTGAAATTGATTTAATTAATATTAAAGCTTTAGCTGAACAAATTGTTGAATTTGCTCAATATAGAGAAAAATTATCTGCTTATTTATCATCAAGAATGAAAGCTATTGCTCCAAATTTAACTGCTTTAGTTGGTGAATTAGTTGGTGCTAGATTAATTGCTCATTCAGGTTCATTAATCTCATTAGCAAAAGCTCCAGCTTCAACTATTCAAATCTTGGGTGCTGAAAAAGCTTTATTTAGAGCTTTGAAAACTAAACATGATACACCAAAATATGGTTTATTATATCATGCTTCATTAGTTGGTCAAGCTTCAGGTAGAAATAAAGGTAAAATTGCTAGAGTTTTAGCTGCTAAAGCTGCTGTTGCCTTAAGATATGATGCTTTATCTGAAGAAAGAGATGATTCTGGTGAAATTGGTTATGATGTTAGAGCTAAAGTTGAAGGTCGTTTATCTGCTTTAGAAGGTAGAGATTTAAGAACTACATCAAAAGTTGCTCGTGATTCTAAAAAAGTTGAAATTAGTGAAGCTCGTGCTTATAATGCTGATGCTGATGCTGTTGAAACTACTGAATCTGCTGCTAAAGATTCAGATGATGAAAGTGATGATGAAGAAGAAGAATTAAAGAAGAAGGAAAAGAAAGAAAAAAAAGAAAAGAAGGAAAAGAAAGATAAAAAACGTAAGAGAGATGAAGATTCAGATGCTGAATCATCTCCAAAGAAGGAAAAGAAATCTAAAAAGGAAAAAAAAGATAAAAAAGATAAAAAGGAAAAGAAAGAAAAAAAATCCAAAAAATAAGCATAAAGTTAATTGATTAATCATATATTAACATTATAATATTTTTTTGGGTTTTATCTATTTCTATATATCATTTTCTTCGGTTTTATCTTGTGTTTTTAATTTTGGTTTTATTGTCAAAAGTGTAAATTAGTTGTTCATTTTTTTTTCTCAAAATATCTCTATATATGTATATGACCAACCATATTATTCTCTGATTGATTGAACTCCATATCATCCCATTCTTCAGCATGTTGCATATATATATATATATTAGTGTTATACCTATTATAATGAAAAAAAATCAATCAGATTGGAAAGTTTTAAAATTTGTAGTAAGCTTATACCTTCGCGAATTTTCTTTATTATGAAAAAATTAAAAGTACTTTGTTTTGACATATAAACAAAAAGATATCATTACCAGAGGTTTAGTGGCAAAGATGTCTGAAGAGTCAATATCCATTGAAGAAACGAATAAGATTCGTATTTCATTAGGATTAAAACCAATTCCTGTGCCAAATGCTTCCAAACAGGAGGAAAAACCAACGAAAAATGATGATTTATCATTAGATGATACCAATAAGCTTAGAATATCATTAGGTTTAAAACCAATACCCAAAGAATCACAACCAGTTGTTCAAAGTCAAGAACGTAGCGCTGAAGAATATCAAGATGAAATAAGGAAAAAAGAAAGAGATGAGAAAGTTAAACAGAAATTGGAACTTGCTAAATCAAAATCTGCTAAAAGAAAGAAAGTTAGTGTTGCAAGAGGTTTACTTGATGATGAAGAAGAACAGGAACAAGATACTGATGATTGGTTAAATAATATTAAAAAACCATCCAACGTTAAGAAACCAATAAAGAAGAATAAACTTGTTAAAAAATCTTCTGTTAATGATGATGATGTTGGTATTTCAGGTGTTAAAGTTGGTCATAGCATCAAAGATATAAATAATTTACAACAAGAAGATGTTATCTTAACATTAAAAGATAGATCATTTCATGATGAAGAAGATGAATTAGAAAATGAATCACTTGTAAAGAAACAAAAATTAGATAAAGAAATGAGTGAAAAACTACGAACTAATAAATATAAACAATATGATGGATTAGAAGGTGAAGAGAAAACTCTATTGGAACGTTATGATGAAGAGTTGAAAGGTGACCATGGTGAATCTTTCATACTCAATGGTGATACTATTAAAGTGGATCAACCAACAAAAACCCCCGAAGAAGAGACTGATTCTATAAGGAAGAATAAAAGAAGAATGGAATTCAGATTAGATGATGATGAAGAAGAAGATCAAGATGAAATGGAAAATAATGATTATTCAAAAGCTAAACCAATAAAGATGAAAAAAATTAAAAAGAAAAGTGGGAATAGTAGAAAGAAACAAGATCACAAGATTGATGAAGATGGTGATTTTGATATTGATCAAGCACCTAAAACTGTAATGTTAAAAGATGAAGATAATTTAGTTTCAGATGATTTTGAATTACAAAATGTATTAGCATTGAAAAGATTGAAAAATCAGAAAAAAAGAAAACATCTTAAACCAGAAGATATTGCTAAAGAAATTCAAGAAAATAAAGAAAATGAAATGCAAGTTGATAAACAAGCTCAACAGAGCATTGTTATTGATGAAACCACTGAATTTTTGGGGTCAATTAAAGCCAAGAGTGAAGAAGCTGAGGAACCACGTGAACCATTTGAGCCAAAAGTACTTGAAAATGAACAGAGTTTGGATAAACTAGAACCAAACTCTGAAAATCATGTTGAAGAACCAAAAGATGAAGTAATGGAAGAAGCCGAAACAGTTGAAGCACCATTAGAAGATGTTAGAGAAGAAGAAAATATAAATTTCAATGGAGGTTTAGGTTCATTATTAGGATTATTAAAATCCAAGAATATTATTCAAGAGAAAACTTCAGAACAATTAGAAAATGAACGTAAATCAATGGAATTAAAGAAACAATTAGATTTTGAGAAATTAAAATTAGAAATTGAAAAAAGAATTTATGAAGAAAATTTACGTCAAGATTCATCTTTCCAAAAATTATCTAAAAAAGAAAGACAAGAATTATTAGAATCAGAATTAGAACAATTTAAAACAATTCAAAATCCTGAAGAAATTAATTCAAAATTAAAAGATTATAAACCAGATGTTAAATTAAAATATATTGATGAATATGGACGTGAAATGAATACCAAGGAAGCTTATAAACAATTATCACATCAATTTCATGGTAAAGCACCAAATAAAAGTAAAATTGCTAAGAAATTGAAAAAAATTGAAGATGAACAAAAACAACAATATAAAGGAAATTCTATACTTGGTTCAAATGATCAAGATGAATATGGATCTTCAGATAAAGTTGGTGTTAGATTGCAATGATTTTATAAATGTGTAAGGATTAAATAGAGATGAAAGACACATGTTTATACTCTTATTGATATTTAGAGATATAAAACAGACATTATATGTATCAATTTAATCTTTAATTCAACTATTTTGAAACTAATTGAGATTGATAATCCTGTTTGATAGTCAATCTAGATCCGTAATCTGTAATTAATTAAAATCATGTCTAGAACATAGTTAAAAGTCATACGTCGATCTGAATACCTATCATCCATGTCAATATCAAAATATTCTTTTATAATTTGTTCTATTTCTAGCCTTCTGAGTCCACTACTTTACAAAGTACGTAAAATCAGATGATTTGATTAAAACTAGAACTGGGTTTTCACGGGGTATGCCTATGATGATCCAGAATTATGTGGGATTTTGAGACAGGTACCAGGTACCTCCATACTTATTGATCAAGGGGTTCAAAAAGTTATCTTTACTTGCCATAAAGGTTCTGACTTTTGAATTTTTGCTATCATGATAACGTATAAGGCTTAAAGGTGATCATAACTGGATCCGATTACAATTTTCCTATGCATATACCATATACGCGTATACGCAAAGGCCTAAAACCGTGAATTTGGCATAACACGTTGGAATAAATTTTAAAGTTAAGAACTTCACGTCAAAAATCAGGAGTGTTTTATAAATTCTAGACCATGGACCTTTATGAGTCTATCTTCTTTGATTGTTCGAGTTTAATACACTTCTTATACGTAATGTTTATGGTATGAGTACAAAAGGATAAGTATTAAGGATTCAGGTAACGAAAGAAAAGTTTATCCGTCACTTCAAAGTTCAAACTTCAAAGTACACTTTTCTAATGCTTCGATATGTAGTCTAGAGTAAGACCATTAAAATACTGGACTCTGATTTGTGGATAGTTGAGTTGAGGTTTATCTAGATTTTCTATACTTTAGGAAACCGATACTTAAGATAACTTTTCATTACAATTTACACCTAGAACAACATAACCAAATGAAATTGATAACCAACAGCTGTTTAAGGTACCAGATTCAAATACACCAAATCTCAACTGTTTGAAAGCCACAAAAAGCTTATAACTTATAAGGTAAATCTTTATGTGTGAAAAGTTCCAGATTTCAAACCGTTTCATTGAAAAATTATTCAATCTGGTAATTTGCGTCGATTTGCACCGTGTTAAGCATAATCGAGTATACAATTAATTCGAGAGACAGCAATGGAAATTTGGTAAAGAAAAGGTGTGAATCATGATTCATAAAAACAATATAAAAGATACAAAATCCCTTATGAAATCCATAAAACTTGATCTTTTAAAACAAATCTTCAAATAGTTCCTTATTATTTGGAATCCCGGAAAGGAAATTTTAGGAACCCATAATTGTGCCAAACCTGCCATTTTCACAAAAACTTCACCAAAATTACCCGATCCAGTAATAAATCCAGCGTAAAAAAGAAAAAAAAAGCATCTGAAAAGAAAACAAAAAAGTTGCGAAAATCAAAAATTTAAAGTTTTAAAGCGTTATAAATAAAATTTCAAAACTAAAATTAAATATCAACAACTTTTCAAAATAAAACCATTCAATTCAGAAGAACGTGCTTTTAACTACCAGTCATTCGCTTCACCAGGTGCACACTTCCACTACATTTTTCAATTCAATTTATACAACTAAACATTCCATCAAATTTGACCGCTGTTGTGCTTTTTTTTTACGTGCTGGTTGGTTATATATAGAGAAACACGTTTAAAGGAGAATTCATCAACATCAATATCAACACAAATTATCACAAAAGGGTGCTGAAAAAATCATGATCACAGTACAAATAAACACTCCTAATGCACACAAGACAGCTTCTTATGACCAAGCTACATTATCACAAAGTTTGAAAGGTTCATTCCCAAATTTAAGGAATTTATTATCTTCACCTGGTAAACCACGTTTTAAACCATCAAAATCTTCATTAGATTTAACTCAAAAAGAATATGATCAATATTTCACTGTTAAATCTACATCTACTAAGATCCAAGAAAGATTAAAACAAGTATTACCTCCTATAGATTTGAAGATTATCTTTTTTTGTTCAATATGGTATACATTTAGTGCTATATCATCAAATATATCAAAAGATATATTAAGAGAATTCCCACATCCAACTACATTCACAGAATTACAATTCTTAACAAGTTCACTTTTTTGTATTGCAACATTATTAATCATAAATAATAATAGAGTGTTAATTGATAAATTCCCACAAGGTACATTACCAACAAAAGATCAATTTAAAAAATCATTTTCAACTTGGAATTTAATTCAACCTTCAGAAAAAATTATAAGAACTACTTTTGCAATGGGTATTTTCCAATTCATTGGTCATATTACATCTCATAAAGCTACTAATGTTATCCCTGTTAGTTTAGTTCATTCAGTTAAATCATTAAGTCCAATCACCACAGTTTTGGTCTATAGAGCATTATTTAAAGTTAAATATCCAATTGTTACATATTTAACATTGATACCTTTAGTTACAGGTGTTATATTAACATGTTTTTCCAAGAAGAAGCAAAATTTAAATTTGGATTTTAATAAAGGTTTAATATTTGCATTTATTTCAATGATTATATTTGTTAGTCAAAATATTTTTGCTAAGAAAATCTTAACAGTTAAACCAAAAACTTTACCACAATCTACTAAACAAAACAACAATGATGATGATGAAAAAATTGATAAAATTACAATTTTATTATATTGCTCAATTATTGGATTTATTTTAACATTACCAGTTTATTTAATTAGTGAATTTTCAAATCAATCATTTACTTTAACAGAATTAAATTTCTCTATATTAGGATTATTATTCTTACATGGATTAAGTCATTTTTGTCAAGCAATGTTGGCATTTCATATCTTGGGTATGGTATCACCAGTTAATTATTCAATTGCAAATATTATGAAAAGAATTGTTGTTATTTCTATGGCTATAATATGGGAAGGTTCAAGTGTTAATAGAAATCAAGGTTTCGGTTTGGTTTTAACTATTCTAGGATTATATTCTTATGATAGATGGGGTGTTGTTAAGAAATGAATATAACACCCTTTTGTATTATTTTTGCATTTTGGTTTTATTTTGCTATCTTCTTCTTTTTCGTTGTCATTTTTCATTCTTTGACTACATATATTTTAATGACTATATTACATTTTTTGCTTTTACGTTAAAATATTGATGTAGATTTAAACAACTTTTATTAATACCTGATTAATTATTTAACATCTAAAAAACAACATAAATAAACAGATTGAAAATGACATGACTTTCCAAAGATTAATGTTTTGCAACTGGTTTTTCACCAGTTAATTTTTCAACTAATTCTCTAGCCATATCACCAAAACCAACCATGAACACTGTTTGCCAAATACCTAAACCAATTCTTGGTGCAACACCTCTATAAAGACCTTTAATACCATTTTGTGAATAAATATATTTAAAAGCTCCGGCAACACCTAAATTCTTTGGTCTATTTGGATCAGCAGTCTTGGATTGCATTTCCACTCTAATAACTTCAATTGGTTGATTCCATGCACTTAACCCACCACCAATTGTACTTGCTAAAATTTTTTCTAAACCACCTAATTTTTCATCCTTCTTTTTACCAGTTAAACTTTTGATTGCGTCTTCAGCTAATCTTGATAACCCAAATCTTGAACCCCAATTGGTACATTGTCTAATAGCAACGGCATTAACACCTTTATTTATACCTCTAATACCTTCTTTAGCATAAATATCTTTGAAAACTTGGAAAGAAGTTTGTGGAGTAACACCTTCAGCGACAACTTGTTTTGCTCTTGTGATTTCAACAGTCTTCATACATGTACAGAACCCCATAGTGGCATAAGCTTGAACAAGACCACCAAAGATACCACCAGTAATACCAGCACCAAAATTTGAAGCACCTAATTTTTTAGCATGATATTCAGCTTCAGCACTAACAAATAATAAAACAGCACCTTTAGTTGAAGCTTCAATCCAAGCCCATGGGATTAAACCTTGATAAAATCCAAGAGCACCACCACGAGACCAAACATGTTTAGCACTTTCTAAAATGGTTAAAGATCTATTAGCAGCCATTGTAGTCTTGATGACTTCTAAAGGTTGACCTAAAGTGGTAACTTCAGCCAAATTTAAACCAGCACCTAAAAGGATATTGGAAAATGAGACTGGTTTCTTTTTAACTTCTTGTTGTGACATTCTTAATGATCTCTATTAACTATATGGTTAAGTCTATCTGGTTGAAGAACTTTTCTCAATTGATATAAAAATGGGGTAAAGAATGAATTGTAATTATATATTCTCGAGTATAAATCTATTTTTTTTTCGTGGTGATTTATTCAGGCCCGATCAACGCACTTAAGAATTGCAATGGACAAAATCGGTTGGAAATCTAAGATCTTCAAATGGATTTCAAGTGAGAAAATAGAGGGTCTAAAATTATGAAATAAATAGCTATTTAAAACGGTTTTTAGAAGTTTTCAAAACAGTTTTCAAACGATAATTTTTGCTTAATTAACCATCCAGTTTTTGTGATTCCAGATCACCGGAGCTTTCACCGGGAAACTAGTTGACTCATCAAAAAAGATCACAAAAGCTGATAAGATCAAGAACGAACACAACCATCATATGAGTACAAATGAAGGGAAGAACAACTGTCTTCTTGATCTACACGTCAATTTTATGTCTTCATTATGTCTGCATCTCAATCTACACATCGAGATCTACAAATCTGTGATTTTAACCACTAAAGTTTTGTTAAATAACTCTGTTTTTGACGGGTGTTAATATGATCTACAAATCAATCAAAGCACACACATCCAGTTGAGGTACACTTCACAGAATACCATAACGATGATTAAATAGACTTATTAGACTACCATAATACTTATTAAAGATATACCAAATAGTTACAATGAATACTTAAAAAGAAAATCGCCGGCGAAATCAGCAAAAAAAAGAAGATCTCGACACCTGCAGGACTCGAACCTGCGCGGGAAAATCCCAAAAGATAACCTTGTAATGATAATCCGAAGATTAAACTATTCAAGTCTTTCGCCTTAACCACTCGGCCAAAGTGCCTTAACTTGAAATCTATAAAATTAAATAGTATCCTGGATTTGCTTTATTCTGGAAGGTAGGGTAAATTTTGGGGTTTCGAATTTTATAAGGTTATAAGTTGCTCAATAGATTTCAATATGATATATATTATTCTTCATAATTTAATCTATTGTTTTTATATGTCTTCTTAAATTGTTTACTCAAGGGTATCTTGAGTTATCTTTGTGTAAATAAGTTTGAAAGATCTGAGATCTCGAAATCGAACATCAACGGTTTAGATCGATTTATATCGAAAACTTTATATTAAGATATATGGATTTTATTACATTTTTATAGAGTTTAGTGCTCAAATATAACTATCAAGTGATCAGATCTGTCTTTAAGAGGGTAATTGAAATTTTGTTGAAATTTAATTTTTACAAAATGCTGACCATGTAAATTTCATTTTTACTTTAAAAATGGAAAACTTAAAAAGGTTTAATTTTTTTTTCTTCTGAAATGACTCAAAGATATGCTAGATTGGTTATTTCACTCCATCTGATCTTCACTATTATATAAATCTTTTAAAAAACCTTTATTGAAGCTATTTAACGAAGCTTATAAGTTTTATCAATTGTATATTACATAATCAATATAAGCTTTATGTGATTGTCCGTCTATATCCGTTATGATTTTTATAATCTGATGCGTTTTTATTTAAGGATGAGAAATGTGCGAGAGTCAAACGTCTACCGTTGAATAATTAACTCATATACTCCCTATACCATATCCTGTAAGCTCTCTCCAAACATGAAGGTTTATCTAGTTTTAAATGTGCTTTAGCATGTTGATAAGTGGCTAAGATTTTGGAAGTACCATATAAATTATATCAGGATATTTTCAATCTACAAGCTTCTTTCATAATTCAACGGATTGTTTGATAGCTGAATCATATTTAATTGAGAAAGAAAAATAATAGGGATACTGTGTGTATATTTATACTGATAATATTATAGTTGCTTTGCTCTAGCCCCCCTGGATAAGGTTTGTAGATGGCACTTTTAAAGACTCGTCTACTTGGTTCTAGAAGCATGCGTGTGCTTCAAAATGTAGTATTTGAATTGAGTTTCTAGGGGTTCAATGGGTTAAAATTGAGATGTGACAAGTAAAAAAAGAGCAATGTATCATTGATGTATATATAAAACCCGTCGAATGTGCATGGGTGATCAATTGATGTTGAAAAATTTGAAATTTAAGGATAAATGATGATCTTAATGATGATTTTAGTTATCTTTTTAGTTTTATTTATTCAATTGTTACAAACTATAAAAGCTCATGAGACAAATTCTGATTACAATGGTCCAATGTTGAAAATATGGACTTTAAATAATGAAACAACTTCACATCATCAATTTAAGAAAAACCACTGTATTTTGGATAATTTAGATAAAGGATTTTTGTCAGTTTCAATTGCCAAAACATTAGTTAATCAATCAATTGATAAAAATTGTTCAAATTCTGGTATTCAAAAAGATTTATCTGAGAAATTTTATTTCAAATCAAAAGCTTTTCCCCATAATGATGAATTGGAAATTGATTGGTGGCCACATTTTGGTAAGAAAAAACCAGAAGAACCAACAGGTCCATTTTGTGAATTATTTGTGAATTTAACATATCAAGAAATTCAAAAAAACATTTCAGAATATTTATTATATCCTTATTTGAACTATACTTGTGATTTTCAATGTTTAAAAATAACTGATAATGTTAACTATACTGGTATAATTACATATGGAACTAATTATGATCTTGTTAATGAACGTGAATGTGATTATGATATTGAAGAATGGGAACGTTGGGAATGGAAAGAACCTGAACCACCTAAAGAACCTGAGCCACCTAAAGAGCCTGAACCACCAAAAGAACCAGAGCCACCAGAACCACCAAAAGAACCAAAACCACCAAAAGAACCAAAGGAGCCACGTAAGAAACCTAATGATCCACCATATAAAAAGAAGAAAAACCATAAACACAAACATAAACATGATGATGATGATCATCATATTATTATTACGATTTTGATGGATAATTTGACTTTCATAATTATAGTATGTTTTCTAGCAGTCACTTCAGTGATTAGATGTATTAGTTGCTGTATAATTAATCGGGATAGAGATGGATATGAAAAAATTCTTGATTTTGTTTAAGCACCAGAAGCTGAATAAAATTCCAAAATAACCTATTATTGATGGTATGATTAAGTATTTTTGTTTTTAATGTCAATATTTGTTATTTTTTTATCTTTATTCAATGATGTTTTTTCCTCTTTGAGTATAATTTGTAATTTTCCAACATCGTTAACTTTTAAAGATAATCCCTTTTTACCAAGTAATTTTTGTAAAAAATTGTAAATCGTTTCAAGTTTATAATTTGCAATTTTATAATCTGAATTCATAACTATTAAATTACAAATAATTATTAAAATATTCAAAACTAATACTGTCCAAATGAATCTTGATCCATTTAAACCTGATTTTTTTATGAAATGATTATCAATAATCAAAACTATAGCCATAGGAAATGAAGCGAAAAATAAAGTTTCTGATAAATATTTCCCAAAACTTTTTATAATTGGACATCTTGTATATGTTAAAATGAATGAAGTATAAAATATATTGAATAATGGAACTGACCCCCATAGAGAGCAAAAAAATATAATTCCTGGTGATCTTGTAAATATTAATGGTAACCAAAAAAGAAAACTTAATGAATGGAGAACTGTTCTCATCATGAAAACATCATGTTTTCTCTCAAGATCTGAACTAGTGAATGATAGAACAACTAAATTCCCCCACAAATAAATTAAGATTTCTGATATCGTAGAATAAGATTTATAAATATTGTTTAACCTTAAGAAATCAAATAAATTTTCCTTAACAATTAAACTTAAAGCAAATCCAATACCAATTGATACTGAGTGTAAATAGAATGGATAATTTCTAATATATTTTCTTCTTGGGACTGAAGATTTTGTTTTTGAAACATGACCATTCACATTAACTTGTGAATTTCCTTCATCACAAGGATAATTCCTAGAAAATATAGCTTTATAACATAATATCAAGATGAAAATCATTGTACAAAACACAAACCAACAAATTGAATAAAGTGTTTGTTGTAATGAAGATTTCGAACTTTTTAAATTAACACTTAATTGCATACCTATGAATGATGAAAAAATTGTTATACTTAAGGCAATGAAGCAAGTAGATCTATTGGTTTTCTGATATTGAACATGACGACTTAATGCAACTAAACAGCACATTAACATTAAACCTGTTGCAAAACCTAATATTATACCAATAAATATTAAAAAAACAGAATAATTATGAGTAAAACAAGTAGAATAAGCACTTAACAAAAATAATCCACAACTTAACTTGATTGGTTGCCAAACACTGCACAGATCTAAATAATCACCAACCAATATTGTAGAAGCAAAAGTTGTCCAAATATATGTAATAAAAATCCAATAATTCCATTTTGGTGAAGATGTTTTAGATAATGAAGATAATTTATTTAAATTATCCAATATTAATGCAAATTGTGAAATTATACCATATGATATACCAATACCTGGAATAATATATGCAAATTTTAGGAAACCTAACCATGAACCATCCCAATCTTGTACATCTGAAACTTTTTTATTGTCTCTAGTTGATTCTGAAGATAAATCTTCAATAAGATCCAATAGTTGATTTGTTTGATCTTCAATTTGTGTAATTGATTTCGTCTTGGATATCTTGAGATTGATACTAAACATTTCATATGAGGTATGGATCCTTGGGTGGCAATTTCAAAGAATGATTGATATGATAGAAATATATCTCAGCGGCTAATTTTTAGATTTCTATATCATAATTTTAGATCTAATAAAAAAACATCACCAAATTCTGGGGAATCAAAAAAAAAAACATAATAGAAAAAGCATCTGAAAACATATTACAAAACCTGAGTATGGAAAAATGATAATTGATTTATTCACCTATACACACACATAATTTCTAGTGGGTTAAATTGGTTTCAAATCAATTGAATATTTTAAATCATCAAAGTGTAGTACTTCATTAGTATTGTTGATATTGTATACTTTTTTTTTGTAAATATAACAATATCTCAACTTGAAAGAAAAACATACACTATATGAGTTCAATAATTGTAATTTTCAAAAATTTCTGGATTAAGATACCATGTTATAAATACACCAGATGGAATGATCATAGCTTCAAGTGCATGTTATCCCATGTCGTTTCATGACATAACAATTTAAACGTTAGTGTTCTTTCTTTCAAATATAGTGTTTTAATTCAAATCTGAATAAAATTTTTTGTTTTTTTTATGAAATCGAAATATACCCGCGAATTATATTAATCGGATGATTCAGGACAGTTAAAGTTTAAACCTTTGAAAATACTTTACATTATCATCATTAACTTGACAACTTTTAGTATAGTTTTACAAAAAGAATATATAAATATTTGACACAAAATAATTTAGAACTCAACCTATTAAACTCCATAAATTTCTATGTTTTTCATAGATTTGATAGATGTTGTGCACAAATTTTACAGAATCATACATATCTTTCTCTCTTTATTTTTTTTTAAATTTTGATTTTTATGCAATATTCGGTAATGTAGCTGTATGTTCTTACGATAAGTAACCCTACATTTGAAAATTCCGTTGGGTTGATTTTGAATTTGTTAAATCCGTCTAGAGCTCAGCAGCCTCAGCTTGAAACAGAACAAGTCAAGTATATAAAGAAATTGTGTCAATTGATATTTCTTAAACTTTACAATTAACTTTCAAGTAAATGATTTATTCTATTCTTTAACTTTAATATAAATGCACTTTAAACTACTGTATGCTAAACTTCTGGAGTTTAGCTGAAACTTTAATTGTTGGTCCTTGTTTAAAGGGTTCGAACTTCGTTATAACTTATTACACAAAATACTCTGATCAATTAGATTGAGCAGCTATATATAAATTTATTGTTCACTAGCTGCTATATAATTGTCAAACATGTACTTCTCCAGATTGGTTGAATTGACAAACATAAACGATATTCAATTAATCGTGTACATAAACCAATTCAAACTGAAATTTGTTGTGACAGTTTTAAACGTTCAGTGATGTTATCTAAAAGATCTATGAGCTTACACGACTTGATCAAGTATTAAGTATACACCCTTATCTAGCAATCCAATTCTAAAGCAACATTTCATAAACGTAAACAATTGTCTTTTGACTCCAGAATCAAGACTTCTACGTCCATCAATGCCACAGTCTATCATCCAATAACAATTCCTTAAACTTTCTTGGATAATTGTAAAAAAGTTTATATCACCGTGTCCCATACCATCTCCCCTGAATTATTCGCGAAAAAAGGACGCCCCAACAAAAAAAATCCAATGCGCTGTGAATCCCAAAAAAAAAAATTGACCAGTAGAGAATCGCATGAAGAAAATACAAAAGTGATTTAAATGAGATGATAGAGGATGGGCTTTGATTTAGTCAGACTGGTGCGACTAGAAACAGGAGAGAGAGAGTATAATTGAAAGCTCTATTAACTATCATTATGATTGGTTGTTTTTGTGGATACTTGGTTATCTAATCTGTCGTAATTACACAAAAGTGGCCCACACGTTGATGAATTCCTTTTTCAATATTGTTTGATCTTTTGTACGTAGTTTAATTTTTGTATATCCAATTTAAAATTTAAATTTAAATTTCTTGTATGTTGTCTTTTCGAATCGAGAGAGGAAAAAAAAAATTATATAAAACATAAAATCCTCCTTACAAGATCTTCAACACAGCGCTAAACCTATTTGATCCTAAGCCTATTTGAACAATCTTCCCTATATTCAACACCCCATTAAAACTTCATCCACATTAACTTGTTGATAAGTAATACATTTGACTCAGTTAAGCGCTTCATTTCACAAAAACCCAGAATCAAAGAGAGAATCAAGTTTTGAATAAAGATCTAGATCCAATATGTCAACAACTTTCACTTCTGATAATAACGTGAAGGATCATTCCACAACAACCACAAATAGAAAGGGAAATGTCGCTACATTATCTCAAACTGAAAAATTAACTGCAATTGATACTTTTGGTAACACTTTTGAAGTTCCAGATTATACTATCAAAGATATCTTAAAAGCTATTCCTGCTCATTGTTATGAAAGAAGAGTTTGGGAATCTTTCTACTATGTTTTCAGAGATATTTTTTGGTTAGGTACTTTTTACTATTTAGCAAACACTTTCATTCCAACAATTCCTAATAAATTAGTTAGAGCTTCATTATGGGCTGGTTATACTATAGTACAAGGTTTATTTGGTACTGGTCTTTGGGTTTTAGCTCATGAATGTGGTCATCAAGCTTTTACTGATTATGGTTGGGTTAATGATTTAACTGGTTGGGTTTTACATTCTTTCCTTTTAGTTCCATATTTCTCATGGAAATATTCACATGGTAAACATCATAAGGCAACTGGTCATTTAACAAGAGATACAGTTTTCGTTCCACCAACAAAAGATGAATTTAAAGCTAAACATTTTGTTGAAAAATTAGAAGATTTAGGTGAAGATTCTCCAATTGTTACATTAATTCAATTAATTACTCAACAATTAGGTGGTTGGTTAACTTATTTAACTACAAATGTTACTGGACAAAAATATCCAGATAGATCAAAATGGGCTGTTAATCATTTTAATCCAACTTCACCATTATTTGAAAAAAAAGATTATTGGTTTATTGTTTTATCAGATTTAGGTATTATGATTCAATCTTTAGTTTTATATAAATGGTATCAAACTTTTGGTGGATTTCATATTACAATGAATTATGTTATTCCATATTTATTTGTTAATCATTGGTTAGTTTTCATTACTTATTTACAACATACAGATGCAGAAATGCCACATTATGATAATGATAAATGGAATTTTGCAAGAGGTGCTGCAGCAACAATTGATAGAGATTTTGGATTTGTTGGACCTTTCTGTTTCCATGATATTATTGAAACTCATGTTTTACATCATTATGTTTCAAGAATTCCATTTTATAATGCAAGAGAAGCAAGTGAAGCAATTAAAAAAGTTATGGGTAAACATTATAGATCAAATAAAGAAAATATGTTTGTTGCCTTATGGAAATCTGCAAGAACTTGTCAATTCGTTGATGGTGATAATGGTGTTAGAATGTTTAGAAATAGAAACAATATTGGTGTTAAAGCAAGAGATTAAGATATACATTTCCTAATGATTTGAAAAACAAGAAACAACAATTTTTTATTATAATTAAAGTTAAACAAACCAGATCTAAGATTTTCAATTCAAGATCCAAATCTAAAAAAAAATAAAGTTCACTTTAAGTTTACAATTATATATACACATACATTTTATATAGATCCGTTTCTCTTTAATAATTATTTATGTTTATTATTCTGAATTTTTATGTATTTCAACAATCTATATATCTAAAACTTCAACATCACCAGTATCAACAAACCATTTAACCAATTCAACTCCCTTTTCAGATTCTTTTTCATATTTTTCAACTTGATAACCACAAAATTTTAATGCATCTCTTGGACTAACAGTTTTTCTACCATCTTTTAAAACATATTTAGTTATACAAACAGCATGAATAACTTCACCTTTTTTACCAATTGAAACAAATTTTGACAAAATAAATAACCATTTTTGATCCCATCCAAGAATTCTATTCTTAACTTCGTATTTTTGATAAGGTTTAATCTCTTTCTTGAATGTAGAAAACACGTTGGCAACAGGTACATAAGGCCATGTCTTAGATTCTGTCTTATAAAACATGAAAAATTTTTGGAAAATTGTAGTCATTAATTTTGTTCTTGATATATCTAATTCTTCAAAATAAGTTGAATTTGATTTATGGAAATATCCATCACATTCAAATGGGGAATTATATGTATGTATACTTGATGTTTCAAATGGTGATTTTGATGATAAATCATTTATAATTAATGATTTAATATATTTTGGTATTATAATGTTTATTGCTGCTTGATACCAAAATCTTATATAATAAGCACCCGGTAATGATTTATAAGATGAAGCCAAAAAGGCATAGAATATATATTTGGCAATGGTCTTTAACATATTTGTCTTTTTTGATGAAGATGTATAAGACGTTAATTGACTTTGATGAGAAAAGTCGTTGATTTTTATATTTTTATATTATAATTTATTACTTCGCAGTGCGGAAGAATGATTTTTTTTAACCGAGGATTTGGTGGATTTGTACAAAAGACCGAATAAACCCGATTGCACGTATTTGTGGTTCTTTTTTAAATCAAATTGAACTTGAAAGGGTGAAAGCTTTGAGAGTAATTACAAGCTACTATAATACCCAAGAAGTCATATCACCAAATAACAACAATCAAAGCTATAATGGTGCTAACATCAGGCTATCTAAATCTTGTTGAGATCTCACCATTAAAATCAATTCTTTCATTAGATTCAGATGATCAAAGTATAGTCACCACAAAATCAAACAATAGTAGATATTCAGTCACCTGTTTATCAATAGAAAGAGGAAGAACTTTTTTATCACCATTTATATTAGATCATGATATAATTTATTCATTATTGAATTTACCACGTGAAGAGAATAGTTTTTGTCAAGAAAATATTGAATATTTAATTGTAATTTGAAACCCTGAATTATTTACAAAGCACATATTATACAGCTAGATTAATTTGAAACCAAGCTAACAATTATATGAAATTTAGGAATTCACTCGTCAAGTTGCAATTTCACTTTGTTATATCTATGGAGATCCTGATTTTGCTATTTTAGCTTTTGATCCAAAATTAAAAAATGCCCAAGATTCAAGTAAAGTTATAAAGATGATAATTGCTAAAAATAAATTGGTTTTCCATTTAATAGATCCACAAGGTGAAACCATTATACATCCTTATTCAAAAGCTGTTGTTCAATTAATTTTAAGTAGACATTTAAGATCTATTAGAAGAGATATTGTTAAATTAAGAATTCATACAAATGATCCAAGTTATGGTCCTGTTATTGATTCTGTAACTCAAGAAGGTTTGGATAATTTAGATTTTGAAAGCTCTAGGAAGCGTGACAAGGGATATTTTAAAACCAATGATGTTATTTTCCCATATAAAGATCCAGATCCAAACATTGATCAAAGAAATTTCCTTTTTGATAATATTGAAGTTTCAAATAGATTAACCAATAAGGAGAAAACGAGAAAATTAGCTTATTTGGTTATCAAACAATCAAGAGGTTCAAGAAGTGATTTATTGAATATCGATCAAAATTCAAGAGCTAATGTCAAGATTTCTACTTTACATGTATTAGTTAAAAGATGTTTTAAAAAGAGAAATAAAATAAATGTTTCAGATAGATTAAATGGCAATTCAATTATTGATTATAAGAAATCACCACTGTTTTTAAAAAGAGATGATAATCATCTTTCTGAAGTTATAAAAGATATTGCTAAACAAAGTATGGATGAAGAGTGATCTACTACATCGATCCTAGTATAATTAAGAATGAATGTTTATTGTGGTATCTTCCTTTTTGTGTGTAGTTTCATATGTTTTTATGGCGGCTAATGTATGAACAACATCAACATAAAATGACTATATATGAGAGTATCGAATGGTTAGCTACAATGGTTATCTAATGAATAAGAATTCAAATAAGCATTAGATTTTTGTTTTCTATATTTCCAAGAACTATCAATAAGATCTTTGCTAATTTATCTGATCATTTATTTGTAAGCTGTTCTATAATATATGATGGATTATTGAAATACCTGGCCATCTCATATATTTAAGAGAACTCAATGTACTTAATTTAATGTTATTAGTGCTTTTAGGTAGTGATCAATCAATCAAAAATCTCATTTAATATTGTTGTTAGCTCTTTTGGGTACATCAATCAATCAACAATCTTAATCATAATTCTAAGAATACTAATATACTATAATATTATTATACAAAAACCAGGAATCTTTCATCTTTATATATAAATATCTTGAAAATACACTTCAGCGGCTAATTTAAAGAAATCGATCAAAATAATATTAAGAATTGAACTACAAGGACAAGCTGATATAAACAAATGAAATTATTCAAGTAATTGATAAAAGTTCTTTAGTTAATCATAAGTAATGATCCATTAGAAACTTTGTATCTTCTCAAATAATTGTATATTAATTTAATTTAAATTTGATAAAAGTACTTGTCTAATGCCATTGATAAATAACAATCACAACAAGTTTTCATTCAGAAAAAAAGAAATCCCATGGTTAGATACAATATCAATAGGTTTAGTTATGATCTGTTCGATGTCAATCAAAAGCATGCGTTATTTCAGGCAAAATAATAAACATTAAATAATTGTGATGGGAAAGAAGAAAACACTAATATTTTTATTTTCTTTTTGATGCTTTTGTGTTCATACCTTTATTTTTCAATAAATCTCTTGTATACGTAATACTCGATTGAATTCAATAAGTAAAGAGAAATTAATATGTTAATACACAGCGGTAAACTATCCAAACTACGAACATGATAGAGAGTCTACATATATACTATATCAAGTCCTAACTGATAACACCATTGTAAAGTTGACTGCATTGATTGACATAGTTGATCTAGTGCTAGTTCATAGATTTACCCAGCGCCTAATATCATAATCTATTGAGTAGGAATGCTAGAATTAAACTACAATTATAATAAACAGAATAAACAACAAAATGAACCAAGGTTGAAATATTCTTCTTATATAACACCAAAAAGAAAGTTTCATATTCTCAGCTTCATGAATTCAATGTATATCAAATGACATATCAATCATAATATGAATTATATATACATCAGTGAATAAATTTATAAATTGGATCTAGAACATGAGACAATTACTGCCATTTAAAACTTGGATCATTAATGCTGTGGTTACTTTAGTCTGCTATACTAATGATCTTATATGTCATATATGGTCATAAAAAAAAAACAACATAGAATGAAGATTAAATAAAATGAACAAAAAATAAATAATTGGGAAATGACTGTCTTTTATATTAACTCTTGTAAAAAAACAAAAACACACAGCGGCTAAATTTTCGATATCGGAGATCAAAATTCAAATGTTGATTAAATTTCTTTTAGCAATAACTTTAACTTCTTCTAAAAGATAAGCATCTTTTAATTTTAAAGACAGTGGTGATTTTTTATAATCAATGAATGAATCCCCATTATATCTATCTGGGACATTTCTTAATTTTGTTGCTTTATTGAAACATTCTTTAACTAATTTATGAACTTTATTAATCTTTGTAGCTCTTGAATGTAAATCAATATTAAATAAATCATTTCTTGGACCTATTGATTGTTCAACAACTAAATAATCTAATTTTCTTGCTTTTTGCCTTTCAGTTGATTGACATTCATAATCAAATATATATTCCTCTTGATTTATAGATGGATTTGGATCAATGAAAGGGAAATCAAGTTCAAATTGTATTAAATTTTTCAAATCATATTTTTTTGAAAATTTCTCATTTTGTTCATACATTTCCTCCCTTGTACAATCAACTGTACCATAACTTGGATCATGGATTCTTAATTCATGAACATCTTTTCTCATAATTCTCACATGTCTGCATACAAGATAATTTAAAACAAATTCTGTATTTGGATGTATAAATTTCTTATAATCTTTATCTAATAATTGGAAAACCAGTTTATTATTATCAATAATCAATTTTAATGCATTTTGGAAACCATCTCTACTATTTAATAACAATTTCCGAAGAGATCCATCATCTATTAAGCCGAACATAGTTGTACCAAAGATATAACACATTGATATTATGACTTGACGTGAAAATTCCTTATAAAAATTTCAAATGTTAGTTTAAGATCTCAAATTTGTTGTTTTATAATAATCATGGGTATCAAATTTACAATTAAATATTCAACATTTTCATAACTAAAACTATCTTTATCACTTGGGATATTTAAAAATGAACAAATAACCACAGGATCTATCTCAAAAGTTGCTAAATAAGTTGAACTTTGATTAATTGATAATTTTGTAAGTGTTGAATTATTTTTGGATTTTGTTGTAACTATTGATTCATCATTTGAATCTAATGATAATAATGTTTTCAAAATAGGAGATTTATCAACTAGCAGCTTATACCTTGATGATAGAGCCATCTTGAAGATTATCTTTACTCATACTGGACGGATCATACATGTAATTGTGACTCTTTTGTTGATTGATTATTTTGATGAATGATTAAACTTTATGGAAGTACCACAAATTCAATTTAAAAAAAAAAAAAAAAAAGCGCGTATATAAAAAGTAAACTTGATCCTTAACACTTTTGAAAACAAAAAAAAGGCCTTTAATCTTAAACAATTGTTAGTAAACAATCAAAATGATGGAAAAAAGTAGAAAGAAACAACATACCACGGAGCGCTATATTGTGACTCCACTTAACTCGAATTTATCCATCAATATAACATGATTTATGATCGATCTATATATTGATATATTGATATATACGATCATATATATGATAATTTAATTATATACAGATGTTTGAGGATACTACAATGTTTCTGATGACCTTTTTGGATTTTAAAGAACTTGTATTCACTCCTTAGACTAATCATGTTTTCATAATTTGTGGATTTGTAGTAGTTTATTGATCGTTATATTAACCGCTATGTAATTTGATTTGATGTTCCAGCTGGCGCATATTGCACTAGTAGCGCCAGTAGTACGACGTATAATAAAAAAAATTGATTTTGCCACCGATCAACTATATTTTTAAAAATTTGGAACCTTGAAATATTTATTATTGATACACATTCCTGTTGCACACCAGGAACTTCAGCTTTCACGTATGTTCTTGATCTACCAAGTATGGTTTCTTTCACGTGTTTTTTACATAATTAATATCAGCATTTATTGGTTTTACAGCTTTAATATTATGGTACTTTGTTTTCATGATCTGACCTTTTATATTGCATGATTAATTAGTTGCAGATTAACAGAAATTATTTATAACAAATCTTGAATGAATTCAATTGAATAATTCCAGTGGTTATAGATCATCATAAATATATGATCGAGTGAATCAAAAGTCTCCGAACATTAGCTGATGAACAATTAGCTATCACTTTCTGATTCATTTGTCTTCAAGTTTTGATTAGTTCTTGTAGTTAAAATCTCTCCTTAGCGCTTTGAAATCATTAGCAATTAAACTAACCACCCGGTTTTTTGAGCCAGGAGTCCTGTTTTATAAACAAGCGTATTGAATTTTAATCACCTACTCCAAATGTAGGTGTATTAATCTTGAAGAATAACTAATTGATATGGAATCTAGATCTTTGATCTTATTTGGTCCCATAAAACTTACAAGTTACCATACGTTTGTTTCCCCTTGTTTTTCCATTCCATAACGATAACAAAGAAAAGATTGGCAGTTATAAAACCTTAAAGTAGAATCGATTACGATGTTTTGATATCCTTACTTCTTATACAAGCTATAAGTACTCACTGGATTTGAGGCTACATGATGGATAAGATACTAAGGCAGCTTGTTCGAGATAGGCAACATTTATATATGGGATCACCACAAAACTTAACTTATACATCAGAGCAAAAAGGCGTTCATAGTCATAACATGATATATATATATATATAAATCAATAAGATTGTACCTTTTATTCAGATATAAATTAGACCCCTTTCATTTGGGTTTCATCAATTGGTTTATCATAGACTAGCAAACTTCTTAAACTATGTGGAAAACAATTGCAATATATTCATTATATGCCTTCTTGTTATCAACTTATAAAACATTACCAGGAGTTTTTTACATCAGGTTTTATTATGAAATTGCAATGGGTATCATATTCCCTAAATTTATCAAATCTTTATTAATTAATGATTATTCTGAAAAATCACCTTTTGAAACTTCAACATCTCAAACTTATAATTCACCATTTGAATGTGATGCATATTGTCATAAATCCAATTCAACTTATTTCCATGAATTAGATATATCAAGAGCAAGATTAATGGTATCAAGACTTCAAAAATTCTTTATGTTTTACCAAACTGAATCCAAAACATGGCCATATGTTCCTCTTGCTAATATATTTGTAACATTCAAAAAAGAAATTAAACCTTTTCAATCATATCAAGTAAAGCATAGAATCCTTGGATGGGATAGGAAATGGTTATTCATTTTATCAAAATTTGTTTCAACAGGTGAAAAAGGTGAAATCATTCATGCAGTTTGTATAACTAAGTATGTTTTAAAAGATGGTAGAAAAACTATAAGTCCAAAAGAGGCACTAAAATTTTGTGGTTATCAAATTGAGCAATATGAAGAAGAGGCTAAGAGAGGCGTTGATTTGGTGAAATGGTTTGTTGATACTGGAGATGTTGAAGCGTTGGACATCTAGAGTCCAGAGATGATTTAGGGTTTGAATGGGTGGAGTTACAAGGTATAGGTAAAATAATTCGCGGTAATTGGAGCTAAGGGCAGAATTATTAAGAACTTTTGAAGGTTTTCATATATGTAATTATTATGAAGAAGTGGATCTGATTGAATTGAATCTAAGCTTTGTATAGTGACGACCTACAATTATATTCATATATAAATCATATACTCATATATTAAATCCATTAAACGTTCATCAAACAGTAAAAGTTGATTCAAATTCAAACTCTGAAAACAACTTTTTGAGCACTAACTTTACCTTGTTTATTCAATTCAAAACCTTCATTAGCACTTTCTAAACCAGATTTCAAAACTTTCAAGTTAGCATGTTTGATTGAACTTAAATGGTTTGGTAAGACATTAAACCATAATTCTTTAAATCTTGTAAATTGTTCTGGTGTAATTTCTAAAGTCATACCATAAGCATTAATTGGACGACCAACAGCAACATAAGCTAAAGTACTATTGACAACAGTATGTTTACCAGATCTATCATCTTTTTTCAAATCTTTATCTTGGATGAATAACAAGTTATCTAATCTGACGTTTGATGAACCTTTTGTAGCATCATAAGTTTGTTGGAATGTATTATCTGCAGAAACGGTATCTAAAGCATAAGAAATATCAAATTTAGTTAATTGTTCTAAAGATTTTGGATCACGATAATCAAAAGTTTCATCAGCACCAATTGATTTCAAATATTCATGGTTTTTAGATGAAGCTGTAGTTAAAACATTTAAACCATAAATTTGTTTAGCAACTTGAATAGCCAAGATACCAGTAGCAGTAGCACCACCCCAAATTAAGATAGATTTACCCTTGTTAGCTTCTTTTGATAATGGAATTTCCAAATTCGAAGCAAATGAAATACTAACAGTAGTTAAACCTAAAGGTAATGAAGCAGCACCTTCAAATGATTTTGTAATACTTGATTCATAATCACCTTCTTTTAAAGCATCTTCAGAGATTTGTTTTGGATCAAATTTAAGTGTAGTTGAAGGATCAGCTCTAACATAGTTTTGGAACCCACCAAAATCTGGACTAACATTACCTTGAACAAAAGTTGAAACATAATCACCTTTAGCAAAACCTTTAACATTGGCACCAACAGATTCAACGATACCTGAAACATCAGAACCTGTGATTGAACCTTTTGGAGTTAATCCAAAATAGATTTGTTTCCAATCAGTTGGATTGATAGCATAAGCAACAGCTTTAACAATTAATTGATCATCTGAAGCTTTTGGATATGGAACTTGTTTAATTTCAACAATTTTTGATGGATCTTCAAGAGAACCTGAAAAGATAGCAGCGTTATTAGTTGACATTTTTGAATAATTTGTATATAAATCAATTGTATAATATGATTGATATGAATTGATATGAATTGAGTTATTATATCTTAAGTTAAAGGGGGATGGAATTCCTTTTATACCCACATTTGTAGGTAACCTGGGCTAACTAAAAAAATAATTTTGATAAGAACACGATTTTGAGCTTACAAATTGGTTTATGAAATTGCTATAACGTCTTTAACGTTATAAAGATTCTTTTTGGTGCTTAAAGACTGTGATATCAGCACAGAAATGAGGATATTCTAATGAATATGATTTATAATACACATACAACATAATTACCAAAATTTTGTTCTTTTAACGGCTTTTGAAACGTATCGTTAACTAAACTTTAAAGTGCGGTGATTACTAACGGACTGTAAACGGAAAAAGTGGATCGGAGTTTTGACGGGATTTAGAATTTTTATATAGAAAATATCGGGGATATAATATAAACTAACTTGATTAATAATAATATACCATACTTGAAGAACTTGGTCATATTCACATGCTCAGAATCAGATGAGTGGTATATGAGCTGTGAACCACTTGAGCATTTAATTAGATTTGTAATCTTGCTCTTCATACGTATAATATGTATATGCAGTTCATTTTGTTTAATACGTGTTGTCAAAGTGAATTATATTTTGGGTAAAGCAGTAGCTATTTACAACATTAAAGATCATCAACCAATGGTTCATTAATAGATATACAAATCATCAATTAAAATTAATCAACAATACAAAGCTTTATTGATTAATAAGTTTTAAGAGCTTTAACCAAAAATCTTCTATACGAGCTTGCTTTCCCATTTGAGACTTTAACTATAATATGATTTTCTTTACAATTTGGTAGCTCTGTGTTTGCCTTGCTTATACATAAGTCATTAAATGAAGGAACAGTAAATTCAACTTGGTCTTTTTTGGAGTTCAATGGCTTGATTTCAATCTCAACAACATCCGAAGCGGTGGAATCTATTGATGATACCTCTCTATAATGAAACCACTCAAATTTCAATTCATGCCCGTTCAAATCATAACTTTGTGAAACGTCTAATACAACAGTGGAATTTAAGTTTGCCTCCAAAATGAATGGCAATACACTTTGAGTTCCATTAGCAACAACGATAGGTTCATGATAAGTCTCATTGAAGTCATTAATTGTCCATTGCATTCTTGCTGCAAAATTACCTTGATACTCAGGCCTCCATCTCCAAATAGTTGCTTGAGAACTATTGAAAGTTATTCCATTTAAACCAGTAACATGATCTATAGTATCTGAATATTGATTGTAAGTTACACTAGCATCAATTAATCCATAACGACCGCCCCATCCACCATATTCAGGATGTGAAGGAACGTTCAAGCCATTTGGTAAGACTGAAAAAGTAGTCGGTGTATCACCTTCATAAATATATGCACGTTCTAGATATTGTTTTCCTAATGGTCCAATATCTTGAATATTCTCTTTAGCCCAAGAATCTGATACCCAAGAATTATCTGGTCCACCTTCGTCATATCCTGTTCCTGAAATTCCTATCCATGCAGCTTTGAGATAATGATTAAAAGCATGAAGTGAAGCGATATATCTTAGTTTAGGATATGTAAATCTAATCCAAGGACCTGTATTATCTTGATCAGATATTGTATAAACAGAAAGTTTGGAAATAATAAGATCAACTTCATCTTTTGGCTTAGTCTCTGAAAGATGTTTTAAAGCTTCTGCTAGAACATTTGGACCACCCCAAACCAATACATAAAGATAATCATCAATATCTTTCAGCTTATTAATGGTTTCAAGTAAGTGTTCAGCACCAGAACTTAATGTATCGTTCTCTAATGCCAGGGTACCATATACTGGATGACCCTTTTTAACAATACTTCTTAAATAATCAGCTGTTGGATATTGATCTGAGTGTTTGATTAAATTTGGATAAACTTCTTCATAACCATCAATAGCTGGGAAAATATCTTGTTCATGAATTGTGGTATTTAACCATTGTGAAGTTGTAGCAACAATACCATGTAAATTAATCTCATTTGTGTATAAAAACAACCGAACCAAAGACTGTGCATCATCTGGTTCATTACTTATATCTGTAAGGACAAAGACATTTGGCTTATAATCTTTCAATGGGATCAGAGAAGTGACTGAAGAGATTAACAATGATACTATCAACAGCAACTTCATAATTTCAAACTGGTAACCACTTGTTGTCCCTTTGTAATGTGTGAAGTTATAGAGTATAAGTACTACAACACCTAGATGTACGCATGTTTAAATATATTTCAAAGTATAAGTAGCTGCTAAAGTCTTTTATATAAGGGGTTCTCTGATCTCTCATCTTGAATCTTTCCCATGTGTGACTTCTGTATAGGCTATTTACCTTTCTGAAAAGTTAATTGAAAATTTTAGCCTATTGTAGTTCTAAAAATCTAAAGCGCCGACTCGCAAAAACTGAGTAACTGAGTACTGAATTCAATTTTACAACTTAGCACTTACGAAGAAAACGTAATTGATATGTAATTGATGTTTTTCCCCAGAATTTTCAGAACTCGCATACAGATTTCCACGAATCAGTAATCATAATACCGACGATCATCAGCGGAGAAGATCGACAACTTGAGTTAAATCATCGAATTAGGTATAAATTAGATACAAATTAGTACAAAGAAGTATGACTAAGTATAAATAAGTGGCTTCAAATTTCATACACTTTGATGTGCCTGACCCCAGACTTAATAGGCTATTTCCTTCAGAGATTGACCTTGTTTTTGTTTGCTTGATGAATAAAATAGCCGATTGTTTATACACAAGCTGATCCAATGAAAGAATTTGTTCGACTAAAATAATGAATCTAAGATCTATATAAAGACCCAAATCCCCAGAGATCAGTCAATGAAGCCATATGGAGTTTAATAACATTGGATATTTATATCAACAAGATGAAATTATTATTGATCATTTCATTATTGATCACAACTGTGATTTCACAGATCCCATTGAAAGATTATAAACCAAATGTTTTCGTCCTTACAGATATAAGTAATGAACCAGATGATGCTGAATCGTTAGTCAGGTTATTGCTGTATACAAATGAGATCAATTTACATGGTATTGTTGCTACAACTTCACAATGGTTGAATACAACAACTCATGAAGAAGATATTTCCCCAGTTTTGGAAGGATATGAACAAGTTTATGAAAATTTGATCAAACATTCAGATCAATATCCAACAGCTGATTATTTAAGAAGCATCGTTAAGAAAGGCCATGGAGAGTATGGATCACTAGCTTTAGAAAATAACACATTAAGTTCTGGTGCTGAACATTTAATTCAAACTATTGATCAATTGAAAGATGTTGATGATTACCTTTATATTTTGGTATGGGGAGGTGCTAATGTCTTAGCTGAAACATTGAAACATCTTTCAGAAAATAGATCAAAAGAAGAAGTTGATTCTGTTATTTCCAAACTTTCAGTTTATACAATATCTGATCAAGATAATACTGGTCCTTGGATTAGATTCACATATCCTAAACTAAGATATATCGCTTCAATTCATGCTTTTAATCATTATAGAAACTCAGCATGGATTGGAATTTCAGGTGAAGAAACTTATAATTTTGATAAAGGTGGACCAGATGGTTCATGGATTGCCGAAGATTGGGTGAAAGAACACATTCAAGATGTTGGTCCATTAGGAGAACATTATTTAGACAAGGCATTCATTTATGAAGGTGATACGCCAACCACTTTTTCAGTTTTACCAAATGGGTTGAATGTTCCTTCACATCCTGAATATGGTGGATGGGGTGGTCGTTATGGATTAATCGATGCTAGTGGGGCTTTTAATCATTATGCAGATGTTGAGGATCATGTTATTGGTATTAATGGTGATAATTTTACTAGTTCTCAAGCAACAGTTTGGAGATGGAGACCTGAGTATCAAAGTGATTTTGCAGCAAGAATGCAATGGACCGTGAAAGATTTCAATGAAACTTATCATGAACCTATTATTGTTGCTAATGAGACACAAAGTGTGTTACCATTCATCGTGGAAGCAAGGTTAAATTCCACTGTTGTATTAGATGTTTCACAAAGTTATGATTTGAATGGTCATGATTTAGAATTTGAATGGTTTCATTATAGAGAAGCTACATCAATTGATTCAAGAGCGGCAGATGTAGTTGAAATTGAAATTAGACCATTAAATACTAGAGAAGATCAAGTTGAGTTTACTATTCCATCATTTGATGATTTATGTCTAGGTACATTAAAGACAGAATTAGAAAATTGTAAAGAAAATCATATTATTGTGAAAGTGTCAAATGGAAAAACAAGCTCATATAGAAGATTTTTGGTCAAAGCTCTTAAAGAATGAGCTAGAAGTGAATGGTTGAGTACTATATAGTTTATATACCTTTTGTATTATATAATCAAACTCACGTTTGTCATATTATTGTCGATTAAGGGGAACTTTACTCGGGATGAAGATCAGCCGCCATAGAATTCAAATGATTTGTATAAATAATCCAGAATTTCCAATAAGTAAATAATACTGATATATTATGATTTTGTGCTTCGATGTGTCGTTCATTTCAGTACCAATTACTGACCACTGGCGCCGTCTTGATTGCTTGACGCTAGATCTTGATCACTAGCTCGCTATCTTGAACATCTTGATTACTTGATCCGCTCTCTTGATCATCTTGGTTACTTGACCTTGATCATCTTGAATACTTGACGCTATCTTGCTATGAGCTGTCTTGATGATTCAAAATCGTCATGTGGCGTACTCTAGCTGATTATTTATTGTTATTCAAAGATAATATAATTGTCTAAGTTTTCTATGATTTATTGAAGTGCTCTTTATTCAATGGGGGTTCTCATTTCAATTATAGTCAAACAATATACATAAAAGAATACTTTGTCATGGGCTGATGAATGTTTGTTTATATGATATTCACTGCATGATTTAGAGCATTCTTTATTCTTTATACCTATTTAATTAAAGCCTTGTAGACATCTTATAAACAGGATTGACTTTAGCCGCCCATTAAGTCATAGATCTACAAAATTAAAAAATGAAGCTCGCATTAGATTATAGATAGCATTTGATCAGAATGTAAATTCATATTATACAAATGGTTTGACAAAGTAAGTACGAAATAGAAATTCAAGCTCTGAAAACGATCTTTTGAGCACTGACTTTACCTTCTTTATTTAAAGTATAACCTTCATCAGCATTTTCAAAACCTTGTTTCAATACTTTCAAACCAGCATGTTTCAATTCAGGAAGATATTTTGGTAAAGCTTCAAACCAAAATTGTTTATATCTGTTGAAACCTTCATCAGTTAGATTCCAATGTCTTCCATACGCATCAACTGGATGTCCAACAGCAATGTATGACATTGTTGGTGTAACAAAAGTTGCCTTACCGGATCTTGAATCTTTTTTGATTTTATCATCAAAAATTGCAAATAAATTATCTAATCTAACATCTTTTGAGTTTTTAGTAGCATCATAAGTTTGTTGGAAAGTTTCCACTGTACCAAAAACATCAAGGGCATAAGAAATATCATATTTTGATAATTCTTCAATTGCAGATGAATCTTTATAGTCAAAAACTTCATCAGCACCAAGAGATTTTAAAAATTCATGATTATGTTTAGAAGCTGTTGTTAAAACTTTTAATCCATAAACATGTTTAGCAATTTGAATGGCTAAAATACCAGTAGCAGTAGCACCACCCCATAATAAGATATATTTATTAGAGTTTGAACCTTGTAATAATGGAATATTTAATTCAATAGCAAATGAAACACCAATGGTAGCTAAACCCAATGGAATAGTGGAAGCACCTTCAAATGATTGAATTGTACTTGATGGATATTCACCAGGTTGTAATGGATCAACAGGGAATTTTGAAGGTAATTTAACAGTAGTGGATGGGTTTGCAACAACAAATTTTTGGAAAGCACCATATTCATCAACATTACCATGTAAGAAAACTGAAACAAAATCACCTTTTGAAAAGCCTTGAACATTTGCACCAACAGTTTCCACTGTACCTGCAACATCAGTACCAGCTACTGCACCTTTTTTACCAACACCAAAATCAGCATGTTTCCAATCAGTTGGATTAATAGCAAATGCTAAACCTTTAACGATCAATTGATCTTCTGTAGCTTTTGGATATGGAATATCTTGAACTTGAATATATTTACCTGGTTCTGTTGAACCAGAAACTAAAGCAGCAGTATTTGGTAAAGCACTAGACATTGTAGATTTATTCAATTGTAGTTGTATTAGTTTGTATTTGATCAATTCAATTGAGTATAGTGGAATATAAGAATGAAGTACAATCTTTATGAATAAAGGGTCATTTGTATCTTTTTTATACCCATTCAATCGGTTTTAGGTGCCACACAGTGTACCCTACCATTGGGCTAAAAGGTACTAAATATTAGCAATTGCTTGAATTTGCTTTGAAAATCCTTGCACATTTATAAGCAAAGAATGTGTCAATTGTCATCAATAATAATTGAAAGACGACTCCGAGTCTCCGAGTATACGTGGTATGCACTGTGTACAGTGTACTGTAAAGCAAAAGCTTAGATTGATTATAAATCATTATGGAACACCTGAAAGTTTACGGAATTGAGATGAACCCCATTACAGTGAAAACAGACACGGAAAAGTTTGACAGAAATGTGACCCTACCGACTCCTACTTTTCTCGATTGCATTATTCTGATTTCGAATTTTGCGATTCAACTTTTCAAGTTCCACTTACCACATTAATGTTACAATAATCATATACTCTCCTTTAATTCTATTGTTTTTGGTGATCTAATGTTTCGTTGATAAAGGGAAGCGGAATCTATCTTTAATGGTATGCTTATTCAGCTTCCGGTAGTCTATAACCATTCTTTTTTTTCCACTAAAATACACTATGATCTATGGTCCATTGAGATGTGTTCATAAATGTGTATAACTACATACTGCTGCTTATAGTTGATAGTTAACGTTGAAAAAGATGTTACATCAAATTCAAATATACAGAGTTACTTTTTTGCCATTTCATCAGATCAGTCGTATTTGTCGCTTAAACTTAGCGGTTATTTTGAAGAGTTTATACATATTACGCATTAATATCTATGATCAATATATAATCTCTAATCAACTGGAAGCTGGTGTTTATACGGTTTTACAAATACACCGGGAGTTCAAAGCCAGATCCAAAATTAGTAGTGCCATAACAGCTGGTATATCAGGCCCATAATTAATTGAGTCAATGGGAACTCATATTAATGAATCGCTGATAATTAATATATTTAAGGATTATGGAAAATGACATATTTATTTGCTCAAAGTATCCAAAAATTGTTTTTAGTACCTCAAATATTGACACGCAAGTGTGATCTATAAAGATGTGAAATATTATTTTCCAGTAACTTTTGGACACAATTATGCTCCATTATAGTTAGTCTGAGCTAGTACTTTAATGATAAATCCTTAACTTGAGATATACCGAAGGATCATTGAAATTAGAGAAAAGTGAAGGAGACTCCATAATGCCTCGAGCATATTTATATCAAATGTCATTGGAGTTGATGAAATATCAATTCATGAGGTTGAACTTTATATAGAGAATGTTTTTAAAGACTTCGGGCGCTAAGCTTCTGAGAATATATATATATAATATAGATTGCAAGTAAAGTCATAATTGTTATTTGATATCCACGTAGCCTTTTCAGGATATATTGTATAAGTATAACTGATTAATTGTGTCAAAATCGGAGTATAGCGGAGATCGACTTCTGGGTACCCATAATTCGAATATATTAACTACAATTTAACTTGATATTCAACACCAAGTACTACACATCCTTAAGATGAAAACCAATATATGAGCTTAAATATACACTGATATCTACTATCCTGATAACCGATCTATAGTGTTATATCTTTAGTAGTACTTTATTGCACCGGTGCATTATGTAATCCAAATGAATATCGTGTCCCTTGCAAATAATATACGCGTGAAAAAAAAAAACCAGAACAAAAAGTACATGAAGATTCAAGAACTGATCATCTGAAAACACAATTGAAATCCAATGAGTTTGCTAACGTTGTTTCCGGACAATGTGCTGGTAGAGGTGCTGCTGAACTTGAGTCCATATGACATCAACAATCTTTATTCCATTGAATCAGTTTCAAAGAGATTGGTAAATTTTATATCGTTAACAAAAGATACGAACGATCTTACGGTTTTCAATAATGTTCCTAAAGAATCACAGTTACTTCTTCCAAAAAATTCCAAAAGATTTGCAATAAAGCGTGGATATATACAACTTTTTGAATTTAAAGATGCTAAAAGTTATACTGAGAAAATTTCAAAGCTTTATGATTCAACTCCAAAATTTATCGTATTTCCAGGTACTGATCATGGACCTGCAATAGACAAATTAGTGGACGTTAACAAATGTTTTGGTAGAAATCCTAAATCTAGCTTTCATTATTTCATGTTTGAACCAAAATTTATACGTCAATGGGACGTTATTTGTTATCCTGAATATTTCCATTTTCCAAATTTAATTGATATCGAGTTACGTGGTTCTAAAATCATATCAGACAAGAAACAGAAATTCTTCAATTATAACAATGCTGAATCTTTAATCATTATGAACTCAGAAATAAATTTATCAAAAAGGTTTTTCAGTGCTATTGATTTTGAAAGAAACGATCCTTTAGAAAAGCTGACTGTATTTGATTCAAATCCAAACGATCTCAATCTGTTCAATCAAACATTCAAAAATATAACAGATATGGAACTTGTACTAGATGAATTTGATAATTATGATCCATTCATTTTCGACAAGAGCTTTAAAATTACAGGGTGTGACTTTTTAAACCTTAAAAGTCTTAAAATAAAGTGTTCTTCAGGTGGTATCATTGAAAAATCATCTTTCCCCAATCTTAAAGCTCTTTCAATTTGTCAAAAAGCAAGCACAATCGAAGGTCACAAAATAGAGAGAATTTTTTTGAAGAACTTAAAGCTCCCAGAACTAATAGACTTTGAATGGATTTCATCTTTTTCTTCTCCTATCATCGGAAGAGATTTTGAAGCTCCAAAACTCGGACTTTTGAGACTTTATATAAATAAAGATTTCCAAAAAAGTAATCCACATAAAGGATGGGAAGATTCAAGGGATTTTACAAATATCAGTGGTTTAGTGTCCATTATTCCTGAATATTTGGTTATTGATTGTCCCCTGATATTGAAAGCTTTTAATTCACTTGGTGCATTAAGATATATAAGGAATCTGTTTTTTTGTGCAGAATATATAAGCCTGAAAGAAATCAGCGTTTTTGAAGGGTTGAAATTTGATAATTTAATTAATTTAGCGTTTTATGATATTGAATTTGATGATACTACAGAAGCTACAAAAGCTATACTCCCCATTTTTCAAGCACCATCGCTGAACCAATTTATGATAAGAACTTCGGAAATTAAAAGAGTACTGAATGATATTAGAGGCCTCAAATCTTTAAAAAGCTCAAAAGAGCTTGTTTTGGATGCTAAATACAATGATGTGGTAGAAATATATGGTAGTGAGGTTCCACGTGAGCTTGAAAAACTGCTCATTGAAGCATCATCCTATGACCAACAAATTTTCATCACAGGAAGGTTTGAAAGTCTCAAATATTTAATTATAAAAAGTTCTGAATCTAGAAGTTCCGAGATTAGTATTAGGATTTCTGCTCCAAATTTAGTCAAATTAGATGCCAATGGTCATAATTTAAAGAATTTGGAACTGTTTGATTGTCTAAAATTGAAGATTATATGCGCTGACAAGGCAGAAAGAGTGCATACTCACGAGGATTTACCTTCGTTGAAATACCTCAACATTCTAGACACAAAAGATGCAGATGAAATCCATGTAAAGGCATCAAATTTGAAGCATATCAAAACCCCATTAAATGGTAAAGCTAAAATCCAGATGGCAGATATTACAGGCAGTGATCAAAAGAGGCAGAAATTAGAAGTTTCAAACACCCAGAACAAATATGAAATAAGTGAACTTGTGGATGACGAGTTTAAAATTCATCCACTCTTGGATGTGATCTCAAAAAAATTCAAACTTGATTCAGATGTCGTTATGAATAGTAGCTATGACTACTCATGTTGAGGCTAGTTTTATGTATAAAAGTTTTAGCCTAATACATATATAATGTACATATTACTTTGACCTAGAGAATTTTCATTGCAAAGGTACTCGCATTCATGCCATGTTTGATTCTTGATAAATTATTTACTCATTAATATAAAGGGAAACAGCTGGCTGATCTGAGTCATGCTCGATAAATATTTACTGACTTTTCACTATCATATATATTTAGCACATATTTCCGCTGTGTATTGTTTAATCCATCCACATTTCCGATATAATAGAAACGAATGTCGTGTGTCCCTTGCGAGTAGTATACGCGTAGAGAAAAAAATCAAGACAAAAAACACATGAAAAAATAATCATCCGAAAGACTCAATTGATATCAAATGAATTTGCTATCATTGTTCCCGGACAATGTGCTGGTAGAGGTGCTACTAAACTTGAGTCCATACGACATCAATAATCTTTATTCCATTGAATCAGTTTCAAAGAGATTGGTAAATTTTATATCGTTAACAAAAGATACGAATGATCTTACGGTTTTCAACAATGTTCCAAAAGAATCACAGGTACTTCTTCCAAAAAATTCCAAAAGATTTGCAATAAAGCGTGGATATATACAACTTTTTGAATTTAAAGATGCTAAAAGTTACACTGAGATAATTTCAAAGCTTTATGATTCAACTCCAAAATTTATCGTATTTCCAGGTACTGATCATGGACCTGCAATAGACAAATTAGTGGACGTTAACGAATGTTTTGGTAGAAATACTAAATCTAGCTTTCATTACTTCATGTTTGAACCAAAATTTATACGCCAATGGGACGTTATTTTCTATCCTGAATTATTCCATTTCCCAAATTTAATTGATATCGAGTTACGTGGTTCTAAAATCATATCAGATAAGAAACAAAAGCTTTTCAACTATAATAAGGCTAAATCTTTATTCATTTCAAACTCAAAAAGAGATTCATCAAAAAAGTTTTTCAGTGCTATAAATTTTGAAAAAAATGATCCTTTAGAAAAGCTGGTTTTATTAGATTCAAGTCCAAACGATCTTAATCTGTTCAATCAAATATTCAACAATATAACACATATGGAACTTGGAATAGGTGATGATAATAAAATTTTTGATCCATCACTTTCTTACAATTGTTTTAATATTACAGGATGTGACTTTCTTAACCTTAAAAGTCTCAAAATAAAGTGTTCTTCAGGTGGTATCATTGAAAACTCATCTTTTCCCAGCCTTGAAGCTCTTTCAATCTGTCAAGACACAAGCACAATCGAATGCTACGAATTAAAGAAAATCACTTTGAAGAACTTAAAGCTCCCAGAACTGATAGACTTCCAGTGGATCTCATCCTTTTCTGCTCCTATAATAGGAAGGAATTTTGAAGCCCCCAAACTCGCACTTTTGAGACTTTATATAAATAAAGATTACCAAAGGTCAATCCCAACTAAAATTTGGGATGAGATAGAAACTCAAGATGCAAGGGATTTCAGAAATAACATACTTGGTTTAGCCTCCATTATTCCTGAATATTTGGTGATTGATTGTCCTCTGATCTTGAAAGCTTTTGATTCAAATGATGTATTAAAGTATATAAAGAATATGGTTTTTAGTGCAGATTTCATAAAGCCAAAAGAGATCAGCATATTTAATGGATTGAAATTTGATAATTTAATTAATTTAGCGTTTCAAAATATTGATCTTGATGATACAGAAGCTGAGCTACCCGATTTTCAAGCACCATCGCTAAACCAATTTATGATTACAACTTCAGAAATCAAAAGAGTACTGAATGATATTAGAGGTTTTAAATCTTTGAAAAACTCAAAAGAGCTCGTTTTAGATGCTAAAGACAATGATTTGGTGGTAGAAATTTATGGTAGTGAGGTCCCACGAGAACTTGAAAAACTTCTTATTGAAGTATCCTTTAATCAAAAGATTTTCGTCACAGGAAGGTTTGAAAATCTCAAAAGTTTAGTTTTAAAAGGTTCTTACTCTAATAAGTCTGATATTAGGATAAAAATTTCTGCACCAAATTTAGTTCAATTAAAAGCAGAAGCCAATGGCTTTAATTTAAAGAATCTTGAACTGTTTGATTGTCCAAAATTGAAATTGATATCGGCTTCTAAGGCAGAGAGAGTGATTACACATGAGGATTTACCTTCGTTGAAGTACCTCAAGATTCTAGATACAAAAGATGCGGATGAAATTGATATAAAGGCATCGAATTTGACGCATATTGAAACCCCATTAAATCATAAAGCTAAGATTCAAATGGCTGATATTACAGGCAGTGATCAAAAGAGGCAGAAATTAGGAGTATCTAACACCCAGAACAAATATGAAATCAGTGAACTTGTGGATGATGAAAAATTAGAAATTCATCCACTTTTAGATGTGATTTCAAATAAATTCAAACTTGATCCATATGACATTCTAAATAGTAATTATCAGTACGATTAAGGCTTGATGTATAAAAAGTTTAGATAATCTATTCATAATATATGGATATTATTACTTCAATTTAGGGAATTTTCGTTTTGAAGATATTCAATATACCCTGCTTAAATATTTTATTTATTAATTTACTACTCTATCATTATAATATAAAGTCATATAATTGAGATTAACCGTCTATATTGACTTTATATAGTACCTTTGACATATTTCCGATGTGCATTATAATAAATTTCTCTCATTTCCGATGATGTAGAAATAGAATTTCGAATTTGAATTTGAATTCTAATACCCCTTATATTTTGATGATGACTTACAGCTAAATATCTCAAACACCAACCCACTACCAACATCATTTTAAATCATCACTCAATGAATTTGTTACTGGATTTACCAGAAGTGGTGCTGGTAGAGGTGCTACTAAACCTGAGTCCATATGACATCAATAATCTTTATTCCATTGAATCAGTTTCAAATAGGTTGGTACATTTAATATCATTAACGAAAGATAAGGATGAGCTCACGGTTTTCAATAATGTTCCTGAAGAATCACATATACTACTACCAAATGATTTTGAAGAGTATCACGGACCCTCTAGACTGATACAACTCTTTGAGTTCTATGATGCTAAAAGTTACACAGAAAAGATTTCAAGACTAAACGATTCAACTCCAAAATTTATTGTATTCAATGGTAATTTTGGTAAATCATTTAGGGCCATAAATGATCATTATTCTAAAGATCCCAAATCTAGTTTCCATTACATTATGTTTGAGTCTGTACAAGTACGGTATTTTGATATAAGCATAAAGAAAGTCGTTATTTGCTATCCTGGGTTGTTTCATTTCCCACAAATAAGCTATATTGCAGTGGATGAAGGGGTTGAAATTAAATCAGTTAATAAATCTAGGAAAGTATCGTTTGATTTTGAGGCCAATGATGTATATATAGACTTTTGTTTATATGACTATCCACAAACTGATGATGACTATAGTCAGCTTTCGGACAGTAATTATGATCTTGATTTTGAAAGGGATAATTATATGAATCACAATTTGATAAATGACGAAACTGCACAATATAGCCTGAAACTATTTAATCAAAGGTTCAATAATGTCACTAGTATTTCAATTGATCTTTCTATGTGGTCCCGCAACATCAAAAATTTTAACCCCCATGAATCATTCAATATAACGAGCTGTGAATTTCCTAATCTCAAGAAGCTTACTATAAGGATTGCAACAGGCCATGGAATCATTAAAGATACATCATTTCCAAAGCTTGAGAGTTTATCAATCGATCAAGCAATAACAAAGGATGATGAATGTGGATCCCGATTATTTATTATGGAGAACTTGAACCTTCCTAAATTGATAAAGTTCGAGTGGATTTCATCTTTTAATACTCCAATTATAGGGTCTGGATTTCATGCACCAAACCTTAGACTCTTGAGACTCTATATAGAAAAGGTTGAAAGAGAGCCTATCAAAGATTTAAGACTTCAAGATGTTGCAATATTTGAAAAAAATGTGCTGGGTTTAGCTTCAATCATTCCTGAAAATGTTGTTATTGATGATCTTTTAACATTGGGTGCTTTAAATTCATATGGTGGATTGAAAAATGTAAAGAATTTTATTTTTATACTTCGTGATATTTATGGTTATTATAAAAAGATTGATAAATACAAGCTACTAAATGGGTTGAAATTTGATAGCTTGATCAATGCAGAATTTCGAAAAATTGGAGTTTTTGATGATTTTGACCGTACCATAAATACTATAACACCCATGTTGTTCCAATCACCATCGAGATCATTAAAGCAATTGATGGTAAAATTTTGGTATGACAAAAAGTTTCTTGATCAGGTATTAAGGAATTCTATGGGTTTGAGAAATTTAAAAGAATTGATATTGGATGTTAAATTTTGCCCTGCAAGGGTGGTAATCCAATTAAACAGCAGTGAGTTTCCCCAACAAGTTGAAAAGCTCTTGATAAATATAACAGGCGCTACTTTAAGTGTTAACATTACAGGAAGGTTTGACAATATCAAAAGTTTAGTTATAAATTGTCCTGACGAAGGCTTTTCTAATCTGATATATATAACTGTTTCTGCACCAAATTTAGTTCAGATAAGGACCCATGGTGTCAATTTAAAGAATTTGGAACTGACCGACTGCTCAAATTTGAAAACTTTATCAATTGATAAGGCAGAGAGAGTACTCACACATGGAGATTTACCTTCGTTGAAATATCTCAAAATTCTAGATACAGAGGATGCAAATGAAATTGATATTAAAGCATCAAAATTGACGCATATTGAAACACCCTTGAATGGTAAAGCTAAGGTTCAAATGGGAAATATTTCCAGTGATACTGAAAAAAATCAAAGCAAACTTGAAGAATCAGATGAACTTAATGCTGAATTGATTAATGATTCACTTCTGAGGTATATGTCAAAAGAATTTTACATTTATCCAGAAAAAATTCTTCTAGACGGCAGTATGAATGCTTAAAGTGTGGACTATATCTTAAAATATTGTTGGTATAATGTGTTATCTTTTTTTCTTAGAAGTTTGGATGATTGGAATTGAAATACCATACAAGATATATCATTGATCTGTCATCTGTGATCTATTCTTCATTTGCCAATATATATCATCTAGCTTGAATTCCGTTCATCAATTACTGAAAGATTATATGTAGTTTAATTCAAGCTGTCATGATAACCTTTATTAGTTTAACGCTATTCCTTTAATCAACAGCTTCCAAGTACCAAATTATTTGTAGCTTTGAGTGTACTAGTTATTCTACACCAACAAATATTATTACATCGACTACGTCTTGATACCAATATATTAATTTCAATTAGCCGCTGAGGTTGATGTATCAATTAAGTAATTATAATTGTGATCGACGCGTTATTTAATTTATTAATATTTGAAATTCTTAGCTTACGCGTCATTTTTTTATTCTATATAAATACAGCTTTTATTTCCCTGAATTGTTTAATTGAATTATATCGATAACGTTAACTTCTCTTAAATGAATTGACTCTTGATTTTATAGATCTGTTTAGATACTCTGTTACTTAATGATTTAGATTTTCTGGTGAAGTGTTTCAGATGTTCCAATTCCAAATGTCAGATTGAGATGTTGACAAATTTCTTGAGTATTAGCTAAATTAAAAATTGAATGTACAAAACTATGGAGCTTCTTAGTGATGTTATATATAATTCATTCATAGAAATTCCACTAGATACACAATTGAATTGATCATTTGATATCGGTATAAGCTTTAAAAAAGCTATCAATGGTTTCAAGTTAATTGATCATTCATATTACCTTTTATTAAATCGTTCATCATGATTTCATGTAGTATACATTAAGCGATTCATTAGATCTATTATTATATCAATAATTAAGGCCTTTTACCCCTTGGTTATATAAATTGGTGATTAGGGGTAAGGAGTAAGGGTGGCAAATTTAAATCAAAGTTTAATTTTTTTCGTGTATAAAAACAAGGTAATTAAATTCAATTTTTAGTTTAAGTTCTTTTTATAATTCAAGCCACTTATAACGAGAATTCGCGGATTTTGTATGGGAGATTTTTTTTTTACTAACAAAAAATTACGTTTTTTTGAAAATTTCAAAAATTTCATGAAAATCAAATCCTTAACTATGGGGAGTTTTCATTTTTCTCAAATTTCGATGGGAGTTTGAAAAAATCTCCGTCTAGCGAAATCGAGCTCTGCCTAAAATCTGAGAATCGTTGGGAGGTTTAGTAGGAAAAAAATTTGTCCAATTTTGTCCAAAACCTCCCAGCTACCTACGCTGGCTAGTAGGCTGGTAAGCTAGAAGAGCTCCTCTCTAGAGCTTTACCAGCTACCCCCAAGCTAAACTCATTTGTCCAATTTTTTTCTTCAATAAAATTTTGGACGTTTACACTTAGCTATATAGATGAATATACAAGAAATATTTAAAACGTTAACAAAGTCAATATATTAACTCATTATGTTTATCATATGATATTATCAGATAATATTTATCGAAATATTACTTTATGTTTTTTTTTCAATAGATTATATGAGATTAAAGCACAGGTTTTGTCCCAAAGATTGTTCTCTGTTCATATCATTAGTGGTAATGAAGTCTTCCCTATCAAATCAGTTTGACCCAAAGAATTGAACTCAAAATCATCTAAAGTTGCTAGTATTATAAATTAAATAGCTCTTAATTCAATCAGACTTCAATATCACTAACAATTACAGCTGGAATATATCATTTATCGGTGTTTTAATGCTGACTTTTTTGGACTTTGGTAGTGTTAGTAAATTGCTTCTTTATAAATTATACCAACACCCAATGAACAAAAAATGTGAATAAGGGACTCTTTCTATCAAACAATCCAAGACTAAAGCAATTGAGGGATAAAATGATGTGTCTTATAACCTTTTGTTTATTCGTTTCATTGAATAAAACAGTATCCAAATGAGTATTAAATTGTAGGTAGTTTTACAATCGCCGAATTAAGATTAACATCAACATACTATTATGATTAAATGCAACCTCTAAACACTATATGTATATATACTATATAACTACTAGAATATACCTGGTGCAAGCCTCTTATAAAGGACAAGTAGTCTCATGATAATACATCTGTATTGCTTTGATACTCTGGACCTTTTTTGAACTATAATTATGATAGTATTATTTGTCTTAAAAAATCACAAGTTCAGTTAACTAAATCTATAATATTTATCAAGATATATTTACCACCAGCAGAATCTATGATCGTGAGCAGCTTCACCTGAACCCTAGCACTAACATCGAAATTAACTGTGGTAGGCTTCTGAAAAGCACATATGAGCCAAATAAGAAGAGTTTGAAGCAGCAATTAAATCAAAATCTCCACATGTAGTTATCAAATTACCACCACTTGAATCTAATTTAATTGGATCATTTAAAACTTTCTTTATATAATCAATTTCAACCAACAGGTTTGGCAGGTATGGCTTAACCTATACCAATAACCAATACCAGCAGTAAATGACTACCCAAATAACCAGTCATGGACACCATAGTAGAGCTCGATTATTGCTAAAATAATCTGAAAGTAAATCTTGGGGCTTGATAACGCTTGATAATAACACCAAGAAATATTGAAGGCATATAAAAACAATCAGCCACTCTCGTTATTGATGTGATATAATTTCAAGTCTCACCTAGATCTAGCAGCAACACTTAGCAATATTCAGCAACATCTGGTACTCAAGGTTCAATATATAATGGCTTTAATGAAGATAATTAATATATTAATTGATATTGAAAACAACAAGTCAAAAAACATCAGCAATGTAGATCATAATATAATCAGTTTGAGAAATGAGTTTAGCTTTTATCAACAACCATATTTGTTAAAACGCTAGCAGAAATTATACCATTGTATCTTGGATCTTGATCTTTTAATTTTCAAATTCCAGCAAACAGACATTGATAGCTACTTTGTAGATAATTGGATGATTTCAATCATTTTGGAAGTCACCAGCATCTAATTCAGGCCATTCAAATCATTGCACTCTCAATTTGGATGTCTTCTTGAAGTTATTACTCTTTAAATTATTCTTTGAATTATCTTTCATGATCATTAAATTGTACAAGTGTTGAAGAAAAGTTCGTCGAACTTCATGAAAATTTTCACCCCTATTTTTAAAAATCTCTTGGCATTTTACGGATTTCGCCCATTTTTGCCTAAGAAGGAAATTTTTTAAAACTGATTATGTTAGCAAAAATTTCAAAAATTTGCTAAAATCTTGATTTAAACTATCTAAACATTTATTTTATGAGCCAATAAGTATATAACTATGATCCTGAATCTCTGTAGTTTATTCTAGTTATTTTAGTTTTACTAAAATCGAAAAAAAAAGTGAATTTTTTCGGTTCAGGGAAAAGGTCAATGTTAAAAATTTTATTTTTACTTTAGAACTAAAATAATCCAAAAAACTGAAAAATTTGATCACTTGAAATCACTTAAAATTAACTCTATATAAGAGCTTAAGAGTTAAATGATATTTTAATATAATAAAAAGACTATATTACCATACAAATGTTGGGAGCTATTGATATTTTCCAATATTTCGGAGTTTTTCGCCAAAAAATTACATAATACAGAGGTAATCAGCTCTTAACTATGGAGCTCGTAAAAATCTATATCTTTGACACTCTGATAAGCCAGATTACAAATTCTAACAATAAAATCCCATAGATTAGGAGAGATTTATGCAAGAGGGGGTGTTCTTTTTGACCAGGTGGCGAAAAGAATTTGTGAGTTGCTGTGGTGATTTGTTTTGATTTTGGCCTCGCGAATTTCCAAAAAATCATAACAACCTTATGTTTACTCGAAATTTGAGCTATGACACCCAAATAAGGACTCTATGTTATCTTTGAGTACACATTCATGGGCCTGGTGATATTAGTTTCATTTGTTTAGTTGTATTCATCGAGGTATAACAGCTTAAAAGTTCACCCTATATATATGGTGTTATGTACGTTGATGCATTGGATTGACCAAGCCTTCCACCCTGGTCAGATCTGCGATCACCAAAAATCACGGAGATTTTTAAGAAACTGGTGAAAATGTATACAAAACTATTTGACGCGTGAAAATATGCATTTGTGATCATAAACAAGGTATAAAATGCGGAATAAGATCAGGCCAGAACATTTCATGTGGAATGTAGCACCTCCTGAAGGAGTGGTTTCCTAATTCGATCATCCTATTTGGGAAATTTGGGCTTAACTATGTATGCACAGCTGGTTCACCTATACTTTTCAATAGCCAATAAGTAAACCTTATTTTCAAGTCTTAGAGAAATTTTTTTGAAAAATTTAACCACTTGAAACATACGAATGAGCCTGAAAAATTATAAATAGAGGTCCAATTCCCTCTTTTTCAAATTCATTTTATTTTCTTTAAGTTTTTCATCTTTAACAAATATTAGTATCAATTCAAACAATTAGTACAATTATTAGTTGTGTGTTTTGATGGCTGGCATTCATTAGATACTTTATATATACTTTATATAGATTGGTCATGGGTCGTTATTGGTGTTGTTGTTTTTAACTGGTGCTATGAATTGATGGTGGTTTTGGATGGAGTTTTAGGTTGTTCAATTTGGTGTTGGTTTTGGTTTGTTGGCTTGGTTTGCTGATGATTAGTTTGGTTGATGTGCTATTTGTTGATATTTGTGCTGTGTTGGTTTTATTAGCTATTGTTTCTGATGCTGCTGCTTTTGTTGCTGTTGGTTTTGCTGCTGTATTTGCTGTTATGCTTTTGGTTTGGTTTTGTTGTTGTTTTGATGTCAGTTTCAATTTGATCATTTGAGTGATATTTGATTACATAATCATCATATAATTTATATAGCATTTTCAAATTTACATTTGATTTCATTTCAATTTTATTTTGCAGTAATTTTCAGTCCATTCGAGTAATTTTCATCCTGATTTTTCGAGTAATTTTCAGAATTTTTGTGAAAATTTCAGAACGGATATCTGTAAGTATGAGCATGCAGCGTACTTTTGAGACCACTGCATCGACATGCATTGCATATGATCGCCCTATATATTAGTCATGACTTATGTAATTAACTTTGAGATATATCACATGACATCACGTGAGTTAATTTAAGGGCTTACGTAATTGTCCCAGCTAATTTTTGGACAAAAATTCTATGTTTACCTTATTCCCAAAAGGGAAACTTTTCGGTGAGCAGCTTTTAAGAAAACTCCCAGCCTAGCTCCCGCCTAGCAGCTCTAGGCAGAACTCCCAGCCTAAATTTACTATGGGAAAAAAATTGAAATTCTCGTTCAAAGTGGCTGTCAGCTTGATTAATATGATAATCAATCAATGGTGACCCTCCCTGATCATACTCTTTTAAATAGATATATTTGTTATTTGGTAAAGTTCACGTGCACCTTTTTCGTCATTTATAGTTTATGATAAGTATTTACGTTTGTGCAAAACATATGTCTTTGTTTAAATGCTCTATTGATCAAGATATATATATGAGGTCTAATAAACCATATACATAACATTTTCAATACATATTGATCATTTGAAAGGTCCATATCCAAAGGTCTGAAAAGATCTAAAGTGATAATCTTAATACAATGATCTTTAAACATTTTAAAATCAACAATTCAAGTCTGTAGTATGAATTGTAAATATCTATATACCTACAATTATAATCAATAAATTACTTGTAGATCTGAAAAATAACATTCATCATTGAAATTAACTATATAGAATACTAACTTTATTCAAGTCCATATATCATAAATTAGTTATTCAATTGATCTGAGACGTTAAACAAAGTTATTCCACAAATCTATTGAATATTGTGCTTAAATATGTTTCCAATTCCAAATAAACAATAATATAGTTCCATCATCGATGTACAATCATGCTTATGGAGGAAATTCTGACGAACTATCTTCAAAAATATTTTCACAAATGCTTCTTAGATGATTTGAACAATTGAACTTATTCACCGACGCAAGTTTCTGCAAAGATTCTGATTCCTATGGTGCTCACATCATCTTTATCAACAACTCAGTCGACATAAAGACGTATATCAATCATTTTGGTTGACGATTTCACAAAATTCAATGAGGTTATTGTGTTCAAAAACAAAAATATGATTACTAAAGGGGTTCATGGAATTATAATATGAGTTTTGTAGAGATGTACTCGCTATATGATAATAATAAATGTTACTAGCGCTGGTCCATTATATAATCAAATCGCACTGTCGTGTCCCTTGCGAATAATATACAGAAGAAAAAAACAAAACAATAAACGTACGTTTAATTGAAGATCTGATCAGCTGAAACTTGAAAGATACAATTGATATCAAATGAATTTGCTATCATTGTTCCCGGACAATGTGCTGGTAGAGGTGCTACTAAACTTGAGTCCGTATGATATCAACAGCCTTTATTCAATTGAATCAGTTTCAAAGAGATTGGTAAACTTCATATCATTAACAAAAGATACAAAAGATCTTACGGTTTTCAACAATGTTCCTAGAGAATCACAGGTACTTCTTCCAAAGGACTCCAAAAAATTTGCAATAAGACGAGGATACATACAACTTTTCGAATTTGAAGATGCTAAAAGTTACACCGAGATAATTTCAAAGCTTAATGATTCAACTCCAAAATTTATCGTATTTCCAGGTACTGATCATGGACCTGCAATAGACAAATTAGTGGATGTTAACGAATGTTTTGGTAAGAATCCTAAATCTAGCTTTCATTATTTCATGTTTGAACCAAAATTTATACGCCAATGGGACGTTATTTTTTATCCTGAATATTTCCATTTCCCAAATTTAATTGATCTCGAGTTACGTGGTTCTGAAGTCATAGCAGATGTATCAAGAAAGAAGCAAAAGTTGTTCAATTATAATAACGCTGAATCTCTATTTATTATCAACTCAGTAAATAAAGTATCTGAAGAATTGTTTGGTGCTGTTGATTTTGAAAGAAATGATCCTTTGAAAAAACTGGTTTTGTTGGATTATAGTCAAAATGACCTGATTCTGTTCAGGAAAACATTTGACAACATAACACATATGGACCTTCAGGTAGATGATTATGGTAATGTTCATCCATGTCATTCCTACAAATATTTTACTATAGCAGAATGTAACTTTTTCAACCTTAAAAGTCTTTATATAAGGTGTGCTTCAGGTGGTATCATCAATAATTCAAATTTCCCCAATCTTGAAGTTCTTTCAATTCATCAAAAAACAAGCACAATCGAAGGAAATACGTTAGAGAAGGTTCGTTTGGAGAACTTAATGCTTCCAGAGCTTATACAATTTGAATGGGTTTCATCCTTTTCTGCTCCTATTATTGGACCAAATTTTGAAGCATCAAAACTCAGGCTTTTGAGACTCTATATATCAACAGGATTTCAGAATATATCTCATCATAGAAATTTTGAAGCTTCTAAAATTCAAGACGCTAGGGATTTCAAAACTGTTTCATCTGGTTTAGCATCCATTATTCCTGAATATTTGGTCGTCGATTATCCTCTAGTATTGGAAGCTTTAAATTCGCATGGTGCATTAAAGAATGTAAAATATATGCTTTTAAGCGGAGAACATTTAAATCCAAAAGAGATCAATTCTTTAAGAGGATTGAAATTTGATAATTTAATTAAGGTTGGGCTTTATGATATTATATTTGATTCCACAGAAGATACATTACCCATCTTTCAATCACCATCACTGAAACAATTTATGATTAAAACTCCAGAATCCAAAAGACTGCTAAATGAAATGAGAAGCTTTAAATCTTTAAAAAACTCAAAAGAGCTTGTTTTGGATGGTTCATGCGCTAATGTGGTAGGAGTATATGGTAGTGAAGTCCCACGAGAACTTGAAAAAATCCTTATCAAGGCCCACTCTGAACAAGAGGTTTTCATCACAGGAAGTTTTGAAAATCTCAAGAGCTTAATTATAGAAAATGATTATGCGTATAAGTCTGAGGTCAGTATAAAGATTTCTGCTCCAAATTTGGTCCTGTTGAAGGCGCACGGTGTTAATTTGAAAAATCTTGAACTGTTTGATTGTCCAAAATTGAAAATAATATCTGCTGATAAGGCAGAAAGAATAAAAACTCATGAAGATTTAATTTCATTGAAGCATTTCAGCGTTCTGAATACAACAGATACAAACGAAATTGATATAAAGGCATCGAATTTGACGTATATCAAAACCCCATTAAATGCTAAGTTTAATTTAGCTCAAATGACAGATATGAATGGCAGTGATCAAAAGAGGCAGAAATTAGAAGTGTCTAACACCCAGAAAAAAATCAGCGAACTTGTTGATCAAGATTTAGAAATTTTTCCACTCTTGGATATGATTTCAAAAGAATTCAAACTTGATCCAGATAACGTTATAGATAGTAGTTATGGGTACGATATTTAAGGCCCTAGTTTTATGTATAAATATTTTAGCATAATGTATTAGTTATATAACGTCGATTACTTGGATTTAGAGAATTTCTTTTTGAAGACATCCATGCTGCTTGATTCAATTAATTATAGTTATTCATTAATTGAGAATATTAGACATGCATGTGCTTTATATTGGTAAATATATTTCCGCCGATGACGTTTATTTATATAATATTTTCCTCATTTATAATTATCATCAAGGTAATTGGCATGCAAAATTTAATTTGATCAAATTGGTTCATATCATGTTATATGGAAAAGTACGAGTGTATATTAACTATAATTTCCATGATTAGCCGCTGAGTATCAATTTACATTATGACGGCGCGTGAATGAATATTTTTAATATTTCTACGATCACGCGTGCATCATGTTTGATTTTTGGCGCTACATGTATAAATACAGGCTTAATATCTCTTGATACTAATCCAATTAATATTTTCTATAGTACTGTGAAAAGTTTGACCAATATAACAGCTAATTGGTATACTTTAAGCTTTCTGGATTTGATTAATTTGATCTTTGTCGATCGGTGAAATATGTATTATAATATCTTAATGCTCAATTTAAAGATGATACCTTGCTTAATTACATGATCACAAGAAGTATATTTTGTGACCTTCTTAGTGGTGTATGATTTTATATATAATTTATAATTTTAATTCATGAGAGGTCTCATTGATATATACAATACACAATTGAATCGATCACTTGATATTGGTTTATTCATCACGTTAATTGATCATTCATATTTCCTTTTTCAAAAAATCTTTTTCAAATAGTCCATCATTGAATTTGTGTAGTATACATTAAGCGCCTCTCTCGATATGATCAAAAAGACCTTCCAGGCCGATAAGCTGGCCGGTAAGGGGTAAGGGGTAATCTTAAGCTGGGTGGCAAATTTAATTTTTTTTTTCGTGCTATATAAATTTACTTACGAATCCTCAGTCAATCAACTTCTAGTTTTAATAATATTTTATATTTATATATTTAATTGGAGTTGCAGTCGATAACATTTTTATATATGGTACTTCACAATGGGTGATCCACCTTTGTCGTATCCTATTAATTAGTGTGCAATTTTCAAATATGAAGGATTGATTTAGAACAATCTTCTGTTATATCAAGCTGATTTTTAGGTTTTTGCTCAAATGTTCTAATATTGAATTATATATGTGGTCCACATATACTCATATACATAACATTTGTAATATATACACGTATATTAATGATCATTTGAAAGGTTAATATCCAAAGGTTTGAAAAGATCTAAAGTGATAACCTTGATACTTGATACAATGATCTTTAAACATTTTTCATTCAACAACAACTAAAATTTGTAGTATGATATGTGAACCAGCGACTAGCTAGTGATATCTATATACCTACAATTATAATCAATAAACTTGTAACTGAAAAACACATTCATCATTGAAATTAACTAAATAGAATACTAACTTTATTCAAGTCCATATATCATAAATTAGTTCTTCAATTGATCTTATAATAGAACATTAAACAAAATAACAAAGCTCTATAACCAACTAGATCCATAAATCTATTGAATGTTATTTAAAGCTTTTATTTCTGATATGTTTGTGACCATATTGGTCAGTCAGAAAGGATGATGCGTATTAATTAACCAAAGTTTAAGGACGGTAGGTACCAAAAGGTACATGTCATCTAAGTAATTAACATAATTAAAATCACAATATTTTATTCCAAAAACTTAGATCTTTGTATTAATTTTCGACTGATGTGTTCAAATTGAATTGTAAAAACTCTTTATTATTTGTTCAAATTATTAAGGAGAAATGAGTAATTTAAAATTAAATTTTAATATTAACATCATGAGATTTATTTCGAGAAATTATATTATTTATAACATAAGCCATTACATAAGTGCCTCCGATTGTATTATAACGAAAAAAGGGTATTAAACTAGGAATTTAACTGCAATTATCATCATCTGAGAACCAAGTCAATTAATCAATTATTCTATATCAATCCAAATACTATGTCATCACCAGAAATACCAACAGAATTACCAAAAAACTTAATAACATTCATAAATAGATCAAAAGAATTAGAAAAAGCAGATTCAATAATTTCATATTTTTGTAAATTATATACAGTGGAACAAATATTAAATCAAGGATTACATCAAACAAATGAAAAAATTTCAACTTTTGCACTTTATTTACTTGATTCAATTGAAACTTTCAAAAATGATTCATCAAATGATGTATTAGATATTATAAATGATAAAGAAACAAGTCAAATTTATATAATAAATTTTAGTGATAAAATTTTTAATAATTCATTAAATCAAATTCATCAAAAAAAATCAGGAAAATCAACTGCCCTAGGTTTTTTAGCAAGTGTTAATTTTTATGAATTATTGAAATTATGGAATGAAGATGATAAAAAATCAATTGATCAAGATGAAATTAATAAAAAAATTAGATATGGGAAATTTCATGCTGCAAGAATTTTAAAAAATTTGAAAAAAGGTGAAGATCCAAATGAATATGATCCACCTGAATTGAATCCTGTAGAGGATGAAGATGATGATGTTGTTGATGAAAAGGAAGAGGTTGAGAAGAAGGAAGTTGATAGTGTTACAAATGATTTGAATGATGAACAAAAGGAACAAGAAGAACAAGATGATTTAGGATTAGGATTACCTCAAGTTCCAAAATTCATTGATGATGAACCAAAATCAGATCCAAGTCCAAAACCAGAACCAAAAAAATCATTATCAAATGATACATCAAAAGAATCAAGTCCAAATTTCCAATTACCAAACCCACCAAATTCTAAACCTGAAGAATCTACAAACTTACCTACAAAACCAGTAGTATCATCTCCATCTCCACAAGTTACAAAATCCACACCAACCCCAGCAAAATCAGATACAACACAATCAGATATAAATGATTGGATTAAATCTGGAGAAATTTATCAAAAAGCCCAAAAACATGCAAAATTTGCTATAAGTGCAATGAATTATGAAGATAAAGATACAGCTATAAAGCAATTGAATGATGCTTTAGAATTATTGAATAGATTATGAAATACATTATAATAAAAGATAATAAATTATAGGCATCTTATATGGGTTTTCTTAATATAGAGACCGCGCGCGCGTAAGTATCCCGTATTCGGATTAGTTTTACTATGAAGTTTATTATAAGATGTATATCGAGTATGGATTATGGAGTACGGTAATATACCCTTTATCTAAAACTAGTGAATATACAAATGCGAAGACAATGCACTTGAATTGAGCTAAGTATATCGTTCCAATATCCAATAGCCAGAGTAGCCGGTTATTTAATATCCAGACCGGAGTTGGCTATATAATTTAAACGCGTATAAAAATTTCAGCCACTCAGAAAAGTTTTTCCGTGTGGGATTTAAATAAAGAAACGTTTGATTTACAAAGAACAAATTTAACATATAGAATGAACTATAATTTCTGTTATGAGTTGGTCAGTGGTCAGTGGTCACTTAATTGCCGATATAAGTCAATACTCCATGTTATTCAATACCCACATGTCTTCATTCGCTCGTTTACTTTGACTCTTTGGGATTCTTTTAACCTTTTGACTTTCTTTGCCCACAACGATTAAAGCCTAATGACCACTCTTGACCACTCTTGTATACCCACTGTGGCATGCCCACCCAAAGGTTAAAAGCTCTAGGCAAGGCATAAACATTCAGCGCAAGTACCACTAATAGAGTAGAAAACACTACATTTGTTCTTTTATTAGTTTCTCTGTTTGAATTCTTTGTGGGTTATGTAACTATATGCTTGCACCTTATGCTTGTCTTTATCAGTCATATGAGAAATTTTCACCAACTCATCGATCTGGAAAAATTATGGAAAAATTATATAAACTCAGATTATTCTCATTTTAGTACTTATTCAATAAAGATTTAATACTATAAAGTTATAGACTTATACACTTCATATTCAAACTTCATATTCAACAATGTTCAATTTCTTCACAAACTCTTATATTGCAAATGAACCAAAACCAACTGCTCCAGTTACACCAGCTGTTGCCAAACCAGTTTCAAATGGTTATAAATTCAACTTTGATTTAAGTTTCTTAGGTGAACATATTCAAATTTCTTTATTCAAAGATTCAAATTAATAAAGCTTTAGTTTTTGTTGGTACATTATAGATGGTGACTGATTGGTCTTATGAAATGATAGATGATAAAGGATAAAGGTTATGAAATGATATAGATCTAATCAGTTTACTATAAAGTACAATGGTTTAATTAAAAGTTGATGAGTTATGTTTTTGGTTTAAATAATTAATATATTAATAATTAATGATGAATGTTTTGTTTGTAGACTAGTATATAATCACTTTTTGTATATAAGCTCATCTCATCGCGTGGTTAAGCTACGCGGGATTTGAAAGTTTCGAGACTACATAAAAAACACATAGGCCATAAATTGTACCCATAAGGAACCATCAAAACATCAAGGAAACAAGGTATACCAACATGTTATTAGATAAATGTTTATTCATATTATTCATAATACCCAATATTCTTGCCCTAGTTCAAAAACATGATTGGTATTTAAAATACAAAGAAATTAAACCTGATCCAAATACTTCCAAAACAAGACGAATAATTTCAATTAATGATCAATGGCCACCACCAAATTTAAACTTAAACAAAGGTGATACTTTAAGGATTCAAGTTCATAATGAATTAGATGAAGATACTTCATTACATTTCCATGGAATTTTCCAAAATGGTACTAATGAAATGGATGGTCCCTCCATGATTACTCAATGTCCAATACCCAAGGGAGAATCATTCATATATGAATTTCAAATTAATCAAACTGGAACGTTTTGGTATCATTCACATGATAGAACTCAATATGGTGATGGTTTACGAGGTGCATTAATCATCAAAGATCCAGAGGAGGAGAACAACTATGAAGATGATGTTGTTATAACTTTAACTGATTGGTATGATGGTATAACTAATGATTTATTGATTGCAAGTCATGGACATGAACCTAGTATAAATGATGGATTATTTAATGATACTAAAGGGACACAATGGAGAGTTAAACCAAATAAACAATATTTAATTAGATTAATTAATATGGGGATGTCTGGTTCACAATTTTTTTATATTGAAAATCATAATTTAACTATAGTGGAAATTGATGGTGTTAAAGTTAAACCTACTGAGGTAGATTCTGTGAATTTAGCAACTGGACAAAGATATGGTGTTATTTTAAAAACCAAAGATCAAACAATGGAAAATTTTGGAATGGTTTCTGCTGTTAATTTAATGATGAGGAAAAAATATGTTGATAATTGGATTATATATAATCCTGATGCAGAATTACCCGTGCCAAATCATATAAATACTAAAGAATTAGGTTATATTGATGATTTAGAGCTAAAACCAATGGATGATATTAAACTATATGAAAATCCTAAACATTCTATAGTATTAACTTATTCATCAATAACATTACCAAATAGAGATGATGATTATTTTTATACAATAAATTCAAAACCTTTTTTCCCACCACAAGTTCCTACATTAATGACAATAATGTCTTCATCACCTCATGATGTTTTGAAAAATCAAATTTATGGTAATTTAACAAATTCTTATATTTTCCAAAAAGGTGATGTTGTTGAAGTTATTGTCAAATCTGAAGATCATATGAGACATCCGTTCCATTTACATGGTCATAATTTTCAAGTTTTAACAAGAGGTTCTCATCAACATTATGATAAGAGCAAAGATTATAAATTTTCTGAAACCCCAATGATTAGAGATACAGTTAATGTACCAGGTTCAGGATTTGTTATCTTGAGATTTATTGCAGATAATCCTGGTGTTTGGTTTTTCCATTGTCATACAGATTGGCATGCAGCTCGTGGATTAGCATCTTTATTTATAGTGGCACCTGATGTTGTTCAGAAGACTCAACATATAAAGGAAAGTAATTTACAAGTCTGTAAGAAAGCAGGTATAGTTACTAGTGGGAATGCAGCTGGGAATAAAGGTATGAATATGACTGGTGATTTAACTTTAGAGATGTTGAATAAGAAACCGATTAATCAAACTTTAACAAGTATCAATACAAATACTACAAATACTACGACTAACAACACAAATAATAATACAAAAAATTCATTCAATGATAAAATCAAAATCTTGGTGATTTATATATCATTCATGTTAATCTTATCAATGATTGGTGGGGTTTATGTTAATAAAAAAATTCAAAGAGATTCAAGTATCAAAAGAAGAGTACAATCAATACCAATACCCAGTGAATGAATCAAGATATAACCTTATATAGATCTTAAGCTTATAACAATCCATGAATTTTAGATTATAATATGATCTAGCAATAATACTATTGATTTTGTAAGTATTATAAAATATAAGCATCAATGCTCCTAAATTGTTTTTGGTTGGAACTTCAGGTATGCCTACACATCTTTGGTACTGAAAGTTTTGTTGCATTATATAAGCCTACAAGTTTGCTTAAAACAGCCACTCATCATGTTGATTGAATTTCAGCTTTACCAGAAAGATCGTAAGCGAGTCACTCAACATTTCACCAATTATTGGTCAGTCAAATGAAAGCGTATATGATATTTGAGCGGAAAATTGATTTGATTTATAATGTACTAGTATGTAGTACATTAATATAACCGATTTTCGGGACCCGCGATTATAGATTTCTGGGGTAAGTACATAACCCTTTGTAAATATTGACTCATTGTTAAATATAAAAAGGTTTTGATTTCCATATCAGATCAAAGAATTATTTCATCATATCAGTACCAAAAAGTATACACAATGCTGGGTAAACGATTCCAATCAACAATTTCTAGATTCCCATACCCTTCAAAATCACAACAATATCGATATTATGAATCTCAAGTGGAGCAAATAACAAAATGGTGGGAATCTTCTAGATTTAAAGGTATCAAGAGGACTTATCCTGCTGAATTAGTTGCATCACATCGTGGTTCTTTTAATATTCAATATCCTTCATCAATCCAAGCAACAAAGCTATTCAATTTGTTAAATGAACGATTCTTGGAGAGAAAACCAGTTCATACTATAGGTTCAATAGATCCAGTTCAAATATCACAAAGTGCTAAAAATCAAGAAATTGCATATGTTTCAGGATGGGCTTGCTCAAGTGTATTAACTACCACTAATGAAGTCAGTCCAGATTTTGGTGATTATCCTTATGATACTGTTCCAAATCAAGTTGAAAGATTATTTAAAGCACAACAATTACATGATAGAAAAGCAACATCTGAATGGATTCAAAACCCACAAAGAGATCAAATTGATAAGATTGATTATTTGAGACCTATCATTGCAGATGCTGATACTGGTCATGGTGGAACAGGAGCAGTTATGAAATTAGCTAAATTATTTGCAGAATCCGGGGCTGCAGGTATTCATATTGAAGATCAATTACATGGTGGTAAAAAATGTGGTCATTTAGCAGGGAAAGTTATTGTCCCCACGTCAACTCATATTACAAGATTAATTGCAACAAGATTACAATGGGATATTATGAATACTGAAAATTTAGTTATTGCAAGAACAGATTCTGAAACTGGGAATTTATTAAGTTCTGCAGTTGATCCAAGAGATCATGAATTTATTTTGGGTGTTATTGAAGATGTTAAACCATTAAGTGAAGTTTTGTATGAAGCTGAGAGTCAAGGTGCTGATTCTAGTAAATTAAATGAAATTGAACAGTCATGGCTTGAACAAAATAAATTATATACAGTATCCGAAGCTGCTGAGTTGAAATTAAAAGAATTAGGTAAATCAATTGAGACATTCAATGAATTCCAAGCCCAATCAAAAGGTAAATCATTATATGATACCAAACAAATTTTTAAAGAATTAACATCTCATGATTTGAAACATGATATCGAAGCACCAAAGACTCGTGAAGGTTATTATCCAGTTAAGAATGGTATTGACGTTGCAGTGAAAAGATCAATAGAGTATGCACCATATGCAGATTTATTATGGCTTGAAACTAAGACACCAAATCTAAAATATGCACAAGATTTCGCAGAAAGAATTCATAAAATCCATCCTGATAAGAAATTAGTTTATAATTTAAGTCCATCATTCAATTGGAGTGCTCATGGGTTCAGTGAACAAGACTTACAAAATTTTATTTGGGATTTAGCCAAAGCAGGATTTGTATTACAATTAGTTTCATTAGCTGGACTTCATACAAATGCAGTATCAAATTTTGAATTGAGTGAAGCTTTCAAAGATCAAGGTATGAAGGCATATGTCGAGCTAGTTCAAAAGAAGGAGAAAGAAATTGGTTGTGATGTCTTGACTCATCAAAAATGGAGTGGTGCTAATTATTATGATGAATTGATTAGTGCTGTTCAAAGTGGCTCATCTCAAACCAGTTCTGTTGGTAAAGATTCTACCGAGCATTCGTTCTAGATTATTTATTTATTGAGATATTTATCTATTTATTCCTATTTATTATATACAAATTATTTATTCAATACGATAATGTACTCACTACTATCGATCTATCGTACGAATTAATGATAGTTCATAAGAGTCGGTTAGCATCTATTCAAAACTTACCGATCGATATTGTGATGACTAATCCCACCGGCAAACCAATCAAAGTTCCAACCGACCTTCTAATTATCTTATCGCGATCACTAAATTCTGTTGTATTTGAGAAAGCGGTAAATAGATTTTTTGACCGTTTGAATTTGAGGTTTAAAAGCTCATGTATCACGAAGTTGTCAGTGGGATATGATTTTTGACATGATTGTATTGATAGTATGATGATGGAGAACAAATCAAATTGATCCAATGCTAAACAACTGATAATAGCTATAGATCTATCGAGATCTTGTTCAATTGGTGGTAAATAACCAAATATGATCGTCTTGGGCATGTGTTGAAGATAAATCGTACCAATTGAGCAATTACACAGCCCTTCAATGGCTTATTATACCACTACAGCTAGGCTACTCATAAGCATTAATCATGAAGATTTTGCAAGTTTAAATTATTAGATCTCATGGACACAGGTGACAGGGTCCCCATTCGAACCCTAGGCTCCTTCTTTTTTTTTTCACTCTGCGGTATTAAATCGGTCTCAATCACCGATTGAAATGATTAACATAATTAACTCAAATCAAAAAATCTCATAAATATTTAACCAATTTATGCAAAAGAAAGCGGTCAAATGATTGTATTTAAACAATTGAAAAGAACCCTTTTTCAAATCAAATGTAATGTCAAAAATGTTTTTTTATAAACATCATAAATCATTATGACTGATTCAAAGAGTTTACCTTCTTCAAGTTCAACAAGTGAGGATACAAATAAAGTTGAGGCTTTTGTTCCTGCAGATAAACAACAAAATTTACAAGATGTTCATAACACCAATGGTCAAGCGCGTTCTAGATCATCATCATTAGCAAGAACTTTATCACATAAATCACAAAGATCTATTAAGACAGCTCAAGAAGATCATGAAGCTTTAGAAAAATTAGTTTCAAATAATCCTGGTGTTGATAATTTAATCACCAAATTAGAATCAAGAGCTGGTGCCTTGGGGCCATTAGAAGATGGTATTGATATTGAACAAGTTCAAACTCATCCAGATCCAAAATCAACAACACATCCAGATGATCAATGGGGTTATACAATCGATGAAGAGACAGGTATAAGAATCGTTCAATTTGTTCCAGAAGATCCAAAAGATCCAAGAAATTGGTCCAAAGCTTATAAATGGTTTGTTACATTCTTCTTAGGTTTAATCTGTTTTGATGTTGCATTAGCTTCAGCTATTGTTACAGGTGATATTGAAGGTCCAATGAAAACATTTGGTGTTAGTGAAGAAGTTGTTATCTTAACTGTTACATTACTGGTTATTGGTTTCGGTATTGGTCCATTAGTATTTGCACCACTTAGTGAAGAAATTGGTAGAAGATGGGTTTATGTCTCTACTTTAGGTCTTGCTGTTATTTTCATTATTCCATGTGCAGTGGCACAAAATATTGGTACTTTATTAGTTTGTCGTTTCCTTGATGGGTTATTTTTCAGTGCTCCAATGTGTTTGATTGGTGGTAATTTAGCTGAAATGTGGAAAACTGAAGAAAGAGGTGTTGCTATGAGTATTTTCAGTGCTGCTCCTTTTATTGGTCCTGCAATGGGTCCACTTATCGGTGGTTATATTGGTGATAATGTTGGTTGGAGATGGATCTATTGGGTTTTATTAATCTTCAGTGGTGTTATTTATATTGCTTTAGTTATATTGATCCCAGAAACTCATCATCAAACAATTTTAAAGCAAAGAGCTAAAAAATTAAGAAAATTAACAGGTGATGATACTTATAGAGCTTTATCTGAAATTAAAATTCGTTCTTTTAAAAAAATTGCTAATGAAACTTTATTAAGACCTTTAATTTTATTAAGTGAACCAATTGTTTTCTTGATTACATTATACATGTCAGTTATTTATGGTTTACTTTATATGTTCTTCTTTGCTTATCCAGTTGTTTATATGGAAGGTAAAGGTTGGAGTGCAGGTAAAACAGGGTTAATGTTTATTCCAATTGCAGTTGGTGTTATCTTTGCCACAGTTATTGCACCTTTTTTCAATACTGATTATAACAAAAGAGCTCAAAAATTTAAAGATCGTGGTGAATTACCACCTGCAGAATTAAGATTAATTCCAATGATGATTGGTTGTTGGTTAGTTCCAGTTGGTCTTTTTGCATTTGCTTGGTCATCATATCCTCATGTTTCATGGGCTGGTCCATGTTTTTCAGGTTTTGCATGTGGTTGGGGTTTCAATCAATTATATAATCCTGCAAATAATTATATTGTTGATTCTTATCAACATTATGCTGCATCAGGATTAGCTGCTAAAACCTTTTTAAGAAGTATGTGGGGTGCTGTAGTTCCATTATTTACAATTCAAATGTATCATAGATTAGGTTATGAATGGGCTTCATCATTATTAGCATTTATTTCACTTGCATGTTGTGCAATTCCATATTTCTTTTATTTCTTTGGTAAAAGAGTTAGAGCTAGATCTAAATATGCTTATTCTCCAGAAGCTGAACAAAGAGCTATTTCAGGGGCAAAAGATGTTGAAAAAGTCCCAAGTACATCATCAGATTAGTTTATGATTAATCTTAAACGAAAGGTCACAGATATTAACTTTACATCTGATGATGCCATTTGAATCAAATAAAGAAGGGGTTTCAATTCCAAAACAGGATTTATTTAAAGAGTTTTATACCCAGATATTTAATATAGCGTAATAATTAATAGAATACATAAGAAATTAATACAATTATCAGTAGTTTATATCGAAATTAAATAATAATTTAAAAAATTTGTCTATACCATCTGTCATTGCAACACGGTAACTTTGCATCAATCCGATTCGCGCCACTATTTCTCGCGAATGTCGCGAATTTCTCCTGAAATTTCATTTTTTTGATTTTTTCGTCAATTTGAATTTCTAAATCAAACAAGTTGATACTCTTTTTGATCGTATAAACAATTAAGAAATAATTCAAAAACATTAAAAATGTCTGATTTCGGTTCTCAATTACAATCAACCTTGAAAGGTTTAGACAACGTGAGTAAATTTCATACAATTGAGTTTTGGAATTGAGTGGATCGTGAATGGTTTTGGTGGGAGTTTGTTAGTTTGGGCTATACTTATTCTTGCTTGCTTTGACGTTATCTATTAATTATGGGTGATGGCGAAAACTCAATAATCCTAATTAAAGAAACTCAATTGCAATCATACTAGAGGTACAAGTATACTAACAAGATGGATTTCAGAAATTTGCTGGTAATTCATTATTAAATCAATTTGAATCAACCACAAACATTCCAAAATCTTATGGTATCTTAGGTGCAGGAGGTTTTTACTTCTTTTTAATCTTTTTAAACATTGGTGGTGTTGGTCAATTATTATCAAACATTGCTGGTTTTGTTATTCCAGGTTATTACTCATTAGTTGCTTTAAACACTGCAACTTCAAAAGATGATACTCAATTATTAACTTATTGGGTTGTTTTCGCTTTCTTAAATGTTATTGAATTTTGGTCAAAAGCTATCTTGTACTGGATTCCATTCTATTGGTTCTTCAAAACTATTGGTTTATTATACTTAGCTTTACCACAATTTGGTGGTGCTGAAGTTGTTTACAGAGTTGTTATTAAACCAATCTCTGATCAATATATTACTGGTGGTTCAACTGGTTCAAAAATTTCAAACGCTGTTGATGATGCTGCTGAAGGTATCTCATCTGGATACTCTAAATAAGAATATTTCAACCATTTGTTGATATATACATTTATTACTTAAGATGAACTTATACTTATACAAGATTACTATTATTTTGAAAGTATATGTATTCTAAGAAAATATATATAACTTTTTATTCTTTATATAATTTACATTCCCTTGTAATCTCACCTATAATGTTTCTTTAAATTTACCAAAATCAAATTGTTCAGTTTGTTTAACCCCATTAATATCAAATTCAAATTTAACTCTTAATTTTATTTTGGAACTTTTTGAACCAACAATCTTCAAATCTTGAGTAACAATACCAAACTCATCAATTATTGGATTTGAAATTGATGACATTGTTAATTTTTGAGTTTTAGGTACAGCAATTAATAATTGTAAATTTGAAATTTTTGATGAAGTTAAATTTGAAATTTGAGTTTCAATTAATGCAGAACCTGATTCAACTTGTTTTAATGTAAATGAAACTTTAACCTTATCAGTTTTCAAAGCTTCAATTCCTAATGAGGTTGATTTATTTGGTTGTTGTTGTTGTAGTTGAGCTGGTGAATCAAATAACCCTAAAATATCATTACTTGATGATTTACCACCTGTTGCTTGTGGACCATTATTATTGAAAATATCATTCAATAAATCAACTTCATTTGATGATTTTTGATTCGGAATAGGTTCATCATCCATTAAATCTAATAATAAGTCCTCAGTTTTTGAAGTTTTACCATTATTTGAATGTGTTGAATTGATTGATGTACCAGTTGTAAGTGGTTTGGAAATTCTATTTGTTAATGTAATTGTATCTTTAACTTTAATTGGTGGTGGGGGCATTTTATCTAATAACCCTTTTTTAATATGATCAGGTTCATTGAAAATAACACTATAACTAACAGCTTTAATTTGAATACCTAAATCAACTGATTTGGTCTTGGATTCAATGAAGTTTTTCAATTTATTTTTTGATGATGATGAACTAATTCTTCCAGATAATTTTAATGATGATGTTAAAATATATGAAATTAATGTATTATTATCATTTTGTAAATTTGCTAATGAGATTAAATAATCTGATAACATATCATCTGTAATTGCGGTTTCATCTTGTAATTTTGATTTGAGTAATAAATCACCATATTCACCAACTAACCAAGATACGATTAGATTTAATCCATTTTGATTATAATCTTCATAACCTAATTTAAATAATTTATTAACAGTATAAGTTTTCAATTCATCCGAATTTGGAATATTTATAATCAAACCTAAAATTTGTGATGAAATACTTTGTGTGATAAAATCACCATTTGATTTAACTAATCTTGCTAAAGTATCAAATTTCCATTTTTCATTTGGAATTAATTCTGATCTTTCCAAAATATTAACAATATTTGTTGTAATATAAAGTTTTAAATCTTTATCATTATTTATTGGGTCTTCCAAAAAATTTAAAATTTCTTTAATTAGGATACGAATATTTGAATTATCTAATATAGCAAATGATAATTCCAATGCACGTCTCTTTATGGAAATATCTAGATCTGATAAACATGCAACAATAGTGGAACGATGTCTTTGTACTGCAAGTGGTTCAATTTCAACAACTGAGAGCAAAGTGTTTAATGCAATATATCTATTATTATTTTCCTTTTTAGCACTTAATAATTCACCTAATGTATTAATACCCAAGACTTTTAAAGCAGGATCCAAATTTTGAATACTGAAAATAGTTTTAACAGCTTCATGTATAACGGAGCCACCAGCATTTTTGGAGAAATCATTATTTGAAACAACAATTGTTAAAATATCATTTAATTGTTCATTATACTTGGAAGTTGATTGATATTGTTCATCATCAGTGAAAAAAGTTCTTAAAGTTCTAATTAATGCAATTTGTAAGAAAGGATCATGAATATTTACTAAATCATAATCTTGATTCAAATTACTACTTAATAATGATTTTAATAATTCAATAATCTTTGGAATTTTGGAAATTAATTCTTGTCTAAATTCCGGTGATACGGTGTACAATGATCTAATCAATTTAGTAGCACCAATCAATACCCCATGATCATGACTATTCAATAATTGATCCACTTGAGAAATAAAGATTTCACTTAAATCTGGTTCTTTTTCAACGATTTTTGAAGCAACAATTGCAGCTTTCTTCTTTAAATAATTGTTATTACAACTAATAACTTTTTCCACATCTGTATATAAATCTCTTGCCAATTCCGGAGAGGCAATATTACCAAAAGTAGCCAATGCTAATGAAACAATGAATTGATTTGGATGGTTTAAATCATTATTCAATGAATTTGTTAATAATGTTAAAACTTCTTGATTCTCATCTAATATCAACATTGTAGCCAAATAACCTAATCTTTTATCAATGAAATTTGGTGAAGCTAATAATTTGATACATTCTATCTGACCAAAATGAGTTTTCTCTCCCAAGATGTATAAATAAAGTAATTTTTGGATATTAACACGACGAACTTGATGAGTTATGGCGGTATCTTTAAAAGAGGTTCTTATGAGTGCTGATTCTCTCTTGATGATGGAGCGTTCATCGGCAATAGTTTTAGATGCCCTAACGGACTTGATGAATGACCTGAGCGACGTGGTCATAGCTGATATTCTGTAACAATTGATTCCAATTTCTTTCACTTTTCTGGTGTTTTTGTAGATTCTGTTTGATTTCAATTTCGATTTGTTTTGTTTTCGTTGTTCAATTCAAAAATTCGCGATTTGTTATTTTTTTAAAATTCGCGAATGTTTTGAAAATCAGAAAATTACAAATTATAAAACAAAATTAAAATCAACTCAATTGGAAAGGAAAGAAAAGAAAGGGTGCTATTTCGCTGTTATTGGCGGTGTTTTGTCTGGTTATCTACTATTTACTGTGATATACGCGTACTCAAGCTAAATTTCTGTTTTTATTACGCGTTGATACTCCAAATATCAAGTGAGAAAGTGATAATAAACACCATAAGATCAAAGGGAAACCAAATCAAAATTCTAAATATTCAAAATGGTTTCAGCTGCTGATAATCCAAATTTCCTGTTTCTGGAAGGGTTCATCAAATGGGCACAGGAAGTTTACCAGAATAGTTGTGGGTTAAGAATAAGTAAAAGACATACCACTGTTGGTAAATCTGGTTCTTATGTCACGTTAACTAATATTGGTAAAAAGAAAACTGATGATCCAGTAACGGTTTTCATGAGAATTAAAAAAATTGGTATTCAAATGGTAAGCTTTGAGATATATGATACAATAGTGAAGAAATATATTTATTTTGAAACTGATGATGTTAATTTTAATTTTGATCATAGATTTATTGATGAAAAAACTGTTGAGGATGTTAGTAATTATCAAGAATCTCCTTATGATCATGATTTCATTCCTGATGATATTGCTCAAAGTGGTGCTTCATCAGCTTCTTCTCCGTTGACTGGAAGCGCCAGATCTTCTCCATTACCTACCCGTTCTGCATCTCCTTCAATGAATGGTGATCGTGCTTCAAGTTCAAGTAATTCAAGTAATGGTTCAACAAAACTTGTACAAAAGGAAATAATAAGTGTCGAAGAGGAATCTGAAAATGAATTATTGAAAAGAGAATTAGAGAAAACAACATGTGAAATATTAATCTTGAATATTGAAAAAGAAGCTTTAATGAGGAAATTATTACATCCAGAACAAGAACAAGATAAACAAAATTTCAATATCATGAACTTCAAAGTCTTGAAACCTCTTTCAGTTACTTCAGGTGGATTAAGATTGTTTGCAGTGGAACATGTCTATAAAAGAACAAATCATACTTTAAAAGAAGTTATATTTGATAGATTCAGTCCTCAGGATTATAAATTAAATTTTAAAACTGAATTAGATACTTTGAACCAATTATCCACTATAGAGGAGAAAAGTCCCAATTTATTATATCTAGTGGAAAGAAATCAAGATTTAACTCCTGTTAGACAATCTCATTATTTCCTTTATGAACCTGCAGTTATGGGACTTGAAGAATTTTCATTTAATTTCATTAAAAAAAACAAAAATTCCATTCCTATAGTTATAAGTCAAATTTTAAAAGGTGTAAGTTTCCTTAATACTAAAGCTTTCAGAGTTCATGGGAATATAAATATCCATTCAATTGTATTAGATTCAAATTGGAATGTAAAATTAACAAATTTCCAATATTCATTACCAATATCATCAACAATAGATCCAAGAAGAATCCTAACGGGGAAATTAGATTATTTATCAAAACATCCATCAATTTTTGAAAATTTAGAACGTCAACAAATGTTAATCATAAATCAATCAATTGATAGATGGGCTTTGGGTTGTCTTTTTTATAAATTGCTTTATGAAGGTGAATTATTTTTAAATTCAACAAATTATAGATCTCATCCAGCTTTAATCTCTACATTAACAACATTACCACATGGTAGAATCTTATTTGCATTCTTCGATGATTATAATAGAATTGTTACAGCTGATCAAATGTTGGCAAGTGAATTTTTTTCAAGATATAAAGATATTAATTTAAGATCTTTATTTGATGGATCACATCCTTTACAATCAAGTGTTGTACCACAACAACCACAACCACAGCAGCAACAACAAGATGGATCTAATGGTACTGCACAAGGTACACCAAATGGGACTCCACCAGTACAAGCTCAACAAATTCCTCAAGGTCCAGCTCAAGTTCCTTATCCTCAAAATTCAACTCAAATACCACAACAAGTCCCAAATCAGTAAGAAAAAGAAACCTGAAAAGAAGAAGAACAATATTATAAGCTCCATAGCTACAATTCGCTATACTATATCCTTTTGCTAATGAATGATTATGTCTATTTAATATCAATTAATTAATAATTTTAATTTTATAATTTACGATAATGTGTATTACATAATCGTAAATATGCGATCAGCTGTTCCGCGAATTCTGAAATTGGAAATTTTTGTTTTCTGGGGCGAGAAGAATTATACCCAAACAATGCCACTTGACATAATCGTATAATCAATATAGGGGATTATTACCATATTTTAATAACTTTTAGGTTTTTTTTGGTCATTAAATACCTAGACGTTCTGGCTTTAGGATGTTTTCATTCCCCTTTGGAAAATCTAGAAGAAGGTCTGAACCGGCTATTAATCCAGAAATTGCTGCTCAAGCTGCTGCTAATGTTCAAAATAATTTACAAAATTTACAATTAAATACATCAAATGATAATTCATTGTCAAGAGTTAGTTCAAGGACAAGTAATTCCCTTGGTGTTCCTAAGAATGGGTTAAGAAGAACTAGATCAAGAAGAAAATCACATTCACATATCTTCTCTAAGAGATTATCATTTTTTGGTCATAATAATTCAAGTGATGATTTGAATTCATTAGCTACTTCCAATAATTCTGATACAAATTATGAATCTTTAGAGTTGTCAAGGTTTAAATCACTTAATTATGATAAATTCAAGAAAGAATCGTTACAATATTTGAAATTTCATGGGTTTAGTGCACCAAAAATTTTGAATGATTCAAATTATATTAGAATATCAATAAGTTCTACAGGGGAAAATGTTTTCTTACCAAGTGTAATGAACTTTAATGAAGAAGATGTTGATAATTTAGATTTGGATAATAATGAACCACCAATGTCACCACCAAGAAATCAAAATGATGGATCACAAGAGGATTATAATGATGATGATGATGTTGAAGATGGTCCAACAAGATTAACAGAGGAAACTTCACAAAGAAATCAAAATGATAACGAAGGTGAACCTGTTACACATACATTTGCAATTACTATTTCCCTATCAAAACCAACACAGATATCTACTATAACTACTCAATTACAATCAACAGCTAAAATATTATGGCCTGATGGAATTCCATATGATCGTAATATTAAAAATGAAATATTTGAATTAGGCCAATTAAGTTGGGATTTGAGTTTAAGTAATTATAATTATTATGTTCCATATCAAGATACTGAAGATGCATTAATTGATGATAATAATAATGAACTAAATTCTGTGTCAAATCATAATGATCCTTCTAGATTTATTACTGAGAATCGTATCCCACCAAAGAGTTTCCAAGAGAACACAATTGATCAAATAACTCGTGGTCCATTCATCAATACTAAGAAGAATCAAGATCCATTCATTATCAAAAATTTGCAACCAACAGGTTCTATATCTTACCCACCGGGGGATTATATTTTCCAATTACCAATTTTATTCCCAACAAGTATTGCGGAATCATTAATATCTCAAAATGCAGTTGTGAGCTATAATATTAGAACTATTGTTGTACAACCTCAATTACCATCTCAGAAAAATAGGGTTTATAATCTTGGTGAAAAAACTTTTAATGTTATTAGAGGTCCTCCATCAAATGCTGTATCTACATCTGATAAACCAGTTTATGTTAATAAAGTATGGAATGAAGCACTTAGTTATGAAGTTTCATTTCCACAAAAATTCGTTACTGTTGGCTCTAATTTACCAATTAAATTGAAATTTGCTCCATTGATTAAAGATATTTCAATTAGGAGGATAAGAGTTAATATACTGGAAAAAGTTACTTATTGTTCAAAAGATTTAAGATATGAATATGATGAAACTAGTACATCCAAAAATGAAGGTGTTAGAGCAACAAGTTCAAATGAACGAGTCTTACCATTATTGGAAGTTCGTACTAAAACAAGAACGGAATTAGCTCTTAGAGAGGAATTATTAAAAGACTTATTAAGAGAAGATAATTTGTTATCGAATACTTATAAATCTCAATCTGGATATAAGTACTTGGATGATACTGAAGTTATTGGACAACTGAGACTTGTTGCTTATTTACCTTTCATCAGACCTTTGAAATTGAATAAAGATTTACAGTTACCTAAAAACAATGAATTATCTTCATTAATTTATAATAATGATAAACATAAATCACAAATTGATAAGAAAAAGACATCAATAGTTACAAATCAAGGTGAAAATGTCCCATTTGCAACTCATTATAATGAATTTTCAGGAGATGGGTTGATACCAGATTCATCGAATAATAAATTTATTAAGATTAATCATAAATTACAAATAGCCATTAGAGTTTCCAAAAAAGATCAACATGGTAAAATGCATCATTATGAGGTTATGATTGATACACCTGTCTATATACTGAATAGTTCATGTACCCCAGCAAATGTTGAATTACCCCCATATATTGCCATAGATGGTTCAGATGGAATTGGATACCAACCAACACCATATTATGGACAAGATGAACCACCATCATTTGAAGAAGCCATTTCACCAATGAATTCACCTTCAATGACTCCATATCAAGGAATGGGCATTGGTGAAGAAACCATTGATGTTTTATCAAGAACTTCAACTATTGGTGGCTATAACACTCAATATCCAACACCACCACCAACATCATCGTCACAATTCCAAACACAACAGCCATTTGTTGATTATGACAATATTGATGATTTGGTTAGAGGTACTTCAAATTTAAATATCCCACAACAACCACAACGAGGTCGTAGAAGATCATCAGTTGCAAATGATATAATTCTAAATTTGAGAAGAACTGCAACTAATAATTCATATAATATGAATAGATCAACTGATAGTGGGTTGAATAAACCCAATTCTCAACAAAGTGAAGCAATAACAGAAGATCATGAAGGTGAAGCAGCTATTAAAGAAGATTTCCCACCTCCTACATATAGTGAATCAGTCCCATTGAGTCATAATTCTGAATCTGAAATTGAGTCGTTATCAAGCTTGGATGATCAAGAATCTTATAATGATGAAAATGAGGAAGGTACAGATTTGACAGATCAATTTAAATTTAACTGATGATGTTTCAGTTGTATTTATTCAAGTGTTGTTGTAATTTTCTTTTCAGTTCTATTTCTACACATTCATTAACTTTAGATCTTAAGGAATCATGTGTCTTTTGTGCTCGTTTGTTTTGAAATTTTATAGAGAGATAATAGGAAGTTGTTATATAATTAGTCGTTTTTGTTTGTTGAGAGAATTTGAAATATATGTATTTATTACTGATCTAAAATATCTGTACCTTTATGTAAGGGATCATTAAAGTTTAGCTTAATTTGTCACTTTCAATAGAGTTCTTCTCGGGTATAGCATACAGCGTCGTAGGTAATATCGGAAACTATGGAATTCCACGGGCACAAGATCTTGAAGAATAGAAGCTTTAAGAACACACTAAAAAAAAGCTTTAAATAACACTTAAACAATCACATCTGCTCTTTTTTAATTAATTTACAGGTCTGGCTTCTTCCTGAGCTGAACTATATATCAAAAAACGATGAATGATCATACATTGATCATATTAGCCTTACTTTTCCCACCATTACCTGTGCTTTTGAAAAGAGGAATCAAAGACAAAGCTATTCTTTACAATTTATTTTGGAATTTCATTGGCTATATACCCGCTGTTATTCATTCAATATTTATAATAGCACAAGGTCCAAGGTATGGAGCTTATTATCAGTACAAATTGAAGATGATGAAGATCCAAGAGTATTCACCAATTTATCACCTTGATGAGTTGGATCTTGCTCGTGGTGATAGTGAGGATTCACAGCCCTCTGATTATAGCGAGGATGATAATCAAGATCATAAATATGACGATTCACTAGTCTAGACAGATACAAGATCAGTGATCTTTAGTCCATAATCGACCAGCATCAGTTTGACACATAAAGGTAATACAAATTGAATTCGCGGGTATCTAGGAGATATAAACTTTTTTGAGAAGATAAGCAGCCAATTTGCAACCAAAACCATCAAAAGAATTCAAACAGGAAACGTCATCAACAAAGTAGAAACTTTTTCCTTTAATCGCCACAGACAATCATAATGTGCAATTGTATCTTGGTGCTTTTGTCGCTTTTATTCCCACCCCTCCCCGTCTGGATCAAATGTGGGATCTGTTCAGCAGAATCATTGATTAACATAGCACTTTGTATCTTGGGTTATATCCCAGGTGTGATTCATTCTATTTATGTGATAGCCAAATATCCAATACATTATGTTGTTTTGGATGAGGAAGCTCAAGTTTATAGACGTCATAATCAACGTCAAAGAGATCGTGTTCAAAGCGGTCCACCAAGGGTTATTATTAGAGAACGAGTTTCTACACCAAGTAATGAGCTTTTAGCAAGTGATTCAAATGGTCAATTTTATGGATCCACTAGTAATGAAAACCCACCTGATTATGAACAAGTTATGCAAAATGATAATGGGGTTAATCAACAATATCAATTGAAAACTTCAAGACGTTAAGATGATGATTTGGTATGGGGTTTTGGTTTCAATTTGGGCTGGGAGTTGATGAAGTTATAATAATATGAAAATCGTAATATGGCTGATTCATTCGATAAATTTTAATGAAAGCTATTGGATAGTGTGCAATAGATCCTCATCTTTTGAGATACAAATTTTAATACGTAGCATGACAACAATAAAAATTAAAAATATAACGCCACTACAAAGAAAGGTTTCTAGTTTATTCGTAAAATTCATTCAATCTTTTTAAACATATCTTCATATCTCTTTCATATTAGTTACAATCGCATTCTTTTATTCTGATTCACTATTTGTGACTGTGATTCTTTCAAAACATCAGGTATGATATTTTTCTCAATGACACAAATTTCCGTTGATGGTCCATTAGAAAATCGTATACCATGAACTAAAGATTTATAACCATCTTCAATTTTATATAATCTTAGACATCTATCTGCATGACTTGAAGAATAAACTAAAAAACCTTGATTTCTTGATTCTGATCTTCTTGATAATTCTTCTTCTTGTTGGTGTTGGTCCATTTGAATAAAATCCAATGAAGATAATGCACCTGTTTTCATATGAAATTTATTCATGATTGTTTGATTTTCATAATCAAATAATATCACATTATCGAATGAATCAGCAATGAATAAAGTATCATTTAATAATCTTAAATGTTTGATAGGATTTTCAGAAATTTCAATTTCATCAATTGGGAATCTTGATACTTGAGTATTGAAAAATAACAATTTCCCAAACCTTGTAGCTGCAATGAACTTAACTTCTGAATCAGTCTCTTTCGTAATGACAACATCTTGTACCCATAATGGTTCTTTTGTCATATATTGTTGGTATAATTTATCAATTTTCTTAGAAGTTTTAGATTTCCATATAGTTAAATGAGAATCAACATCAATTATAGCAATTTCACGATCTTTACCCCCAATGATAACCAAAGAGCTTTGTGATTGTGGTAGGAACTTCATAAAACTTACAGAACCATGTAATCCAAACGACATTGAAAAATCATTAAAACATGAACTCATTAATGCAGTTAATCTAAGAAAATAACAATAACCTAAACCTGTACATGCTCTAAATTCTCCATTCATAACTTCCATTGTAACAAAGAAATCACCCAAATCAATATTCGTCATCAATTGCTTTGTTGATATTAGTTTAAAATTATCATCAACATCAAATATCTGTATAGTTAAACCCTTTCGACCTGCAATAAGGTAATGACCACCATCTCTTTCAAAATAACAAAATTTCTGAACATATAACTTCTTCCCCAAAGATTCTAATGAATGTGTCTTCTTGAATCTCAGTTGCCTCGATAGCTCAAAGACTATTTTATTTGTTAATATATTGATCACTTTCCATAATAAATACCCCCAGATTTCGAATCCATAAGTGCTAATGCACCCGAATTTCTCGGTCCTTCAACTCACCTCCAATCCCACCAGTCTCCAAATCTGATGTCAATACCCTCATCTCTTCTATATTATTGTACAATCAGCAACTCTTCTAATGAAATTCATCAACTCAATGGCCCTCCAAAATCACTTTTACCTAAAGTTTTGAAAAAAGTGTGTAAAGATAAAGAAAAGGTGTAAGTTTTAGATCTGTAAAGTAAACAAAAGCGCTGGTTCGGAGACGCTATTGAGATTACGTCAGCATCATCATGTTAAGCTTGTGTGTCACCCGGATTTGATCCCATATAAACTTTTCAGATTTTTCAATAGATTCGTGAGTTTATACTAGATATTTAAGTAGTTGGGAGTGGATTCATACTGTGTGAATTATGCTAAGGGTCTGCCACAGGCAATTCCATTCATTTGCTCGAAGCTTAAAGATGGTGAATTGGAATGAGAGTGAAGTGCTTATAGATAAAAAATCAAAGTTTCAAGGTCGTGCAACCGTTTTAAAATCTGCTCAAGATGTGGAAACATTATTAGAAGATTTGGTGAATAACGATAAATCTATTCAAAAGGCAACTCATAAACATATGTATGCATGGAGAGTTGGATCGGAACAAAAAGGGAAAATCATTGCTACAAATCAAGGTATGAGTGATTGTGGTGAAAGTGGAGCCGGTATTAGGATCATGACATTATTGGAAAGATCTAAATTGGTTAACGTATTGGTTATTGTCTCAAGATGGTATGGAGGTACGGCGTTAGGTCCTGCTAGGTTTAGACATATTACTACAACAGCTGTGGAAAGTTTAAGGAAAGGTGGGTTTTTGAAAGATGGTGAAAATGGTGATGATAATGGAGATGGTGAAGGATCTAAACATGAAAAGAAAAAATCTAAAAAGAAGAGGAAATGAACTCTTTTATTGGACCTGGAGGATAAACATGGTCTATGTTGTAATTATTGAAATGCTTGAACATATTGATCCCTTTTTCATGTTGAATTTCTTCAATGGTGTTACTTTATATTTGTTGAATTGTGGTTCTAATTGATAACATTTGATTGAGTCTTTACCCCCAATAGCTAATAAAAAATCACCATTAGATTCTCGTTGAAGATCAATTGATGCTAATGGGCCTGTTTCTATATCATTCCAGCTTTGCTCAACTTTAAAATTTCTTAGATTTATTAGATTCATATTATTAAATGAATCCAAACACAAGATTTTAAAATCGTCCAATTGAAACATCTTATTAACTGGAATATCCAATGAATCTAAAGGGTACATTGAAACACCGGTATCAAAACACATCAACTTCCCAAACTTACTAGCCACCACTAAATTCATATGCTTGGAATTAACAGAAGTTGCCTCAATGATTAAGAAATCTTGAACCCATTTTGTATCAGAATCATATTTATCCAAATATAGATCTTCAATTGAACTTGTATGTTTCATTTTCCAAAAATGTGTTAGAGCATAAAAATCATTAATTTCCATTTCACGATCTTTACCGCCAGATATTGCAACCCATCTATGTAATGGATGTAATTTGAAACATGATACCGGGGAAGCAACTGAAATTGAAAGATAATTTAATAATGATAAATCATTTGTATGATTTTCATTGAGTATTGGACTTAAATTTTGAATGACAACTTTGCCTAAACAGGAACATGAATGTAGACAATCATCTCTATAGATTAATGAAACGAAATGATCTTCTGAATCATTACCAAAATTTAAATTATTTCCATAAACATAAATTAGCTCCCAGTTTGAATTATAACATGATTTATATATTTGAATTGAACCACCTCGACGAGCAGCTGCAATATATTCAGTATCTTGAGATGTGAAAACAATAGCTTTTTGAACAAAGTAATCTCTTCCTCTCTTATCAAGGATTGTGGAGTTACGTATTTTGAAATCTGAATCTAAATCAAGTACTGTTTATGAAATGGGTTAGTATAATAAGATCTCGGGTTTGCACATAATTATCAGAAGACTCACCTCGTAAACTTCCGTCTTGGACCAGAGAAGTAACTATTTTCATGATCTTGATTACTATATGAGAATCATAGTATTCATGCAATACACAAATTTACGGATCAAAGAAAGCTTCAAGTTTATATATAAATAAGCTTGAGATTTATTTTATTTCCACTGTGATGGTTATGACGATGTGTCCCGTAACGCGCGTTATCCATATATAATTGTGTCAAAAAATTTCCTACGCGTTTGGGTTTTTTCAAAAATAAATTATAGGAATATATCAAGATACTATGTAGGTGATATATTTATGCTATTATATATATTTATATGGATTCAAGATTCCATTTGGGTCATAATGATTCTTTAATTCTTTAATTAATTGAATTTCAATATCACTCTTTGAATAACCAATATAATTTCTTTTTTGGAAACCTAACCCATGTTCAGCAGAAATAGAGCCTTTATGTTCAGAAACCCATTCATAAACAAACGGTTCTAAGACTTTTTCAACTTCTTTAGTATATCTTCTAACAGCAACGTTTAAATGAACATTACCATCACCAATATGACCATAACCAACAGCATCAATCACTGGGAATTCTTCAGTTTCACCGAGTAAACCATTTTCGGTTAATCTATTTCTAACTGCATCAATCAATTTGTAGTAATGTTCCAATGGTAATGAACAATCATATTTATAAACACCACCACCGATTTGTGAAGCCTCAGAAACACCTTCTCTCCAAGTCCATAAGTTTTTCAATTGAGTTTCATCTTGTGCAATAACACCATCATTGATGATTTCATTTTCGAATGCACTTTCCAAGAATGTATTTAATTTTTCTTCGTCATGAGTAGTATTTGAACCTGAGGTTTCAATCAAGACATAAAAGGCATGTTTATCTTCTAATGGATGACTTTGTTTTAAATGATGTTCATTTAAAATTTGACTATTAACATCCATAATTTCAAAAGCTGACAAGATTTCACCTAATTCATTTTTAGCTTTAACAAAAGTTTTCATAACTGCATCATAACTTTCTAAACCTAAGAATGCAACATTAACAGATTTTGGTCTTGATGGACATAAAATTGAAACACCAGTTATAATACCAATAGTACCTTCACTACCAATAAATAATTGTTTTAAATCATAACCAGTGTTATCTTTTCTTAAGGCATCTAATGATGAAACAATACGACCATCTGGTAAGACAACTTCAAGACCCAATACAGTACCATGTAATGAACCATAACGTAATAAACGTAACCCACCAGCATTGGTTGCAACGATACCACCAACATGACATGAACCTTTAGCACCTAAATCTAATGGGAAAATATAACCTTGTTCTGCAAGGTATTGATCAGCAACTTCTAAAACAACACCAGCATCTGTTTTCAAGATACCTGAAGTACTATCAAATGATCTAATTTGGTTCAAGTTGGAAACGTTTAATACAATTTCATCAAAGACTGGAACAGAACCACCAACTAGCCCAGTATTACCACCTTGTGGAACAATGGCTAATTTTCTTTCATTTGCATATTTTAAAATTTGTGAAACTTGTTCAGTTGTTTTAGGTTTTAATGTTAATTTTGATTGACCTCTATATTTTCTCATCCAATCTTCATTATAAGATAATAAATCACCTTCATCTTGAATAATACTTGTTTCTGGTAAAATTGATTTAAAAAATTCTAAATCTTTATCTTCTAATTGACTGAATCTTTCATCACGTTTAACATTTGGATATGAATCTGCAGTGAATTGAACAACTTTTGAAGCATAAGTACGTGATGATACGACTCTGTTAGCTGTGGCTAATCTTAATGATACTGGAGCTCTTTGAGCTGCACCGACTGCTGAACGACGAGCAGCCGAGCAAATAGATCTTTTGATACTGCTGCTAAGCATTTTCTATGAATCTTGACTCTATAATTGATTTAAACCCAAGATCTCTTTCACAGTTAAAATATTCTGTTGAATCTAGATCAATATCTTTTGTACTTATATTTTTCCAATTTTTCAAAAATCTCGAAAAAAACTGACTTCTTTAATAACGACAAACCAAAGTAAATGAATAAACCTGATACGCTTTCAAATTTAAGATCTTATTGCCACAAAAGATAATTGTTGATATATCTGATTTCCTTTTGCTCAATAGTATGATCTTTAAGCTTAATGGAGGTCAAATCAGCATCCTTATATTTTTCCAAACACCAGAGTCATCCAAACTATACATTTTCGGTCGCAACTTCTCAAAATCCATCGCGATTATCTCCATAGTTAAGAATGGAAATTATTACTAAATCAGTCACAAATAGTATAACAACAGATCCTGGTTCTTGAATCAGTCCTAAAGTAGCTGGGGACTTTATTATAATAGATCAAAGTTATCTTATTGTGAAATAAGTGAGATGATAACGATATTTATAGTGTTAAATCAAGGCTTGGAAAGATTGGATACACTGTAACCATGGCAGATGAAGAGGGACCGCTTTCATTTTAAACTACTGATCTCTACAATACATAACATTCCAATCAAAGTATAACATCTCTAGTTGACTATGTAAATTTACCATCTTTTTTTACTTTTATACCCACTTCTAGAAGGTGGTGGAGCTGAATCTAAATATCCAGATCTACTATAACCAGATTGCTGATATCCACCGTTCCCATAGTTATTTTGATAATTGTTTTGATATCCGTTATTGTAATTGTTATTATAATTCATGTTATAATTGGAATTATCATATCCATAACCTTGATTGTTGTTATAGTTTCTTGGAAAGTCTAATGAATTTCTTGATGAACTTGGACCCATTGGTGGTAGCACACCTGAATTATGTCTTGGTCTATTTCCATTAAAGCCAGTATTATTGTTGAAGTTAGGAGTACTTTGGGCCTTCCGTATTTCTTTTTCCTTCTTCTTATCCTTCTTATCCTTTTTAATCTTCTTTTTAGATGGTTGATCATAATCATCGTAATCATCTTTTTTACTTCCACTTTTGAATGTATTTTTGATCCGGCTAAATAATCCGTCTTTCTTCTTTGGCTCAGATGCTGGTAAACTTTTGAAACTCATCTCATCATCATCTCTTCTTCTTTTCTTATTACTCAAATTGAAATATTTATCTCTTAATTGTTGTGGTAAATTATGACCTGAAAATGCAGATCCATCTAAATTAGGTACTCTTGAGGTTCTCTCTAATGGACATTCATCACCATAATGACCCTTTTCTGCACAGTTGTAACAATATATGTTTGTTGGTAATCCCATTTTACGATTAGCATTTTCCACAGTTAAATAACTTCTCCATATACTTGTACATCTATCTGTAAAATGTCTAGTTGATCCACACGTCTGACAATACACCCTTCTTTGTTTCTCTGTACATTGATTCTTATAATGACCTTTTTCACCACAGTTGGAACATACAATAGATTTAGGACAATGCTGAGAGTAATGATCATCAAGCATCCCACAAGCCATACAGACAACCGTCTTACAATTTGCCCTTTTATGTCCTCTTTGATGACAGTTGCTACATAGTATCCCACTAGGTTGGTCTGACCCAAAATATCTTCCTTCACCTCTCAAATCTACCAACTCGTCTGCATTGTCATTGACTTGATCTATCGATAAACTAATTGTCTTCGGACTACCACCAGCGCCTCTTGGAATAAAATCGGAATCGCCCTTTTCCACACTGCACAACGGTTAGTAACCAACCCTTTCATAGCATGCTCATTATAATACATACACTTCCATCTTTTGAACTTCGCTAATTAATCGTTCCAAAACGCTTGAAATCTTGCGATGTTTGGTTTTAAAATCCAAAAACATTTAAATTTTTTTATCTAGAATTCGCGGATATTTCGCGAACTTTTACGCGAAATTTTTTTTGGTGACACAACAAAAAAATTGAAAAAAATTGTCAACATTTCTTGATTGAAGAAGTAGAGTCCGATTAGATTGTGATACTTGGTTTCTAAGGAATTCAGATTTGATTTGATCAAGATGGTTGAAGAAGTCGCTAAGAAGATTGAGCAATTGGCTGTTGACGCTGAAACTGCGAAAGTCGTTGCGCCAAACGGTGCCGAACAAGCTTCACAAGCTCCAAAAGCTGATAATAAACAACAAAAACCAAAAGGTGAAGGTAAAAAGAAGAAAGATAAAAATGCAGGTGCTGCTTCAAATAAATTATATTTAGAACCTCAACCAGAATTTATTGATGAAAGAATTCAATTTTTCGAAAAATTACAAGGTGAATATAATGATTTTGTCGCTAAACAACCAAGAGATGCTATTAGAATCACTTTAAAAGATGGTACTGTTAAAGAAGGTGTTGCATGGGAAACTTCTCCTTTCCAAATCGCTTCAGAAATTGGTAAATCATTTTTGGAAAGACAATGTATTTCAAAAGTTAATGGTGAATTATGGGATTTAGAACGTCCATTAGAAAAAGATACCGTTTTAGAATTCTTTGATTTCTCCACTCCAGAAGGTAAACGTGTCTTTTGGCATTCATCTGCCCATGTTTTAGGTGAATCTTGTGAATGTAACTTAGGTGCTCACATTTGTTTCGGTCCACCAACTGAAGATGGGTTCTTTTATGATTTTAGTGTTAAAGGTGGTGAAGTTTCAGTTTCTCAAGCTGATTTCCCAAATCTTGAAGGTGTTGCTAAGAATGCAATTAAACAAAAACAAAAATTCGAAAGATTAGTTGTTTCTAAAGAAAACTTATTAAAAATGTTCCATTATTCAAAATATAAAAAGTATATGATTAACACTAAAGTTGCTGATGGTGAATCAACTACTGTTTATAGAAATGGTCCATTAATTGATTTATGTGTTGGTCCTCATATTCCACATACTGGTCGTATTAAAGCTTTCAAAATTTTGAAAAATTCTTCATCATATTTCTTAGGTGATGCTAAAAATGAATCATTACAAAGAGTTTATGGTGTTTCATTCCCTGATAAAAAATTAATGGATGAACATATGAAATTCTTAGAAGAAGCTGCAAAGAGAGATCATCGTAAAATTGGTAAAGAACAAGAATTATTCTTTTTCAATGAATTATCACCAGGTTCATCATTTTGGTTACCTCATGGTACAAGAATTTACAACACTTTATGTGAATTATTACGTACTGAATATCGTAAACGTGGTTATGATGAAGTTATTACACCAAATATGTACAATGCCAAATTATGGGAAACTTCAGGTCATTGGGCTAATTATCAAGAAAATATGTTTACATTTGATGTTGAAAAGGAAAAATTCGGTTTAAAACCAATGAATTGTCCAGGTCATTGTTTAATGTTCAAATCTCGTGAACGTTCATATAGAGAATTACCATGGAGAGTTGCTGATTTTGGTGTTATTCATCGTAATGAATTTTCAGGTGCTCTTTCAGGTTTAACAAGAGTTAGAAGATTCCAACAAGATGATGCTCATATTTTCTGTACTCAAGATCAAATCGAACAAGAAATTGAAAATATTTTCGATTTCTTAAAATATGTTTATGGTGTTTTCGGTTTTGATTTCAAGATGGAATTATCAACAAGACCAGAAAAATATGTTGGTGAAATTGAAACTTGGAATAAAGCTGAATCTAACTTAGCTAATGCCTTAAACAAATGGGGTGGTAAATGGGAAGTTAATGAAGGTGATGGTGCTTTCTATGGTCCAAAAATTGATATCATGATCTCAGATGCTTTGAACAGATGGTATCAATGTGCTACTATTCAATTAGATTTCCAATTACCAAATAGATTTGAATTAGAATACCGTACCAAAGATGTTGCATCAGAAGATGTTAAAGATACTGATAGACCAGTTATGATTCATAGAGCTATCTTAGGTTCTGTTGAAAGAATGACCGCTATCTTAACTGAACATTTCGCTGGTAAATGGCCATTATGGTTATCACCAAGACAAGTTTTAGTTGTTCCAGTTGGTGTTAAATATTTTGATTATGCTCAAAAAGTTCAAAATGAATTGAAAAATGAAGGTTTCTATGCTGATGTTGATGTTAGTGGTAACACTTTACAAAAGAAAGTTAGAACTGGTCAATTACAAAAATACAATTTCATTTTCATTGTTGGTGAACAAGAAGAGCAATCAAAATCTGTTAATATTAGAAATCGTGATATTGCTGAATTACAAAACAAGAATGAAGCTGTTGAATTATCAACTGTTATTAAACAATTGAAAGATTTGAAAGAATCAAAGAGAAATGATAATGCTTTGATCTAAGCATTCTGTTCTATAATTTTAGAAGTCGTTGTTAATAATTTTTTAAATTTTATTCAATAAATATATATTTAATGTTATATCTTAGTAACTATGTACATAAAATGCATAATATTCAACACATCAATCACCATGTTTTTTCCTTACTAGTCTCATCTTCACCGAAATGTCTCTCTTTTTCTAATAATTGATCAAATTCATCTTGTTTCTCTTCAATTTGATCTCCATCATCCTGATTTGGTTTATAAACATTTGTAGTAAATGGATTTGCTTGAGTTTGGGTAGTTGAATCTTGTCTTACTCTATTCCATGAGGATCCAGGTTGACCTGATGATTGATACCCGGATGAAATACCATTTTGTGATCTAATTCTATCCCATGATGAAGTTGCAACTGATTCAGATTGTTTTTCTTCACCAAATGGATCTTCACTAAATTCAGTTTGTGGTGTAGTAGGTTGTGGATTCTTGGCTTGTTCTTTTTTCAATCTCTCATTTTTAGCAATTTCAGCTCTTGGACCTGTATGTAAACCCATGACATCTCTATTTTGTAATGGTGATTTATTTCTAAGTTCTTCAGCTTCTTTAGATCTTGGATCTTTCATTATAGTATTTGGATTATCTTTAGACATTTGATAATATAACATCCATTTAACAGATTCACTTGGTTTTAAAATTTTTGCAACTTCATAACATCTTGGATTTGTCTCTTGTAATCCAGATAATTGCCAATTATAAACTGTTGAACTTGTAATTGGACCACTGAATATCATACCCGAAATCCCCAGTAAGACAGCAGTACCCATACTTGTACCTTTTCTAGATCCAGTCAATCTTTTCTGCCTAATGAAAGGCAATGAAGCCATGGCAAAGAAAGCACCCCATCCACCAACTAATGTTGAATATGTAACTTTTGTATACACTTTTTGCAATTGTTCACGATCATCTTTATTTAATTTTTGATCAGCTTCATAGAATTTAATTGCTAATTGGAAAGCCTGTTGTGTTGTGGCATCATAAACTTTGTCGGTATTGAGTTCTTCGTTAGGCATTTTTACTCAATTGATATAATTCCCAAAAGTCTAGTCAAGTTGTCCAAAAGTTTGATATAAATTCTCTTAAATGAATTTAATTTGACACTTAAATTTGATATTTGGTATACAAAGGCCGAATATTTTGCCCTCGTAACTTTAGACTTAGATTCACGTGATTGTTGCGTTGAATTCCGGTATTCGCGAATTTCTACACCAGATTTGAATTTTGATCTCAAAAGGAACACGACATGAAGTAAATAATCAAGTTGGATCTGATATTAACAATAGATAGACCAAAATGGATTCAGACGGTGAGTGCTACTTCTGCCACGAGGTATTATGAATCATTACTAACAGTTTTTTCACTTAGAACTTTTCAACTTACGCCAACAATTCTTCACTGCACAATATGAAAAAGTCAGTGAAATCAACATTGAAGAATATTTTGATGAATCACAAACCATTGCTCGTGAATATAAGCTAAGGTCATTATTAGCTCTTAATAAACATTCAGAAGTCCTTTCAGAAGTCTCATCAGGATCAGATGAATTTTCAAAAGCTTTCACATTATATACCAAACATTTAAAAGGTGATTCTTCAATTGAAGAAGAATTCAACCAATTAATCAGTGAATCCGGTAAATCAAATTGGATTGTTCAATTATTAGGTTCATTTTATTTGGTTTCACAAGAGAAGTTCGATGAAGCTATCAATTTATTGCAACGTCATGAACAACAATTGGAAGCTGTTTTATTATTAACACAATTATTCATTCATCAAAATAAATTAGAATCTGCTGAAAAGGAAATTTCAATAGCTTCAAAATATGCAAATGATTCTATAATTTTCAACTTAGCTGAAGCTTATTTAAATAGTATTAAAAATGGTGATTCATTAAGAGGTTCATTATACTTTTTCGAAGAATTAAGTCATACAAATCCATCATACAAGGCTTTAATTGGTCAATTAGTATTAAACTTACAATTACATCAATTCCCAGAAGCTGATGAAGTTTTCAGACAATTAAAAGAATTAGGTATAGTTAAGAGTGATTTGATTGCCAATGAAATTGCATATGCAAGTATTACAGGTGATAATGAAACTGTTGTTTCTAAAAGAGCTGAATTAGAAGCATTAGAACCAAATCATCCTTTCGTTACTGATTTGAAAGCAAAAAATGAATTATTTGATAGTATAGTTGAAAAATACTCTGAACAAATCGTTAATTAGGAACACATTTATATAGTTATTTAAAATAAACAGGTTTTTATTGGTTTCATTATTCTAAAACGTAAACAACATATTCAATACCAAAGTTACCATCTTCGGTTCTAAGATGTCTACCTTTACCTAAGAAATTTCTACCTTGAACCCATTGTTCATCTGTATTTTTAGAATCTAATGTAAATTTTGGATGATTTGTAATATAAGCATCAGTGAATGAATTACTTTCAGAACCACCTTTCAATATAGCTTCACTTTTTTCATTATTAACTGAAACCCCTGTATACTCTAAATGAATTATACCACCATTCTTCTTTGATTTTAAGAAAACTTGAGCATCTAAATCTTGAATGTTGGAATCTCTACCTGCTCTTATTCTAACGTTATCCCAACCGAATAAAGCTTCTGTTTCAAATGAGTACTTTTCATCAAGTGATTTGGAATAACCTTTAGCAATTTTAGCATGAATTAAAGTAGTTGATTCATTGGAATTTATGAAAACTGGTTCTTCAGTAACTTCAAAATGTAATAAAAATGCTGGTTTAAATTGAGCAATGTTAGTTGTATCTAAGTCGGCCATGTTGATGATCTTCTATCTTTATCTAGGTATAAATTAACCTCTAGAGGATAAAACCATGTGTCAAATGGTTGATTCAAAGGGACTTTTTACCCTTTTATATGTCAAATTTCTTACAAGTTTCATTTGGCTAATATTACTAAGCTATGGCGTTTAAAAACCCATGTATGTGCTTATACTTTTTACGGTAAATATACGGAGAAATATGGAATCTCGGAAAAATGAATTTATAATACCGAAAGTTTTTTAAAGTAGTTATAAACAGGTCATATTATACACTAAATCAAACTATTAAGCACCATATATTTTCCATTAAAACCACTTGAATCATTCAATGACATAGACATAGTATTCGGCAGCAAAAACAGCAGCCTCTGTTCTTAAGAACCTACCTTTACCAACTAAAGTCTTTCCATAAATCCAAAAATCCTCCTTGTTGTTCTCACTTAAGGTAACAGTTCGACTCATTGTCAAGTACATATCTGTGAAAGATACTTCCTTTTTCTGATTCGAAAAAACAGCTAAAGACTCATCATTATGTTCTGCTACCCCGGTATATGTGAAATGGATTCCTCCACCATTTGCCTTAGATTTTAAATACAATTGACAATTTAAATTTTGGATCTTGGAGCCTTTTGAAGCTGATGATGTCAAATTATCAATACCAAACATAATTTCTGTATCAAATGGGTAGGACTCATCAATTGTTTTAGTATAACCACCAGCAATCTTACCAAGTGTTAAAGAACCTGATTCATTATGATAAATTTGTTCTGGTTCTTCTGGTACGGCTTCAACATGGAGGAAGAAAGCTGGTTTAAGTTTAATCAAAGATAATGGGTCCGTCATTTTTGTTTTCAATAATTTACTTCGATATAACTTTATTTGTTCAGTAATCTATATCAAAGTGAAACTTAATTGACGATCAAGCCAAGAAGTGTGGATACCTACTACCTTATATATAGAAAGTATATCAAAGTTTCATCAATATCTAAATCGTGTTGATCATCAGAAATATTCAATTTCAATCTATGGAACTAGCGGCTGTCTTTACCTAGTAGCTTACAATATAACAGTATTAATTCAAACCAGATAATGTAATCAAATCAACGGCTTTGTACGACATACTAATTCGGCCGAATACTTTTCGAATTTTGATACCAAAAACATTTTATAATAACCGCTAATTCCCCATGGTTTACATGTAGCTTCCGTGGTATTATAGATTCAGTCTCGCTATTTGGCATATCTTCGCTACCAAACTTTTGGGGATTACAACGCATAATATCATGTGAACTATAGCAGCTACTAAATGTCCATGCTGGTGCAATATTCACCGGATGCACAACAAAAATATCAACTCAATTGATTCATTTATTGACTTTATAGAAACAGTATGAAGCACTCAGTGTTCCAAAACAAAGACATTGTATTCAACACATAATGTACCATTTTCATTTCTAATAAATCTACCTTTACCTAATAAATTTTTACCAGTAATCCAAGATTCTTCTTTATTTTCTTTACTTAAAACAGCTTTTGGATGATTTGTTAAATAAGTATCAGTAAATGATAAATCTTTAGATTGGTTTGTAATAACAGCTAAAGATTTTTCATTTTGTTGAACAACACCTGAATAAGTGAAATGAATACCACCACCATTAACTTTTGATTTTAAGTATAATTGACAATCTAAGTTTTGAATTGAACCATCTCTTGCAGTTGATGTAGTTAAGTTATCAATACCGAATGTAACTTCAGTATCAAATGGATAAGCTGGATCTAAAGTCTTGGTGTAACCACCTTTGACTTTAACTAAGGTCAATGAACCAGCTTCATTGTTATAGATTTGTTCTGGTTCTTCGGCTTCGAGATGGATGAAGAAAGCTGGTTTGAAAGTAGCAGATGATGATGGATCAGACATTATGAATTGACTTTAACGATTGAAAGTTTTTTGATAAAATAATTAGAAAGATAAGAACAGAACAAGTTTAGATTTCAAATGTGATCAGATTTCAAAACGTATCATGGTATGATCAAATTGAAGTTTCCGCGGAGTTCGGCTTAGTCAGCGTATGCGCGCGAACACGATTTTGATGTATTAGATTACATTTGTTGGGCTTTTCACTTGATCACCAACACACCAACAGAATCATCAGAATCATTCAATTGATCTTGTGTTCCATTCTCTTTCTTATCAATGCCACCACCACAATCACGAATCACTTCAGGTACCAGTTTGGAAGGTTTATTGAGACCATCAGTTCCTGAAGATCTAGAATATGTTTCACCATCATCATTAACTAAAAATGAAAGACCAAGTGACATTAAGAGACAACAGATTCTTTTAAATACTCTGGAAAATAAAGACTATATGATCATTCAAGCATTATATCGTAAAGATAATCATATGATTTTGGATAATACTAAAGATGAAGATCCTAATAATACGATTAATATGAAGAGTATTGGTGATTCATTTGACAAGAATCAAAGTATTGCAAGAGCTAGACATAGAATGTTGATGAAAATTGCCGGTAGAGAAACTGAATGATTTTATTCATCGATATCTATTGATATTATCACATTATCTTTAACAATTGAGGGAGGCGCCCTATAACTACAATCCTTTATGACTATTATGACCATTATGACCCTTAGGCAGCTTTACAAGATCAATTTGGGATAACCAGTTTTCATGAACTACATTTGTCTATTATAAACAACAATTGAAATAAACATATTATTAAATTCATCCAAGATCTATTTCTAATCTGAATACTGTTTTCAAACTGTTTTCAAAAGAATATTCTGCTCTTGTCAATCACACTCTTCAATTGTTGGGAAACTAGAGATAATGAAAAACAATGCTGGCTTAATTCATAGAATCATCTCATATATATAGGCTTTTCCACAACAAAAAAACAACTTTGGAACAATATTTAAAGCTGAATACTAATTTTGATTTCAAATTATATCTCTTTTGATTGGTTTTTGAGAAACTAGCTTAGAATACAAAATATGTTTGTAGTTGAATCTATCTTTTTCAAATTTTTGTAGATTTATAATGTATTAACCGCTGTGTATTTGTGTATAAATTCAAAAGATCTGCCACAAACACATGGAATATTGAAGAGAAGATTTTCTACGTCTAGAGCATAGTAACGACGTATTGTTCTTCATGGTTTCATTATTCAACATCTTGATTATTAACTTTGGTATATTCGATTACATTGAAGATTGGTTTTTCCAGTGGTCTTTCATTAAAGGACCACCATATTGTATTGAGTCAAAACTTAGTCTGAAGGAAAGATTGTAACACACTTATTTATAATATTTTCCAAAACTAATCAGATCCTTATTATGATGTTGTAGTTAGAAATCCTTTCCTGATTAAAATCATATCCACAAGATTATACCAACATATCGAAAGACATTTCAAAATATCAAATATTCTCACTGAGATTTTAAACGCCACTTTCACTTTGAGTTTCAGTCGAGTTAAGTAACTACAAACTTTTATTTAAAGATGAGAACAAAGCATTTATTAATCAATGATCATGAGGTACTCTCATACCATGTACATTTGAAATAATTTGCTTCATGATGTTTAATTTTACTCTTTAGTAAAACCAGCTTTTAAGCATATAAGAAAAAAAGCATTTAGCTTCAAAAAAAATCGAGTCCAGACGGATCATAATAATAACATGGTCAGTAATCATCATAGATTTTTTTGGCATCATTCAGGCAATTGCAAGACGAAAAAGTATATTAGACTGGAATCTCAAAGGAAAGAAGGCAATTGCAGGATTTGGCAAATAGTGATTAAATTAAAAAAGAAATCTATTGAATGTTTAAATATTATTTTGAAAAATGAGTTTACACAAAAACAAACTCAATTATATAGCCTAAATTTAAATATAATTACACAAAAACATGAAAATAATTTAACAGCTTCATGAGATGTACGTTATGCCGCTGCCTTCTACATTATGACGTGTTCTAGCGATCTAGTCCTACATAAATCATTCTTTACACTTCACGTTTGCTCTCATCCATTTCAATAGAGCTTCATCTCCAGATCATCGACACACTCAATTTTTTAACCGCCACTTTGATATTGAATTAAAAACTTACAGAACTTATTACTTTTGTGTATATCCTCGGGTTTGTCGGACTAACTCTTCGCGGCGCTTCGGAGAACTAGCAGAATATAAAATACCATATAATCCTAAATTTTACTAGATGATATATGTATTTGATTATGTGGTTCAATTTGAAATAGCTTTCCTTATTTAATATAATTGTTGCAAGCTTTAGCTTGAATTTTGACTTTGAAATTTTTGTAGTTTTGAAAATATAGCATTTTTAAATAAAATTTCTTGCAAGAAGACACATATTTTCAAAAACGAGTAAAGCCCAATGTTTGAATTTTGATGTTTTTTGGCTACTAATAGTAGAATATACATTAAAGCTATAATATATTAAAAAATCAACTGGTAAAGAGTTTTAGTTTGCTGTTGTTTCTAGTACATCTAATAATTAATAATTTATAAATTTAGTGTGATTACATAAGCAAAAAATGCTTCAATTAGCCTAAGCATATACCAATAATCGAATGATTTGAATCAATCTGTTTAAAAAGTTTATATGTTGTTTCAAATAGTTTATAATTCATGGCTAAATTGGAATCTCATTTTATTAAAGATCTTTTAATTATTTCAAGGTCGAAGGAGTATTAGAAATTGCAAACTACAAGATAGAGCTCAAAAAACAACACATGTATATTTATATATCTGATTAACTAATAAACAACTTTTAATTGTAAGAGTATAAATCAGATGTAAACATATGTCTTGTGATATCCTAAAAAGTTTTGGCTATCACAATTTATCACATACATTAGATGTGAGTTGTGAGTTGAAGCCAATTTAATGGAACAATTTGCAAAATCTTATCAGACGCATTATAAAGCAATCCCGTTGAACAATTTAATGCCAAAATCGTCCAGAAAAGAGCAACTAAACAAATGATTTGACCCAGGTGATACAAAAAAAAAGAGAAATAGAACGTGATACAATAAGTTCACAACTTTTCTGTCACAATATAAACAAGTAATTATATGAACTAGTTAAAATTGAAATTGAAATGTGAAATTTTTGCTAACAAAACCAAACCGCGAAACATTTCTCCGCGAATTTTTATTTTTATGGGGTTGATATTTTGATGAACATACAAAAACAACATTATTACATATTGTTAACTAGCCATTCAAAATATTCAATCAAAGTAAAATGATGATAACTAGAAGATCTATTATTTCAAGACCAACTACAAGACTTCTTGCACGCTTTCAATCCTCACTTTCCAAAGAATCAACATCAACACCAGATGCAAAAGATTCAACCCGTTTACAACAAGCACCAAATCGTGAAACAACATGGTCAAGATCTCAAGCATCAAGAACCGAAGTTTTAAATCATGCAAAATTCATTCAAAAAGATTTAAGCAAACAACCACAACCTTATGCCGCGATTGATTTGATTGCTAAACAACCTGTTAGATATATTCCTGATAGAATTGCAACTTGTGCTGGTAATAAACAATTAGGTCAAGGTCATCCAAAAATTTATATTAATTTGGATCCTAAAAGACCTGCAACTTGTGGTTATTGTGGATTAAGATTCGCACAGGAGGAGTATAGAGAAGAGATTGAAGCATCAGATGCTCATTAGTCTTATACGCACCATGCCTTATTTATTGACATATATTGTCCTTATTTATTTTATTTATTTACAAATTTTATTTATTACAAATCAAATACATTATTTATTATATTTAAACTTTATGTAAGTTTATGTTCTTATACTTCAATTGAAGTACTATGCCAAAATGAAAGTATACCAAAAAGGAAAATAATAACACTTAAATCAAAAATAATTAAATGAATTAATTCTTGATATTTAACAAACCATCTAATTTTATTTTTATAATATGGTGATAAAAACATATCAGGAACATATCCTAAAATTTTCAAAATTTTTGAATTATAATTATAATGAGAATCTTGAATCTTATTTAAATGTAATGCATAATATGAAGTAAATAAAATTTCTAAAGTTAACCAAATTTTACTAAAACCTGAATCTAATTTATGAATTCTGAAAATTTCCACAGATGATGAATAAAACCCTTGAATACCAAAAAAATAAATTGTTAACCCAAATGAAATAATAAATTTAAATAACATGAATTTTGCTTTAAATTTATCATTTTGAATTTTATTATATTCACTCAATTGTTTTTGATATTCAATTTGTTCTAAATTGACATCTGGATGCGCTGGATCATAACCTTGGGATTGATTTTTTTGTGCTTGGGTTTGTTGTAGTGCACCCATGGAACCTAATGAACCAAATGGATTACCTTGTCCATTAGCATCACCACTTAATAGTTTTGAGAAAATATCAAAATCTGGAGTTCCTTGTGGAGCATCAGTTGAATTGTTTGAATCACCTTGATGTTGATGTGGAACTGATCCTAGCATTTGTTGTAACATTTGTTCAAATTGTTGAGCTTCATCAAGTTGATCAGATGGTTGATTAGCTCTTGATGATTCTTTTGATGATTCTTTAATTGGCTCAAAATTACTTATATCTTCAACTTCTGGATCTTCATGATCAAAACTTTGTGATATTCTCTTTGAAGCACCAGAAGACTTAGAAATAGGCGTTTCTTTTCCAATACTTGGTTCTGGAGTTGGTGATTTAGTTTCTGGTGAACTTAGAGGATTTGTTCTTATAGTTTCAGCATCTTTTTGAGCTTCTGAATAATCACCTGTAATTTTACCTAATCTTGAAGCGCCATTTTTAATCTTTGCAGCTCTTCTTTCTCTTAATTTCTGTCTTTTCTCAGCTTCACTTGACATTTTTGCTTAAGTAGTTTCTTAATTGACTTCAATCAACTAAAACTTGAAAGTAACATCAAATTTGAATCAACTTCTCATTGTCCATTAATGCTCAATTTTGAAAATCACCAGAAAACAAATTCGCGAATGATTTTAAAATTAAATTGACACGGAAAACTGACAGACATAATTATTTCAATTACCAAATTGGGACACTTACCATATTGGGATATTTTAGCGATTTTAAATTTCAATTCTTATACGTAAAATGGTTGAAATCAAAGACAAAAATGTGCACAATTATGACGAATTTAACCACAGTTCTCGATCTTTTCTTGTAATTGATCTTTAGGAATAATTATATAAAGAACTAGTCGTATGCTGTTATCTTCATCAACTCAATTGGTTTTCAATTCTTTAAGAAGTTCATATTATCCCTTATTCAAAGCAACTACAATCACATCAATTAGAAAAATGTCATTACAAAAAGATTCTTGGTTACCATTAAACAATGGATTGAAAATTCCAGTCTCAGGTTTTGGTTTATATCAAATCCCAGTTGAAGATTCAACAAAATTAACTTATGAAGCTTTAAAAGCTGGTTATAGACATATTGATTCTGCTCAAGCTTATCAAAATGAAGAAGAAGGTGCAAAAGGTATTTCACAATTTTTAAAAGAAAATTCTGATATCAAAAGATCAGATATTTTTTTCACAACTAAAATTAAAAATGGTGAACATGGTTATGAAGAATCTAAAAAATCAATTGAAAAGTCATTAGCTAAAGTCTCTCCATATATTGATTATATTGATTTATTCCTTGTTCATTCACCAATTTCTTCAAAAGAACAAAGATTAGGTACTTGGAAAGCATTACAAGAAGCTGTTGAATCAGGTAAAGTTAAATCAATTGGTGTTTCAAACTTCGGTACTCCACATCTTGATGAATTATACGCTTGGGAAGGTTTGAAAAATAAACCAGTTGTTAATCAATTAGAATTACATCCATGGTTACCAAGAAAAGATTTACAAGCTTATGGTAAAAAATATGATTATTTACTAGAAGCTTATTCACCATTAACTCAAGCTAAGAAATTAGATGATCCAGAATTAGTTTCCATTGCAAAGAAACATAATGTTACACCTGCACAAATCTTATTAAGATGGTCTTATGATCAAGGTTTTATTCCATTAGCTAAAACTGTTAATGTTGATAGAATTAAAGAAAATTTCAATGTTCTAGATAATGTTCCAAAATTAAGTGATGAAGATTATAAAATTTTGGATAAAGATAGTTATGAAGTTTTAACTTGGGATCCAACTAAACATGTTGATCAATAAGGGCCTGGTGCTTAATTATATAGCTTATAACACGTATAGCTTTTAATATCACAATTAATTACAACAATTTCTCTATATATTCATGTATTACTTTTGTGTATAAATAAGTTTTCATTTTATAAATTATTTCAAATCACTACCAACAATTTGTTCCCAAGTTTTACCTTCTTTTTGTAATTCTTCAGTTAATTCTTTTTTAATCTTATAAACTAATCCAGGACCTTTATAAGCAAAACTTGTATATAATTCAACATATTTAGCACCAGCTTTACCAAATTCTAAAACATCTTTACCTGAACTTATACCACCACAACCAACAAGAATTAAATCTGAATCTTTTGTATATTTAGCAGCAGTTCTTAAAGCTTTTAATGATAATGGTTTTAATGGTTTACCTGAAAGACCACCAACTTGAGAAGTTAAATCAGATCTTGATTTTAAATCACCAGGTCTTTGAATTGTAGTATTTGACACGATTATACCATTAATTTTAGATTCTTTTGCAGAATAAACAATTGATTTAATTTCTGATTCATCTAAATCTGGTGCAACTTTAACCAAAATTGGAGTTTTTTTCTTATGTTCATCAATTAAAGAATCTCTTTTATTTACAACTTCTTTCAATAAATTTGTTAATTTTGCTTCACCTTGTAAATTACGTAAACCTGGGGTATTTGGAGAAGAAACATTAATAACTAAAACATCAGCGAATTGATTAAAATTTTCCACACCAGTTAAATAATCTTGAACTTCATCACCTGTTTTATTTTTACCTAAATTTATAGCTAAAATTTTACCATCTCTAAGGGAATTATTTTGAACAGAATCAACATTATTTTTTCTGAAAAAAGATTCTAATCTTTCTTTTAATCTAATAACAACATCTAAATGACCATTTGAATTGAAACCATATCTATTAATAACTGCATCATCTTTTGGTAATCTGAAAAATCTTGGTTTTGGATTACCAGGTTGAGGAACTGGAGTAATTGAACCAATTTCAACATAACCAAATCCAACATCAAATAATGGATCAATAATTTCACCATTTTTATCTAATCCAGCAGCAATCCCTACAGGATTACTTAACTTTTTATCAAAAAGATTAACTTCTAAAAGTTTATCATCATTATCACCACGTAATTTTGGTGAAATACCCCAACTCATTAAAAAAACACCTAATCTATGACCATCTTCAGCATCTGTTAAATTACGAATTAATGGACATATGATATATTCATGAACTGAAGATTTTGCATCAAATGCATAATATGTAAATAAACCAGCACCAATTAAAGCACCAGAAAATAAAAATGGATTTGTTAATAAACCAGATTTTAAAATTGGACGTCCATTATTTATGAATCTTTTTTGTGTGGATCCTAATCTTTTAAAAGATTGGATTGTGGAGCGAGTGAATAGCCTGTTCATCTTTTATCTATCCTTTCTAGATATCGGTATCTCAATTGACAGGTCTATTCTTTCCAGGATCTTCCAAGATTTAGGTTATATCAAGTCCTTTTTATGGGCCAAAAAACCTCGAAACTGAAAAAAAAAAAAAAAAAACCAACCCATAGTTAAGGTGGGCTGTTACGAGACACACCATAATAAAAGGAATTGAAGGGAAGATATCACCAGATGATTTTAAAACTATTTTGTGAGATTTGAACAAGCAAGGTTGGAACTTAAGTAAAGTGATTCAATTGGAATTTATGACTCTGTTGGTAATGATTACATATATATCCAGTCATGTGATGATAACGGAAGTATGTTTCCTTGTGAATTGTTAATTGATTAATTGCACAGCTAGACGTGGAGATTTTAAAACGCAGATCTATACAGAATAATTCTTGTTTATATAAACGCCAAATCTCCCACTTTTTCAAAAATTATTTATATCATATCAATGATTTAAAGTAAACATCATTGTGATTAATTCCTAATACTATTGATTATTCTGATCTGCTTTAATCCATCGAATCGCCAAAAGAAGGAGATATTGATCTAGCAAACTGGCGATGTCGTCTTCATCCACCTTTACATTTTTGATGAATAATTAAACTCGATAGGATGAAATTATACACTAATGACTTAATTATAATATATTGTTATACATTCATTATAAGGAATCATTTACTACAACATGGTATAATCACAAACTGTTAACATACTTTTCTATACCAATATAGATCTTGCAAAGGATCTAATTAAATAAAAGTTTTGTTATCTCCCCTTTTTCAATTGACATATGTAGTGATACTTGAGCCCCTTAGCTTGTTCTGTAAATTGATTAGATACTCACTACCAATTGATCAATATATTATAAGAGATTAGCCGCTGTGGTGGATATTGATATATAGTTTTGAATAAATCATGATCATTATGATCTTATATTTTAAACTACAACAAACTTATCTATACTCAAGCCTACATTTAACTATACCATGTTTGTATCTGATAAACATTCAATCATTTTAATTAAGGAGTACTTTTTCTCAAAATCAACATCGGCTTAATTATTAATAACTTCTTATTTAAGTAACTTGCAAAGAAGTTACCGATGACCGATGACGCCTTCTGAACTTAATTAATTGATTGGGATCAGCTACTGAAATTTATTAGAACTATAAATATTTGTATATTCCCAGAGTAAAATTATAAATTATATATTAATATAATCTTAATCTTATATTATATCCATGAACATTAATTTATACAAATACTTTAAGTTGGAGAATAAGGTATGTTTTACAGATGTAAATTACGTTCAGCTTTCTTATTTGACATAATGCTAACTTCAATTATTAAAAGATTAATTTAAAACCATTATTTGTTAGTATTTCATTGATGATCCCTATGTCCATGTCGTTAAAGTAAAAGTTTAAAACTTCTCTATATGATTGTTCAATACTACTGAATTAGATCATTCATATATTCAACTTGATAGCTCAACATGTATTTTAGATGATCTTGTAACCAAAGATCTCAGGTAATGAATGTTTTGTTATTCTTCTTTTTCAATAATAATTAGTAGCTCTATACATATTCTAAATCTTCACTAAACGCTCATCTTTTATAGCCGCCAAGTTCCAAGTTCATAATTAGTTGATCAAAATAATTTCAATTTGCCACCGTCCCAACTTTATTATCATATATAAACGCACCAATTTTTCTTTTCCTTAAAATTAATCTTAATCACCCATGTGTTCATATGCTATAGATGAATCTGATGATTTTAATCGTTGATGTTGGCAATCAATATACCTGTTATAGCCATATATCTATTTCTTTTTAAAGTGGTATAACATTCAGTATTCATACTCATTCAATGATTAGATCTGAGTTCCCTAGAAGGACAAGCTCAGTCATTTATTTCATTGAATGTCAGTCATTTAAAGTACCATGATATGGATTATATATCCAATATAAGTGATACTCTATTGTTTTGATTTTTGATGTAGTTATACAAGAAACAAGATGCCATTTCTCTTTATACACTACTTTATCCCACCCGCTGTTTCTAAAGTATCAATGTACCAATTATAAGCTTTCAATATATATCACAGAATCTCAACATTTTCTTATCCTTATGATTTCTTGCTTTGGTTTGATTTTGTTCTTCTTGAGCTAAAGACGTAAAATATCCATGTCTACAAAATGGGATAATTTTGGATCTCTCCTCCGGTCACGTCCGACGTAATTATAAATATCCCTTGAATCCCAATTTTTATTATTTTATAACTCCTATACCACAAACCAAACATCATCGGATCCTTTGAGCTTCATGGCCATCTGTTAATTCATTATGTATGATCTTATGGGACCATCATTGGAACCTTAACTGATTACTCTTTTTTATTACATCATAAATCATCGAATTAACCAATATTAAAGTGGTCGTTTTTTGACAATTATCTAACGGATTAGCATGCTAGATCATCATAAAAGATATCTATCGGGGTATTTATATGGTTGTTTGATTATTGAATATAATTTCTAGAAATCTAGTTGAATATTAAGACAATCAATGCATTTATAATCAACCCCAAGAATTGGTTAGCTACTCTTTCACTCTAGTTGATCTTGAAAAGGATCACGGATCAATGAATGTTTTGTTGTTCTTCTTTTTAATAAAGTTTTTAGTATTATAAACATTAACTCTTACGTATATCCTACTTATGTCACCACTAAAAGATATATGTAGTGTTTCACAATCTATTTATGTTCTGGTTCATTCAATATTCGCCATCAAACTCTACAATCACTACTTAAACAACTCAAGAGATTTGCCGCCATGACTAAAAATGTTCAATGTTTTCATTCGAGAATTATCATCAATATCCACTACAATTTATACATCATTGATTAAACTATACACAATCTGTTCGATACTCAGACAATCCATTGATTAATAAATCGTATATGATGACTGGATTACAATGGAGGCTAATCTTCTAGAGTTCTGAGTTTTCAACTAGCAGCTGATTTACATTAAGCTTCAAATATAGCAAAGGAATTACCGATGACGCCTTAAAATTAGACTTTGGATTTGCCCAGTTGATGGACAATTCATTGAAATTCAGTTATACCACTATAATAAATATTCTACAATTCCCAAAGTTTTCGTTATTTCTAATCATTTGCTTGATCTCAACTTTCAAAAGATATGATTAAAGAAAATAAGTTATTGAATGATGTTTTCAACGAGAATTTTTGAAACCATTAAGAGAAAAAACATCAGAATTTCGTCAACAACCGATAAAACTATTTTATTTGAATGCATTATCCAAACTTCTTTATATGAATGTTCAATACTACTAAATATCAGATCATTCATATATTTAACTTCATAGCTCAACGTTAATTTTAGATGATCTTATATATAATCAAAGATCTCAGATAATCAATGTTTTGTTATTCTTCTTTTTCAATAGCTCTGATCAGTAGTTTTTTACAATCCATTGTTTCAATTAGTCTTCAGTAATTTTTGTTATTAGCCGCCATGGTTATTAGATTAATTCGATTTATTATTAAAACTTGCCGCCGTCTCAAATTTATAACTATATAAACCCATCCAATTCCCTTCAATTCATGACCTTCTCCATTATATTTTAATTTAAATTTTTAATAATTTATCTAGTATAGCTGCAGATTAAGTTTCATTTATTGTTCATTGGTTATGTGAAAATGAATTTTTAAGGTCCTCTTGCAAAACATCAGAAGTAATATGTGTTTCACTTGTTTCACTTGTTTCATATAGAGAAATAATCTCTGTTTTCATTATCATTCAATGATTGGATCTGTGTTCCCATATGTTCATCAATTAGGACAAGGTCAATCATTCATTGGATGCTATAAAAAGTATCATAATATTGTTGCATACAATATAAGCGATACTCTACTGTTTTAGTTTTGATGTAGTTAATATAAGCTAGCTGTATCCCATTTTGAACTAATTAACCAATTCAATCTTCTTTATACTTACGAATTTGGATAAATTTCCAATTTTTCTCCTCCGGACACGTCCGTGCATAAATATCCCTTAAATTCCCAAATGTTTTTTTCAATCTTCTTGATACACTTGCCTAGATACTATGAGATATTATTTGAATTTTAGTTGTATTCATCCATTGCTATGGCCCTGATCTGTTATTTATGAGGTATGTTATTGTTCTATGTTGTTTTTGAGACCTTCATTTTTGGAAACATAACAGATTAAAGATTTTTTAACTTCAGATCTATATTGATTTATGGCCAGCTAATCTTCTTTGAATTATTTTCCATAGTGAAGGCTTAATATTGACTTGGTTGATCTATTTCATGAACCGAGTTTGAGTTTTCTATATTTAACATATAAATATTTGATAGTCTGCTTAGCTAAATAAAAGCAATATTTATTAAAGTTAGAATATGAATTCATTAAACTAACTTAACAAATCGTGCAAGCATATATATAGTTTCAGTTGATCTTGAAAAAGGGTCACGGATAATAGATGTTTGTAACTCTTCCTTTAAATAAGTTTGTAGCTCTAGATAAGTAGCCTACTACACTCTAATCATGATCCACCACTTCAAGGTGTAGAAAAAAAAGCTGAAGCGCTGAGTTTTTGTACACAACATAGTTTTAATTCAATCTACAACTTTGACGTAAGTTCCAATAATCTTTGAAGATGACATATACCAGTCATATTATCATATGTAGTGAATAATCAAGTTACATATCTATTATATCACCAATCTTTTTTCACCCCAATAGCATTATCACCCTTTATTATCAAAAATGATCTTTTCAGGATCTAATCTCTTATCAATACAATATTGAAGCAATCTAACAAGATTCAAATTACAAACTGGACATTTCAAGGGCTTCAATGTAGCACCAAGTGTTATACTCCATCTTGTTGGTATGAATGATCTTTTATATTCAACTAAGCAATGTGCATGATAAAAATGATTACATGGTAATAACAATACAGGAACTCTTTCAGTTATTGTAACCAAACAAATTAAACAAGGAGCATCATCAGATGAATCTATATTGACATGCTCTAATGTTTGAAGATCTTTAAGCAACAATCTTTTACAACATTGAAACTCTGGTGAAAATATACTTTGAACTATTTCTGTCAAATCTGCATCATTGAAAGGGTGATTCTGCTCAGTATCTGATCTTTTTACAAGTGTAAAACCTTTTGGAATAATTAAACTGGGTACAGCTGCATTGTCCACTTTCAAACATTGGCTATATCTAAATTTTTCATCTTCAACTGGAACAAGTTGTATTGGAACGTCAGGATAATCTTTAATTTTAAATGGTATTGACAAAGTATGAATAACTTTCCTCATTGGTTTTGATAAACAAATGTATACAAGTCCAGCCCAAATCCAATATATAATAACAAAACATAATAAAACAGGAAGTGAAAGAATAGCAGCACTATATTTGCGCAATTGTTAGTACATGCAAAATCTCTATAAAAATAAGATAATGTAACTCACGGTAACGATAAAAGACCGTAAATGAACAATATTAAAAACTTCCACGAGCCAATACATCGAGAGACCACTTTTATTGATGATTGTCTCTTCACTTGTGCATCTCTTTTAATAAATCTAATCATTTTCTTAAAATTGAAATATTGGTATTTCATACATCCCTCCCCTATTAATACAACAATCCCAATATAAACAAGGACACCAACTAATATCATAAGCTTTATGAAATCTTGCATTATTTGACCATTAGATCCAAGTATACCATCTGTTGGCTGAACTGGAGTTGAATATCATCCCTTTTGAACAAACGTGAACTTGTATTTTGTTGTGAAGAAGATAAGATTGGGTTTGGATTCGATTGTAAAGAACTTTGTGATGTTGAATATAGATCTTTCACAGGGAATGGAATAGCATTAGTCAATATAAAAAACGTGAATACCAAGATTAGTGGGAAAGAGCAGCATAATGTTGTCTTGGAACTCATAAGTTTGTGGAAATGTTGATAATTAATGGTGATATATGTTATGCTCCTGGCGCCAAAGCGATAATGAAATGATAAAAAAGCAAAGTAGTTGATAAACGAGTGTCTGATAAACAACAAAAAATGATCTATCCAAGTGCATAGTGAACGTTGTTAATTGTTGGTGTTTGTCTCAGTATTTAGATCTTAAAGATGGATTGTTAAAATCCATAATAATTGTCAGATAAATTGAAAGCACAAATCCGGGGTATTTCCCAATTGGGAAGGATGACCGAAAATTAATATTAATCATACGAAGTGACCCGCTTTTGTTGATGATAAAAATTTTAATAAAATATAAATTTTTGAAATTCCTGATATTTCTGTGCTTTCAGGTTTTCATTGTTATTGTTCACAGCTTAGAATTGAATAAATTCAGAGCAATGGAGCAGTCTATCAAATAAGTAGCATCGAAAATGAAGTCTAAAGTTTTATTCTCTCATTGAATCCAGGGTGAAAATCATTCGATTAACTCAAATAAATTGTTCGTTCAGCTTGTGATCATGAATTAAATATTAAGCATTCATACAATTATACAAATATGTTATATTATATGATCACCATGTCGATGATCGAACCAATTCTAATAGTAATAAGTTGGATAACGTTCTTGTTCATTTCAGATTGAATCAATTGTTAAATTATTTAAGATCTTTAGTACAAGTTTTGTTATTCTTCCCCTTTAGTTATCCACTTTGTAGAGCTTTACCTCCTTATAAAATTTAAAGCAGTGTTAAGTAGTTTGACTATCTATTTCTACATCACATACTTAACAGTTAACACCTCTCATTAAGTGCAGTTAAGCTAATGAACTGAAACTAGTCATTATAATTGACTAGTAGACAGGCAGTACTCCATCACACACCCAAATCTGATAGATTCCAATTCCTTGTAAATTGCGATTGATCAGGATTCAGGGGTCAAATTTTTCTTCCATTTCAAGTACGTATAAATACAGCGAAGTTTCCGGTTTTTAAGATTCCGGGGCATACAAAATATACAACTATATTAAGTATCATCATATACATTGGACTCTATTAAAATTCGCCAATGGGTGCATGGGGTATATTCGAAGTGCTTACTTATGATTTAATGTTAATTTCTGGTTATTAATTGATACTAAGCTTTAAAACTAGCTGTTTCCAATTAATCTGCATTTTAATTCGGCAAATATATATCTAGCTGAACATCAACAGAGGTTAATTATTTGATGGATAATCTTGCAATACTAGTTTGAATCAAATATACAAGCTTTGTTCTCTCTTTTCTAGTTGGAATACCTTGCCTTGTAGTGGCTTGTTACTTGCATGAAATTAATACTGGCATGATTCTATTACAATTAGATTATAAAGAACTATACAAGACCATATTGTGTGAATCATGAAAACAGATTTAACACTAGTCTCTAAAGCTCGTATATAAACCATTATGATAACCAAGTAATATATAATGTCGTCTATGATGATCTAAGCTCGTTTTGATTTTGTGTCAGCGGCTACGCTCCTTGATTTTGACAAAATTCAAGTACAAAAGCTACCAAATTCCCATATCAATTCTATTCGAAAAAGCTAGATCAATTTTATATTATATCAACGTTCAACGAACACTCGTTAGGCTAATATTTCTTCTCTTGATAGTGGTGAATATGGTGTTATCTTCTGAATAACATTAACATACCAATTAATGATATTATAGATATTCTTATTGTTCCAATGCTTGAATTAATAGGATTAAGCGATGGACAAGAATCTAGTCAGTATATAACTATTCATGAGTTTATACTTGAGATCATGAAGAATTTTCAATCAACTCAATATTGAATACAAGTATTACTCTATCTTTTTTAAATCAACATTATATCATGTAGCCTAGCTTTGTGTCGAATTCCCTTTATAAAATTAATTTTCAGTGCACTATATATTATCCATCTCATTATATATTAATATATTATAATGTTATATATATATAAGTCCAAATTTGATAACTAGTTATACTTTTCAAACACTACGTTACCTAGTGGCGAAATTTGATATGCTTGGTATATATGAAATTGTATACTTCAGTCGTATATAACTAGCGCCTAATATTAATATATGATTCACACACAAGCGCCCAAGTGAATTCAGATAATTAAAGTTGTGCCACAAAACCAACAGATTTTTCACAAATCTCTTAAAAAATAAATTTTAGAATGCAATCTGTTATAACTCTAAATTGATATAATTTTTGATCTTTCAATGCATGTCGTTGTTATTTTAAGTTATACGTTATTCACTGACGTACTTTATATCATGATCACATGTTTTGTTTTTGAGAGTATTTAGGTTCTTTAATATAGTAAATTAAAACATTAATAGTTTAGCTGAGAATTAAAATCTTTTATTTATGATTAGATCTTTGTTCCATTAATGTTTCAAAGCTATCATGATTATGGACAAGTCTAATTATGAAGTATAATCAAATCAAGAGTGAATTATAATTGATGAGCTAGATTAGCTTTACCAAATATAAGTTTCATTTTATTGTTTTATCAACTATGTAGAGTATAACATTAAGCGCCATGTTGAAAGTGATCAAGAAAGCGATCATGGCTAATGGATCAGATCATATTGATTATCATTTTCTGACCAGTTCCACTCAGATAACATTGAATAGCGAACCTTGTAATCTAGATATTAAGCTAGCAGGTACGGGTGTGTAATCAGCAATAAAGATATCTAAGATATTATATTTCATTAATTAGAAGCATTAATGTATACTAGATCTTTTCGTTTAAAATCCAATTGAATATAAAGTAGTTTGATCGAGGCCGGCGGGGGTTTAATAATTAATGATTTTTCAGGATCGACAGACAATATTATTGGCTGGACAAACTATATAAATTAGGGATATTTCCCTATTTTTAGATAAATTTCCTTTTTTATAAACTACCTTCACTTTTGATATATTATATGTAAAATTTTGAAATCGATTTCTCTATACAATGTTGGATTGAAGTATTTGCTTATCGTTTTGGCAATTCCTGAAAGGCAAATTCTGATTGTAAAAGAAACTTTAAAACTGCTGGACTGTTGGTTATTTCTTAATCATTCTTTAGCTGCAGAATATATTATGTACACAATATAATGTATTGAAGAGAAGCTTGATTAATTTTATATAGATAATCTTGAAAAACTAGATTGAATGGAATATACAAGCTTTGATATCTCTTTGTTTAGTTGGAATACATTAATGTAGTGGTTTGTTACTTAAATATTGTCATGTTCTATTACAATCTTATATCTAAAGGGCCAAAGGGCCTATTGTTTGAACCATGAAAGATCTAAACTTCTATATGTACGTCCTATAATCCACCAGAAAATATTCTACGATACAAAATATTCAAATTGATACATAATAGTTCAATTGTGATAGTATAGCTCTGGTTATATTTTCCTACGATCTCCAGCTATGCACCCCTTAATTATTTTAACAATTCGCGTGTATAAAAGGAACCAAATTTCCACAATTTTCAATTTCAAAGATTAATTGTACTGGTATTCCATGATTTAAGATTTTCGTCAAAGATTCTTTTTGCCAGTGTTTCTTCTCTAGATCTAGGTGAAGGACAAAACTTCATTATATGAATTCTTCTAAATTTCCTTTTTGAAACTCTCTTATTTTGAGTTAGAAACCGTATATTCGCCTATGATTGTGCCTTTGTTTGTTAATATCAATTCCTAGGCGCAATAATGATTATTAAATTAGATCTTTCAGTTTCAAGGCTTGATTTTACAGATCTTGAGCCATGGACAAGTCTAGTTAATAAGTCAAAGATTCATGAGTTTACTTGATATATTGAAAAGGTTTAGATACACTACCATGAAATACAAGTATTACTCTACTGTTTTTGATTGTTTTGTAGAATTGTATCCCTTGTAGCGCCCTGATAATATTTGACTAAATTTTCAATATAGGTGATCGACATGGCGGCAAAATCACACACAAAATTATATTTAAACAATTGGATCCCCAATTCACTTTAATTCTTTTAACTATATAACAATTTTAAAACTTTTGCAAACATGACCAGTTGGAAAAGCATCTGCCAATCTTGCGCAATCATTATGAAGATATGATGAAGCTGATTTCTGATCTGAGATTTTAGGTTAATTATCAATCTTTAATTTCATTAATAAATGTTCAATAGAGGTTGTGTTTATGATTGGATCTTTGTTTCATTATTTAATTACTATGATTGTGGACAGGTCTGATCATAAACTATCTGATCAAGAGCGGATATTATTATAGTGATAGTTTGATTACATACACGATTAATACATTATAAGTTTCATTCTATTGTTAAAATTTTTATTTTATAGTATCGTATTAGATCCCCTTTTACTGATATGAATTTTCATTAATAGATCACATTACACAGCGGCTATTCAAATAATACTAAACAAATGTATTTGATTCGTCAAAATTTATTCTTACACGTAGCGCTCTTCATGATCGAATTAATTTACATTTAATAAAACTGATCAACTCAGCGGCAAATTAACCAAAGACAAAACTAATTATATAAATACTCAGATCTCCTAATTCATTTTTACAAAAACAATTATATATTTCATATATGTTTTAGATCAAAATTATAAGACAGCTTTGAGACAATTATGGCCGTTGTGTTTAATAGAATTCCCATTATCCAGGTTTTTTTAAGCAGTTTAACCAAAACCAATTTTTTTGACATGAAGTATTGAAAGAATAATTATTTTAAGACTAGATCTTTGCTTCATTGATTCATTACTGTGATTATGAACAAGTCTAGAATTATAAGATCTTTAAAGTGAATTATAAAATGATAGTTCGACTATATACAATTAATATAAGCTTCACTTTGTTGTTTTAATAATCATGTAGCTAATTAACCGCCCTACAAAGTAACAATTCATTTCACATTCATTAATAAATAATACATAAATAACATAAACAACCCAATTTTACAACACCTCCAGTGAAATTTGATTATTTGAATGATAATTCTCCCAAAAAGTATCCTTATCAATAATCTCAACATTACAACCTTTTATAATAACTTGTTGAATTTCATCAAGATCTAAACTATTTTTGGAAAAATCTTTTAAATTTAAATGACCAATGATTTTCAAAGTTTTCAAATATGGGAAATGATTAGCCTGTATGGAACATTGTGTTGATACAGCTGATGATATAAATGATCTTTGAACATTTGATGAAGAATCTATAAGATTTAAATCATAAGCATCTGCATGTTTATTACTAATTTCAAATATCTTTAATGTTTCTAATTTTGGTGCATATATCTTATTAATCTTGGAAACATTACAATTTTTAATGATTAATACTTCAAGTTTTGATAATTTATAATTTGAAATGATTTCCAAACCATCGAAAAAAAATTCATTTTCATCAAGATCAGAATTATTATCATAATCGTCATAATCATCCATAACATCATCATCATCATCACGGTTTTTAATATAATTATTACTATGCATTGAATAAGTATCTTCTTCTTCACTCATATAATCTCTAAATTTAACATAAGTAACTTTTGGGAAAGTTTTTGGAAATTTATTCAAATTTAAATAATTCAAAACTTCAAAATAAAATTTTGGTGAACAATAATACAGGTTTAATGATTTTAACATTGGATATGAAACTTGTGATGATATAAGTAAATGATTACAATTACTTTTAATTTCTTTTAAATTTTCAAAAACTATGGTGAACCAATTATTTTGTAGAGCTGATCCATGATGATTATTTTGGAATCCATTAATAATATCATTATTATAATGATGGAATAATGATTTAAACATCTTCAAATAATTCAAATCAATTGAGTCACATATAAACCTTATATTCAATACTTTCTTCAATTTAATCAAACGAGCTAATACTTTATAAATTTTCAAATATTTGTTATAATCATCAATACTATGAATCTCAATCTCAAAAAAATGATAACCTTCAAATAACTTATCTAAATCCAATTTCTCTTGAATGACTCGTTGAATAGTAACAACATTAACAATACTCGATTTCTCAAAACATGTCTCTTGATCAGTTATTTTCAATGTACATAATCTTCTTAATTGTGGTATATCAACAACAGATTTTTCAAGAGTATGTCTATCCAATTGTCTAATCACACGAGTGACAACTTCATCAGGTAAGATACTTCCAATCATTGTTCCTTAACCTCTAAATAACCAACAAATCACACATCTAAGTTAACTATCTTCTTCTTTTGGATTTCAACTATCTTTATATAAAAAATTGTCATGGCTGATAAATGAAAATTTCAAAATTTCTTCTCCACATTAAAAATTTACCCGCGATTTTTTATCTCAATGTACTTTAAAGTTTAAGCAGCTTTTGAGTCAAACGATAAAAAGCATGAATGGAAGTTTTCAAAAAGCGTTTTAAAGGTGTTAAATTAGAATAGATTGATAAGAATTTGATATTTATTGTATGATGATTGAGTTTATTACTTAGCATTATGGTATAGTACTGCTTGTATTGAATGTTATGAGTTGAATGGGGTTCTTCCACTGGTTTTGGTGACTTTATGCGATGACTTTAAGGAGCCCGGTTATTCAACATTCAATATTCAATACCCGGGTATATAATGTTGAAGATTAATGTGATTTATCTATAATATAACCGAGCAGATTTGAGATATGAGTGGCTGAAATTAATCTACAATGTACAGTAATCTATTCTCTATTAAAATTGTATTGTATAAGAATGATACACTAGGGTATCACTTATTGCATAACAAACACGGGTGAAAAGGTGAAATCAAATAAAAAAACAAAACACACTCTATACATAAACTATAACTAAAACAAATTCAACTGAAAATTTTATAGATCTCTGATGTTGAATTATCAATAAATTTTGCAGTTGTAATACAACTTTGTAAACTTAAATCAAAATTTTCTTCAAGTAAATGACAAAGTGCAACTGATGTTTCTTTTGGTATTTTTTTCATTGGTTTTAAAGGTTGTAACCAAAGTTTTAATAAAACAACTTTTTTATCAGTCAATGATGAATTACTATCTCTTGTCATAACAACATCTTTCAATATAAAACTTATTCCATTAATCATATTTTTCAATTTGAAAACTTTTGGATCTTCATTATGTTGAAATTGATCATCTAATTCAATTCTTAAAATATTTTTCCAAAGTTTATAACCACGATTCAGTGATACTTGTAATGCAATAATTCCTCCATTATTTAAAGATTCTGAAGTTTTTTTAGGTTTAACTCCATCTTTGAAAATATGAACTTGGAAAGTTTCACTCTGATCTTTTATCTGCCTTTTATATGCAATTATAGTTTCATTAAGTTCCTGAAAATTCAAGCTTGTTAGTATTTCAAAGACAATCCATGAAAAAATAAAACACATACTTACAATTTTATTTTCAATTGAATGATCTAAATGTAACCTTCTTCTTTGTTTAACTTCATTAAACACATATGTGGTTGAATTAGATGTACCTGGCCTTGAAGGTGGTAAAACTGATGGACTATATATATGAAATGTTAGTATTGAACCAGAAAAATAACTTGAATAAAGGTTTCAAAATTTACCAATCACTCCATAAATTCCATTTATAATTTAATGGATAATTTTTATTATGTTGTTTAATTAATTCTTTACCAGCTGCGAAAAATTCTTGTTGGTTAGAATATGTTGATAAAAAATATCTTGATGGTGGTACTCATCCAATTGGAATTTCATTTTCTGATTGATCTGGATTTGGAATATCTTCAATATGTTTATTTCTTAATGTATTATAATAAGTTGTTTGTTCATTAATTAATGATGAACCTCTAGTTTCATCTGATTTAATAGTATCAGGTAATGAAGGTTCTCTCTCTTTTTCCAATTGACATTCTTCTAATTCTTCATCATTTGCAAATTTCATCAATTGTTCATCAACACTATTTCTATAACCAAAAAAATTTGCCAATCTATCTCGAAGTCTCATTGGTGAATGATGATTATGACGATGATGATGTTTTTTCTTTTTCAGCTTAACGACCAAGTTCCCATCTTCACCAGCATTGGATCCAGATTCATAATCAATATCTTGAACTTCCTGACTAGCCACTGTGGTATCAGCATCTTTATCAATAAACAGTGAACTTAATAACTCTATTCTTTCCAGATTCTTATCCAACGTTGCCATCTTCTCACCACAGATCCATCAGAGCTCAACCCACCACAAAAACACAAAACGTTTCAACAATTGAAATGAGATTCAACCAAAAATCATATCCAGAAAATCCATAAAAAAAGCTTCTAATCTTTAGTTCTTATACATTTTTGAAAATCTTCGACACCAGTTTTGTGGTTTTAAAAGATTATACACAAAATAAAAATAAAACAGATTCGCGCGAATATCTTATTGATTATGTAATCTATGACATAAGCGATGAGGAAAAAAAAAAAATTAAACTCTATACGTGATAAATAGTTTCAACCATAAGACATAAACATTACAATAGACCTTCATCCACACCCACATCCACACAAAGATATCCCTCAAGATGGGTAAATTCACAGGTAAAAATGGTACTCAAGATAGAGAAAACTTGGATAAATTTGAAAGAAATTCAGATGGATTCAAAAAATCATCAAAATTTTCTAAAGATAAAAAATTAAAACATGGTTTAAGAAAAGTTAATGATCAATATAAACAAGCTGTTAGATCAGCTGCAGCTACTGAAATGTTATTACAAGAAGATGCAGGTTTCTTGGAAGCTGAGGGGATGGAACGTACCTTTAAATTTAAACAATCTGATATCAAAAAAGAAGTTGATCAAACTACTTCAAATAAGGCATTTGATTTAAAATTAAATGAATTTGGTCCTTATACCTTAGATTATTCTAGAAATGGTACACATTTACTTATTGGTGGTATGAAAGGTCATGTTGCAGCTATGGATTGGAGAAAAGGTGCTCTAAGTGCAGAATTACATTTAGGTGAAACTATTAATGCAGTTAAATATTTACAAAATGAACAATATTTTGCTGTTGCACAGAAAAAATATACATTTATTTATGATCATGAAGGTACAGAATTACATAGAATGAAACAACATATTGATGTTAAACATTTAGATTTTTTACCATATCATTATTTATTAGTTACTGGTGGTAATACCGGGTTTATTAAATATCAAGATGTTTCAACTGGGTTATTAGTTAATGAAATTAGAACTAAAATGGGTCCAACTACTGCAATGAAACAAAATCCATATAATGCTATAATGCATTGTGGTAACTCCACAGGTGTTGTTTCATTATACAGTCCAGCTGCTAATGAACCATTAGTTAAATTACAAAGTTGTAGAGGTCCAGTTAAAGATATTGCAGTGGATAGATCAGGTCATTATATGGCAGTTGCAGGTGCAGATAAAACATTGAAAATTTGGGATATTAGAAATTTTAAAGAATTGTATTCTTATTATACACCAACCCCAGCATCAAGTTTAGATATTTCTGATGGTGGGTTATTAAGTGTTTCATGGGGGCCTCATGTCACGGTATGGAAAGATCCTTTCAAAACCAAGCAAAATTCACCATATATGAATCATTTAATCCCAGGTTCACAAATTCAAACTATAAAATCAGTTCCATATGAAGATTTCTTAGGTGTTGGACATCAATCTGGTGTTTCTAATTTAATTGTTCCAGGATCTGGTGAAGCTAATTTCGATGCATTAGAAGTGAATCCATATGAAACTGCCAAACAAAGACAAGAATCTGAAGTTCGTTCATTATTACAAAAATTACCTGCCGATTCTATTTCATTAGATCCAAATGTTATAGGTACAGTAGATAAACGTTCATCACAACAAAGATTAAAACCATCAGATTTAAATGAATTAAGTAAAAAACCAAATCAAGATGATAAAACTGAACCAAGACCTGATGTTAAAAGTAAAAATTCTGCATTGCGTCGTCATTTAAGAAAAAAAGCATCAAATGTTATTGATCAAAGAAAATTAAGAATAGAGGCTAATTTAAAGAGAGAAAAAGAATTAAGAGCTAAAAAATTATCACAAAATAGAGGTGAACCTGAAGAAAAAGAATTATTAGGACCTGCATTATCAAGATTTAAATAGAATTAATCACAACCTACACATAGTTAACTTTTATTGTACATTATATTACATGTTTTTTTTTTGTTTACATATCAATATCACCTTTAAATGTAAGAACATCTTGATATCTAGCACCATTAATATCATTTTTAATCAATGTATCATTTCCATCATTATTTCCAATTTCATGATTTTTAAAACCTTGTTTTGAAGCAACAAGAATTAAACCTCTTGATCTTATACTTTCCACTAAATTTGGAATTAATACTAATAATTCAGATGGAACCATTATACCTAATAAATTATTTAATGTTGCAAATCTTGTAGCTTCTTTTATAGATCTTGTTGTAAAATCTTCATTTTTAACTATATCTAATGGGAATCCATTTGCAGAATTTTGAATAAATTGTCCATCAAGATAATTTATACCTGAAACGTTAAAAAACACGGGATAATTTGGTTGTTTCCAATTTAAAATTGAACAAACAGATTGATTATTTGATGAAAATACTAAAGATCTTGATTTTTTTTCAAAACTTGATCTTATTTCTCGAACATGATTAAAAATTGAAGTTAAAATTAAATCAACAAATTTATCAAGATTGGTAGTTTTTGGTAATGTTATTGGAATTTCTTTAATTTCAGATTCTGTAGGGTATAAAACTTCTAAATTTAAATTTAAAAAATCTGGTAGAATTCTCAAGAAATCCACCAAGAAAATATAATTTTGTGATAAAAATTCATTAATATTTGAAATTGATAAATCTTTAAAAAAATCAACATTATAATTTGTAATTTTTTTAAATTGATTTTGAGAAAGATTGAATAATGAAATTTTTGTCCCTTGAACTTCTAAATCCCATGAAGGACAAACAATTGGTGTACCATCACTCAACATTGATACATTAACTTTAGCATAATCACCAGATAAAGAAGAAGCAGTAACAAAACTTAATACAGAATTTGTCATCGAACTTGTAGCATTAGTATTAGTACCATTCCCACTTGTTGATTTCCAATAAGTATCATATTTTGAAATTTCTAAAGGTGTACCCGAATATGGATGAATAACTTTAAATGAAAATCTTAATTCACCAACATTTTTCAAACGACCATCAAATAATGGAAGGACTGCAAGGTTATTTAATCCATCATTTGAAACTTTTATGAAAACATCAGATAATCCAGTTGTTTTAGCAATTAATTTTGTTCCAAATGATGGAAAAATTTCAAAATCAATTTGGAAAGCATCAAGAGAATCAATTTGAAATGCAACAGTTTGTTCCAAGTCTGTTACTGGTAATAAGATATTTCTTGGTACAACATCACTTATCTTTGACGTGATAACAATTCTACCCGGAAGGGAAGAAATAACTTCATCTTGATTTAATATTATAGAATCTCTACCAAGGGCAAATTGTAATTGTACAAATATTTTTTTTTCCAAAAAATTATGTCCATAACGTCTTAAAGGGATAATTGGAGGTGGTAATGATAAATCAGGGATAGTATCAATATTAAGAACTTCTGGTGTTATTGATAAACTTGGTTGAATATATGGAGATGGAATAACCTTTAGTGGTGTTATATTTTTGGAATCTTTAAATTCATTAATTAGGACATTTAAGACATTAACATGACCTTCCCAAATAGCATAAAATAAAGGAGTTAAATTATCTTCATCTTTTAAATCAATTAAAGCACCAGCTTTAATCAAAGCAGCTGTTGTCTTTGAATGTCCTTCACTAACAGAATACATTATTGGAGTCCATTTATTAAACCCATCAAGGGCATTAGGATCAGCATCATTCTGGGTTAATAATGGGACTAATTCATAATTCCCAGTTTTAGCAACAACATGTAATGGTAATAAACCTTCTGCATCTTTTTGATATTTTTTAACTTGAGGTTTTGATAATAATAACATTGCAGCTTCATAATTACCTGATTTACATGCAATGTTTAATGGTAAATATTGTGGATTTTGTTCTGTATTATGTGGTGCTGGATTTGCACCAAATTCCATAAGGATTTTTATTGTTTCTAAATGATTTTTATCAATTGCTAAAAGAAGGGGTGACATTGCATCATAATCCAATGAGTTTAAATGTGATAAAACTTGATTGTTTGAACATAAGATTTTAATTATATCTGATCTACCTAATTCTGACGCATAATGAAGAGGGGTTCTACCACTAATATCTTTTGAAATTAAATTAATCTTGTGTTGGATACCTAACTCGACAATAAATAATCTTGAATTTGTTAAATTACAACAAGATTCATGAATAATAGATCTTGAAGTTAATTCATCTATAATATTTAAATTTATTGAATTTGGAGCTGCTTCATAAAATTTTTTCAATTGATCATCTTCAATTTTGGTATTTATTGAAAGGAAAAAGATCTTGGTTAATTTAAAATTTGCCTGGGGTGATGATTTTATTCTATTCAAGAATTCAATTAATAATGAATCAAAATTTGAAGAGAATGCAAGGTTGGTAAATTCTGAATATAATTCATCAATTTCAGAATCATCAATTATTGTAACCTGTGGTTTATCTATTGTATTATTTTGTATATCTGCTGATTGATCCAATTGTAATGATTTAAACTCATGAATAGAATTATTTCGTTCTGCACCTCCATTATTATTATAATCACCCTCAGCTTGTGAATCTAATTCAACAAGTGAATTTACACATAAATCACTTAGTTGAGATATTTCAAATCTATTAAAAACAGGTTGTACCGAGACAGCTTTTGATAAATATAATTCCTTTGTATGAGATTTTGATCTCTTGTCCCATTTTTTCAAAACTTTTGAAAAACCAGTTTGATTTAATTCAACAAATTGTTGTAAACGATCAAGATCTCTTGTAAATCTTTTAAACCCGTCATATAATGTGATATAAGCAATTGATTTTTTGGAACCTAATCTATTTTTTGATATAGCATTATTTTTCTTTTTTATCAAAATATCTAATCTAATTTTTAAATCAGATTCTTTTTCTAAATAGAATGAATTAATTTTTTCTAATTCTCTTTCTAATCTAAAAAAAAATGAAGTTTTATTTTCTTGTAATGTTCTTTCAATATCTAAATCATTATTATTTTCAGGGATCCCCAATGATTTAATTAATTTTTTTAATGCTTTATAATTTATAAAATGTCCAATATATTCAGGTAATTCTAATTGTCTTGATTCAAGATATTTACCAAATTTCCTGGTAAACCATGTTAGTATATTGACTTTATGGATCTATGATATTTATACATACATTGTGCAATGATATTGATAATGGTATTGGTAATGAATATGAATAAAAGTGAATTAAATATAATTTAAATATAATTTTTCACCAACGTTTTTTTGTTTTAAATTAAGATGAGTATGTTAATGCAAGGTTTGGAAATGACAGTAATCTCAGTGTAAACCAATGTAATCAAAGTATTCAATGAAGTGACAACTAAGTAACCAATGATATAACTATGAGTATATTAGCACTTGAATATGGGAAACACTTAATTCTTATTATATTATATTGTATTTAATCAACAATCAATCAATCTTATTTTGTTCAATTCTATTTAATTTTCATTTTTTAAATTTTGACGTATGAAAATAATTTGATAATTTTGACATTTGACACACGTGGATTATTAGGCTGACACTCCAGGGGGGATTTAGGCAGGATGTGGAAACGGCTTAGACAGAGAGCTAGACAGTGATTCTCTCTGTGCACATACCAGCATCTGTCTAGAACAACAATTTAATTAAACAACTAAATAAATAAACAGTATTATAATCAATTAACCACAACAAGTATACCATAATGAAACAACATTCTATTCAATGAGAGAATCAACACACTATACCAACACATCAACTACTTCATAATATCAACTATATCAATACACCACCTTGTTACTAATAAATCATTGACTATCGTCAATCATCTCCTTCACCAATTCCCTAATATTACTATAACTCTGTAACAATTCCATAACATCATGTTCATCAACATCCACATTATAAACTTGAATTAATTTTAAAACCAATTCAATTAATTCCATTGAAGTGATATTATCATTATTAATAGATTTATAATTTTGAATCAATCTAACCAATGATTTATTATTTTGAAATAATCTAATCATTATATGTTTTGGTGATGTTTGCAATGGAGTTAATTGATACTTGTATGGGAAATGAATTGATTGTGATACTTTATAGAATTCAGAGTTTAATAATAAATAATCATCAATTGATTGATGTCTTGTTGATATTATGATTAAACAATTGTTTAAATTTGAATTTGGATAATTGTTTTGATGGATTATGGGTATTTGATCTATTAAATCCATTAACAATTGCTTGATATCACCATTAAATTCACATTTTATTAAAAATGAATTGTTTATTGGTGAATTGTAATGTGATAATGCCATTAGCCGCTGTGAACAAAGGAATAATAAAGCGCTTTAGTGCTTTATTATTGAATAGATAATAGAATAGTTAGACAATATATAATCAATTGAATAAATAATCAATAGAATAGTAAATAGAATATATAAACAATCACTTCAATACTATATCTATATTATATTTAATTGTTTAATAATTGTTTATTACTATGCTGCCCTTAACACCATCGCGAATCTGTTTTATAAATTTCAATTTTTTTTAATTTTCAATTTTTTTAATTGGTTTTTTAAATGGCGAAAAACATAAACAAATAAAACAATATTTGATCTGAATTACTATTGGTTTAATAAAACAATTGAATTGAATTGAATTATAGTAATTGACTGTTAATTGAGCTATTGATTGAGTTATTAATTGAATTGGTTATTACTTGATTGATATTATATTCAAAGGTTTTCATACTATTCAAGGCGGTATAGATATATTCATATATTGTTATATTGTTATATTGGTATTACTGTTATTAGATTGATTTGTTGATATTCATTTTATTATTAGGTGTTTCATATTATAACTGTTACTAGCTATTAATCATTTGATATCAAAAGTAAGTATATTCATGGTAAAGAATATATCATTTGATATTGTTCATAAGTCCTTAGTTTAGGGGTATTATCATTAGTTCCATATACTAACAACACCACCACCACAGATCAAAATGGATTCAATCTTAGATTTCAATAAGGAACTAGATATCAACCTATTAGATCAAATCGTTACAACTTTTTATTCATCATCAGGTTCAAATCAAAAAATTGCTCAAGATGTATTAACAAAATTTCAAGAACATCCAGATTCATGGCAAAAAGCTGATCAAATTTTACAATTTAGTGAAAATTCTCAAACAAAATATATTGGTCTTAGTATCTTGGATAAATTAATTTCAACAAAATGGAAATTATTACCTGATGAACAACGTAAAGGTATAAGAAATTTTATTGTTAATATGATTATTTCAATGTGTGATGATGATGAACAATTCCAATCTCAAAGATCATTAATTAATAAATGTGATTTAACTTTAGTTTCAATCTTGAAGCAAGAATGGCCTGAAAATTGGCCAACTTTCATCCCAGAAATTGTTCAATCCTCAAGGGCTGGTTTTAATGTTTGTGAAAATAATATGGTTATCCTAAAACTTTTATCTGAAGAAGTTTTCGATTATTCTTCAGAACAATTAACCCAGGCAAAAATTAAAAATTTAAAATTAAGAATGGGTCAAGAATTTCAAGAAATTTATAAATTATGTTTTGAAGTCTTGGATAAAGCAACAAGACCTTCATTGATTGTTGCTACATTAAAAGCTTTATTAAAATATTTACAATGGATTCCATTAGGTTATATTTTTGAAACTGATTTACTAAACCTATTAACAAATAAATTCTTGGGAAATGAAGATACAAGAACAATTACATTAAAATGTTTAACTGAAGTTGCTTCATTAAATGCATCACAATATGATATAAAATTTGTTGAAATGTTTAAAAATTCAATACAACAAATCTCATCAATTGTTCCACCGGGGACAAACCTAAAAGATTCTTATCAAGTGGCAAATTCAAATGATCAAGCTTTTTTACAAGATTTAGCAATGTTTATTGTAACATTCTTAGGAAATCATAATATTGCATTAGAAACTCATCAAGAAACCAGAGATTTATTAATCACTTCACATCAATATTTAATTGAATTATCCAAAATTGAAGAACGTGAATTATTTAAAACAACTTTAGATTATTGGGGAAAATTAGTTTCTTCATTATATCAAGAAGTTCAAAATTTACCATCAAATGAATTAACTCCATTAATGCAATTAGGTTATAATCAAGCCCTTGGTTCCAACTCAACAGGTGGTGCACCAAACCCAGAAATTTTAAAAAATTACCCACTTAGAAAACATATTTATGCAAACCTCTTATCAGAATTAAGATTAGTTATTATTGAATCAATGGCAAAACCTGAAGAAGTTCTTGTTGTTCAAAACGATGAAGGTGAAATTGTTCGTGAATTTGTTAAAGAAAGTGATACAATCACATTATACAAAACAATGAGAGAAGTCCTTGTCTACTTGACTCATTTAGATGTTGTTGATACTGAACAAATCATGAGTGATAAATTATCCAAGCAAATTGATGGTTCAGAATGGTCATGGCATAATATTAATACCTTATGTTGGGCTATTGGTTCAATTTCTGGTACAATGAATGAAGAAATGGAAAAAAGATTCCTTGTTGCCGTGATTAAAGATTTATTAGCATTAACCGAAATGAAACGTGGTAAAGATAATAAAGCAGTTGTTGCATCAAATATCATGTATATCGTGGGACAATATCCAAGATTTTTAAAAGCTCATTGGAAATTCCTCAAGACAGTTATTAATAAATTATTTGAATTTATGCATGAAACTCATGAAGGTGTCCAGGATATGGCATGTGATACTTTCATTAAAATCACATTAAAATGTCGTCGTCATTTTGTGGTTCAACAACCAAATGAATCAGAACCTTTTATTGATGAAATCATTAGAAATATTCAAGATATTACTGAAGATTTACAACCTCAACAAGTTCATACTTTTTATGAAGCATGTGGTTATATTATAGGTGCACAAAATTCTATCCCTGTTAGAGATCGTTTATTAGGAGATTTAATGAATTTACCAAATTTAGCTTGGAATACTATTGTTCAACAAGCTGGTGAAGATCCTGATTTATTAATAAATCCAGAAACTGTTAAAATTATTGCAAATATTATCAAGACAAATGTTTCGGTTTGTACTTCATTAGGGCCAGGTTTTTATACTCAATTGGGATTAATTTTTGAAAATTTATTATACCTGTATAGAGCTGTTTCTTCAATGATTTCAGATTCCGTGGCAAAAGAAGGGTTAATTGCAACAAAAACACCAAAAGTTCGTGGTTTAAGAACTATAAAGAAGGAAATTTTACATTTAATTGAAGCATATATCTCTAAAGGTGAAAATTTGGAACAAATTGTTAAATCAATTGTTGAACCATTATTTTCAACTATATTGGATGATTATAAATCAAATGTTCCAGATGCTCGTGATGCCGAGGTATTAAATTGTTTAACTACAGTTGTCTCCAAGGTTGGTCATATGATTCCTGAAGGTGTTGTCCTTGTATTACAAAATGTTTTCGAACCAACTTTAGATATGATTACAAAAGATTTTACAGAATATCCAGAACATCGTGTTGAATTTTATAAATTATTAAGAGAAATTAATTTAAAATCTTTTAATGCATTATTACAATTATCAGGAGATGCATTCCAATTATTAATTAATTCAATATTATGGGCTTTTAAACATAATAATAGAGATGTTGAAAGTTCTGGTTTAGGATTAGCTTTAGAATTATTAAAAAATGTGGAAAAATTAGGTACAACTCCATTTACAACTGCATTTTATCAAAATTTTTATTTCCCAATCTTATCTGATACTTTTTATGTTATTACAGATTCTGATCATAAAGCAGGATTTAAATCTCAATCTCAATTATTATCAAAATTAATTGAATTGGTCGAGGGAAACATTATTAAAGAACCATTATATACAGAAGGTCAAGCACCTCAGGGAACTTCAAATGCCTTGTTTTTACATGAATATTTAGCAAATATGTTAATAACTGCATTCCCTCATTTACAACCAGATCAAGTTGAAAATTTCATTAAAGCTTTAATTGCACAACATAAAGACCAGGTTAAATTTAAAGCAACATTACGTGATTTCCTTGTTCAAATTAAACAATTTGGTGGTGATGCTACAGATTATTTATTTGCTGAAGATCGTGAATATGAATTAGCTGAAAAACAACGTGCTGAAAGGGAAGAAGCTTCAAAGGTTGGTGGGTTATTAAAACCATCTGAATTGGATGATGATTAAACTCCTTTGTGGTTTTTGGTTTCCAAAGATGATCTTTTTGATTTTGTTTTTTTTTTTAAGATTGGATCATTTTTTATGTTTTATAGTGTTTCTTTTGAAAAATTATTAAAAAAATAGGTATATAGATTGATTAATTTGATATTATTAAGTATATAACAAACACGTAGGGGAACTACAACCAAAATCACAAATATATACAAGTTTTAATTATCTCTTTATATAAATTTCTATTGTTTGATTTGTTTTATAGCATCTTGAAGTCTAACAAAAGAATTTTTTGGACCAGGAACACCACCTTTAACCAATAAAAATCCATTTTCTTCATCAATTTCAACAACTTTAACATTTTGTTTAGTATTATTTTGATTACCCATATGACCAGGCATTTTTTTACCTTTATCAATACGACCAGGATCTTGATTTTGACCATAAGAACCACCATGTCTATGCATAATAGAAGTACCATGTGAAGCTCTTAGACCTTTGAAACCCCAACGTTTCATAACACCTGCGAAACCTTTACCTTTTGAAACACCTTTAACATCAATTAATTGACCTGGTTGGAAATGATTAACTTTTAATTCAGTACCAATTGGTAATAAACCAGATTCATCTTTAACTTGAAATTCTTTGACAAAAGATTTTGGATTAACACCAGCTTTAGCAAAATGTCCTAATAAACCTCTTGATGTCTTATATGGAGATTTACTACCATATCCAATTTGTACAGCATAATAACCATTTAATTCTGGTGTCTTATTATACAAGACTTCTAAATTTTCAACTTGTAATAAAGTAACTCCAAATTTTTCACCAGTTTTCTTATCAAAATATGGAGCCATACCACGTTTTATAGCAATAAGACCAGTTCTTGATGGTAATCTTTTTCTTAATCTTGCTTCATTTGGTGAATGAGCAATTGGTGGTGCTTTTGTTATTTTAGTGATTGAACTTGGTGCAGTTAAGGAAGCTCCATGACGGACTAGTTTTGGATAGGCACGGGCTGTGAAGGGTAGTGACTTTATGAGATGGGTTGTTAGTCCCCATATACTGTTCATCTTCGGTTATGTTTTGTGTGTGTGTGCTTGAAGATTGTGTGCTATTTGATCTATATTGGTTTTGATGTTTAATTTAATTGATGGTATATTTTTCATTGGATCTTCGCGAAAGTAGTGATTTTTTTTTTGGTGATGTTTTTAAAGTTCCGGGTAAATTTTGGGCTCGAATATTATAAAAATTGTTTGTTACATAGTTTTACCAGAATTTAATGTTTTAGTTTAAAAACTCTTTGTATAACAGACCTATGAAAATTTTCCACCACATTTTAGACTCTGAATTGCATAATGCGTACGCTATTGGAAGGATGTTATTCTTATTTGACAAGGCCGTTGATGGTACGTTACAATATGTATCATAATATTAATATTTCGGGCTGACAATTTGATGGGGTCTAATAATGATATTAAGTCAAATTGCATATTAAGGTGAACAGTTTCAATTGTCATTTTACTAACTTAACAAACTACATGTTATTTGATTCTTTGTGTTGTTTAAAATTACGCAAGATCAATGGCATTGTATTTGAAATAAATGTTTTTTTGCAAATATCGAAATGTAGGATGTTAACGATATTAATGAGACTATAAAACTACAACAAAATACCCCCTTTTATCACATCTATTTATGTTAATATATGTACAAGCTATGTATATGAGTTTGGAAAAGGAGAAATTTCATCATATCATATGTAGAAACTTTCTATATCATACATTGTTTATTGTTTTGGTTTGTAATTCATGCCAATGATTGTTGTATAAGACAGAAAAAAAAAGTATGCAAAATATCTTTCAATAAAATAAATTTCAATTTTAAATCATTTAATCTTTTTATCTTTAATTTTAATAGTTTCATCACCAACATAAACACCTTTACCTTTATAAGGTTCAGGTGGACGGAATTTACGTAAATTAGCAGCAAATAATAAAACTTGTTGTTTATCAGCACCTTCAACAATAATTCTTGTTGGAACAGGTGAAGAAACAGTTAAACCTTTTGGAACATAAAGACCTTGAGGAATTGATGCACCAACTTTCATTGTAACAAATGGACCATCTGGTCTTTCTTCAACTTGAGCTCTATAACCAGTACCAACAAGTTTTAAAAGAACAACATGACCTTCAGTAACACCTGTAACATGATTATTTAAAACTGCTCTTGTAGTACCCCAAAGTGCCTTTTGTTGTTTATCTTTATCATTTTCAACACTTAATAATAATTTATCAGCATTTGTATTATATTTTAAAAAATCTGGAATATTTATTTGTAATTCCCCCTTTGGACCTGTAACTTTAGCATATTTTGTCATATTTAAAACACTTCTACCTTTTCTAATTATTTTAGCTTCTTCACGATCGAAAAATTCAATCTTGACATCTTCTGGGATATAAATTGGTGCTGAACCGATATATGATGGTCGTAGCACACTGGTGGAGAACAGTCTCTTCGAGAACTGTATACTAGATCTTAAACCAAACATTCTTCTTTAGTTGTTTAGAGATCTTTTGAATAATTACTTGATATTTTGTTCTTGATCTTTTATGTAATTTGATTTTTCACTGACGGTTTAAAAAATCCAAATTCCGGGTAAAAAAATTTGAGAAATTCGCGAATTATATAAAAAATTATTATAAGCTCATCTCAAATCAATTATACCCAATATACTTTGAATCTTTGGAAATAGTATTATAAACTAATTATACCAAAATGGTTAGAAAATTGAAACATCATGAACAGAAACTACTGAAAAAGGTGGACTTCCTAGACTGGAAATCAGATCAAGGTCATAGAGATGCTCAAGTTATGAGAACTTATCATATTCAAAATCGTGAAGATTATCATAAATATAATAAAATTTGTGGTGAAATACGTAAATTAGCAAATAAATTATCTCTTTTACCACCAACTGATCCTGTTCGTTTAAAACATGAAGAATTATTATTAGAAAAATTATATTCAATGGGTATATTATCAACAAAATCAAAAGTTTCAGATTTAGAAAATAAAGTAACTGTTAGTGCAATTTGTCGTCGTCGTATTGGTGTTGTTATGTGTCGTATGAAAATGGCTCAAACTATAAGTGATGCTGTGACATTTGTGGAACAAGGTCATGTTAGAGTTGGTCCAAATGTTATAACTGATCCTGCTTATTTAGTTACAAGAAATATGGAAGATTATTTGACTTGGGTTGATTCAAGTAAGATTAAACAAAATGTTTTGAAATATAGAAATAAAATTGATGATTTTGATTTGGCTTAGATTCATTTGGAGCTTGCTTTTAAGGGATATGGTTTACTTTTAAGCTTGAAAATATGTACAGTATTTATATAGATTTTAATATTAATGGGTTTTTTTTTGCATTTGTTTGAAGAAAGGACTATGCGTTTGATGTAGCTACATTAATGAAATTTAATTATTGAAAATGATTTATAAAAGAACAAAAAAAAAAGAAACTGAACATAAATACATATGAGTGAAATGATTTAAACCGTAAAATGAATCCATGTTTAAAGAATATGGTTAATTTTGTATATATAAAAAAAAATAATGATGGAGAGAAAGTCCCTTGGGTATATGATATATGAATGAATATATGAAAAAAGTCTTAAATGTTAATATTTCTATAATTATCACTGGTACCTAATTGATTTCTTAAATCAGCTTTACTACCAGATCTCGGTAATTCTTCAGAACTTGGTGATTGATAAGTATGTTGTGATGTGAAAGGAGCAGCTTGCATTGGACCAGGACCATAAGGACTTGAAATTGGAGATCCTGGAATTGCAGCATGTTGACTTGTTAAACTTCCATTTCTTGAACTATTAGCACTATGCATTTGTGTAAAAGAACCTGCTGGTCTATATAATGTTTTTTTACCAATTTCAACAGGATCAACCATAACAATACTTTGTCTAATATGATGTGGTGAAGGTGGTGTAATATCTCTTTTGTTAAATGATGAAGGTTGTTGAAATTGTTGAATTGATGGTGAAATTGGTGATGTTGGTGAAAAAATTTGATCTGAAACATGTAATGGATTGAAAGGTTTGATTGATAATTGTGGTTTAGAATTATTTGTTAATGATTTCTTTGGTGCGAAATCTGTTTCTGTTACAATTGAATCATAATTTATCTTACTTGGTGATGGAACTGTTTGTAATGGTTTTAAAGGTTGTGGTGGAGCATAAGATCTTTGAGATACTTGTGGTGATGATGGTTGTCTTTGTCCATAATATGGTGGTTGATACATTTGATGTTGTGGAGTTTGTTGTGGATAATAAGCTTGTTGAGGTTGTTGTGGTTGATGTTGATGTTGTTGATATTCATCATATTGTGCTAATGGAACTGTTGAATAAATTGATGAAACTGCTCTGTTTTTTTTACCATTTGAACTTGTTCCATCAGCTTGTAATTGTGGAGCTGCTGAAAGATAATTATTTGAACTGGTTTGTTTAGGATCTAAACTACCAAGTGAATCATTACCAACTTCTGCATCATCTTCGAAAACATTTTCTGGTTCATTAACATTTGTATCAATTTTTGGTAATGGTGGAACTTCTGATTCTAATGCATCACCTTGACTTGGTCTTCTAACTGAGTTTTCTCTATCAAAATAAACTCTATAAACACTTCTCATTCTTTTGATATCTTCACTATCTTCTTCTTCTACGGGACCATCAGAATCTTTCAATGGAACAGTTGATGTAGTTATAGTTGGTACATTCAAACTTTTACTTTGTTGTTCTTCTTGTTGTGGCTGTTTCCTTGATGGTGGAGGAGCTGGAATTTCATGATCATTTTCTAAATCATCATGTTGATTATTAAAAGAATTTGTTAAAACTTCAGGTTCATCAATATAAGAAACATCACTATCTTGTCTTTGATGAGATAAACGACGAGCAGATTTTGGATCTAAATTTTCATAAGTATCTTGGAATTGATCATTTGAAGAATCAGAATTATCACTATCACGATTTGATTTACCTAATGGAGAAGTATTTGAATCACCAAGAATATTATCAGTATTAACTTTTGATTCACGATAAGAATTTGAAGAATCAGTTGTTGGATCTTCAATTGAATAAGTCTTTTCAGTTAAATTTCTTGGAATTTTATTAGTTGTTCCATTTGTCATATTTAAAGAACTTGAATTTGCACTTCTATTTGTATATGGAGAATTTGGTCTAGATGTGATTTTATAAGCTGGATATTCAGATCCCATTTCTTTAGCAAATTCATCTAATGAAGCATGAGAACCAATATTATGTTGATATGGTAATCTATATGGTTCATAATAAGGTTCAGCTCTAACAGTACCTCTAGTGGAGCCAGCTCTATTTTGAGATTGATTTAAAATTTCACTATTATTTAAGATATTACTTGGATAACGAGCAGAATCATTACCGAATGGATTTGAATAAAATGACATATCATCATTATCACCTTGTTTTCTACCTGGTTGTGGATAATCTGGTAAGATTGTAGTTTCACCATAAAAATCTGGATCATTATCAGATTCAGCTTCTTTTTTACCCTTTTTATATGATCTATAAAAGAAAAATCCTAAAATACAAAGGAAAACAAAACATGGGATCCCGATTGATAAACCAATAGTTTCAGCATTTGTAGTATCAACACCTGTTTCACATTTTGCTTTTGAACCAGTACATTTATCACTATCTTTATCTTTTGAACTTGAAGATGATGAACTGGACGAAGATGATGATGATTTTGAAGAACTTGATGAAGAATCATCATCTGAAGAACTTGAGCCAGACCCAACATCATTATTACCTGAACCCAATCCTCTAATGGATAAAGGACGATTTAATCCAATCAAAGAAGTTTGTAAAGTTGAATAAGAACTTGTAGGTTCTAGATATTGATCCCACGCAGACGTTATTGAATTCTGGGACATTATGCGAAATGTGAATAAAATGAATGAAAATTTTCTATCTTGAACTAATAATCCATATATGAATAACCAATATTATAAGCAGATTGAAATAAGCCAACTTGTAAAGTTATAATTAAACCACAAAGTATCTCTTTAATCTTTGAATCTAAAACTTTTTTACCTTGACGCGTCCAGATCTGATCTAAAATGTGCAAAAAAAACGGTTGAACTCTGTAAACAGTGCGGTATGTTGAAGAATGTGAATAAACGAGCGACTGACGATATGAATAGCTTTGAGTCCTCCCTGATGAGTGTTTTCTCTGTTGAACCGCTGAGTGAATAGAAGCAGAAAAAGGTTCTTTTTAGATCTTCTCCAGTGTTTTCATTGAAAAGATGATCCGTTTTAATTTCTTTGTTTATTTTTTTTCGCACAGTTAAGTTTTTTTTTTTTTTTTTTGCAGATCTGAAAGGGATAAAAATAAGTTTTATGGAATGTTTAATGGGAAATTCAAGTCAAGTTTGGTGGATTTCGAGAGTGAAATTGCACGGTAGACGACTGCCTACGTGTAGTACGTACCAGTATATAGTGGTTTATCTTACTCTGAGTTACTAGAACCCTTTTTAAGCGAGTTTGTTACGTTGTCTAAAAGACTTTATAGCTATTTGAGTATTAAACAATCATAAGAAAGAACAATATTCATAAGAAAGAACAATCGAATCAAGAGATTCAAGAATCAAGAACTGATATACCTCATCTATCTTGATTTCTTGGTTCGTAACTTCTTGGGGTTCAAATTAATTCACCGGTGTTTGATGAACCAATTTCTGCCTGTAATCAATCGCGTTGAAGTAGAATAATTTATTGGTATTTTTGATCCCTTTCGAGTAAGTTATAAAAAGTCTAGATTCAAAAACTACAAACTGTGGTTATACAACAGTTCCGAATTCCAATTACTTCCCATAATATAAATAGCTGGTTACTTTCGATTGATCAATCAATATTCACTTTTTAAACTCAAATCATGAACTCATGATTCCAATTTAAAAAGTAATAATAAATTTGTGACTAAACCACAAAAGTTTCGTTTCAACAAAGTTTATAAATCCTCAAAGGAAAATAAACATGAGAAAGAAAAAGGTTCCAAAAAATGACAAAACAGCCATTAGCGAAGACAATACCCGGATGGCTCTGGTAAAAGGCAAGGGCCATGTACGATATAAGTTTTCATTGATATTGATCTCCTGGCTGGTGAAGAAAGGAAAAGAAAACTGGGAAGAAGTTTAAGTTTTGAAATTTTTTTGCTGTTTTTATAGTCGCGCTTTGAAAAAAACAGATTCGCGAATAGGTCGGATTTTCCCTATTAAGTAGCGGAATTTACGAGGGTAATGATTTATGTGGTGCGTAACAAAGTTATAACCAAAATGAACATTTTCAAAGATAGCGTATATTTCCAATATTCATTTGCATGATTGAATGGAGCATCAGTATCATCTATTGATCAAATTCCTGATGAAAATTAAGTAATCGAAACGGTACCATTCATCAAATTACCGATATGAAAATTAACGGCCAAGTTCTCTTTAATTTAAATGATCATTAGTCGTGTCTATACTTAGGAAGCTTAGGGTTTTAATTTTTGGGGTTTAAACTTTTGGCACATTTTCTGTACTGGGGTATAAAAGTTCGGAGTTGGGAATCGTATATTATTACGACAATAACAATATTTACCCCAAGCCCCAAGCTTTAGTTCGAAATTGATAATCAACTCATTGTTTACTATCATATCTTTTTGATATCGATTTGGTGTATTCCTCTTGAACATTCACTCCACTTCAACTTTGATCATGAATTCAGCACAAGGGGCTAAAGGTATATGGCTATATAACTAGAATTAAATCCTGAACCCATGACCATAACTCTTAGACGATTGATTCTTCACCAAATATTGATTCATCAATTCTATCACTATGTTTAAATTAGCTATAAGATCAACCAGATTGGCCCCAAGAAGTACCTATATTTTTCGTTCATTAGCAACGGCTTCTTCAACATCACCAAATATCCCAGCAACTCAAAAGGCTATTGTTTTCGATCAACATGGTGGTCCATTACAATACAAAGATATTCAAGTTCCAAAACCTGGTCCAAATGATATCTTGGTGAATATTAAATACACTGGTGTTTGTAATTCAGATTATCATATTTGGAAAGGTGATTGGGCTATTAAACCTCAATTACCATTAATTTTGGGTCATGAAGGTGCAGGTGTTGTTGTTGCAAAAGGTGAAAATGTTTCAAATTTCCAAATTGGTGATCATGCTGGTATAAAATGGGTTAATTCAACTTGTCAAAGTTGTGAATTTTGTCAAGAATCTCATGAATCAAGTTGTCCATCACAAACAAATTCAGGGTTTAGCGTTCAAGGAACATATCAACAATATTGTTTAGCTAATGCTGATCAAGCTGCTCATATTCCAAAAGATGTTGACCTTGCTAAAGCTGCTCCATTATTATGTGCTGGTTTAACAGTTTATAAAGCTTTAAGAAATGCAAATATTCGTGCTGGTCAAACTGTTGCAATCATTGGTGCCGGTGGTGGATTAGGCTCTTTAGCTGTTCAATATGGTGTTGCCATGGGATATAGAGTGATTGGTATCGATGCTTCAAATAAAAAAGAACATGTCTTGAGTAAAGGTGCTGATGCATTTGTTGATTTTAGCTCCAAAGTTGGTGTTCCTGAACAAGTTTTAGAACTAACTGAAGGAAAAGGTCCACATGCTGTTATTAATGTTTCAAATTCTGTTCAAGCATATAATGAAGCAATTACATACGTTAGACCAACAGGTACTGTGATCCTTGTTGGTCTACCACAAGGTGGTGCTAAATTAGAATCTGATATTGTTATGCAAACTTTAAGAGCTGTTAATATCAAAGGTTCTGTTGTTGGTAATAGAGCTGATACTAGGGAAGCTTTAGAATTTTTCAGAAGAGGTAAAGTTGATTCACCAGTCAAGATTGTTGGATTAAGTGAAGCACCTGATGTCTTTAAGTTGATGGAAGATCGTAAAATTATGGGACGTTATGTTCTTGATACATCAAAATGAAGGGCCTGGGTGGATTTTAGTTTGTAGTTTATAACAAATTGCACTATATATTTTATGTTTATGAGTATACGAATATTATTTCAAGAGACACAATATGAAGCCTCAAAAAATAGATATGTAGTTGTTTCTATACAAATACTTGAACCATTGTATTGAAGGGTAGAAGGACTCGCAGTTTACATATATACCCATAAAATGATCTTAAAGAAAAATCTGCAGATAATAAATAGTCGATGTATAGATAAATAGTCAATAAATAAATAAATAATTTAATCAAATAAATAGTCAATAAATAAATAAATAATTTAATCAAATCAATAGTTGATAAATAAATAAGGTTAGTGTGTCTTTTCGGTCAAAGGACCATGTCTTGACTCCAAATTTCCCAAAATACTCAATTCCATTTGTTCCAAAGTACCCCAGAAACTATTCCCATTGATAGGTTCTTTAACTTTTGTATCATTAATAATATCAATGAAATCGTGAACTTCATTTAAGGTCTTGACAGTGATTTGATTAAGTGACCCCATTTCATCACGAATGTTCTCACATAATACTTCATTCTGTGTCTTTTTAGCTTCTTTGTATTGTTCAATCATTGTTGTTAATGTTGATGTAGGCTTCTCAAAAAATGGATCAGTAACCAAAATCAATTTCAAACCTAATTTAAATCCCATTGATGTTAAAGCTTCAGCAGCTTGAGGAGAATTGATTACTAAATAATCATTGATTTTGGATCTATGATTGAATTGATCCAAGTAGTCCATGATAATACCTTCATTTGCAAAACTATCACTTGATGGAAGAATTTGAGAGGTCTTGACATCTGCAATAGGGATATTTGATCTTTTGGAAATATCTGTTAATAATCTTGAATAATGATTATCCATTAATCCCAAAGTTCTTAGGAAATTACTTTTCAATATTCCATATTCAATACCTTCTTTTTTCAATTTCCTAACAAAGTCTAACCCATCTTTTCTAGTTTTAAGATTTCCTTTGAGATGGATACGTATCTGATGAACAATAGCAGAATCTCCAAAATATTGTTTTACATCCCGATCTCTCAAAAATTGTTTATATACTCTGTAAAATAAACCTTTGATATCACTATCACATTTTGTATCACCCAATTGTTCATCAACTAAGCTTTGAAACGATTCTTGTAGATGCTTTTCTTGAACTGGTGGAATCATCTCCTTAGCTTTTGACTTGAGCACCACCTGGTTGATGATACTCGTTTGACTTGGAAACCTGAGGAGTACTGAGTCGTGGATATGGAACCTCGCTCTGATTCTTTTCATCCCATTCATCGTGATCACCTTTGCAATTAAGTCTAATCTTCCTTCCTTTATTTCATACTAAATTCTAATCTTTTTACTATTGTTCAAGTGGGTTTCCATTACATTTTATGGGGGAGACCAAGCACCTCGTAACCATTTCCGTTTTGGGACTCGAAAAAAAAAATCTTGAGCTTTTCGGTCTTTTTAACATGAAGAACTGAATTTTGACATAATCTTCAGGACTTTATATAACTGATTTAAGAGTTAAGAAGACACAAAATGGGTAGAGATCCGTTGATTGGTATTGTCGGGAAACCATCCAGTGGGAAATCCACAACGTAAGTGATTGTTCATGGCGATTTTGAAATGTTCCATTTAGATCTTTTGTACTAACTAATTGTCTTTTTTTTTAGTTTAAACAGTTTAACTGATGCTGCTGTTAAAACAGGTGCATTCCCTTTCACAACTATTGATCCAAATAAAGCTACTGGTTATTTGAAAGTTCAATGTGCTTGTTCAAGATTTGGAAAACAATCGTTATGTAAACCAAATTATGGTTGGTGTACCGATGGTAATAGACATATCCCAGTCTTATTATTAGATGTTGCAGGTTTAGTTCCTGGTGCACACTTAGGTCGTGGGATTGGTAATAAGTTCTTGGATGATTTACGTCAAGCAGATGCTTTAATCCATGTTGTTGATGTCAGTGGATCCACTGATGCTGAAGGTAAAGCCACTTTAGGTTATGATCCATTAGCTGATGTTGAATGGTTACAAGATGAAATTAGATTATGGATCGAAGGTAATTTGGAAAAAAGATGGGGAAGTATTGTTAGACGTCATACAGCTACCAAATCCTCTATTGTGGATACCCTATTAACACAATTTGCTGGTTATAGTGCAAATGGTATAATGATTGCAAGAGCTATGGATCGTGTTCCAGAAGTTGGAAAATTAGAAAATTGGAATAAAGAAGATATAACAAAAGTTGTTAAGGCATTCATGGAAGAAAAATTCCCAACTGTGTTATCATTAAATAAAATCGATCATCCGGATAGTGATAAAAATGTTTCTAAAATCTTGTTAAAATATCCAAATACTAAAGCTGTCTTGACAAGTGCCGTTACAGAAGTGTTCCTTAGAAGATTAGCCAAACAAAATTATATCAAATATGAAGAAGGTACAGAATTTGTTGATACTAAAGAAGATTTACCAGATGATGAAACATTAAAACCAATGGATGAAAAACTACTCAACAGATTAGAAAACATAAGAGACTTAATACTATATAGATTTGGTTCAACAGGTGTGGTACAAGTCTTACAAGCTGCAACAGAAGTATTACAATTAGTTCCAATCTATACTGTACGTAACATTCAAAGTTTTACAGGTTCAAATGGTACAAATGTTTTCAGAGATTGTACATTAATTAGAAAAGGGACACCAGTTTCAAAAGTTGCAAGACAAATCATGGGTGATGTAACTATTGCAGCCATTGAAGGTATTGGTGGTGTTAGAGTTAGTGAAGATGATACTATTGATGTTGGGAAAAATGATATATTATCATTCAAAGTTGTGCCTGGTGGTGGTAATAATTAGAATGTCAATCATCTACAAATGAAATATACAAAATAGATAGTTCAAAAAAATGCACCAATTAATGTATTGAATATTTATAAATAAACTCTATTTTTCCAAATGACTTGCATTTGGTTTTGCTTGAAATACCTCATCTTTGTCGGATTCCATTCCAAGTTCTTCAACATTAGTGAACCCAGCTTCTTTATCTTGTTCTTGTTGTTTAACTTTCTCCAAATATTTCTTCATCAAAGGAGTTGATAAATCTCTATGAAATTTTTCAGGACCTAAAAGGGTCATTATAAAAGTATAACAAAGTGAAGCACCAGTCATAATTGTCATAACTTTTGCATAATTGGATTTTGTAACAGTACCATTTGAATCTGTTTCTAATGGGAATTCATTACTTATATTAGTTTCAATTGTAGAAGCAGCTGCACTTGCCAAATTACCTAATTGATAACTTAAACCTGAGAATAAAGCTCTTGCATCTGGTGGTGATAATTCACTTAAATGAGCTGGAACAACACCCCACATACCTTGAAGGGCAAAAAACAATGCAAATCCAGCACCAAGAATTGCTGGGCTTGATTGGAGCATCCATGCTGGATAAACAAAACATGCACCAAGAATACAGCATAACATAATGGAAACGCGACGACCTAATATTTCCATCAAGATACCAATACTAAAAGACCCAACACATGAACCTAATTGTGATACAACAAGAGCAACTGTCAAAGCATTGTTGGAATATCCTAATTGTTGTTTTAACATTGTTGGTAAAAGATCTTGAGATGAATGTGTAACATAATTTGGACCAGCCATTAGAACAATCATATAACTAAACATTAACCAATTTTTTCTTAACAATGAACCAAAATTTGTAATTTTTGATTTTATTGTTGGTTTTACATAAACACCAGCTTTTATTTGATCTTGTTTAATTAGTTCTCTGGCTTTTTGACAATTAATAAAATATTTAGTTTCTGGGAAGAATAATCTCCAAACGATCAATAGAGCAGGCATACTTGCAGAAAACCAAAACAAAGCTCTCCAACTATGTTTTGTATTTTGAAAAGCTCTCCAAAATACGGTTGCAAAGATAAGACCCATTGAATAAGCTGTGAAAAATAATCCTGATAAAATAGATCTTGCCTTAACTGGAGAATCATCTAATGAAGTTGCTGCTGCTGCACCGTAAATACCACCCATACAAACACCACTTAGGCCACGACATGCTAAGAATTGTTCATAAGTTGAAACAAATCCAGTACCGACTTGTAAAGCGACAAACATACCACAACAGAATATAAATGGCCATTTTCTTGAATAATTATCAGTCCAAAGACCAAAAATAATGGCACCAGCTGATCTAACCATCAAAACAGCTGAAAGACCCCATGTAATTGCATGTGTATCAACTCCAAGACTCTTTGCAATTTCTGTACCTGCAACTGAAGTACAAAAGAAATCAAAAGCTGCTGATAACCAAGCAAGCATCCCAAGAAAGAAGTAATTCCAATTATTTAAAGTCATTCCATGTAAATCATTAATAGGATTCAAATCTTTCAAATTTGCCAACTTTATTTCAAACAATGTAGTTATTCTAGTATAAAAATATTTTGCTATATTTGATGGTGATAAATCAGGCTCTTCATCTGCTTCAGCATGTTCTGGAACATCTTGATATTTAGAGCTTAAGTGATGAGGTTCATGTTGATGCTTTGGTAAAGGTGATTGATATGAAAATTCAGAACTTGGTTGACGAATATTAGTCATTATATAAATAATATAAGTTCAATAAATAGATATAAATATTATAAGCACCAGGATTTGTCTCTCTTTCCAAAAAGTATTCAATTCATAAAATATGATTTCAGGCTATTTTGTGGGAGCATTGCTGTTTAAGTATAAATTATATTTCAACACCTGGAAAGATATAGGCCCGAACATGATCATTTTTTTCTCTATGTAAATCAGTGTTCTAGCATCCTAGCATTAAAACTTCTGACGTTATAAATTCTATGACGTTGTAAACACTTCTGATGTGTAAGTTGTAATTTGTTAGTCGTGAGTCGTGACCAAAGCATTTTTTTTTAACAACGATCATGTATTATGTACAATTTTTCCAATATAGCGGATGGCCGGTAGAAAAATAAAGCTGAACCGCCTAACTTCAACAAAATTCATCAACGTTTCAACTTTCCAGTACACAAGTCCGTTGCTATGTCTCTTTGTGGTAAATATAGGCTACGACCGTTGTATTTGCTCGAGATCAAGGGCATATTCGGACTCGATATGTGGTGCAAAATGGTGTAAGCTAACTAATGTTTGTGGAGAAGTTTATTAAAATAGTACATAGCTGAATTTCATTTGGCTTGCGCTCTTATCTAATTTGAAGTGTAGTATACTCACGGATAATTGATGCGCTGTAGCCTGTTGCCGGTTGATCCAGATTTTAAAGCCTTTTAACTACCCCAGTGTTAATTTTGTCTCGAGTGTAAGTATTGGTTTTGCTTCAAATCTCATAGGCTAAAAATTCCATATGCAGCCGGTGCCAAGCTTGGTGGGGATTTCTTGGGCTCTTTGTTTAGAACTTTGTCGTCTACAGATATAAGGTTTGCCCCTCGATAAGCCTAATTTTAACTTTAAAGATTCATTCTTGGTGAGCTTGGAAAAGCTTATACATTGAAGCTCATTAACTTCTTCTTTCTAATACACGTTATCAGTTTGAGCTCTTGTTTGATGCTTATCAGTGGATGTTTGTTGCGCGTTTTTAGTCACGAAGTCACACTCACAGGAATCAGAAATCTGGATTCAATTTTTCGGTCCCACAAAATCTTGCATAAGCAATAGAGAGAAGTTAGAACTTGTATGGGCTCCTAAAGAACCCGATCTCACAGAGATCAATTAGGAAAATGTACTGAAGGTTTGAGTTGAACCTTGATTTTAAAGGGTCCTTTATTAAGTGATGTTTAACGTATTTTAGCCGTGTTCCATATCTTGGCAGCATAAAACACATCAAAGAAGGAAAAAATCGTATAAGTAAGTATCTTTCGTGTGGAGGTGCTTACGTTACAATGTTACAATTGATAAAAGCAAATACACAACTGTTTTTATTGGAACAATATATCAAAATTTCTCATAATACCTTATTATTTCAAGACTTAATATTCTCAACTGTTACACTATCCATCTCTCTACTTTCACCTTCAATTACATCACGCTCAATGTCAACCAATTCCATTTCATCAACTTTCTCTAAGTATCTCTTCATAACAGGGGATGATAAGTCTCTATGGAAATATTCAGGTCCTAATAACGTAATAAACAACGTGTACGTAGCACAAGCACCAGCCATTATGCTCATAACCTTAGCATAATCATATTTGATAACATCCCCACTGGAATTAGTCTCTAAAGGGTATTTATCACCTAAATTAGTTTCAATTGTGGAAGCCGCACTACTAGCCAAATTACCCAATTGATAACTTAACCCTGAAAACAATGCTCTAGCATCTGGTGGTGATAACTCTGAAAGATGAACTGGTATAGCACCCCAGACTCCCATAACTGCAAAAAACACTGCAAACCCTCCACCAATAACAGCTGATGTACTTCGAATCATCCAGGCTGGATAAATGAAACACCCAGCTAATGTACAACAAATCACAATTGATGTTCTTCTTCCGACTATTTCCATAATAATACCAACAAATAATGATCCAATACAAGCACCTATCTGTGTAATGACGATTGTTATAGTTATTGAATTCTCAGAAAACCCAAGTTGTTGTCTCAACATTGATGGATAAAGATCCTGGGAAGAGTGAGTTGTGAAATTTGGACCAGCCATTAATAAAATCAAATAAATAAACATGATCCAATGTTTTTGGATCAATTCACCAAAGTTCATCAAGCTAGAGCGTACAGTTGGTTTGACATAAGTTCTTGAATCAATCTGCTCTTGTTTAATCAATTCTTTGGCCTTTTGACATTTCTGAAAATACTTGGTCTCTGGGAAAAATAGTCTCCATAATATTAATAAAGCAGCTACACCACCTGAAAACCAAAATAAAGCTCTCCAATTATATTTTGTATCTTGGAAAACTCTCCAAAAAACATTTGCAAACAAAAATCCCAAAGTATAAGCCGTATAGAACAATCCTGATAAGAAAGATCTTGCCTTTACTGGAGTATCATCTAAAGATGTAGCTGCTGATGGAGCATACATTCCGCCCATTGCAACACCACTAAGAGCACGACATGCTAGAAACTGTTCATAACTTGTTACAAAACCTGTACCGATTTGAATAACAACAAACATCCCACAACAAGCAATGAAAGGCCATTTTCTTGAATAATTATCAGTCCAAATACCAAACACAATAGCTCCAGCTGAACGAACCATCAATACGGTGGCAAGACCCCAAGTTATATCACTGGTAGATACTCCAAGATCTTTAGCAATTTTAGTACCTGCAACTGATGTACAAAAAAAATCAAATGAAGCTGATAACCAACCAACCATTCCTAGGAAGAAATAATTCCAATTTCTTAGTGTCATACCATTCAACCCATTTACTGGATTCAAATCATGTAGATTTGTTGATTTTATCACAAATAATGATGGTACTCTTGAAAGGAAATACTTTGTGATGTTTGATGGTGATAAATCTGGTTTTTCATCTGATATTAGTTCTCCTTGATGTTTATCATAACCTGTTTCTATTTCTATTTCTGATAGTGTATGTGGATCTGACTTCATATTTTTGGAATCAAAGCTAGTATTAGACATTATTTTGCCTATATTATAAGTATTAGATGTAACACTTTTTAAACCATTATTGACAATAACCCATTATGGAATCAGGTTATTTATATATAATCATATAACCTCATATCAATTATGCAAATCTGTTCAACTGCAGATTCCCAAACTGCAAGTTCAGATTCTTTCAACGTAATCTCAGCCTTCTATAACAATAAGAGTAGGTTCACCGTATTCAAACTTATCCATCTTGTTAACTATCATCTCACTAATCACCGATCAAAGTTATAAACATCATAGGATTTAAAAGGTTTTAATGAATATAGATAAGCCAAAACAGTAAACGGATGTGGTTGGCCGATATCAAAATCAAGGACCCTCATTTCGCTTATATGTGATGCACTAGATGCTCATCTCATGGATATCTCACCGATATGGATCGGATAGTAAGCTGAAGTTGTTTTGTTACGTTGTTTGTGATGTTTTTTGTAATCAATTTATCGTGAAATTTAGAAACTTTATATAGATAACGTCTGAAAAAGTAACATCCGCAACAAACAAATCTACGTGATTATTGGTTCTAGATACTTGGACCCTTGATCAAGTGAGTATTGAGATCTTCTATTTTAAGACTAAGGATTAAAAAGCAAAAGGGTTTAATCTTCACATTGATTACTATGATTATAGGTACTATGTACTATGCTACTCTTTTCAAATCCCGCAATTATGCGTCATCGATATCATCTGAAATATATCGTTTTATGAATGCCTTTCATTTACTATTATTCATTAAAACATACCTATACAACCTCACAGCTCCCATTTTAGTCTTTAGAGTTATCAACATGCTTGACGGCTGACTTCTCAAAAACTTCAACATCTTCCGTGTGTAATACACCATATTCTTTATCTTTTTCTAATTGATCCACCTTTTCCATATATTTCTTCATTATAGGTGATGATAAGTCTCTATGGAAATGTTCAGGACCTACAAATGTAATAATTAAGGTATAAATAGCAACAGCACCAGTCAATATACTCATAACTTTAGCATAATCAAATTTTATAGCATCACCATTTGAATCCACTTCTAATGGATATTTATTACTCAAATCAGTTTCAATTGTAGAAGCAGCACTACTTGCCAAATTACCCAATTGATAACTTAACCCTGAAAATAAAGCTCTAGCATCTGGTGGTGATAATTCTGAAAGATGAACTGGAATAGCACCCCAAACTCCCATGACTGCAAAGAAGACAGCAAATCCACCTCCAAGAACAGCAGGAGAAGTTTGAATCATCCATGCTGGATACACAAAACAACCACATAGAATACAACATATAATGATTGATAATCTTCTTCCTAAGATTTCCATAATAATACCAACACATAATGATCCTACGCAAGCACCTAATTGAGAAACAACAACTGCCACGGTTATGGCATTTTCTGAAAATCCCAGTTGTTGTCTAAGCATTGAAGGATAAAGATCTTGTGATGCATGTGTAAGATAATTTGGACCAGTCATCAATAAGATTAAATAAACAAACATAACCCAATGCTTTTGGATCAATCCACCAAAATTTGCTGATTTTGAGTTGAATGTAGGTTCAACATAAACACCAGCTTTTATTTGATCTTGTTTAATTAATTCTTTTGCCTTTTGAGATTTTTGGAAGTATTGAGTCTCTGGGAATAATAATCTCCATATGATTAAAATTGCTGGGATACTTGAAGAAAACCAAAACAATGCTCTCCAACTATGTTTTGTATCTTGGAAAGCTCTCCAGAAAATAGTTGCAAATATAAGTCCCATTGAATAAGCTGTGAAAAATAACCCAGAAAGAAAAGATCTTGCCTTGACAGGTGCATCATCTAAGGAAGTAGCAGCAGAAGCAGCATAAATACCACCCATACAAACACCACTGAGACCACGACATGCTAGGAATTGTACATAGGTTGAAACAAATCCAGTACCAATCTGTAAGGCAACAAACATACCACAACAGAAAATAAATGGCCATTTTCTCGAGTAGTTATCAGTCCAAAGACCAAAGATAATTGCACCAGCTGATCTAACCATCAACACAGCTGATAACCCCCATGTAATATCACTTGTTGATACATCTAAACTTTTGGCAATTTGTGTACCTGCAACTGAAGTACAAAAAAAATCAAATGAAGCTGATAACCAACCAAACATTCCTAAGAAAAAATAATTCCAATTTCTTAAAGTCATTCCATGTAATCCATTAATTGGATTTAATGTTTCTAAGTTTGTTGATTTTATTGCAAATAAAGTTGGAATTCTTGTAAAGAAATATCTTGATATGTTTGATAATGATAAGTCTGGATTACCATCTTCTATTATAATATTACCATTATGAGTTTGTTGATATTCTTCATCTTTTGAATTGATTGATTCTGTTGTTTTATCGTAATCTTCCTTTTTTTTCAACATTTCTTATATATACCAGTTCACTGACACTTGAGTATGACATTATAAAGTAACAATCATTGTTATTTGAATTGGAATTAAGATTATTTATATAACTTGAAGATTAAACTTAATGACTCAAATACTATCCAATCAAACTCAACAACCCCGGAAAATTTTTGTAGATCTTGATCATTATTCGTTCCAATCTTCTTTCTATATGTGTATCGTAATCATAATTGACGAAAATTATTTCTATAAGGAGTTTTAAAGCCCTCTTTGTTTAAATTTGCTTTGAATTTACATGCATGAACAATTGAGACCCGTGATTTTTTACTTCTTTTTTATAAACCTTTGAAACGGACATCCGGCTAAAAGGTTATACAACTACGAAACTCTGAAACGTTTTTGGCTTTGATACGATCATATCCAGAAGTTATAGTCTATTCCATCGTCTAACTTTCTTCAAACAGGGTATCATAGTCTATTATTTCCATACTTGTGAAGTTACTTTAGTCTAAACTTACCAAATTTGTCGATAACTCGTCCGAGTGACTGACTGAATTGAAGTTTTAAGGTTCATAGGAAAAGATTTCAACTTGATCATATTATTTTTTAATATTGTTTGAACTCTTGGTTTCCATGATTTTATATCACGCCAAGTGGTAATTCAAGGAGTTTGGCGCTTTTGGAACAATCTGACCTCAATCACCTTTATTTAACCAGGCTCCACTACTTTAACATTTTAACAATTAAGGTTGCCCCTCTACAGCTTAATTTGAACCATACTGTTTCAATCATTGATATCTTATAATATACCATTATATTATATCGATATTCAATTCCTCGCAAAATGGTTCAATGTTTCAATGGACCTATGCACCCCATATGGTTAATTTCCCAGATCTTCAATACGTTTCATATCTAAGCGGCATCGTGATTAAAATCGAGGTAACTCAAGTAAATCCGTTAAAAATCAAACACCCGATTACAAAGACATAGCTTAATCATAGTGCACACTGCACAATGCTAATGTATCTAGTATCTCATGAATAAACCCCAGATTATTAATTGTTTTTGAATCATAATTAATTATGACTACGTCTTTAACAATACGTCGTACTTTACCGCACAAGTTTACTGCACTAGGAGAAGTCATCGAACCTTGATATGTGACTTTAATCTTTTAATGGTATAGGACCTCGTACTAAAAATATAGTATTTTTGACAGAAGATTTATTCAATTAATCCAGATCTAATATCTATTATACATTGTATACCAGATAATATGACAATACTAGTATTTATTTTTGCAACCGAGCGCTGAGATGCTGAGATACGGTAACAATATAACGTTACCTCCGATACGTAAATTTTTGGCGCAAAAAAGATAATGAATTATTTAAAAATGTAATAACCCTCTTTAATGATAAGTTAATATGATAAAACATCTATAATAATTAATTTTAAAGATACAGCTATCTAACCATATGCTTATTTACTTGAAATTCCAAGTTTTGATTTTTGACATTTTTGAAGTCTCAACATTTTGAATTAGAATTATAAAGTATCACAATGACTTTTTGAAAAACTTCAAAATTTTGATCAAAAAAAATCGCTATTTTTTTCGATATCATACAAAATTAGAATATTTTAATCATTATTCTTATTTTCAATTTATCTACATCTTTAAAATTCATAGAATTATATTCAATTAATGTTAATATTAATCCGATCTGTTATATATCCGGTTTGCGCAACACCCAGTCTAAACTCCTGTTCAGGCACAAACTGGTCCGAAATGAGTAAAGTTGGTCATGAATTTTTGTGTGTGAAGATGAAATTATACTACAGCATGTGAAAGTTGAAATGTTGTGCTATACGATATAGTTCATACTATTTGACCACTATGTTTAACACTGTTACTACTGTGTATATTGTATAGGCTATTGAATCTCTGGATAGTTTAACCAAATTCAAGTTATTCATCGATAAACATTGACACAATTCCCGAGTCAGCGCAGATACCTAATGGCACCAGAGTCACTGGTGACAGAGTAGAAAATGGCCATAGTTAAGGACGAGAACAGAGTCAGTGTGGAATATGTCAAATCTAATCTAAATCTGATGGCATAAACGTTCAACTTTAAAAGATCTTAATAAACCAGTAGATTCAACATCGATAGACCCATATTTTATACACAAACAATACACACGTAACTAGTATATCTCCTACATTCCCAGTCAATGCCCAGTCAAAGCCCTACAAACTCAAAGCCCATCATCACACGTGACTTTGCAAGTAAATTTTTTCACTAACGTGTCATCGAAAGAATCGCGATTTTCTTGTTTTTTGTCTGGAAATTAATGGGCTTGAGTCAACAAGGAAAAATTTTTTATATATGAGTATTAAATTAGTGTTTTATACTTGTCATATATAAACAACAATTGCTTTGTATTTCAATTAATTTAGTTTACACTTTGAAAAAGGTTAACTAAACCAAATACTATATATACATAATGGCTTCTCCACAACAAATCAAAAACTTACAAAACACTTTTGAAAGAGCTACTTTAGGTTCTCCAAATGCTGTGTCAACTTCTCCATCACAATCATTTCTTCAACAACAATTTCAACGTCCAAGATCAGTTTCTCAATCTCAATCAAAATCTTTAAAACCTTTCAACACTGGTGATATCAAAATCTTATTATTAGAAAATGTTAATCAAACTGCTATTGATATTTTCAATGGTCAAGGTTATCAAGTTGAATTTTATAAAGGTTCATTACCAGAAGATGAATTAATTGAAAAAATTAAACATGTACATGCTATTGGTATTAGATCTAAAACAAAATTAACTCAAAAAGTTCTTGAACATGCTCAAAATTTAGTTGTCATTGGTTGTTTCTGTATTGGTACTAATCAAGTTGATTTAAATTTTGCTGCTCAAAAAGGTGTTGCAGTTTTCAATTCACCTTTCTCAAATTCAAGATCTGTTGCTGAATTAGTTATTGCTGAAATCATTACTTTAGCAAGACAATTAGGTGATCGTTCAATTGAATTACATACTGGTACTTGGAATAAAGTTAGTGCTAAATGTTGGGAAGTTAGAGGTAAAACTTTAGGTATTATTGGTTATGGTCATATTGGTGCTCAATTATCAGTTTTAGCTGAAGCTTTAGGTATGAATGTTCTTTACTATGATGTTGTTATGATTATGGCTTTAGGTAATTCAAGACAAGTTCCAACTTTAGATGATTTATTATCAAAAGCTGATTTTATTACTTTACATGTTCCAGAAACTTCAGAAACTAAAAACTTATTATCAGCTCCACAGTTTGCTGCTATGAAAGATGGTGCTTATGTCATCAATGCTTCAAGAGGTACTGTTGTTGATATTCCAGCTTTAATCGCTGCCATGAAATCTGGTAAAATTGCAGGTGCTGCTTTAGATGTTTATCCAAATGAACCAGCTAAAAATGGTGCTGGATTATTCAGTAATGATTTAAACTCTTGGGCTTCAGAATTAACTTCATTAAGAAACTTAATTTTAACTCCTCATATTGGTGGTTCAACTGAAGAAGCTCAATCAGCAATTGGTGTTGAAGTTGGTACCGCATTAACTAAATATATTAATGAAGGTGTTTCAGTTGGTTCAGTTAATTTCCCAGAAGTTGCATTAAGAGCTATTGATTATGATCAAGAAAATTCAGTTAGAGTTTTATATATCCATCAAAATGTTCCAGGTGTTTTGAAAACTGTTAATAATATTTTGGGTGAACATAACATTGAAAAACAATATTCAGATTCTCAAGGTGATGTTGCTTATTTGATTGCTGATATTAGTGATGTTGATCAAGGTAAATTGAATTCATTATATGAACAATTGGAAAGTACTCCATACAAAATTGCCATTAGATTGTTGTATTAAACAATTTATTAACTCATAAAAAAAACAACAACAACATACATGCAATTCAATTCAGTCTTTAACAGACTATGACACTTACTTAATTATAATGACAAATATTATGAAAACTTATTTTTTTAAAAAACAACACAACATTGGGGTTTGGGTCTTTTTATATAATATATAAATATTTTTACAGTTTTTTAAAACAAAATTATCATATTCAACAAATGATGATTTTAGATTAATGGCATAGATACAATTTTTTACTATAGAATCAAAATATAAAAAATGAAATAGATAATAATGTGTATTCTGTAGTTATAACTTGTTATTTTATTTCTTTTTCATCTTATCAAACCCATCAAAATGTTGTTTACTTTGTAATAAAATATCAAAAATCATTGGATGACCACCATTCAATACCAATGTAATCTTTACATTTCTTAAAAATTCATCAAATCTTTCATATTTGGCCCTTGCTAATTTATCAAAACTAACTTGTGGTTTAATTTTACCTTCAATAAACAATTCCAATTGAATAATCAATTCATTTGGATCATCTTCAAAATCTGAAAAATTCTTTCCCTTTATTGATGAATTATTAACAATTTCTTTTTGGAATAGATCTAATTCTTCATAGAATTTCTCAATGTATTGTGAATCATCTGGTAATTGTCTATATTCCGTTTGTTCTTTAATGATTTTGTTTTTTCCCTTTGGTACAATAAATCTTTCACTTACTGCACTTGCACTTCTATATGATGATGTTGAGAATTGGTTAAACACCCTTTTTGAATTGGTCATGGATCTTGAAGACCTAAGGATTGTTGGTAATATGACTGATCTGAGCATGACTTATGGATCTGATGATAATATCTGAATTAAACGACGTGAAGGTCTTAAGTTAGCACTAGTAGGTAAATGTCATGAATTATAGAATTGTGGTTCACCACTTTTTGAATATTTAAGCCCGTACCCCGGTATTATGTAAGATTGAATAGATAAGAACAAATGAAAGTGGTATTTAAGCCAAATATTCAGTGCTCGATAGAGCTATATAGTCAGAAAGACATGGAATTGATCATTTCAACGTGTGATCTTCCCTAGTTTTTCAGAATTTATATTTTTCAGGGGCCATTCAAGAGGTTATAAGCGGTCGTAAGATTCTTGTTGCCAATGACTACTGTTACAATCGCGTCAAGATTGAAATAATTGTTTCAAAATTCGCTTGAATCCCATTGAGATAGATGAAACAACTACCTACCATAAAATAGCCACTTCATACCTTCTAAAATCACTCATACTTCAATAATTAATGCACAGTTATATAAACTGAGCCAAACGGTTAAATGCCCTGCTCATAAGATATTCGCGAATGTCAGTTTCCGCGAATTTGTCAGATCCCGCGAAAATCTCGAAAATCGAAATCAACACGAATTTTTGGTGGCAACAATTTGAATTTAAAATTCAAAAGTCAATAAAGAAATCAAAATCAACAGAACGCTCAATTGGATACTCAGTTCAATTGATTTTGAATTTATTTATCAATTAAACAAAAGAGATAATGGCTACTAGTACAGCAGCTCCATATTTGGCGCTTTTGGGTGAACAAGATCTCAACTTGAAAAGTTATGCTTTGAAATCTATAAATGATATTGTTGATGAATTATGGTCAGAAATTGCCAATAACATTTTGGAAATTGAAGAATTATATGAAGATGAATCTTTTAAAGATAGAAAATTGGCCGCATTAATTGCCTCAAAAGTTTATTATAACTTGGTTGATTATGATTCTTCTGTTAAATTTGCCTTAGTGGCTGATGATGCTTTTGATATTAATGAACAATCTGGTTATGTTGAAACAATTATTTCAAAAGCAATTGATCAATATATTAGATTATCAAAAGAACAATATGAAAATGAAAATTCTCAAGTAGAAATACCAAAACAATTACAAAATATTTTTGAAAGAATGTTGAATAAAGCTATTAAGGAAAATGATTTAAAATCTGTTATTGGTTTATCATTAGATAGTTATAGATTAGATATTGTGGAAAATATCATCAATGAACAATTGAAAGTTGATTCAGAAGAAAATGTCTTGAATTTAATCAATTATACATTAAACATTGCAACTTCAATAATCTCAAATACAAGTTTTAGATCTAAAATCTTGAACTCATTAGTTTCAATCATTACAAATTTGAAAACTCCAGATTTCTTTATAGTATCCAAGATCATTGTTAATTTAAATGATGATTCATTGGCTGTTCATTTATTTACAAATTTATTAAAATCAGAAGAAACAAATAATAGATTAATTGCATATCAAGTTGCTTTTGATTTAGTCAATTCATCTTCACAAGAATTATTAGATAAGACAATTGTCAAATTATCAGAATTGAATTCAAACGAATCTTCACCATCACCATCAATTTCTAAAATTATTAAAATCTTATCAGGTATCCCATCATGTGATTTTGATATTACATTTTTACACAAGAATAATAATACAGATATCCAAATATTAAATAAAGCAAGAGATTCATTAGAATCAAGAAACTCTATTTTCCATTCTGCAATTACATTTGAAAATGCATTCATGCATGCTGGTACAACAGATGATTCATTCTTTAGATCTAATTTAGAATGGTTAGGTAAGGCAACAAATTGGTCTAAATTCTCTGCAACTGCTGCACTTGGTGTTATTCATAAAGGTAATTTATCTCAAGGAAGAAAGATTCTACAACCTTACTTACCAGGTAGTTCTGGATCTCATTATACAAAAGGTGGTTCTCTTTATGCCTTAGGTTTGATTTTTGCAGGTCATGGTAGAGAAACTATTGATTATTTAAGAAACCACGTTGTTGAAAATGGTTCAAGTGCTGGTAATGATGAAGTTGATGTTATTTTACATGGTGCTTCTTTAGGTACTGGTGTTGCTGGTATGGGATCAGGTAATGAAGAAATTTATGAAGAATTAAAAGTTGTCTTATATTCTGATAGTGCAATCTCTGGTGAAGCTGCTGCTTTAGGTATGGGTTTAATTATGCTTGGTTCTGGTAATGAATCTGTCCAAGCTGATATGTTATCTTATGCCCAAGAAACTCAACATGAAAATATTATTCGTGGGTTATCTACCGGTATTGCCTTAGTTAATTATGGTAAAGAAGAACAAGCTGATGAAGTCATTTCACAATTATTAGAACATCAAAATCCTTTATTACGTTATGGTGGTGCTTACACAATTGCCTTAGCCTATGCTGGTACTGGTAACAATAAAGCCATCAAGAAATTATTACATGTTGCTGTTTCAGATTCTAACGATAATGTTAGAAGAGCTTCAGTTATTGCATTGGGTTTTGTCTTAATTCGTGACTATCAAACAGTTCCAAGATTAGTTGAATTACTTTCAGAATCCCATAATCCTCATGTTCGTTATGGTACTGCATTAGCTCTTGGTATTTCATGTGCTGGTCGTGGATTACAACAAGCTGTTGATGTGTTGATGCCATTGACTAAAGATCCTGTTGATTTTGTTCGCCAAGGTGCATTAGTTGCTCTTTCAATGGTTTTAATCCAACAAAATGAAAAATCAAACTCAAAAGTCACTGAAGTTAAAGAATTATATGCTTCAATTATCTCAAGTAAGAGTTCTGATGCTTTAACAAAATTTGGTGCTGCTTTAGCTCAAGGTATAATAGATGCTGGTGGTCGTAATGTTACCATTCAAGTTGAAAATGGTTCAACTGGTACTTTAAACACTAAAGCTATTGTTGGTTTAGCCGTCTTCACACAATTTTGGTACTGGTACCCATTAACACATTTCTTATCATTAGCATTTACTCCAACTGCAATTATTGGTGTTCGTGAAGATTTAAAAATTCCAAAATTTGAAATTAATTGTCATTCCAAAAAATCATTATTTGATTATCCACCAAAAGTTAAAGAAGAAACTACACAAGCTTATGAAAAAGTTGAAACTGCAGTCTTATCAACAACTGCTAAGGCAAAAGCAAGAGCTAAAAAATCCCAAAAGGAGAAAAAAGAAGATGACATGGATGTTGATGAAAAACCAGAAGATAAAACTTCTAAAGAAGAATCAACTAAAAAAGACGAAGAAAAAGATAAAGAACAACAAGATACAACAATTACAAGTGAAGATAATGAAGATAATTCAGTTTCAAAATACTCCAAAACTCCTTTCAAATTAAACAATGTAACCAGAGTATTACCAAATCAATTAAAATATATTGCTTTTAATAAAGACGAAAGATTTGTTCCAGTTAGAAAATATAAAGGTAATGGAGGTGTTGTTGTTCTTATTGATAAATCACCAAAAGAACCAATTGAATCAATTAAGACTGTTCGTCAATTAAATAACAAAGATGCCCCATTACCAGAACCTTTCCATTTAGAAAATACTGAAGAAGAAGATTAAACAATTTTAATCTTAATTATGTATAATAAAATATAAAAAAGAATAAATTATAATGATATCATTCAAATTGTAGTGGGTATTTACTCAAATTTGTGCATTTTTATGTTCTCGGAGTATGACCGCTAATTTCCGAAATTAACTCTGTGGATATAATATGAGTCCATTTTCTGTTTACCACGCAACTCGCCAGAGCTCAAGTAAAAGATATATAAGTGGATTCGACCCAGTGAATAGTTTTATAAATCATTTGACAATTGCTTTTTTAAATCTGCACAGAACACCAAAGTAATTAGCGGCATATATAAAATCAATCATCATGAGTTTTGATTATCAGACCGAGATTGACAATGATGCACAACGTCTCTTCTGTCCAAACATCTGGAAACTACCAAGTACAGGAGGTGAAATAAAGGAGTTTAATCAAGGTGAATACCCAACAGAAGTGATACACTCAAATATGGATAGCTTAAGCAATGGAAAATTCATAAAGGCACTAACAACAGATTATCCTGAAATGGATATCAGATGGTTTAGTCCTGCTAGACATTATTCTGGAGTAGCTCAAAAACTCGTTAAAATTGATGTATTAGAGCAATTCACAGTAAATCATTCAATTGATAATATCTATCCAAAATTCAAATGGTGGTTTGAATTATTACCATACGAAAAATGTTCTACTGAGTTTTTCTTGAATCGTTCAAAGTTTTTATTGTCTCAATTCATTGGTCGAATGAGAATTAAGCTTAGACATATAGACTGGAAGATTAGAATAGGATGTATATACCCATTGAGATACAACAAAGCTTTGTTATTGAAAAGGACCACTGATTTCTTACAGCCAAAAGTCAGCAGTGTGGTTATAGCTCTTAAAAAGCTGGTTACACCAAAGACACAATATGCTCTTTTCAGCTTTGGGGATAAGCCATCGTTATTAGGCCCATTTCCAATAGAGATATGGTTGAGAATAATTGAACAAGCTGATATTGATAAAGCCAAAGCTACAGCTATGATATACAATAACTTTTGGGCTGAGATTGTCGCACCAATTATGTATACCAATATTCATTGTTTCTTATCAATTAGAAATACATCAGCGTTGAGAACCAAGGATTATGACTTCGTTTACAATGGACCAAATTTGGTTGATTATGGATATAGTGATTACAACAAATATGAAAGATTAAATAATGTTTTAGAAAACGATTTTGAAGTCTTAGATCTCTACCCATCTTCAAAAAGAAGAATGAGAGCTTTGATTAATTCTAAAAATCCAGAAGATCAATCTGCTATTTCAGTTGTCACAAATCACAAATCTTTACTAAAATTGGTAAGGACATTGAATAACAAGAGTAGCATTATGAAGAAATACTTAAAAAATATCTCTTTAGACGTGTTTGCACCTTCTGATTGGATGACTATGGAAGGAAGCAGAGAAGTGAAAGAGAGATTCGATACCATGGTAAGAAACAATCATAAAGACAAAGAGATTAAAGTTTTGCAGACCAGATTAGAGATGGCACATTCTGCATTAGTCCACATACACGAATTTGACCACTTGCACCAGAGAAGAAAGAAGGAAGAGTATCAAGGTAAGAAGTGTCACCATATAAAAGAATCTCAACACTGCTTCTTTCAAGAAGATTTCACTCTTGGACCTTCCATTGAACCACTTACATTCGCAAAACCGAATTACACAACGAGTTTAGATCTCTATAATAAGATTGTTAACTGTTTCATTAATGGAGAGAGACAGAGCGTGAAGACGATAAATGAAGAAAATGGAAGAGGTCTAGATTTCACTTACATGTTTAATACACACAGAAGGCCTGGAGTTAGCTTTGGACTCACAAGATTCGACGATAAGTATCATAAATGTGACATCTCGGTTGGCGAAACAAGTTACTTAAAGAACAAAGGAGAGCTTGCAAAATATATCGATAATATTGTAAACACATTTTTGGGATTCAGTAACTCTAGCTGTTCAATAATGATTACTGGTGTTGTCTCAAGAGATGATTACCCAATTGACTTTGAGGAGGATACATATACAATATATTACGGGCCCCAGCTAATCACAATCAATAAAGATACCTAGAGCTTTTTGAAAGAAGTATTTTTAGTTAATGTCCAGGTAGCAATTTTAAATATAATATAAATGAAAGTCAAGCTGTATCATAAAAGTGGTTACGAGCATCCACTATGAAGGACGTTGTAGATCTTTTTATAAGGCTTTATATAATTGTGTCACATATATATTTTGTGAATACGCGCCATGCCGGCGGTATAACTTATACATAAAACGAATTAAATTACTATATTGTGATTAATTCTTGTATATATAAGACTCTTTATAAACCATTTCTTACCATTTATGGATATATGATTGACGGAGGCCAATATATTATGATAATATAGAAAACCAGCTCTTATAAAATTGTAATTAATCAATATATAAAATTAGCTAGCTTTTTTAGAAATTATTGGCCAGCTAATTCTAGGTTTACAATTATACGTCGCGAATTTACCGATTGATTCAAGGGTTTTAACTTTTTGCGCTACTATACATATATATAGAAATAACAGGCTAATTAATAACATTAATGGCTAAATTACTGGGGTGCACTCATCATGCTCTGTTAATAATCAATCAAAATTGCTTATCAAATATGAGTAGTTGTCAAAAACAAAGTTCAGTTTAAGTTAAGGTCATACAGAAATTAAGTTAATATTGATATACTAGTATTTTTTGAAATAAGTTTATTGAACTAATCAATCACAGATAACTTGCAATTGGTAATGAAAGTATAACGCCAAGTATAACTGTATAACTAGGTTGAAACGCTGATATTTTGGTCATGTTCAATTTATCATAGCTAGGGTACGTGATATTGCAGTTTACAACTTGTCGGCGGTTAATTAAGTTGTTATTATTAATTATATTACAATCAAATTTCATTGATACATCATTTGTTTCATTCACTATTATATACGGACACTTGAGAAGCCAATAAGACAACAATATATATATCAAACCAATACAGCTTAGAATTTATTCTTTTGTGGTATCATACAGCTAGTTGCTCAAAGTTGCAAAGCTTCAAATGATATAAATGAATACATTTAGTTATGATTAATCTGGCGGCTAATAGATAATTCAATCCAATTAAAGTTTAAGGCTCAGCTTACATATTTCTATTGATTTCCACAAATTGAAGCTGCAGTTATTTATCAATATCACAAATAGTATAAATAGGATCAAAATTTCTTTATAAATACATGAACTTTTAATTTTAAATGATATATTTGTATTGTTTAATTATACTGCTAACTCTTTCAAAATTAAATTTCCCAGTATGAGTACAAGAAATCGTCGTTTAACAATTAGGTCATTGTGTAAATACACATGCACTTATTGTCGTAAGTATACAAATTAGTGATCGAAATGTGTAGCGGCTAACAATTATAAATTAGAACAGTTGTTTAGTGATCTCTATCCTAAAGAGTCTAATGAGTATCAACACTTGAAATCATTATTATTGGAAGATTGGAACCAAGAATTAGCTGCTCAAAGATTACGCATTATCTTGATTTATAAAATAATGAAAATCTTATTAAAAACTTCAACAGCCTTAGATTACACTAAAGACCAACAAGAATTATCCGAGCTTGAAATAAAAGAGATTATCAAAAGGGTTTCCAACTGCTTGCAAACTCATTTTACAAACTTTAAATTCAAATTAGATCAATACCAATTAATTGTTGAAGTTTGGAATATGTTTACCAACGACTTGAGCTTAACGGTGGTAGATGAAATTTTGGAAAATAATGGCATCCTCAAATTGATTAATTGAAATTATTGGGATTTTGTTTTTGCATATACTATCTTTATTATTTCTTTATATTTTTTTATCTCATTTATCAAAGTTAATTTATCTTCAAATTTTATGCTATTTTTAATTTTTTTCTTTATTTTTTTTTCTTTAGTGATCTTTATATTTTTATATTGGTATATGTAATTTCTGGTTAGTGTGTCAATTTATGACTGATTTGAATGTAGCCTAATGCAAGTATTCCCAATATTGAACTTTATAATATAGCAATTCGGATGTTGTAATTGATTATCGATTAAAGAACCAAAGCATACCATATAGCACCTAGAAGTCTGATATGTAAGAAAAGAATGGAGCGTATGTATCATGATATAAAGCCTGAAATATAACGTTTGATTACCATGAAACATCTAATTAAAATTCACAATAAACTGATTCTCATATTTTGAATGTATGGATCTTGTCATTATGCCCCTTCAACCACAACCGAAACACCCAAAGTTATCGAAAGAGTCCAACGACACCAAATTGAGCCTAAATGAATCTAAGCCAGCCTATTTCAACACCATATATGAGTTCCTCAAAAGTTGCAATATTTGATTGAATTCTAAAGAAGAATTGAATCGTGGTTGTACTTGAATAAATTATTAATGAGTTTCTCGAATATAAATTTTTTAAACTGGGTACGTTCAATGAAAATCAAAATTATATCTTCAACAACAAAACCAGAAACGACAACAAGTACAACAACAAGAAGTTTCAAATATCAAAATCAATCAAAATGGTTGTTAGCTCGATAATTCAGGTTTTAATGAAGCACCTATTGTCCTCTTCAAAAATGTTCTCGGTATATGTCCTCAAATTCTCAAAGCTGACGTCCATCAAATTTGTTCTCAATTAAGTCCAAGAAATTTACGGAGTGATGATATGCATTATCTGTTTAATGAAAAGTATATATATATATATATATGCTTAGCAGTTACCAATTCTCAAAGTTTTTCATCAATATAATAATAAATCAACAATAATATCGAAAGTTTACAACAATTCAAATTAGTATTACTTAGCTAGATATATTTTCCAAATGAACGCCGAAGATTATTTTAATTCCCCAGATTTTAAGCATGAAGTTCAGATTGAGTGGTTGGTCGAGCGTGACAAAAGAAGATCCACTGCAATGGAATTTCATAGAAGCTTCAAAAAGGGATACCCATCACACGTCCTACTTTCCAACAATGATACATTAAGACGTGGAAAGTTTACCAAGCTTCTTTTAGGATTTTATGGGCTCGGACCTACAAAACGACCTGAAGAACAATATCCAATACTCACTAGACAAATAGTTGGTGATTGTGTTAAAGGTTTAGAATTATCTTCCACAATTGATAATGTCATTTACAAATATAAAGGATTGTTTGATTTGATGCCATATGAAAAATATTCAACTTCTTATTTTGTCAAACGTTCAAATATACTTATCGCTCAAATGATAGCTCATATGAAGATTAGAGCCAAACATTTTATTTGGAATACCAAGCTCAAGGCTATATACCCAGTCAGATATGAGGTTAATAAATTCAACAGAAAATGCTCAAGTTTGGTTTCTTCCCTTGTTGTTAAAATATCTAAAGCTTTGAAGAAAAGCTTTTATATAAAAAAGGAATTTGATCTATTTGGTTTTGGTGATAAACCATCATTATTAGGACCTTTTCCTGTTGAAATCTGGTTAAAGGTTATTGAAGAAGCAGATATAACATCAAAACAAAGTGCTGATATGTTTTATAATAGTTATTGGATAGACATTATAGGTCCATATCTATACACCAATATTTATGGTATAGTCACAGTCAGAGATACATTCATTACAAATAGAGATGAAGCTGCTTTTTTTGAAGGAGGACCATCATATAACAAAGAGCTGTTATACGGTCAAGAAAGATATGATAGATATCAAGATCTAGGAGTTAATGAATATGAGATTATTGATCTTTATCCAAGTTCATTAGAGAGAAAGCATAAACTTGAGACTTTGAAGTCAAAAGCTAACGGATTTCCTATTACATTTGTAAAAAATCATGAATCCGTCCTTAAACTAGCAGCTTTAATGAATAAAGAGACTTCTTTAATTCGCAAATTCATAAAACAGATCTCTATTGATGTTTTTGCACCTCAAGACTTTATGACAAAAGAAGGAGTTACAGAATTATATGATGATTACAGCCAATTTTACAATGGCTATAGGAGTACTGTTGAGGTCAAAGCTGTTACATTGATACATTCAGAGTGTCCTTTTATTCATGTATTACACGAATTTGAAGCAAATGGATCCCATGATGATAATGGTATATGCAAAAAAAGTGATGAAATCCAACATTTCTTTCAAAAAAAAAGAACACCATCTGGTTATGAAGACTCTTCAGAATTTACTAAAGCTCCAAGCTATGACATGGAGCTAAGCTATTTTAATAGAATTTTGAACTCAATATTACATGGAAGAAGGGAGGACATTAATATTGAAGATGATATTGCGGCTAATAAAGAACTTGTGGAGTATTCACACTTTGACTACTCAAGGTACAGAAACTTGAATCGCATCAATCATAAATTTGATCTTCAAGTATTTAAAAGAAAATTTTTAAAGGATAGTAATTCTGTGAAAATTTTCATTGATAAAGTATCAAAACCATTCTTATGTTATAATGTTGATAACAATATAAATGTTTCAGTTACAATTACGGGTATTAATAACTCTAGAGTGAGTGGTGAATGTCTTGCGGATGAATTAGGATATATTTATACATTTTATCGTGATCCTCAAATGGTTCTTCTTAAAAAAATGCCTATAGTTGACTAGTAAGTGGCATAATTAGTTATGAATTCGAAAGAATCAATATTTTAATATTAACAATATTATAATGAATATTTATATATCTAACAAATATTTAAACTACTATTATATGGATTACAATATATCAATACATGTCTAGTATATAGTGTACTGCTAATTGTACCAATTGATCATACTATCAGCTTCACATGCAGATTATAAATTCACAGCATGAATACGCTATAGGTCACATATATTGAATATTTTCAAAGATCCATATATTCCACACCTTTCAGAGAATTTTGCTGGTTCCAAAGGGGATATTGATCTGATCTTTTTGATTTCAGCGCTCAAATATTTTTAGTAGTGAAAAATACGCGAATTTAAAACTGGGGTTAATGAAAATCAAAATCTTCAACAAATTAAATATTTAACAACAACAACAACAACAACAGTTTCAAATATCAAATTCAATCAAAATGGTTGCTTCAGGAGTTGCTCCAGAGTATCCAAACTACATCAAGAATCCAATCAAAGTATGTTCATTCAATTCTATCCATTGTTTTGAAGTTCATTTTATTAACATGGGGTTCCCCTTTTTTTAGTGGCTTCGTTATCATTCACATTGGAGACCACATTTATTCTATTCATTAATCATTGGTTTAACTTTTCCAATATTAGCTATTGCTGGAACTCCATTAAGAAGAAAGTATTGGTATTCTGATCATGTTCCATTACCTAATGGGTATCCAAGTATGTGAATTTTTGTGTTTTTTTGATATAAGGGATGATACTAACAATTTAGAACCTGTTGGACCAAGAGATCCAAACTTGAAAGGTTTTGATGATTGAATTCAAAATTGTCAAGTTCATTATTTATAAGGTTATTATAGCTGTTTATTTATTCAAAACTTATTTATTTATTTATTAAACTACAAATACATGCAAAATTTTATTGGAATTATATTTACATTAATTCTCCAATTAGAACTTATTTACAAACTTTTATGTGATTCAAATTACCATCTATAAAATCCATCAGGTCTCCAACGTAATGATTCAGAAGGTAATTGTTGATAAGGTTTTTTTCTTAATTGTTTTTGTTCTTTTTCCCATGCAATTCTTTTTTTAGTTTGTTCACCTTTTAAAATAGCTTTAATATGAATATGACCATGTTCTATAACACCTGTTCTACCTCTTCCCTTTGGATCTAATCTTTTCATTAAATGACCATCTTTACCAGCCCAAATTTGATCAAGAAATAATTCATCAGGATTAAAATTTAATTCTTTTGATTCTTTTAAACCTTTTGATAATAAATCACCAATTTCTCTTGCAATTCTTTTTTGATTGAAATGTGCTTGTGTAATGGCAACTTTTAAATTTAATTTATTCAATAATTTTGTAACAACAGTGGCTTTTTTAATGGAACTTTTAATTCTAAAACTTTTCAAGTACATACTTGGTTCAAGTGCTTCAATTTCTCTTTGAGTTAATTGTAATCTATAAACTTCACCATTTGGTAATCTAATTTCATCTTTATTTTTGAAAAACCCATTCTTTGCAACATTTGCTTCATAAATTGATTGTTTTAAAGGACTTAAATATTTTTTTGCTGCAGGTGTTGGTTCATGACCTATAAATTTCTGTAGTTCTGTATCATTTTTCAAAGTAATTTTATCTTTATTGATTTTTTTATCACTTTGTGAATCTAATGAATCTGCAAGACTATGTTTTTTATTTACTGGTTCAGTTTGTGTTGTTATTTCACCAAATAAATTTGATTGTTGTTGATTATATTTTATTGATGATAAATGGAATGATCTTTTGAAAGTGGTGGCAGCGTTGGTTCCAAGTCCCAAATGGGCCCTTATTCTACCCAAACTCATGATGAATATGTTGGATCTAAACTGTAATAACCTAAAACTAAGATCAAATACCAATCAAATCTTTTATTATATTTTCAATATTTTCCAATACAAAAAAACTTCAAAAATTCGACAAAAAATTAAAAAAACTAAAATTCGCGAAACCGCGAAAAAAAAAGGGAAAGGTCGGAATTCAAGCAAAAATGTGTCACAATTCCGGTTATTTAGTCCCCAAGTTTTTTAAATTATAAGCATTTTGAGATTTTTAAAAGGTTTTATATTCTCTACAAAATGCTGGTTTAAAGGGATATTAAGGAAAAAAGAGGATAATTTTTGCTTGGAGTTGAGTGTATACGTTGTCTATTTGGGTTATCTGGAGGGTAGAGCTAGTTACTGGTTAGTACAATCTCTAGGAATCTGCATATAGCTGAATCTAGACTGCATTGCTATACTCGTTTAGTATCTCAAAGGATATAGATCTTATCAAGTGCTCTATATCTGGAATTTAATTTTATAAATTGAATATTTGAACGGTTCTATATTTCACTATACTGGAGTCAACTCTGTATATCATCTAGTTTTGCTTACAAAAGACAAGGATTCAAAATGGGTATTCCTCAGGCTTGTCATCTTCAGGATAATCGTGGTCGTGAAACAGTGTTCAAGTGTTCAGAATGTGGTTCTCATTTATTCAGTTCAAAACAAATAATATCAGATGTAAGTTAAATCAGTATATACTACTACTAGACTATTTACTAACATGACTTTTTCCAGAACTTCCATGGTAAATATGGTGGTGCATTCTTAGTTAAAAGAACAGTAAATTTTAAAAATGGTCCAATAGTTATTAGAAATATGATGACTGGTAATTATCATGTTTGTGATACTTTATGTAACTTATGTGATAACTATTTAGGCTGGAGATATATTACTGCAGAATCTGAAAATGAGAAATATAAAGAAGGTAAATTCGTTATTGAAATTAGTGAAATTTCACACGTTGGTATTAGTGATAAGTATTCAAAAGTAATGTTTTGAATGATGCAATATTAAAGCCTGTTTATTGGGCTAATTTTTTTTTATATACAACACATAACAGTACAGAGGAAAGGTTCAGGATTAAAGGTTAAAGAATTGGTTAATAGGTAATGGTTTTTATAAAGGTATTTGGGTGCAATTCAGGAAATGACCCATAAGGTTAAGATTATATAAGGTTTTTAAGTGATTAATAATTATGATTATGTTAATTAATAATGAATGATAATTGATCGTAGCTGATATATCGAAGTTGAATTGTGTTAATTGAGGCAACTATATCCAATATTATAAATTATTATATAATTTTCCACTAGAATTAGAAGCAACCAGTGGATATATGCATTAATTGCTATATGTTGATGTTTCGGATTGAATGCTCCTCATAATTCATTAATATAATATAAAAACTAGGTAATCTACAATCATGATTCAAGGACGTATAATTTCAGTTTAATTGTACTCTAATTGCAAATTATAATATTAAAATATTTATAAGAAAGAAAAGAAGAAAATAAAAAACTATATATATTCCTTTAAAAAACCCATGTGTAAATCATCCATAATATTAAGAAGTAAATTGAAAAAGAAATCAATAAATAAGTTTAGCTATAAAATGGTCTTTGTATAGCAAATAAGCAAAAAAAAAGTTCTTGGTATCAGTTATTGATAAACTTAGCTAATTGGAAAATAAATTAAGAAATAGAACAAGGAAATAAGATAAACCCAAATCAATTATTTATTTGAATAATCTGAAATTAGATTATTCTAAATGATTGAAATGTCTTTGATGAATAAGTAAAGAAATAATGAGAGTTTCCAATATAAAAACAAAATAACCTTAACAACAACTCTATATTAAAACAAAAGAAAACAACCTTGAAACCCCATAGTCAACAAATCATAACAACATACAATAAAACTGTTCAAAAAATTTAAACCATTTCTTTGAAAAATCCACCATGATCTGCATTAGAACCATCAATTTGAATAGATCCAAAAGATTCATCAGTACTTGACCCATCAGAATCAGAATTCATTGATGAAGCATTTGATTCAGTTGAATATCTATTAACATTATTTGAACCATAACCATATCCAGAATTTCCTAAACGACGAGGATCATCTGATAAATGAACAGGATTTGCTTTTCTAACAGGTGGTGGAGGAGGTGGTTTTTTAATAATTTCTTGTTCATCAAATGGATTTTCAGCCATATATGGAGTTAAACCTGCATTTTGATAACGTTGAGAATTTGCATTAGTTTTATAAATTGAATTTCTTGTTGAATGATTTCTTGCCAATGTTGAGGTTTCAGATTCTGTTTCTTCATAAACTGTATCTATGGTTCTTAAGTGATTATCTTCTTGTCGTATTCCACGTGTATTGTTATTGACATTGTTATTGTTATTACCACTGGCAGAATTGATTATTGGTGTATGTTCATTTGGTAATTGTTGACCCATCAGTATACTTGACCCCAAATTAGCAAGATCTTGTTGTGTTGATGAGTTTGTTGCATTTGTTGGAGGTGGAGGAGCAGGACGGTGAGGTATTTGAGGTTGTGAAGTTAACATTGGTTCATCAGGTAATGAAGAAGATGAAGTTGATTTTTTATTAAATTTTGAGAAAAACCCTAAACTTGGTGACATTTCATTACTTGTCTTTTCATTATAATTACGATAAGTTCCACCATAATCTTCATAATCATCATCATTTTCTAATCTTCTTGTTGAAGAAATTGAATGGGTAAATGAACCCTTTTCAGAATTATCCAAACCTCCAAATCTCTTCTTTCTGAATACGAAAAACCATACTAAGAATAAAATTAATGAAACACCAGCAACTGAACCAATAACTGAACCTGCAATTTTACCCTTTGTTTGTTCAGCAGTCCCAGTAGATTCATTGTTTTCATTTGAATTAGAATTTGAATTCAATTTCAAATAATTAGCAAACGCAGAAGCATCTGTTGTTATAGCTTGATCTGAAGTGTATGAAAAAGTACCAACATCACCCAGCACTGTAGATACAGGTATGGCGGTAGTTATTGTAGTTGATGAATCCGTTAGTTCGTATAGTTGTGTATAGACAAATGTGGTTGATGATGGAGATTCAGAAGAACTTGAACTTTCCCATGATGAAGATGAAGCTTCTGCGTATAGAGATGAAGATGAAGGTTGGGCTATTGATGAAGATGATTGTTGGGTGTTTGAAGATGATAGATGTATTGAACTTGATGATGGCGCTTGTGATGAACTTGATACTTTGGCAGTTGTTGAAGAGCTCGATGAAGAAGTAGAAGATTCTGATGATGATGGCGTTGGATGGGAATGGAAGCTTGATGAACTTGATTGCGTTTCAGTTGATGATGATGATGTGGAAGAGGTTGTTGATGTTGTTGATGATGATGATGACGATGTTGTTGTTGATGATGGTTCTTCCGATGAGGATGAGCTTGATGAACTTGATGTTAACGATTCAGAGTTTGATGTAGATGTCAAAGAAACACTAAATGAACTTCCGCCATGAGCATGAAATGAACGTGAACTTGAATCATCTGTTGAATTTGAAGAAGTTGAAGATTCCAAAGTAGTGGTGGGGTTCTGACTTGATGAAGAATCTGTTATTGTTGATGATTCTGATTCCCAATCTGATAATGATGAAATAGTTGGTGTCACAATATCTGTTGAACTACTTGAATCTTTATTTTTAGAACTTGATGATGAAGAACTTGAAGTAGAACTTGTTGTGGAAGATGTTGAATCTATACTGGAATCATCACTTGAAGATAGCACTGTGGTACTGGTTGATCCCAGATGTGTAGTGAGGGACGATGAAACTGTTGAGTTTGACATCGTTTCACGGTATTTTTGATCCTTGAGCTATACTTTTGATCTATGTTATGATTTAATGCTCTTTCCGAAAAATAAGTTTCAAAGTCTTCTTTTGCTTTTGTAGGACTATACCTTTTTATTCCCTTTAAATTCACTTATGATCCTTTCAAAATTTTTTTTCACTTGCTTCTCCTAATAATGTGATGAAATTCTGGACTTTATAAATATCTTTTGATTTTAAGATTGTGATTGAAATTTGAAGGGCAAAAAAAAACTTAGTGTAAAATTTTAGGCAGAATTCTCACAGCTAAATGCTAAATGCACTGCAGCTAACGATCGACTTAAGTAAATAGAGAATATTCTGTTCCAAAACTAAGATACCTCACAAGATGTAATAGTTAATGAATTTGACAAACAAAATGTTAAGGAAAATTGATAAAACTATCTCACTTTCCCTTTCAAAACCTCACTAAAAAATCTTTTGATGATATTTTAAGTAATTCTAAATTCGTAAAACTTCTATCCCAAAAAAGCGCGAGATCTGGAACATGGAACGCCAAACAAACTAAAATAGAACACTCTGCAAAAATAACACTCCAAGCAGAGAAGCACAGATCGTTATACTCTGTTTACAAATTACGAAGTGTTTATAGTGAATAAATTACGCGTCATCAACTTAATCCATATTTCAATTTAGTCTTTACATAACTTATCATCTGGATTGTCAGTGTTAAAGTGAATCAAAATGTGTTTAATTATAGATTGATTTTCGCATTTTATAACGTTTGACATAAAAAAATTTATCTCTTTTGTTCAAATTTGCGCGAAAAGTTTACCCAATTTTGTGGTTTTGTCCATATTAGGTAAACCATTGCGCCAATAATCCCGATTTGATCAAATAAAAGAAATGCGGCATGGGATTTTATTCAAAATTGAGTAATTTGGCGTAAACAATAGTGCCAATCGGCGTAAATTAACTACTTCTAGTTCTAGACTTTTCCTTTCTATATAATTAATGTTGTGTATTATACATAAACTTTTATCTTTTATCTTTGAAACCTTAATTCAAAGCTTTATTAACAATCCTTGTTTGTCTAATGTGTGAGTCTACTTACTATCTTTTTTGTTTTAAAAAGTTGTCTTTTTACCTTTTGATTCCACAATTGCTACACTTGCTCTTTGAGCACCTGCTAAAGCAACACTAGAAATTGGTCTAGGTTTGTTTTTTGGTTCTCTACTTCTTCTTGGTTTTGAATTTTGTGATCTTTCTCTGTAAATTGGTGCTGGTTCAACTGGTGCACTTGAAGATGAATTTGATTCTTCATTAAATGATGGTTTATTACCATTATCATTATCACCATTATTATTTCTTGGTTTACTATTTTTTGGTGCTTTTTTACTTCTATCTTCACCAAATTCCATTCTTAATGGTCTATTTAATAATTTTTTACAACTTTTATCTTTTAATGCCTTTGTTGGACCTTCTTCATCTTTAAAATCTAAAAATGCGAAACCTTTACATTTACCACTATCTTCAAATGTTGCCATCCTTATTTTAATTAATTCACCACAATGAACAAATTGACGATGTAACATTTCTTCAGTTGTATCAAATGATAAATTACCAACAAATAAAATTCTTGATGGTGGATTTTTGGATAATTGAGCTTCTTCTTTATTTGGTCTACCTTCAAATGAATCTGAATTTTTAATTAATAAATTTCTACCATTTAATTGTTGTTCCGATAAATTTATAACTGAACGTTGATGATTTTTAGTACTAAAATCAATATATGCAAAACCTTTAATTTTTTTACTATCTCTACCTTGAGTTGGTAAATTAACTCTAACAATATTTTTTTCTTCAACTTTAACTGGTTCATCTTCACTTAATTCATCTGAATGTTCTGGTAAATCTTGAGTTTTCAATGTAATAAATCTAATTAAATCGTCTTTTGTAGTATCAAATGATAAGTTACCAATCCATACACCAATTCTTGGTGGTCTTTCTTTCTTTTCACTAGATTCATCTTCACCTTTAGTTTCTTCAAAATTTGCTGGTTTAGGTTTTGGATTTTTTTTTTCTAATTTTTCTAAATCTAATTTACCTCTTCTTAATAAACGTTTTTGTTTTTTAGATAATGGTGCAGCTAAATTTAAATCAATTTCTAATTGATCACCTTCAGCTTCATCTAAAGTTCTCTTTTTGGAGGAGTCTTCAGTTGATGATTCAACAGCTTCAACACTTGATTCTTTCTCTTCTTTAGACATTTCTGATTGTATTGCGGTATGTCTAGTTTAATGGATTAACTATAAGATTACGTATTGTAGATGCTTTTCATTTATTTAATTACTACTCCAAAATTTTTTTTTTACTGATAGAAAAACTTCACCGGTATGGACAACATCTCATCGCACTGCATACATAAAACTACAAAACGGTTATAAAAATACAAAACGGTTATAAAAACATGTCCAATGATGATAAACTTATGTAGTTTTTAAAAATTTCCTCACTTGTTCCAAAAAAATTGGCTTATCATGATCCGGTTTCTTGTTGAATACCGTAAGCATAGGACGGAAAGCGTAACATGTTTCACTAAATAAATATGAAGGAAACTCACCATCAATATCTTCTCTTGCAGCTCCATAATTATCATAAAAACTATCCAAAAATAAAGTTGATGTTGAGACATCTCTTAAAACCTCATTCGAGCTTGATAGTACATCTAATGTTTTATTAATTAATGTGCTAGTTTCATCCAATGTTTTAAAAGTCCTAGCTTGTAAGGCAAATGACGAATTCCAATCTTGATGATATTGAGAAATAGCATCATGTCTATTATACATGTATCCATATCCATCAACATATTTATAACACTCATATTTAACTAGTGGTTGCGTTACTCTTAATCCAGGGAATGTACGTACTGCATCCTCGGAATTTTTCCAATCAGAAACTTGAGACCTTGCACTATCATTGTCAGTAAAGTTATTTCTATAATTACGGTATAGAAATGGAATAATGTTTGAAGTTTCAATTAAATAATCTTGAAATGAGAATCTATTGAGAAACGAAATAGTATTTAAAGCCTGGAATCCATTTAAAAATTGGTCTGAAACGATTGTTTTAATTTGACAACGATATTGAAAACCAGAAATTTTATAACAAGACTTTGGATTTTGACATCTTTTTGGTGACAAAAGTTCAACATTTTTTTCCCGTGATCCTGTATGATATAAGTTCATGAATGCAAAATCAACATTAATCTTCTTGATAAATCTTTTCATGTATGAATTTGGATTTGTTAAAACATTTTGAATCAATAGTTCAAATATATCAACTTCTGTAATCAAGTTTAAGAGATACCCTCGAATTCTGAAATCTTTATGAAATTCAAGTTTTATAAATTCAACATCATTCTTCAAGACAGATTGATATTCTTTATAAGCTTCATAACGTTCATTAGGTGAAGTGACATACCCTGTTCCTCTAATAAATGATTTATATGTCCTATCTTTATATGCAAATGTTGAATTGATGGTTAATAAGACATGTATCTTCTCGTATAGCTTAGGTGCAACGCATTCGCAGAATGTTTTATTAATCATTAGGGCATCCACAGGTGAATAATTGCAATGATGAAAAATAATTTCCCAAATTTCCATTGGAAATAAACCTAAACCTTCTAAAGGTTTATGCTTATATTTAGTATCCTTTGGTAAATTTCCAACTTCTTTCAAATAATTTGGCAATTTTGATATCCTTATCAAACGTTCATTGATCTGTTTTAGTACGATTTCATATTGATATTTCAAAGGAAACTAAAAAAGAAGTTTTGAAATGTCTAGTACTCGACTTTTTTCATCTTTCACAGCAGTGACTATCTTTGGTTGGTAGCAATATACCTATCCATCAACTCTTTATCATGAACTGGAGGTATTGAATATAACTTGTCTTTGAAAAGACGTGTATCTATTTGTTTTGGTGTCAAAATGAATTTATCGAAAAACGCAGCGGTTAAAATTAAAGACAATACCAATGCATAGACCCAATATCCTGCGAGAACCATCAATAGACAGCTAATATATCCTATAACGATGAAAAGCGGTATATATCCAGCTTGAAATTGATAATAACGAGCAGAATCGTTGTGATTGATTTCATAGGCGCTTTTGAGATGAACGTTGATCATCTTAGTGTTGATTGATGAACTCTTTTAATTGCGACATACCAACGTCAGAACATTGTGAATGCATTAGCAGGTATTGGAAAGTCATTGTCATTTATAGTATGCCTCTAAGATAATCATTTTCTGTTCAGTATTCATTTTCTTTGAGATAGATATTTGAGTGCTCATATTTGACTTGAAAACAACTCAAATTCAAAAATATATTAGAATCTCATATTAATAAAAAGTACGTCGCGCGTCCCATCAAAAAAAATACCTGTATTATAAGTTTCGATATATATTTACTTCTATAAAAAATTTGAGCTATATATTTGGCTCGGTTTCTAATTGTGTTTTTCTCTTATTAATGGTTCAATCTAAGCTATGTTAGACTCATATGATTCACTTTTCCTTTGGGTTTGAGATTTGACAATTGATATAGAATATTGTAGTAGATGCATGGGTGATCTAAAGAACTCTTTGTAACATCATAGGATGTTGATTATTAAGTCTTCTTTGAATTCACTCTATACTCTTGCTCGATTTCAAACTTACAAATTAGCCTCAATCACGAACCGTTTTTATAGCTGTTCTAATTAACCATCACACGAACGTATATCCAGTTCTAGACATAATTATTAACCATTACACTAATGTTAGGATTATTATCTTGATTCCACTCAAGCACTCAAGGCAATTTACATAGTATTATAATCTTTTAAGAGCGAACAACAAATACAATATAATTACTTTTAATGAATTAAATATAAACCTTTGTGTTCTTTTGTAACCTTTGAAAATTATGATATTTTTATGCTTATAAACAATGTACTGGAACGACTACCAAGTGAAGAACCAATATCCATAGTGTAAGTTTCAAATATTCCTTCAAGGTCATTATCATGGGAGGTACTATTTTCTTTAAGTCCTGGTGGAGAATGATATCTAACAATTATACTACCAGCTTTTAGTTTCCTGTTCATATATATTTCATCAACAGTTTGTAATTCTACCTTTGAGAAGTTGAGATCATGAACAAAAATAAAACCTGGATATCCTTTAAGCCTTGCATACAATTCCTTAATCCTAAACTGCCTATTAATATAACTAACTTTATTTGGGCTGAAGTTATGTTGTAACCTAAACAGGTCTGCTATTTTGGAAACATTGGTTCCTAATTCATAGTGTAATCTATAAAGATCACCGTTGATATCATAGCCTATACATTGTTTAAAACCTTTGAACATCTGCATAGTCATTAAGTTCAGCCCAGCTCCACAACCCATCTCTAAGAAAATCATTTCTTCTGAAGAAGTTGTACAATACAAATCCACAATTTTAACAAGGTATGTATAAGCACTCTGCTTGGAAAAAGACTGTGTACTATCAAGCCTAAAAGTTGGACCATATGCTTATGCTGAGAGATAAATTGCAAATTCCATCATTTGATCAAACAATTTACTAGGAACTTCCTGGCCAGCTGCTCTTCTGAATACTCGAAGCTCTTTTGAATAAATCTCTTTGTAGTGTCGTACCTTCTCATTATGCCTTTTAGCAAGCTTGATACATTCACCAAATGTTCCCTGGTGAACATTACTTAAATGATTTAGCTTCAATTTCCCTGTAGCTCTCCTTATGTACCATTCAGTAAACCTCAAGTACAATTCAACTGCTTCCCTGGAGCCAAATTTATCCTTAGATATCCTTTGACTTGTGACATATCTTATCAAAAATTTATCCCTCATATTCACAGTTTCAAATTCAATTGCCTGTTTATATATAGCCTTGGTTTCTCCAAACATCCATGAATCACCATGTACTTCATAAAACGTACTGAAAAGACTTCTAAACCGATCTTTGTTGGACCACTCACCTTTATCTTGTGGAACCTTTTTGTCGAAAATCTTTGTCACTGTTTTGTAAATTTGGTTTTCTCCAAACCCTTCAGCTCTGACATGTTTATTTTCTTCCAGTGGAGACCTTTCTTTTAAAGAAGCCCTTTCAATATCTTTGTTTCCCATGTTTACAATTATTCATGGGGTGTACTTTAACCGAAACAATTCTCCCTAGTAAAAATATAAGATTAAGGTAAACAAAAAAAGTTGACACGTAAATCTGCCAAAAAAAATAAATCTCCCGGGTGTGAGTCGAACACACGATCTCAAGATGTCTTGATTCCATTACAGTCTTGCGCCTTAAACCAACTTGGCGACCGAGAGGTGTTGTATTGTTATT